CATCATCCTTTGTCCCAACCGGAAGAGGTCTGTTTCAAGGCGCCTTTCCATTTATTGACCATTTCTGGCAGAAAGCTCCTTAGAGCGATTGACATATGTACTTAGTGATATTTTAATGATAAACAGCTTACTAGATACCCCCACATCTCAAATGACAAACTCTTGTTTGGGTGGATTGTTGTTGCACACAACTGACTCCTGTCTCTTGTCACTGGTTCAGGCTCAGGGCAAAGGAGCGTGGCAGAAGCTTTGGAGTCGAGGGTCTGGTTTTCCCGCATCAAACATTGGCTTGGTGTTTGGGTCATTGCCGTTCCATCTATTCTTAGGCCTACCGACTGCCGAGTTCTCGATTTCAGTGTTTGAGGTGAGTGCTGGTATTGCCAGCAACCGAGCAGTCCCAACCGTCAGGCAGGACGACTGCACACTTTGGAGGTACCGCCAACCTGACTGACAATGCGTATAGCATGGCTGGGTCTAGGCCGAAGACTTCATGGCGGAGGTTGGTTAAGCAACTAGTGAGTTTAGTTGAGCTGTATTGTTCGACGCGCATTTTTTTTTCAATAGAGGATTGACCTTATTTTAGAGTTAAGGTTTAGTGCATCAACTATTCGCCATAGTCGTCATTTGCCAAGGGAAGATGTGGCGCTAAGCCACAAACACGTGACAGACTACGAGCAACTGACCCATCAGCCACACTATCTCCTCCCTACTCCTTTTCCTCATCCACTTCCCCCATGTCCCCCACCTGTGGGTATGATCTGCACCACCGATTCCAGACTCAGGGTCCAGCCCACTCTACCTCATACCTACTCAAGCACGCAATCACGGATCTGGGCTACCGATCTCTTCTGGGGCCAACAACACATGTTTGAGGAGTGCCAAGCCGATGTTCAATGGATACAATAGAATTGTTTGGTAGCCACTTTCTGTCTATCATGTTTTGATCGTTTGTTTACTCATTGATTATTCTGCAGCCCGCGGTGACTTCACGTCGGTGAGGATCATCCATACCCCTGCGATTCACGCGAGTTTGTTTATGATTGCGATCTCGTCGCGTCGTGGTCTCCAGTGTTGTTTTCTTTCTTTCCGAGGACATTGCCTTGTGGACCTATATATTTATGTACGTAAATCGCCAGGCAGGTGCCGAGTTGGCTCAACCGTGCTGCTCAACTCCCTGACCCAAATCACTTTCCGCGAACCTTGGCCTCATCTCTTGGGGCATCACTCCGAAAGGGTGGACCTTGCAGCTTCCGGAATTCGAGGATGCGTTTGTTGTTTACACCATACCAAAGGAGAAGGAGGGAGGATCAGGTCGGGAAAATCCCCGAAGACAACGTCTGCTTGGCCCACTATTTGGGATGCTCGTAAAAAAAAGGCGCATGGACCTCATTGCTGGGAACGCAATCCTCCTCGATGACCCTTCTTGCAACCACGTCCAAAAGCCTGGCAGTCTGCACGCAGGCTCTGAAGGCTGCCCCATTGTCTATTCCCAGCCGAGGCAGGCACTACTGGGCAATGATCATGAAGCATCTGGTCTATGATGCACTCCAGCACGTCGTTGTAGCTATTCGCCCTCCCACAAACTCCGGTTTGGCAGAATCTGGCCATCCTCGCAGCTCATGAGCAGGCACAAGAGACAAGGCACTTTAGTATGAGATACGTGGGCGCAGATTCGGCCTGGACAGAATATAAAATGGAAAGAACAAAGACTTTGGCGAAACAGAATTTTTTGCCTCCTTCAACAGCGTATATATGTGAAGGTTGATGGAGTTGAAAATATAAACGTGGGCGATTAACTCCAATCTCCCAAAATCTATGAGAGAATCCAGCTGTCCAAAAGGACAGGATGGTTGGTGTTCCTGTGTATTCCTGTCTTCCCTCCACCTGCCCTTGGATGGGGACGGAGCAAGGTAACTTGTGCCCCCTAGTTTCTCCGCGCTCCCAGCGAGGGACCAAACCAAAGCGTCTTGTACCGTAGTTAGTGACACTCCAAGCCTTTAGACAGTCACATTTCACGTCCTTCCAGGTCGTCATCACAGGTAAGCCGGAAGATTCGATTAGTATGTTGTGGGAGGGTGCTTTACGGGTATCAGATAGTATTCGATACTCGCGGAGTTTGTTTAATAGTGGCTGTCACAAGCCCATAAACATCGGGAGCCGTGATCAGCCTGAATCTCTGGTGAAGTATGGCCACTTCACTTCATCCACCGAGGTCCGTTGCCTCCGCCATGACAACGTGAGGCCTCATTCCACGCCGAAGGTCGGATGAGGGACGTATAAGCCGAATCGTTGGTTGGAACAATTAATCCAGTGCGGTCGTGTGCTTTATATCGTAATCGAATCGTCTCGCAACGGAAGAGCTCCAAAGTTGATATTCTTGAGGTATCCCTGCGGCGGGCTTCGAATGGCCAGGTCAAAGGTGACTTCCTGAATGGGCACGTCGGCCCACTGGGACAGCACCGAGGTCGCGCCATCCGCCAACCTGGGGATGTTCATCATGGTGCTGAAGGGGATGTCGAAGGTGTATTCCTCGTGCCAGCCGGTCTTTTCGTTGTTGTTGATGTCTGAATCCCGCGACTTGTATCCGGCGGAGCGATGCGTCGCTATCAGCGGTGGCCACACCCCGTAACAGTCAAAGCCCTTGGCCATCTTGCCTCGGCACATGTCCGACACGCTCTGGTCGACAGGCTGGTTGCGCGGCTGCGCCGACAGTGACGACAGCATCTTGCGGGCCCCTTCGTAGGTCACGGCATACCCGTACAGGCACATGCCCGCATACGCCTTGAAGAACAGCCGTGTGTCGTTCCTTAGTGCATCCTCGGGGATGTGGGACTGCCGCCATCGCGAGTTGCGGTGTGGTAGCGGCGGGACCGTGAAGTCGTCATCGACGACCCAGATGTTCTGGTTGTCGTCTGTCGGCCCGATCCTGTTGTGGCCCAGCCAGAGAAAGTGCCAATCATGGCCGTACGGGGACGGCGTCAAGTCGGGAGACTGCTGCAATGCACGTGCGCCGGTGGCAAGCTCGAATAGTTGGTCCTTGATGAACGGGGACCAGTCTGCATCGTCTTCGATGATCATGGCCGTCTGGATCCGCTCGGCGACGATCTTCTGGAGCGCATTCATGTGAGCCCTCCAGCATCCGAGAGCCCCGGGCGTCTGGCTGTCAAAGTCCCAATTCTGAGATCCCAATAATGTCAGCTTTCTGCCCGGCATAAGGTCGGGTGGTTACTTACCGACGGCGCAGCTTTCTCGACGACATCTTCTGCCTCAACGCCGGGAAGATAGTCAACCTCGAAGCCGGCGAACGAGGCCGCAAGGGTATTCAGGTCCCTCTTGTCGGTCCGCTGCGGGAGGTTGATGGCGAAGACCCTCTGAAATCCCAAGGTGGTGTTGTAGACGTGGTCGATAGGATTTCCTCCACGTGCGTACCGGGTGACCACGATAAATGACCCGGACATCTGCAGCAACAAGATCAATAGCACTGCACATAAAAGTGCCCGAAACAGATTCTTGCGCCTGCCTGTGCTCGAGATCAGTGCCAGCAACGATGCCATCTCGGGCACCTGTAACGGTGTGCGCTCCCAAAAGGGAAGCTCGCCAGTGGACGCAGTTTTCTCAGCCATCGACAAAAAGGTGAGACGGGGAGGAAGGGGGGAAAAACTGCACAGCAATGCAACTAAGGGCACAGTGGACAAAAGATGATATTCCCGAAAATATTCTGGATGGGCAACAAATGCATCATGTCGAGCAAAAACCCCTAGAACAAGTGTCCTGAGTACGTGAGCAATAATGGCCTCCTTACTACCGACTCCCTCATCGATAGTTTTCGTCGGCGCATGGGGGGAGCAGTGCTGATAAGTAACCTGCCAACGAATAGGAGACGGTCCCAGACCTTCGTTTCTCAGGGTCTGTTGTCCATTGGTGTGTCACAAGACAGGTTTGAGTTTCAAATCTCTATTTGTGGTGATCTACCCCTCATGAGAGATCGCCAAGTTTTTCTTCAGGAAACGTGCCAGGGGGTATGTGGATGGGGAGGGAGGGACGAACAAAGATCTCTTCGGAGATTAGGCATGAATTGTGATGTGGAGGGGTTTTTTTAGGCGAGAAGTCACCGAACCTCTGGCCGAGATGGATTGGTATTGGACTCAAAAGCTACGAGAGCTGCAGGGGAAAAGGAGGCTCATGTTCGATTTGGGGGAAAGCGACTGGCGATCAGCTTAGGAGAATAACTCTAACTCTACCCGTCGGTTAGCCCGACGCGCCAGAGACGCTAGCGCTGTATATACGCTTTGAACATCGGCTGCTGCCTCCGCCCGCCACCTAGACACTAACCCCTTTAGGCTAGATCTGGAGAAGGCTTACTTCCCGCACAGGAACTGAGGTCATTACAACACAACTGCTCGGTGCATACGTCAAGAGGCTCCTGTCAAGAGAGGAATTGATAATCACGCATTTCATTTACCTCGACACACCCTGTGCCTCGTGGCTTGTCCTTTGTCATGACTGCCAAAATAGATACAAGTAAACCGCCTGCAATTACTGTGCCAAGAGCCACAACCCCTTTTGGTCTCTGGACGAGTCAGTCGATGTCATCCGATTTATTGTGGATACCCCGATGTCATGCCCCCTCCCAGTATCTCTTGCATTGGCTGGCCGAACGTAGCTTCTTCTTGTTCTCGCTAATTTAGACCGACTGCCTAGCAGAGGAACGCTCGCCTTACCATGGCTAGGTTGTGCCACCTGAAGTTTGGGTGCGTTTCGCGTCTAGACCGACGGTCCCTTGAATTCATGGGAAAAAGAAAAAAAAAGGGAAAATGATCCCAAAACCCTCGCTTCAAAGAGCTTAGCGACTTAATTGTTGTTTGATTTCTTCCCCCCTCCCCACGCACGATGAGGAGGCCCGGATTCTTTGTCCATCCTTTGTAGATATTCGAAGCGTTAAAAGCACTATTTTGCGGTCTTCAAACGGGTGTTTTATTTTTGTGTGTTTGTAGGCCTAGATGGCGAAGAGGATCCGTTCTGTCTTGGTGGTACTGGTGATAATCGCTGTCCTTCAGCTGCTTCTATCACATCTGGGCCCGACCGCGCCTCAGTCCCAATGGAGAGACCTATCTTCCTTTCAACTCCAGCCGCATCCCAGACGGATCACCGAACAAGCTTCAGCAGGTCAAGAACTCAGAGAGCTCGAGGAATTGACCGCCAAACAAGACGAGGTTCCGGGATTGGTCACTCAACAAAATGGGCTCAAAACTCCCTCATTCGGGGTAGAGGATAAAGACGATGACGATGAGGAGGAAGAGGAGACTGAGGTCCAGGTCGAAGTTGAAGACGACAATGATGACAGCAACTCTAGCACCTACAACAAGCCGCATTCCGAAGTCAAAATTGCCAAAGTCACCATGCTGTACGGCGAGCCGAACGACGCATACGAAAGGGCTCTAGAATCCCACGCCCTCCATGCCAACATGCACGGCTATCAATTGCACGTCCTGCGTCAGAAGATGCTGGGACGTCTCTGGACCAAGCCCGCCTTCATCTTGAGCGTGGTGCTGAACGAGTTGGCGAAACCCCCCGAGGCCAGGATCGAATGGATATTCTGGTTCGACGCCGACACGTTTCTCCTAAATCCCAAAATCCCCTTGGAAATCTATCTGCCGCCGGCGGATGTGCGTGGGGTCAACTTCCTCTGCGGCAACGACCACAATGGTCTCAATGACGGCGCCTTCCTCCTCAGAGTCAATGACTACTCAGTCCACTTGCTGGCGTCGTCGCTCAGCGTCGAGACTTTCCGACCGAATGTCGACCTGCGCTACTCGGAGCAATCGGCCATTGAACATGTTGTGCACGAGGGCGGAGTCTATCGCCCCTGGGACGGCACGACATATCTCGACGGCTACGCCGAGATCCCCCAGCGATGGCTGAATGCGTACATGGGTGCCCGGAACGACCGTGGACGGCCGATCGCAAGAAGGAAGCAGCACCTCAACGGCGTGAAACCTGGTGGTAAGCGGAACCCCTTCTCTTGCACCCAATTGTTTTTTTTCCCTTCTTCTGACGTGACTCCCTCACTCCTGGCATCCTAACCAACTCCTGACACGAAAATTTACAGATCTGTTGCTACATTTCGCGGGGTCGGGAAGCACAAAGGTGGACAGGATCAAATCTTTCGTAGAAGCGTACGAGCAAAACCCGTCCGAATGGGTCAAGGAGGTCGACCAGATGCCCGAGCTGCTGGCTGAGATATCAAAGTTTTGGGATAATTACAGGAAACAAAAGAGCCAGCAAAATGGGAATTTCGAGGTGGAAAACCTCACGTGGAATTGAGAAAATGGGGAGAAAGGGTGGTGGTGGTGGTTGAGATCAGTCCATACACACCCACTCACCCTGGCTGTTGGAATGGTGCTTCAATTCCTTCCTTTACCTTTTAGCGCAACACGACGGGAAATATCTCGCCAGTCGTGGGGAGATTATTCAGAGCAAACGATGGTAGACAAGGATAGACTCATCTGTCATGCGGTTCATGACACTGGCTCTGCGGCGTTTGGGACTTCCCCCCCCTTCCTCCCCCTTTCTTCGGGGCAAATGGTTCACGATAACTCATGAGTACTTACTCGGCATTGATACAGCCTCTCAATACAATCTCTAATGTGTCCCCGCGGCAAAGCTCAAAGGTTCGACGTCTGAAGCCCATGTGGTGCTACTAATCATTTTGCATTTGTCTATCAGTGTTGAACTATCTGCCTCTCGGGGCTTTCAACAAAGACCATATATAATGTAACACACTAACAAGAAACATGCTCGTGCAAGTATCTCTTCTCACGAGGGTTCCCGGCGCCGGGGCCACTCCTCGAGACCTTCACAGGGATTCCACAGAAGGAGAAAAGAGGACAAGAATAAATCGAAGCCAGGTTCTGTACAACGCCTGTGGATTATGCCGAATTACCTTTACGTGTCATAAGCGTTTCATGCTTTGGAAGTCTCCAATGTTACTCTTTCCCACATGTCACTGATGTCCGTCAAACGCCAATACTATACAGAGCAAAGCAATACAAATATATACATGCATCTCTCGCCAAGTCGTGGACACGGAATTATTCTGAAAAGAAATGAGACGTAGGAAAAAAGAGATATCACCGACGCTGTAACCACGAATACGCGCCCGCTCCGCCTAGGGCGAGCATGACGCCCAAAACGTCCTTGATCGACGGGGCCTGGCCGGCCACGTACCAGCCCAGGGCGATGATGATGACGTTTTTGGCGTTGGAGACGACGTTGAAGGCGAGGGCCGAGAGGCGTCCGATGATCAGGAACTGGCTCAGGTTGAGCCCCGCGGCGAGGATGCCCGAGAAGAGGAACGTGGCCAGGATCTTGGGGTCGACGGTCCAAAAGTCCGGGAGCGTGTCGGTGAAGGGGAGCAGCACCAGCAGCATCACCACCGAGACGGGCGCCTGGTTCAGCAGCAGCGCGGGGGCGCTGATGTCGAGCTCGTGGACCTTCTTGCCGATCCAGATCTGGTAGAATGCCGTGGTGACGAAGGCCGCGATGGCCACCAGGCTGCCCGTCGGGTTGGACGACACCATGGCGACGTTGGTCAAGGCCACGCCCAGGCACGAAACCATGATGGCCACCAGCAGGGGAGTCGGGAGGCGGGTTCCGAACAGCACAAAGTTGATCGCCACCACGGTCGGCGTGGTCATGATCTTGGCCAGCTGGTAAAAGGAGACGGTGTTGAGGGCCAGAGACAGGTTACCCAGGACCAGGAACCCGACGAACAGGGTCGACAGCGGCAGGACATCTCGCACGGCGAGCCGCACGGGCTTGAAGAAGCTGAAGGGTTTCAAGGTCGCCACATACAACAAGACACTGGTCGCCGTGAAGTGCCAGGCCGCGGTGCCAATCTGGAATTTTCGAAATTGAGGATCGTTAAAGACACTGATGGGCATAGAAAAGACCAGGGGTCAGCAAAATCCCTTCCCCTCCCGCCGGGATGACAACAGCAACGAATTTAAGGCTCCTGATATGCCTGCCACAAACCTTACATCTTGTTCGCAAAGACGATGGCCACGGCCGACACCGTGTTGAGTAAGACGCAGAGGATATTAATGGCGTCCTTCTCGCTCAGGCCGATGTTGAAACGTCGCTTTGCCTCATTGCCCGTGAGAATCCATCGAGGGATCATGGCCTTGTTGTGGGATCCTTCGGACACGAGTCGCTTTTCCACGTCGTGTTGATCCATCTCCGACTCTGTTGGGGTGGGAGGTCGGCCTCATTAGCTTCTGGTCCTTGAGCGACATGTTGATCTGGAATCAGCCATGTACTTACCCGTGTCGAAGGACTCCCGGGAGTGGCGCTGCACGCTTAACGAGACGAGTTCGGTCATTGTGTGTTCGTGTATATGTGTGTGTGTGTGTGGTGTGTGTGTGTAGATTTCAAGGACAATCAGCTAGTTATCTCGTACTCATCCTCAAAGAAACAGCCCGCCAAAATCCAAAAAAACACTCTTTCGAATAAAGTGGCGAACAGCCAGAGCCCAAATATATGAGGTTGTGCCAGTCTTAATCTCGGCCAGGACAACTTTCGGCCGTGCGTGTTCATTTGACCTTGTCCTCGGTCGGTACATGATGCATAGGGGGTGAATCATTCACAACAAGCACTAAGCACAGGAGGAGAGTGCCCTTGGACCTGGATACTTTTGCTTGTCGTCGTACTGCAATCAAACATCGCTCTAGCAAGGAATGGCTTGGATAGATTTAGAACCAGTGACTGGCAGGGACTGGGATTGAATCGAGGCGTGTCTCCTGAAAGGCTGAAAGGCTGAAAGACAAGAGCCAACCTTACAAAAGAACCAACACTCGCCCCAAAAAAGCATATATACTGGCCAAGAGCCAATAGCAAAGGGGACCCATGAGACTGGGCATGTTGTTATCTTTTCGCGCGAACAACAATCCCCCTCTTTCTGGAGAAATCGCGTGATTTGACGCGTTCGTGGGACGAGCATCGTCATGACCGCTGCTTGTATCTATTTCCCAAAGGGGAAATCCGAGACACAAACAAAAGTGGAGAGAAGCCGGAGAAAAAAAAGATCGAAACTTCGGAAGCCAAAGCACAAGAGACTTCGCTTGTCCCTGCATAAGCGCGTCGATCAACCCCTCGGAAGCGAACTTCTCCTCAATCAAGGCTTGTCGATCCTGCACCCAAGAGTAGCCCGAGTGGCGCTACAATCAATCCAACCCGGGAGGGGAAGCAAGGCTGCCTTGGATCCTTTTTGGATCCCGTTTGCCTCGTTCTGTGCCACGTTAAACTCGATCCCGAAGACTTCGGCTTCTTCTTCCCTTCCCAGGAGCAAAAGTGCAGGCATGACGATAAGAAGAAACGCCATCAATCATTCAGGCATACAGTCTCAAGCGATATGTACCAACTTTACCTTTCCTCCCCCCTGATTCCCCTTCTCTCTGCCTCCCGCCTCCCCCACCCCTCCAAAGCAAAGTCGTGCCATTGGGTTTCATGCTCGCTTAATTTGGTTTCCTCGGGAGCTACTTCTTGCCGGGATGTTTCTTCTGGTTGCTCGGCATTCTTATGTATACTGGGTGATCTCCCCCCCACGAGCTGTGTCGTGTGCTCATCGAACTCCGCATATCCAGGACCCCCTCTTCCATCCAGTGAAGAACACAACAACATCCAACAACGACAACGACAACGAATATCTGTTGAGACGTGTGCGCCGGCTTCCAATATCCTGGCAACCCGTGGCTGAATGCCTCTATCACGTTGGAAGAAGTAGGGTGGTTTGTTTCTGCTGCGTTTATTGTGAATTTGATTGAAACCCCCAGGGGGTTGGGTTATGGTTGACGTCGTGGGATTGAGGCTTCACCGAGTCGGCATAACCTGGAGTTGTTGGCAAAGGTCAATAACACAATGTACACCAACACCATGTACTACTCTCAAATCACCGACCACAGGACGCCGCTCTGGGTCAAGATCAAAAGACCGTTATGGCGGAGGAAGGGACCTCGATCCAGCATCTTGTTCTTGTTCGTTGTCCTCATTGGGACCACGGTTTATCTGGCCATGTCCCGGGATACCACAGACTACCGTCACAGCAATCGATACAAGGTGAAACTCCAGAGCTGGTTAGGTGGATCGAGTCCGTCCAAGCAAGCGCAGCCCTCGGCCATTCCTGACAACAATACCTTCGATGTCAACAGCTCACTCGCCTCCAACTTGAACCAGACCCTCACCGAAGAGGATAACGAAGCCTCCAAACCACCCAAGAGTGAGGATCTGGTTGAAGCGATCAAGGATTCATTTGCGATTGCTGCCCACGAAGAGGACGACAAAGCCTCTCGACCTCCCAAAAACGAGAAACCGGCCGAAAAAGCCGAGGATCCCTTTGAAACTGCTGCCGACGAAGAGGACGACAAGGCCTCTCAACCACCCAAGGGCGGGGAACAGGCTGAAGACGTCAAGGGTCCATTTGCCATTGCTGACCCGGAACCGCCACTTGCCAACGTGGAAATCGACAAGAAACCGACCCCTGCATCCGACGACGCTCGAGTCGAGGACGAATCGAACGAGTCGAAACAGCACTTGTCGCTGGAAAAGAAGGCCGAATACCTTCCAGAGTTCATCTGGGTCCCGTTCGAGGAGACGGTCAAGGACGAGGTCCTCCAGGGTTGGGAAGACGAATGGGTGAGTTCAGGGACGTACAACTGGGAGAAATGGGGAGATCTGGAAGAACCCAAGATCGATTTTGTCTATCTGTGTATGATTGCATCGCATGGCGACTCCTTCGAAGAAAACTGGTGCAGGTTTTGCTGATAAAATATCCTAGGGGTCAATGGTTCCGAGCAGGACTTTCAGGATACCATCAGGCCGTGGGAGGAGCGGTCGATTCTGAATGATGCTGAAGGAGAATGGATCAAGTCGCACGGCACGAACAGATACCGCGACTGGGACGAACTGCGCTATTCTTTTCGCAGCATCGAGAAGAATGCTGGCGATTTCATGAACACCATCAAAGTCCTTGTCAACTCGATTTACAGGAATGGGGCTCCTGTCAGGAAACAGACGCCCACTTGGCTTGCTGTCGATGACCCCAAGGTCTCCAAGCTGGTTCAGGTTATTTCTCAAGAGGAGATGTTCGAGGACGACAAGAAGGTCTGCTTACCGGCGTTCAACTCTCTGACAATCGAAAATCAGATATTCAACACAGAGTCGGACGTCGACCAGGTGCGTGAGAAGTAGAGCCCGGCTTATAACTTACCGACACTGACACTATGGCCTCAGTTCTATGCCATGTCCGACGACATGTTGCTGACACGGGAGCACGCCCCCGCCGACATTTACTCGCCACTGTTTGGAGCGGTGTTGAGCTTCAAGACCAATGGGTACAGCACTACCTCTGCCCCGACCGAAGCCGACGCACAACGTTTCGGTGAAAAGGTGTGTTTCCGACTTGTGATTCCTTACCTCCAAAGGGTGGTCTGACGTTGAATTTTTCCAGCCGTATTTGATCTATACGTCGTGGCTTTTGAATCGTCGGTTCGGCGTCCGAAAACGCAAGGGCCAGAGTCACTTCGGACATTCCCTGTCACGAAGCATTATGCGAGAGGCGATCGAGGCATTTCCACGCTCCGAAATCCAGAGTGCCTGTAAGCGGTTTCGAGGCGAGCCCGGATTTCAGCTTTACTCCTGGTATGTGAGCAACCACTATGTAATCGAACGTCACCGTGAACTCCTCTTGTGGAGTTACATCATGCTGCGGAGTGACGTCGATCGAGATGGTATCTTGTCCTGGGAGGAGCGCACGAGGATCGTTGCCGATCTGGCCGAAGGGGCTAAGAATGCTGACAAGGCGACGTTCCGCCGCAAGCTCTTCTACCATGTCCCATCCATGCTTGAAGAGGCTGGACTCCGCGCGCCCCAAGTCAACACCAATTCCTTGTGGACGTCTCTCGACGGACCCCATGCCATTCGGAATGTCGACTGCACGGACTTCTCGATAGACGACTGCCTAGCACCAGGCTTTCTCTCCGACAATTCGCCCCCGTCCAGCACGAACCCGACATTCAGCTCGTCCGTCATCTTTGACCGGCTGGCTCGCCAGAACCCACATTGCGGTGACTGCCTGCTAAAGGGACTTCTTCAGCAGACACCGTCGGGTTTGGAGCCACTGTTGCCGGACGCCGAGACTCAAGCTGCCGACCGCGAGATTGTGATCAAAGGCGCCATGCGCTACAAGTTCACCGAGGTTGATCCATCGGACACGCTCTTTGTCATGGTGACCGACGCCGACCAGATCGACAGCACCTTATACCGGCATTATGTCAAAGGAGGCAAGCAGCTTCCGGGCCAGATGTGCCTTAATGACGATGTTATCACGACCGATGAGCAGGAGCTCCAGGATATTCAGAAAGCAATGAGGGAGACGCTCGCGGGGCTGTTTCCTCGTAAGGGCAGAGCCGAATTGTAAAAGTAGGGGGTTTTGGGCGTCAGGGTTAGGTGCTATGAGGCGTTGAGGTGCTCTGTGTCAACATTTCAGTTGAATATCCCCAAAAACCGTGTTCGAATGTGAGAGATACCATTGTGTTGCCGTTGAGCGAACGACACCATGTTTCGCGTTTCATAGACTCTGGAGCGCCGAGTACCCGTATTGGAGGTGCAAACGGCTAATAAAACCTTTGACAAAGTATTACAAGTTCGAAGATAAACCTGATTCGCGTGGAATGGTAGAGATACCGAAGTAATGGTTCTTCGTGCATGCGTTTGGTGTCCATTATCGGGCTACTTTCCCCTTTGTGACGCTGGAATCCCGCATCATCATCATATTTCCTCTTCTGAACTTTTGGACTTGCCCCCAAGGCCGCAGTCTCCAAGGAGACCAAGGTGGATTTGTCCTCCTCCACGTCTTGCGCGACAAGCGCCTCAAATCTCGGGCCAGATGGACCTGTATACCTCCCATTCTCTTTTTCTCAATGTTATGTTTCTGTGCTAACGTGCTTTCAGCGGTCATGGAGGCCTGCGTCGCCAGGCCTTCTCCAAGCTTGCGGCCCTCTCCTCAGTCCGATCCTCGACCCGTGAGGCGGAATTCAAGCGTCTAACATCGGCAGCGCCGTCCATCAGGCCCCAGACGAACGGTGGTGTTCTCGATGGCGTCCTTCGGGCAATTGCACCCATTTCACGGGTGCCTATGTCGCCCCGCGAACTCGATGTCTTGCTCGCCTTGTGCGCAAGTGCTCACGACTTGCACGAGCTGTCTCATGCCGATCGCCTGGTCAAGCAGTTGACAGCTTACCTGCCCGAGTCGCATTCCCAAGTCTTCTCATCCTCGCCCTTTGTCCAAGAAATCAGACCCACGCCGTGGACTGCCCTCACGTTCCAACTTACAAAGGCGCTACTCGTCCTCGGACTCAGATTCCCCCCTTTGAAAAACGCGGTCGCGTACAGCATCAAGTTGTATACACAGAATTGGTCCCAGTCTGCTTCGGCGCTGGCAGCTGTTGGGGTTGGCGAGCAAGATTCAGACGACGACGACGAAACCCAGGAAATTGCGGCGATAACGGTGTCGTTAATCGGGTTTCTGGATGCGGCGGCTGCTCATGGCAACTTCTGGTCCCCTTATGAAACAGTCGAACTTATTCGCTGCTTGAAAGAAGCTTTGTCAGAGCGTTTCCTGATAGCCGTCGAGACTGCCTCGTCAGCTATCCGGAATTCCACATCCACTGATCCGGCGGATCGTGATTGGAGAAAATACTTGAAACGATTCGCAGCACAGGGACTTCCAGTCGGAGCCATGGTGTTACAAAAGGGCTTCATGAAACTGGTACTTGCGTGTACGGCCAGAATGTTATGCGATGAGCACACGGTAGAGTGCGGAGACATACTCGATCAATACATCGCTGGCAACCACCTCAACCGAGCTAAAGATGACACTATTACGGATGACATGGTCGCCTATCTGGTGGACATCGTCAGTGAGCAAATGCGTGTGCTAGAGGATGGCTCGGATTATTTGCAGCTCAGCTCAGTCTGGCAACAGCGTCTCGCGTTTTCTGTCAAGGCGTACGCGGTAGAAGCATATCTGCATTGCCTGGTTCTGGACGAGGAAATCGCAGATGCCGAGGACCTGGCCGCGTGGCTGGAAGACTCGATTGCCAACCAAGTTCAAATGGCAGATCTCGACCTTGCGGACATAGTCTTGAAAACAATGGCCGTTGTGGCCAAACACATCCCCGAAGGTGCAAACAATTACGCTCGGGCCCTGTTAAGATTCATTGTCCGTGGCACCTCCCGCCCACCAGCAGTTGCCATCGCTGCGCAAAGCTTGTCGCATATCTTGAGGATGCTGTCACACGATGCTATTATCACCACGATATATTCACTGGGAAATGTTCTCAGTTCGCAAACAGGAGCCGAAAAGGTACACCAGGCTCACGGGTTACTAGAACACCCGGCTCACAATGGATCCATGTCATCTACGACAAGACTCCGAACTGGGAGCGTCATTTCGCTCTCTCTGAGTGGTGATGAAGAAACATCGCTGGTCTGTGGCAACGTCGCAGATGCAATTGTTGTCATAGCCACCGAATGCAACGACAACAAAATAATTGCCCTAGCACAGATGATGATGCTACAAAAGGTGGGGAGAATCAGCGTCGTGGTGGATGCTCGCATTATCGAAGAAGCGGCAAAGCTCGCCATTTTTGGCAAGGAGAACGAGTTCAAGGCTTTGATCAGACTATACAGTCGAATGCATCACGAGGCCGTAGCTCAGGAGAACACCATCATCATGCAAGCTATCCGCAACGCGCAAGAATACTTGGCAATCAACCTCGATAACCGATCGCCACTGTTCAAGATCTATGCCATGCAGCTGCTGGAACGGGTCCTCAGCAAGGGTGATGTTGTCGAAGGCGAATTCAAGCAGTCTGCGGAAGTCGAACAGGCTGCAAAAGAGATAGCACCTCTACTCAAGCCGCTGTCTATTCTTGCTTCTCGAAAGCCTGCGCTAACCATCGAGAGCACACTTGCCGAAGATGGCGATGTGCTAAGCATGGTTAGAGAGGTCTGGTACAACGTGGCTGTGCACGGAATCACTCTCCAGTCTCGCATCGGCCAGCAGCATTACCATGAGTTGCGGGTGTTGGCGATGAACTCGATGCCTCTCGTGGATGATGACCGTGCCGAGCTTTTAGAATCAGATGTGGAGATCAACACCGTCCTGCGAAGAGGAATGAACTCTCATCACATGAACGACCAAAAGAAAGCTCTTCTTTTCGCTATCCCCGATCGAGAATCTGACATCGGAAAGTTGAGTTACCAGAAGGTCGTGTTTTTAAATGCTGTGTTTCTGGTTGAAAGCCTCCGAGCGGTATCTGGAAGCTGTGCTGAGATCCTGGACTATTTCTCGGATCCGACGACGCAGACCAGCCATATGGGAGCATGCATGGGCTCGATTGCGAACGAGGTTGTCAAGAGGTATACCCAGAAAGCTGTGGCTGGCAAGGATGATGATTTCAGCGCCCCCTATGTGTCTCGACAACTCGCTCGGATTCTGAGTGGCTGTTGTCACCGGAGCAGTAAGATGCAAGAGGTCGCAAGGGCAGCAGCCAACCATATCATCAGCTTTGTCCCTTCAGCATTGTGTCAAAAGTCCGCCTTGTTTGCTTTACTGGAGCTCCTCTCTTTAATGTGGTCCAGCTGTCTTGATGCAGACACTGATGAGTACGAGTGGCGGCCCGTCCTCACCTCGACCCGAGGCAAGATCACGGTTGAGTTATCCGACGACTACGCATTCCGCAAGCGCACTCTGCAGACGCTGCATAGTGATGCCAGGAAATGGGTGACCATGGTAATGGGGGTCGCACCTTTGGACGTCAAGGGCCTACTTCAGACATACCTATCCGAATTCGATGACACGGGGGCATACGGACACATTTCCCTGGGCAGATCGTTTGCTCTGGAAATGGGCTCCATGATTCCCCCGACGGATCGTAGACTGAACGCCATCGACCGAAGAAATGACTCAATGGACATCAACATGGCGTCTGACTTTGTAGCCCAATACACTGCTCGGCAAGAATATCGATTCACAGGAATCCCGGACCACCACCGCGACGAGATCTACATGGATGACACGACCGGTCGAAGATCTTCCCTGCAGAGGCCGTCTGCTGATCCAATGCCTGTTTTGCAAGATGCACTCCTCGACCTTCACAGGAAAACGAGTCTGAAGGTCCATGTGAAAGCGTTCGAAGTCAAGGATGTTCTGCGACGCGCGGCGGCTCTCCTCTGCCAGAGCAAGAAATCGCAGACAGCTATTGTGCACTACCTGGTCAATATTCCATTCGCCATTTTCACAAAGGAGTCCATTAAACTTGGTATCTCCTTGTGGCTTGGGGTCATCCACGAGAACACCAGGATGGAGCCCCGAATCTTGACAGAGGTTGCGCAGGCCTGGGAAAGGACGATTGATCGCAAAGTGGGTATTTTCAGCCCCCATTTCGAGCAACCAGATCCATTTTATGTCAAGGAAGAGTTCGCTCCATCTGACAGAGCTGCGCTGCACAAAGAAGCACAAGCAGCGCACAACACCATCGCGCCCCATTTCAGGTTAATGCAATTTTTCGAAAGTCATTTCAATGCCATCAGACTTGGAAGCGCCAATACTCAACGTACATTTCTCCGACTGCTAGAGCGAACTCTTCATGGCTTTATCCATATCAAGGGACATCCCCTTCTGCGCGACATCCAATTCCACGTGGTCCTTTTCGCTCTTCGAGTGGTCAAAAATAGCACATGTCTCAACAAGTTGTCTATGTGGAAACTGAAAGATCTTATTCTATCCGTCGGACTGCAGTGGTTTGCAAAGCCGCCATATTGGTCCTTTGGTGGCAATCGGTTACAGTTGAAGGCCGAGGTTCAAGTGATGCAGGATGTTTTGGCCTTGTTGCAAGGTACCCGGACACCCATATTTCCAGCTTCGGCGACCAGAAAAGACCCCCAACAGAAGCACGAGCTATTAGAAGCCCTTCTAACGAACGAAATCAACCGGCTGAACGTTTGGTTGTCACCCCTTGGGCATTCGGGTCACCAAGCCCAGCCTGAGTCTCAAGTTGCAGGCCTTGTTCGGACCGCATGGGCAGAGGACCCAGCTCTCGCGGTACAGCTTCTCGCACGATTCAACCATGACCAGCTTCGCCGCGATGTCCGATTCCTGCTACTCAATCAACCCGAAAAAGCCTTGCACGAAGCCAATGCCGTCGATTTGCTGCTTGGCGACAGACTTGCGTCAGACTTGTCATTCCAATTGAAGTATCTATTATACTGGCGTCCGGTCAATCCAGTTCAGGCCGTGACATACTTCATGCCTGCTTTTGGTAATCACCCATTCATCATCCAGTACGCGATGAGAGCTGTGGAGAGCCACTCTGTTGATGTTACATTCTTCTATGTTCCGCAGATTGTACAGAGCCTACGGTATGACGCGCTGGGATACGTCGAGCGGTACATCACCGAGACTGGCAAATTCTCGCAGTTGTTTGCTCACCAGATCATCTGGAACATGAAGGCCAACGCATACAAGGATGAGGACTCACAAGTGCCGGACCCTGTCAAGCCCACACTGGATAAAGTCATGAACAGTCTGATCTCAAGTTTCTCCGGCGAAGACAAGGACTTTTACGAGCGAGAGTTTTCCTTCTTCAGTGAGGTGACCGATATCTCGGGCAAACTCAAGCCGTTCATCAAGAGGCCTAAGCCAGAAAAGAAGGCCAAGATCGAAGAAGAGCTTCGGCGAATCAAAGTCGATGTCGGGGTCTATCTTCCGAGTAACCCTGACGGTGTAGTGGTGGGCATCGATCGGAAATCGGGTAAGCCTTTGCAGTCACATGCAAAGGCCCCGTATATGGCCACTTTCCGAATTCGCAAACAGAAGGGGGCTTCCAATGAGGAGACGAGCGACCTGATAGAGTCGGCACCCAAGGTTCAAATCGCACATCCCAAGATCAGCCACAGCCGTAGGAATACAAGTGACATCTCCAACGTTGAGTTGAACGAGGGGAGTTTGTCAACTTATGAGGTTTGGCAGAGTGCCATCTTCAAAGTCGGCGACGACTGTCGGCAAGACGTCCTCGCGTTGCAGATGATTGCAGCTTTCCGCGGCATCTTCAACTCGATCGGCCTGGATGTCTACGTCTTTCCGTATCGCGTCACCGCAACGGCGCCTGGCTGTGGCGTCATTGACGTACTTCCAAACTCTATCAGTCGCGACATGTTGGGCCGGGAAGCGGTGAATGGTCTACAGGACTATTTCATCACCAAATACGGCGGCGAACATTCCGTACGCTACCAGGAAGCGCGCAGTGAATTTGTGAAAAGCATGGCGGCATATTCTGTCATCACGTACCTCTTACAGTTCAAGGACCGCCACAATGGAAACATTATGATTGACGACAAAGGCCACATTCTCCACATTGACTTTGGATTCTGTTTCGACATCGCGCCGGGCGGAGTCAAATTCGAACGGGCCCCTTTTAAATTGACGCCTGAAATGATTGCCGTCATGGGCGGCGACGACCCTCATACCAGTCAACCGTATCGCTGGTTCGAGGAGCTGACGATCAAGGCCTTCCTGGCCAGCCGCCCGTACTGCGACAAGCTCAGTCACTTGGTGAGTTTGATGCTAGACAGTGGGTTACCGTGCTTCAAACCGGAGACGATGAGGAACTTCAAGCAGAGATTCGTGCTGGAAAAGAGCGAGCGAGAGGCTGCCGATTTCATGTTGGGATGCATCAAGAAGAGCGCGGCGAACGTGACAACCAAAGTGTACGACGAGTTCCAACTGATCACCAATGGAATTCCGTACTAGATCCTCTGGTCTAGTGACTAGGGAGAGGTTTTGTTTATTGGGTGCACGGAAATTTGTGAGCGAAACTACTTATTATTATGAGAGCGGTTTCACGTCGAGTTAGTTGGACAGTGTGTGTATACAGTAAAAAGAAGGCAACTTTCTAGCAAAACACGGCTAGCAATGTAATGCGGAAATTTTTGCTCCCCTCCAGTTTGTACCAATCCTCCATCTCGAGAACAGTTCATCTGACCAGTCGGGGAAACGAGGTGAGAGGGAGTAACCACCAAGATCTTCTCACGGTGTCAGCTCCTCCGAAAGCCATTCGCTGCCTCTGCCAGATTTCTCCGTCATGAGTCGCAAGAGGGAGATGACATGGGGAATCTGTTAGATCATGCATGTGGCGTGGGAAATCCAGCCGTTGTACATTAATCAGTCCATCCTCCATCGATCCGCCAACCAATCAACCAACCAGACATAAACCCCTCCCAAAAAGACGGAGGGGGGCAAAAGAGAACAAAGAACCAAAAAGGCCTTATTTCGACACGAGTCCGATCTTGGCCAGCAAATCGAGCAGCAGGCCCCAGAGGTAGGGGATCAGCTTTAATTGTTCGATGAGCAGGGGCGCAATGACCACGAAGATCAGGAGTACTGTATATGCGCACAGAGAGAGAAAAGATTAGTTAGTGGCTTGAGCTTGTCCTGACGGGTCCATGCAACCATAAAGGAAAGATGGGCTGACGAACCAACAGCAGCGACACCGACAGGCGATCGCTTGGCTTCTTTCTTCTTGTACGCCGTCTCGGGCTTGCCCATGCGCTTCTCGACGCCCTTGGCGTGTTTCTCGTTGGCGCGGCGTTGGGCGGGAGTTTGAGCCTGTGTGGTTGTCCGTCAGTGGTGAATGAATAGTGCGAGGGAGCCGGGGGAACTGACCATTTTTGATAATGAAATTTAGTTGGAAGAGGGATTTTATCGAAGATGTAAAATGGTAAAGAACTTCTAGAAAAAGAGAAGCCGTTCAGATGTCGAAGAGGCCGAGGTAGGTATTATTAACGGTACGTCGTCGCCGTAGGGATTGCCAATGTTTGGTAAATAAGTAAGATGTGGCCTTTTTGTCAATGGCCCCCCTCTTCTGTTGGTGGTGGTAATGTGTTGTGGCGAAGGCGTAGATGTGGATTCAAAGAGATAGAGAGAAAACTTGTGAGAGAGGGAGATGTTGACAGATATGAATGCAGAAGGATAAAGAAAGATGATGTGAGCCTCTCTCTCCCTCCTTTACAGACTCTTCCATCTCAGCCCCTTTTTCCTACGCGTTGAAGTTCGACAGCGTGTCACGATGCCAAGGCTCTGTCACGTGGTGATAAGGACCCTTATCGCCAGGTCTCGTGACTGCGCGTGTCCCTCGGATTTTAGGGATGAAGGAGCCACGCAGGCCTCAAAGCCATCATTCTTGAGGATTGTTACAGTTCATATGATACTATTGCTGATCAAGTCTGTCCGGAGAAATCAGCACCCAGTACCGATCATGTGCATCATAACCTCGCTATGGCTCAGTTGAGTGGCCGATACCCTCCCCCATCTCGTGTAATGGTGACCTGCGAGACAACTTGGAAGGCGATCAACTCCCTCCACGGTCGGCTCCTATAGCCCTTTACACCTCATCCGTGGTCGCTGGCGGTTCGTGCCGCGGATGAACATCCCGTGCGCCTCCAGTTGGCCGGCTGCCTGGAGACTCGACAGCTTCTAGCTAAAACGCCTTGTCTTGCATCACCAATCCCATTCTACCCTTCATCTTCCAGCTAATGCTCAAACACCATCTTGGACTCGAGACATTCTCGCACTGGCTACAGGGCGATGACAACTCATCCGTGCAGCAAACTTCTGGCCTCCAAACGTGGGGGACCAAAAGCTCAGCAGATGAAAAGTTGGCCCGCGTCCGCAGCTGATAGGCCCGTGGCCCAACCTCGCGGCACTCGCACGGACCATATGTTCTCGACTACGCCTCACAATTTAGGCCGAGGTGTCCAATTGTGAAAATGAAGGTCCCGTATCACGAATGAACCCTGTACATCATCATGCGAGGACGGCAACCCTCGATGGCATTGGTCGATACTTGGGCGTTGTTCCTTCACTCACTGGCAGACACGTGGAGGAAATCAAATGCCTCTTCCATGTGAAGGTGAGCGAGAGCGTCAGTGTGCATCCGCAACCCAGGAGACTGAGCCATATACCTCACTCCCTCTGCATCAGCCTTCTCTATCTTCGAAGCAGTTTGTCCACTTACAATGACTCGAGCCATGCTCTATGTCCCCCAACTACAGGTTTTCCGTTGACCTGGAGCGCGAGATCTCGAGCACTGAGTCTTATGTGAACAAGATTCTTCGCCCTGTGCGTTCAATCAAAAGGAAAAGAGAGAAATATCCGGTGAGTTGATCGGTCGCTCTCGTATGCTCGCGCTACATACTCAAAGCTGCTGTGAAATCCAAGGTCCGCCCAGCTTCCATGTCCGAGCCTGGCAACCATCCCATGACCAACGGGAAGGCGGAGAAGGTGTCTGATGGGCTACCGAACGGAGTCGATAGCCATGACTTGGACAGTGTGCATCTTGACAAGTGGGATTTTGGTCCGCTCGGCGCCCAGATTCAAGACCAGGTGCACCATCTCCAAGAAAGTAGATCTGTCGGTGACAGCGCGCTTGCCAAACTTGCGGAGATATTCAATGGCCATGCAGATATCTTCAAGATAGTGGACGAACGATACAACACCGGGCAAGCACTTGAGACGGAGAATCAAAAACTTCGAAATGAGAATGAAATGCTGTGGGCAAAACTTGAGAGCAACAGGCAGGGTCACAAAGTGCAGTTGCGCAATGAGAAGAGAGAGTATGAGAAAGAGATTGCGAAACTAGAAATAAAGGCAGGCTCCGGACAGCGACTGAAGGACATGTACGAGAACCTGCTAGAGAAGCATAAGAAAGACCATGAGAAACTGGTCCAGGACGCCCAAGAAGCACTCAAGACGAAGAAAGATCAGCTCGAGAAGGACAACCAGGACAAGGTTGCCAAACTAGAAGCGGACAAGAAATCACTGGAGGAGAGGCTGGGAAAAAGGGAGCAAGAGCTGCAGGACATGACGCAGCTGCGCGACCAGGAAAGGCAAACTCGCGAAACGATGCAGAGCAAAGCGGCCGCCGAACTCGAGAACATCCAGCAATCGCTTGCCAGCGTCAAGGCCAAGTATGAAGTCAAGAGGCTGCCTGTGGAACATTAGTGAGTACCGCCTCCTGGTCTGGGTTGCTTGGGCTAAAGCACCGCCTGCAGCGCGGAGCGATACAGAGGCCTCATTGACTCGGTGGTGTCGACTGTTGACGAGTATTTCTCTGATTTGCCGGACAAAGCAATAGAGGTAAGTTCTACCACCATCGTTGTGGTGAACTGATACTTTGCACTTTATTTAATGTCCTACTCACACGACGGGTCTTGGTACAGAATCGCGCTGGCACATATGCTCAACTGAAAAGAAAACGCAGCACTTTTGCGGTGGTACCGGTGACTCCAACGGAGACTGCACGGGTTCTGCGACTTGCCAACGTGCAGAACCTCATTTTCGACGCCATGCGCGAGACGGTGTGGCAACCTTTTTTCTCTCGGTACCTCTGGAAAACGAAAAGGGACACACACGCCATCGATGACATATACTCGAATCTGGCAGCCGAGGGCGAAGAAATACAACATGACTGGAAGGTGTCTACACTGAGGGTTCTGGATCGGCTCGATAATGGAGTGGACGTCGAAGAGAAGATCACAGCTGCGATCGACCAGCAAGTGGTCCAAATACTTGACCCATTGTTGAGTGAGAGCAACAAGGCCGATTTTAGGTCCGAGCTGAAGAAGGTGTTTATCAAGGCGGCGGAGCTCGGTCAAGAAGCCCGGCGCGACCGATGCCCGGTCTATATCGATAGCAGTCCCTCGGCGAACAGTAGCAGCGGGTGGAAGGAATTCTCCGAAGGCTTTGACGTTGAGGACGCGCCAGATCCGACTCTGGCCAGTTGCCGAGACAACATTTACCCACCGCTCTGTGTGAGTCCGCGACTGTACCGCAAGCGCGAGACGACGGCAACCCCAGGTGCAGGTCAAGAAGAAGACGAGCTAGTACACGCTGGCGTTGCGTTGTTTCCCGGTACTGGGATATTCCAGAAGGGGAAGATGGAATGGGACGAGTTTGTGGCGCGAGAACGGGAGAGGTGGAATATCGGCAGGACAAGGAGAGCTAGCGTGGCGTCGAACGCGACGGGCCCGGGTCTCTCGCCACCAGAACTCTCGATCAAGCATTCAAAGACCTGGGGGTCGCATCTCAAGGCAGAGTACGACTGACTTGAAGAGGGGGGATATTGTTGATGGATGTGTACGGGGAGGGGTAGGGATGGACTGGACCGGACTGGAGCAGTCCTCATCACAGGATATGGGATGGGTATCTACTATCCGGTCTGCGGCTGATTCTGCAAAGGAGGTAATAGTAAAATGGTGGGGGGGTGTGGCAGGTGGATAAAAGTAATGCAATCGTCATCTGTCGTAGTGATGCATGTTGTATCAAAGACTCGTGTCATTTTGGTCTTGTTGGCCCGAGCTGAGTGTCAACACTTACACATGCGTATACGTCCCCGGTATAGTCACGCTCTCTCTCTCTCTGTTCCCACTCCGTCCTGTTGGAGAAGAGTAGGGATTTTGAATTCTGTGGTTCCCCCAATGCAATATGCAATATGCGATATCGGCCCTTGAGTCCGTGAGGGGCATCAGCCGCCTGCCTGAACGAGCACCGTCATCCTCCCCTCCCCTCCCCTCCCTTCCTCCCTTGAAATAATCAATCACCCTCTCTCTGGTAGTACCGTCGCACTGACCTGAGTGGAACGTGGGCACCAGTGCACGAACGAACGGCCATTGCCCGCGGGGAAAGCCGTACGTACCTGTCTGGCCACTTTGAACAGGCGATGGGATGCTGGATGGTTCATTTGCCGGTCTGCCGATCGGCAATGAAGGACAGGTGTGGTTGTAGTGCTGTCATCTATTATATTAGACATTATATATTATATCCTTGTAATGAGAAACATGGATTGTGTTGTATGACTCCCCCTTTTTTCTTCTTCTTTGTTCGTGTTTCCTACTCCTGCTCCTGCTCTTATCCTTCCATTCGGATATTTTTGTCCCGCCGGACCCTGTGTGCCTGGCGATCAGGTTCAAGGAGCCGATACGATAGCGAAGGGAGGGGAGATTCGTGCTGCGTGAAACCCGTCCGAGACCATTTCTTCACAGATTAGATAGGGACCTGAGGGCTGGGTTGGTCGGTTCGTCGAATGGTCAAGGTGGGTTGTGATTTGTGACGAAGAAACTGCAAAGCAGAGACCAGAAACCAGAGACGGGGCCAAAGAGAAAAAGAAAGGGAGAAAAGAAGGAAAAAAAGAAGAATGGCAACCCTCCGCCTCGCGGCGTGGAGCGCGTCCCTCCAACTCACCGACCTGCCCGCGCCCGTCGTCCAGGCCGCCGTGCGCAGCTTCTACAACTGGACGGGCTGCGCGCTGGGCGGGTCGAACCACCGAACCACGACGACGGCACTGGACGCGCTGGCCTCGTTCTTCGGCAAACCCACCTCGAGCATCCTAGGCCACCAGTCATCATCATCGTCAGGGGACAATGGCAACGATAAGGCCGACGCATCGCACGCCGCCCTGATCAACGGCATCGCCTCGCACGTCCACGACTACGACGACACGCACCTCGAGACCATCATCCACCCGACGGGGCCCGTGGCGAGCGCGTTGCTGGCCCAGGCCGAGGCCCTCGGGAAGCCCGTCGGCGGCGACGAGTTCATCGTCGCCCTCGTCGCGGGCATCGAGGCAGAGTGTAAAGTCGGGTTGGCCGTGTGGCCTAAGCATTATGATATTGGTTGGTTAGTTTCAACTTCACTTTCTCTTTCTCGTCTCCGGATAGCTCGTGACGGTCCTTGATGGTCCATGTACCTCGTGATACTTGAGGGCTCTGTGCCATTCAGCACCAGCATCACAGGAAGAGTGGTACCACTTATTAGGGCGAAGGGGATGTATCTAGATATCCCTGTTCCCCTCTTTCTTGGAACATAAAGAGAGCGCAAATGATGGCAAATGCACGGACTACTTCATCGACTAATAACTAGTTCTCACTACATACAGGCACATCACCTCGACAACCGGCTCCATCGGCGCCGCCGTGGCCGTGGGCAAACTGCTCAATCTCACCACGGAACAAATGGCGCACGCGATCGGCATCGCCGCCACGCAGGTCACGGGCCTGCGCGAGATGTTCGGGTCCGACACCAAGTCGTTCCACGTCGGGCGGGCGGCGCAGAACGGGCTCATGGCCGCGGTGCTCGCTTCGAAGGGTTACACGTCGTCGACGCAGGCGCTGGAGGCCAAGCGCGGGTGGGTGAATGTGGTGAGCGAAACGCAGCGGCTGGACGACGCCATGGCCACGCTCGGCACCGTGTGGGAGACGGAGAAGAACTCGTTCAAGCCATTTCCCTGCGGCATCGTCGTGCATCCGATCATCGACGCCTGCATCCAACTGCACCGCGACATGCAGCAGCGTGGGCTTGCGGCCTCGCAGATCGCCCGCGTCAGCTGCACCGTGCACCCGCTCGTGCTGGAGCTGACGGGCAAGAAAACCCCCCAGGACGGCCTACAGGCCAAGTTCTCCGTCTACCACGGCGGCGCGGTTGGGCTGGTGCTGGGGAAGGCCGGGCCCGCGCAGTACGAGGACGCGGTGGTCACGAGCGACGAGATCGTCAGTGTCAGGGACAGGATAGTCGCCACCGCAGATGCGGCGCTCGGCGCTGACGAAGCCGTGATTGTCGTCGAGTTTGATGCCGATGGCTCCGGCGCGCCCACGACTCTCACGAAACACGTCAAACACGCCATCGGCAGCCTCGAGGTGCCCATGACGGACGCGCAATTGCACGACAAGTTCATCGACCAGGTCACTCCTGTGCTGGGAGCCCAGGGGGTCAAGAAGGCCAGCGACGCCGTGTTGGCGCTCCGGAGCGTCAGCGATATCTCTGCGCTGGCGGGGGGGTTGTAAAAAAACATACTGGAGATAGAGGAATTCCTCCGGGAAGCCATGGAGAATGGCATAACTTCTCCCCCAGGACATAAAGACATGTGGAGAAACACGGAAAGAAAGAAAGAGAGGGAGGGAAGAAGGCAGACAGAGGGAGACTAAGGAAGAATATAGAGAGAAACTGAAAAACTCGGTCCAGCCTCCTTACCTATATAGGGGAAGAAGATATGATATGCTTTGACAAAGCACTTCATGATTTATATATGCCTAGGTATACACACATCTCGGTCTATATCTACTCGGTATGCTCACTAGCGTCGTACCTATGTATATACTTTGGTGTCCAGGTATACAGATGCCCAGGTATGTATACAGTACACGTCAAGACAGACTTCTAACCACCCACCAACCAAAGGCTGAAACTGTCGTCTTCAGCGGCCTGTTTCTACGCGTATGAAAGTAGCTAGCCACGTCATTTCCTGTTCTCACACAGCACTGTCTGAAATCAATAGACCAGGTTATCCAAGCCAAAGTCCTGCCAATGCACACGGTCAAAAGCCTGCGGCGGCCCCGCGTTCAGAGACCTCAGCCTGCTCTTCAGAGACGATGCCGTCGACAGAGCCAGATCGGAGCTGCTCCCCAAGAAACTGAGGGCGTCGATGCAACTCGTCGACTGCCGGGTCAGCTCGGACACGCTGGTGTTGGCGGATATCCACGCCTGCTGCGAGGCGGTGAGGGCGGCGGCGGAGGCGGCGGCGGGTTCTTTCGTGGACGACAGCCACGTCAACAGCACTTCGCACGCCTTTGCGAGAGCGCGGTTGAGGACCTCGGGCCACGGCTCGGTGACAAGCGCGCCGTAGGCGGTGGCGTAGTGGAAGGACTGGTCTTGACCTGACATGGGGGATTCGGGCGGTTTGGCCGCCCTCGCGAGGTTGGCGATGGCGTAGGCGTTGGCTTTCTGCAGCTCCAAAACCAGTGCCGACGACTGTCGCAGCGAGCGCTGCACGCTCTCCGACTTCAACGTCCCGTCCGCCACGTCGATGTACTGGGCCAGAAGCAGCCCGGCTAGGTGCCAGTGGCTGCCGAGAACGACGTACCACGACTGGATCTTGAATGGCAACTGGGCATGGTTCGCGAGGCAGTCCAGCATGAAGTCGCCGTAGTGCTGTTGCCAGTACTCGTACACTTTCAACGTCTCTGCGATGCATCTCTCCATGGCAGCTGGCGGTGTCTCCTTGGACAGGTGGGCGTGGAGGACCGTGAGTCTCCGCCACAGCAACACCTTGACAGGCGTTGCTTCTTGGAGCAGTCTCTCACCAACGTCCTGCGGCCACGGCCATCGCACGGCGGGGACGCCAAACACGGGTTGAGCATTTGCTAGACAAGATCCCCAGACACTAGCATTCGAACTGATGCTCCTTGGGGGGTGACTGTGTCTGTCGAAGGGTGCGGCGACTCCTGGAGGCTGTGAAGCCGGTTGCCCGCCGTCAAGGGTAAAGACCGAGTCGTCGTCAGGGATCACGGGGCCCTGCTCATTCAGAACCGCCGACGTCGTATCACACATGATGCTGAACCAGAACAACATGTCAAACGCTTGGTAATCTTCCAGCAGAATTGGCTCTGGCGGTTTCGCAGTGTTTTGCGAGGAAAGCTGAGCTCGCGCCGCTTGTTGCCGTCTGGTCGAGGAGATTCTCCTCTTCCAGGTGAGTAAATGGCGCAGCGCAATCTCGAGATATCGCTCGTTACCAACTGTGATTGCTCTTGTCCGATCTGCAGAAGGAAGCGCCCCGTCCCTCGAACTGGTAGCTGGCACAGACGAGGCCACAGATGTATTGTCGTGCTCAGAGAACAGACTCGAATGCTCGTAGATATCGGCCCTGCGACGATTGAGTGGTCTCTCCATGATGGCGAATATCATCAGAGCGAATACTAGCTCGAAAGAATCAATGTTGAGACAAGCGTGCACAGCGTCCGCCGCCTCGTTCCAGAGACTCTGCTGGACGAGGCGCTCAAAGTCGTAAGGATCCACGCCGGTCGTGTCTGGCATGTTTTCACCCGTCGCATATTGAGGCTCATTGACGTCGCTTTCCAAGTCAGTTGCGCGCAAACGCCGCACCCTGTTATGTGAATGAGTCCACTGGCAGGCAAATGCCATGATCGCCAGCATGAGGGCCTTGGATACCCTGGCGCCGTCTCCACGGCTCAACGACTGTTTTCGGAGAGGCGAAAAGGCATTGTCAAGCCTCCTGATTCGCTGATAAAAGCCGGTACTCGCCAGATATGAGACGAGCCTCTGTCTTTGGTTTGGGCTCCCCTGAAGCAGTCTGGGCATCTTGTAAGGGCAGTTGGATACAGTGACCCAGCAAGAAAGGGTATTCTCGAAACTGTCATGGTATATGCTTAGCAGTCTGTCGGAAATCAAACCTTTACTGAATGACTGCGTAAGGTCAAACTCGCGCATGTTGAATGTGATATCATCCGCTATCTGCGACATATACGGTGGAATATTCCCCAGTCCTGGATCGGTGAGTAGAGACAAATCGCCCGAGTCTAGAGTCTGAGGGAATGTCCCTGTCTGCTCTGGAGGATAGGGTAAACTCGGGTTTAGCTCATCAAAGACTTCGTTGTTGAACCGAGGATACCCAGCGAGCGAGTCATACATGGGTGAATTCCAGCTTTCAAAAGATGAGGATTGGCCACTGTCGTCGAAGGACGGCACTTGGGCTCCCACATACGTTGCGCCGGGCGGCCAGAACTCTTGCCCTTGGTCATGGGGAAAGGGCGTAGTTGACCATGCGATATTTTCCAGCCAGTTGGTACTGGCACCTGAGGTGTCAACGGAGCTACCAGGCCCGGTTGCGGACCAAGTAGTTGCTGCTTGCTGCTCAATGGTACCGTGAACCAGCTGCTCGCGAGGCGGTGCGATCTGTGCTTGCCACGGGCTGTTTGTGTTTCCTGCAGCTGGTCTATCCATAGACCAGTTTGTTCTCGTGTTGGCCGTCTCGCTGAAACTGGCACCATGCGGGAGGTTGGACTGTGACGGGTGTCGAGGCCCTCGTGAGGACTCTCCTCTGGTATGCAAAGCAGGGTCATAGCGCCTGCTGAATTTCTGCTTCAGGCTTTCAGGCAACGTCCCCCGAGGAAGATCCTGGAGCCAAGTGAATGTGCATTCCTTGTTCGCGCGTCGACACGTCGAGCAGGCTATCGCTGCAGAGCTTGTCCCCGCGCCCGTGCTGTTCGGCTGCAGAGGGTTGATGCCCAAGGAAACCGCGTCACAAGCCCGTCGGCCCTTGCGACAGTTATCACAACTCCGGTATTGTCTCCTCTGCCTCTTCGGCCCAGGGGGTCGGGACGCCTCCTCCATCGCGGTGCACAAGTAGTATTCGGTGGCTCAGAAGGGGGATGCGACACGGGATAGCCCGCATACCATAGCCAAACACCGTGCAACAGTATATTTTTCAAACTTACCAGTCCATGTGAAGAGGGAGGCGAAAAACTATTATATCGGAAATGCGGATCCGGATCCGTGCCTTGGGTGGATTTGTCTGTGAGGATCTTGGAATCGCGGCGGCGAAAACCGGCAGTGCAAGGATGCTAAACCTTGTTGTGCCCCCCGGAGCCGCTTAAACGATGCGGGAGTTCCAACCTCCTATGAACGAGACTCGCGTCCTTAATGAAAAGGGTCTTGACGGAGCGTCGCTGTGTGCTTTCATGAAGACACTGGTTGGAAGAAGACAAAGTGTTTAAGCATACGTTTAGGTAGGTTAAGAACTCTTCGGGGCGAAATGGGAAGCATTTTAGGCCTGTCCACATTCTCTCTGGCGTCACCAGCCCTAGGGTCGAGTAGGTACTGTACTCCGCACAGGTGCAAAGTACCTCGTACATGATGACCGGTAGACTGTGCGGACCATCGGATCCGAACACTCATCATCCCACTCCCAAACAGAGTTGCTATCTAAAAACCTACGCTTTGATTATGTACATTTTCTTCATATCTGGCTGCGGCTCAGCGTCATATTGATTCCCAGGGAGAGTTTGCAGTTGATGGATTCCAGCACCCCTTGAACTGACGTCCAAGCTCAAGTACAGGTTTGCGCAGTGTATGTGAACAGTGCGAAAGCGTTTTGTTCAATATTGCGATGCAATTAGGGTGGTACATATGAGTCGAAGCACGTTCACGCAGCAGCCATCCGCACAGTACTTCGATGAGGACCATGTTCGTCCTGCTCACCCTGCCGTCCACTCCTCCAACCCAGAGCACATGTCCTGCGCTGCAGAGGCTGTCACAGTCGTCAATTTTGTCGAGGTGAGGATATACCCCGGAAAGAAGTAGCCATGTCCTCATGTTCTCGTGTGATGCGGGTCCGCAGGTCCGCAGTGTCTTCCATTTTCTTAACACAACCGCACCTGAGCATAACAAAGTCACAGAGCATCTTCTCGTTCTGGTTGTACCTGCCTGGAGGCAAACCTTTTGTAGATAATTGGGCACCTGAGATCGTGGAGAAGTCCCGCTTCCCATGCCTGCCTTGCCGTGCGGTGCGTGAGGCCCATAACGGTCGGACGGCTGGATAGATTATCCCACTCAGTCAAGTCAAGACATCCCATGCGGCAAGCGTGAGATAACACATGGGTAGATGGCAGGCGAAGCGGTTGAGGCCATCACCAACCCTCCCATCCCTGCTCCAGCATGTATTTGGTGGGGGACTGAATGATTATTCGGGCTTATCAGCATTAGCGCGCCCGTCGCTATCGTTACAGGCGATTCCTTGGGAACCTACAGGGTCATCGCGCTGGTGCTAGCCTCAAAAGATGCTTCCACTGTCTGCACGATCTGATCTCTGAGCTTCGAGCTGGTGGATGTGAGAAGAGTCAGACTCCGACCTGATCGTTTGTACCCACTATCAATGCGTTAGTGCCTGCACTTAAAACGATGCCATTGGCACGCTAGCGCCTTTGCAGAATTCGCCATCGCAATGGCTGTCGCGTAAAGAATTGCTTGTCTAAAGTCTCAACGTAAACCTGCGAGGCTGGAATCAGGACGAGGCTGAGATGGTGGCGACGAGGCTGTGAATACGAGGCTGTGGCGTCCCACCGCTAGTGCAAACCTTAAAGCCGGTATCGCATTTAATTGGCTGGAGGTCGATTTCTGAACTTTTTCTTGTGAAATTTCAAAAGCATCTCAACCGGCTCAGCCTTGACGGTGTCGGATAATGGTGTGTCTATTATACCTCTAGAACAAGAACCCGAGGGCCTTTAGATCCATGGCATGACTCCGAGCATGAAAACATTCGGCGACGATGGCTACCAAAATCCACCACAAAACAACCTTTGAAGCCGCCAAAACCATCGAGCCGATACTCACCGGCGGGGACGTTTCGCACGATGCAAGCGGCTCTTATATCGCGACCTGTGTTGATGAGGACGTCCTCATTGTCAATGTCCAGACGGGCAAGGTGCTCTGCCGCATCGAAGGAGATGGAGAAGCTGTGACGAGTCTGTGTCTGGCTCCAGATTTATCCCATTTGGTCATAGCTTCGCGGTCGCTTTCACTACGAATCTTTTCGCTCAAGCCTGTCGAAGGATCTGAATCGATCACCGCGGAGATCACGCGGACTTTGAAGCCACATACCACTCCAGTTGTGTCATCGGCTATTGATGCCACAGGATCACTTCTGGCGACGGGAGGTGCCGAGGGCACAGTGAAAGTATGGGATCTCAGGGGTGGCTACGTCTCACACACCTTCCATGGCCACGGCGGTGTCGTCTCTGCCCTTCACTTCTTCCAATCACAATCAGCCAACTCCTCAGAGTCGCATACAAGCCGCAAGCGGAAGAGTCGTGGCGAAGCCCAAATGGAGGTAGATGATCCAACCCCGGCTCGGACTATCTATCTCGCATCTGGAGGCGAAGATGGGAAAATCCGCATATGGAATCTATCTACCCGAAAATCCAGCGCGACCCTTGACTCTCATGTCAGTGTTGTGCGGAGCCTGAAATACTCCAAAGAGCAACAACTCCTCCTCTCCGCAAGCCGCGACCGGACAATAATTCTCTGGGACTCTCGAACGTGGAAACAGCAACGAGTCATTCCAGCTCTGGAAGTGTTGGAAACGGCGGGATTTCTCCTGGATGGCCGGTTTTGCTATGCTGGAGGAGAATACGGCGCAGTCAGGATCTGGAATATCACTACTGGCCGTGAACTCACTACCAAGCCGAAACCCGGACTTGAGAATGATGCTATCACGGCCATTATCCCGATGATTGAGGATAATACGATTCTATCTATCCACCAGGATCAAACGATGAAGTTACAGAGTATTTCTGCTCTGCGCAGTCTCCAGACGTCAGAGACACTGGAGAGTTTACCAGTGATTCGGACGATTTCTGGAAACTACGATGAAGTTATAGACATGGCCTGCGTCGGTCCTGACAGGACTCTACTAGCACTTGCTACCAATACGGAGAGTCTTAGATTGATTTCGATCCAAGACAATGGACAATCAACGAACTCAAACACCCCAGAAGGCGTCGAGCCTTTCGGAAACGACGTTGCGTTGCTTGAGGGCCACGAGGACATAATCATCTGCTTGGATGTCGATTGGTCAGGCCACTGGGTCGCAACTGGTGCGAAGGATAACACTGCAAGGCTGTGGAGACTAGACCCGGCCTCATCGTCATACGAATGCTTTGCTGTTTTTGCTGGACATGCAGAGTCTTTAGGAGCCATCGCATTGCCCAGAAGTCCACCGACGGACGGACCATCCTTAAGGAGTCCCTCAACACACCCCCCAGCATTCCTTCTGACGGGCTCACAAGACAAGACAATCAAAAAATGGGACACTGCAAAACTCAAGTACGACGAGTCAGCAACAGAACCACACACTGGCACCAAAGCCTTATTCACCCGAGTGGCGCACGAGAAGGATATCAATGCAATGGACGTATCACCCATCGCGCCGCTCTTTGCTTCAGCTTCTCAAGATCGCACTATCAAGGTGTGGTCATTGGAAGATGGCTCTGTGACGGCCATCCTGCGCGGTCACAAGCGAGGTGTCTGGTCTGTCCGCTTCTCTCCTGCAGGGACACCTCCGCTTTCTCTACCGGATGGGGGCTCAAGCGGCGCTCGTGGCCTGCTTGTCAGTGGCTCGGGTGATCGGACAGTCAAAGTATGGTCACTTTCGACCTACACCTGTCTCCAAACGTTCGAGGGCCACAGCAACTCGGTGTTGAAAGTTGTGTGGCTTCCGCCCGTCGATTCCAACTCCAAGGAGGACGAGGATATGGAAGAAGACGGCCGTCCCTCGCAGGCCCAACCCAACAGTCAACCATTAATAGCGTCCGCATCCTCAGACACGCTCGTCAAGATCTGGTCGCCATACTCGACCGCCGACTCCGATCATCTACTAACAACTCTTGACAACCACACCGATCGCGTGTGGGCGCTGGTGGCTCCAAACTCGTATCCGCGAATAACACCTCCTTCGCCCTCTTCGAGCAAAAAACGCCGCACCAAGTCCCATCCTCAGCTCTATCCCTACGCACTGATATCGGGTGCTGGCGACGCGACCTTGACGTTCTGGCGCGACACGACTCTCCAAACGACCCTACTGGCCTCTCAACGCGCGACCGAGCGGATCGAGCAAGACCAGCTCCTGCAGAACCACATCTTCAGCAAAAACTACCGCGAAGCCATCACCCTGTCCCTGGCGCTGGGCCACCCCGGCCGACTCCTGCGCGTTTTCGAGGACGTGGTCAATTCCTCCGAATCCCGCGGCAAGTCAAGGACCTCGGAGAATGACGAGCACGTTGACGACAGTAGCAACAGCATCACAGGCTCGAAAGCCGTCGACGACGTCCTCGCCTCCCTGGACAAGACCCAACTCTGGCAATTACTCGAGAACGTGCGGGACTGGAACACCAACGCCCGCACGGCGCCCGTGGCCCAGAGGATCCTCAACTGCCTGCTGCGGTCGTACCCGAAGGACGTGTTTGTCGACATGGCGCGGGCGAGGAAGAAGAAATTGGGCGGCGCCGTGGCCGGCGACCAACCAGAGACGAGGGAGAGACGCAAAGGAGGCGGGGACATGCAGGACCTTCTGCGCGCGCTGGAGGTTTACACCGAGAGGCACTACAAGAGGATGGACGACCTGGTCGACGAGAGTTACCTGATCGAGTACACGCTGCGGGAGATGGATGAGGTCGCGGGCGTCTCTACCGCAGGGGATTTGAATGGGTCGCTGCTCACCAACGGGCGTGAGGCGCAGGATCAGAGAATGGATGGGGATATCATCATGGTCTGATGAGAATGTTTCTGCTTTTCTTGTTGGGCAATCATTTTCTGGGAGGAAAAAGTTCATCACGGGCATTCAATATTTCCTGTGGGTATGCAGACTTTACCGGCTGTCCAAAGACCAAGACTTGAGGTTGCTTCTCAAATTTTCTTTCCTGGCTAACCCGATATCATCTGTCCCGGTGGCGACGGTCGCTGTCTCTGTCTCTATCTCTGTGCCTATCTCTGTCACGGTCTCTGTTTTTATCTCTGTCCCTGTCTCGATCTCGGTCTCGGTCTCGGTCCCGGTCCCTGTGACTTCGGTGGGATGAACTAGAGTCGTATCTGTCATCGTCACGTCTCGATCGCGAGCGATCGTAGTCTCTGTCATCTGTGTCCCGCCTCGAACGGGAATCTTCACGTCCATCTCGGTCGCCCCTCGAAGAGCTGGAGCGGGAGAATGAATTCATCTGTTCTCGATAGTCTCTGTCTCCATTCCTTTGTGAGTCTTTGTCTCGATGCCGATCCCGACCACTGATCTCAAGGTTGCGATCTCTGCGCTGCTTCCACTCTTCCTCTTGTTTGGCACTCGACGACTCTTTGAGTCGTTTCTGGAACTCGTCCTCCGAGATACGTTCCCCCGTGGCTTTATTCTCGCGCATGAGCGGTGTAAAAAAACCCTGTCCTTTAGTATTCTTCCGCATGTCTGCCTTTCCCCATGCACCTAACTCGATATCCGATCCTGGAGCGGCCTTCGCCCCGATTCCTAGAAAGCCTTCCTGCTTGCGGAGTTTTCGTGGATTGTCGTCATTCTTTGGAGCAAGATCGATGATCTCTCCGTTGGCGCGCCGTTTTTGGCCCATCCCTCTCAGCATGGCCAGCCCGAACTCTTCTACAGGCATGGCGGCATACTCCTCGAGGGTGCTAGAATCTGGCCTAGAGGCGACATCTTCCCTGAAATCTTGCGTCTCGTCTTGTGGTGATAGCTGTCTGTTTCCCTGTATTGTTATGATAGCATTCGACCTTGGCTTGCCAGATCCATCGTCTAACAGCGCCTGCAAAGCTTCCTCGTCCACCGTCAGCTGCTTCGGCTGTGCGGCGGGGTGTTCCTCCTGTGATTGTTGACCACCATTTGTCTGATGGTCTCTTTCCTCCTCGTTCTTTTCCGCAAACTGTAGCCCGCTAGCCTTGCTGACCTCGTCTCGCTCTACTACAACAACTCCATTGCCGTTCTGCTGTTGCGCTTGAACTTCTGCAGGGAGTAGATTTTTCCGCCCTTGCCTGCGCCAGTCGGCATTGCCGGCATTCGGTATCACTTTCACCTGCGAGTCCTGTAGGGGCTGACTTAGAATAGCACCACTTGACGAGAAGCCAGAGACTGACTCGTGTCTTGGCTCTTCTTCATCTTCGTTGTCCGAATCATGGCGGAGTGCGGTCCGTGAGAGGCGACTACTCGACGGAGTGTGGGTTTTGCGGGATGTCGTTCCGGCAGATAGGGCTGTTGCGGCACTTTTTGGTTTGCCCAAACCAAAGGAAATCGGTTTCATCGTTGCCGCAGGATCATGGACCAAAGAACTGACTAGACTTCAGGCGACAATACTGCCTTGACTGCGCGGGTTTGAAGTTGGGGAAAATCTCTCGGCAAACCTTCTCCACTTTGAAGCGATGCCAAGACCTCGATATCAAGGTCACCAAAGGCTGAAGTTGTGGCCGGCGCGCTCAGTCTCTCGACTTTGACCGTGTGCATCTTTTGAAGGACGCGCTGGCAACCTTTTATTGCCAGGTTCCATCTACTCACACCCAATTCTACATGCAGGCTCACCGTTGACGTCCGCCAAATCTATCGCCTATTCCTCGCCCGTCACCCAAACCTATGTTTCCCCACCTTCACAAAACTTGTTGAGCGCCGTCGCTCAAGGTTCAACATACACTCATCTCATACCGATGGCCGAGCCTCAGACCGAGATGCCGGACACCGGCATATCCCCTCCCCCGATCTATCTCAAGCATATCGAGGATATCCGCAATCTTTCCGTGTGTAAGATCTGCATGCGATCCTTGTACGAGCCGTTCATCCTCTCGTGCGGCCACACCTACTGTTACTCGTGTCTTGCTAGCTGGTTTTGCGAAGGCTCGAGGAAGATGACCAAGAAAAACTGTCCAGACTGCAGGGCGAGGGTCACAGTGGAACCGTCACCCAATTATCTTCTCCGAGATCTTGTCCACGTGTTAATCGCTCGAGCGGAGTTGCTTCCTGAAGATGAGACCCTACAGGAACACCAGCTAGCCAAGGAGGCAGAGGCAGCTCAGCTCGCTGCAGATCGCACCGGACCTGGTCTTTTCCAAGGCTTGTTTCGGAACCAGGAACGGAGATACATCACCTTGGCTCGTGGGCTTCTGGATCAAGAGGACAATGTCGTCCGGTGTCCTCAATGTCACTGGGAACTTGAAGAGGGTGAATGCATGCGGTGTGGCTTCCATGAAACATACGACTCGGATTCCGATACCATGTCTCATTTTAATTCCCCACGCCTGACTTCTTCGGAGTATGACTCGCTCGACGAAATTGATCACGCATTCGATGGGTCCATGAACGAAGCTGGATTGGACTACTATAGTGGCGAAAGATCCCCTCGTTCATACACAACGGATGAATATGAAAGCTATGGCGAAGAGGATGACATGGACAACTTCATCGACAACGAAGCAGACGAGGCTGATGACAATACCGATAGCGAATCCACCATGACCATGTACAATCGACAATGGGCTGAGAACGAAAGTTCGTATGCCAATCCATCAGAATATGCGAGCCAAACCTCTGCAGATAGTGATCACCGTCAACACTTCGGTAGACATGGGACTTATGCTCAACGCTCACGAAATGACGTCGAGGAAATATCTGATGCAGAGACAAATTATGATGAAGTGACAGAGGATTCTGATCATGAGCCTGAAGTACCACAACCAAGTTGGCGGAGGACAAGAGCAGCGAGGGTCATCCTAAGCGACGACGACGACGACGAAGAAGAAGAAGGAGAAGGCGGAGAGGAACAGGATGATGCCGCAGATGAAGCATACGACGATCCATTTGAAAACAGAGATCTGGACCACAGAAATCATGAATCTGACGATCAACATGGAGAAGACGAGGGTGACGAACGGTATCCATCAGAGCACTCGGAAACCGAAGTCGATCAGGATTGCTCCGATTCGGAGGGTTCAGATGTGCGACCACCTCAGCCATCAGCTCGGCGCAGACAGCATTTGCAGAGTCAGCGCGTGCGACGAAATGACCATAGCCTTCAACCTCATATTGGGGGAAGCCAACGACTGAGCAGTCCTGCAAGGCAACAGTACCGCCATCGTCAGAGAAGCAGTATATCTCAAGACAGCACTTCAGGCCGACGGCATGGTTACCATCGACCCTTTGCAAGATCAGGCCTTGGTCGAATATTGGTTGGAGGCACGACTGGCTATCAGTCGTGATGAGAGCGAGATCGACTTCCAGCGGCCAGAATCGCTCGTCTGAACAATTTCTAGCATGGCGTTTTGCAAGAATCAATGGATTGAGGGGCTTTGTGTGGGACGATAGAAATTCAGGGCGGCTGCCATTTCACTTCGGCAGCTATGGGAAAACAGGAAGACGATGAAGGCGTGTGAGCCAGAGAGATGTGCACCCCAGTGGTCTAGATATTTCTACTGTAAGAAGTGCTACAATCCTCTGAATGAAATGAACCCAATTTTCTTCATTCGAGCCACTAAAATCGAACCGTGTCTACGCCGACGCTATGCATAAAGTATAATCGATTGGGAATTCCTTTCATTCTTCCTTTTTCCACGTCTAAGCAGCCAGGACCTGTTTGCTAGTGTCATACTCCAGATCCACGATGCCGTCTTTCTTGACCACTTTCACCGTCATGCCCTTGAAGTCAATAGGGAGACGTCGCTGCAGCTCGTCCGTGCACATGCGCAGAATCTTCAAGCCTTGGTCGAAGGAGATGTCTGGATGGTGATGTTTGTCGAGAATTGAAAGGCAGTAATACCTGAATCACGATGGGTCAGTCGATCAGCCATGCCACGATTATCCACACAATCCGAAATCTTTTGTTGGATTAACTCACTGGGCATATCCGTGACACGCGTATGGCACCTTCACGCTGCTCGCAAGGTAGTCCAACCAGTACAAGCTCGGCTCCCTCGTGATCGGATCAACGCCCCCCAGTAGCAAGTTCACCGTATATGGTTTCCTGCTCCTCAAACTCCGCGCCAGCTCCCCTCTCACAAAGCTGGCCACTGCCGAAGGGCCCAGATCCGTGTCATTGCGCATTGAATAGAGCGCGACATTTGCTTGGATGAACTCTGCGAATTGTATAGTGTCGCCCGCTTCGCCAGAAAAGGCCAGAAGGGTGTGTTTGTTGAGTTGTCGGGTTTTGTCATCGCTAGACTTGAGGATAGTGGCGCCACGCATGGCAGCTTTGGAGGCGGCGATGATGGTGAAGTCCCGGCCAGTGAGACCGATGAGGACCTCCCTGGAGACGTGTTGTTAGATTCTTGGGCTCGATCATTAACAGATTGAACATAACCTTACATTTTGAATGAAGTACAAAGGGGTTGCGGTTGGTTTTATGTTAGCGGCAAAGGTTCTGAAATCGACACTTTCCCAGATACTTTGAATCCTCGAGAGAGATGATCGGTACTCGCAGGCTATTCTTGAGGAGATGGTGGTGAGTTGAAATTGGGTGGACGAGTGCTCAATTGCTCGAACACGCACGCGAAGCTCTGCCTTGAAGACGCAAGGCTGGGCTAGTGTTTCTCTCTCCGGAAGGTGCGGCGAGTGTGGTTAATTTTCCGACAAGGCTGCGCTACGAAACTGCAGATTTGCCCGCATCTCGAAAAAAGTTTTTGGAGAAATTCATCTCGCCGCAATTGATTGTTAGTCTACTCTGACAACGATCAAATTGCGAAGACGCTCAGATGTCCTCATTTTTTACGCTTCCGGCGTCACAGAGGAAGCGTAAGCGAGAATATCCCGCTTCAGGCAAAGCGAGGAAAAGGCGGGAAGTTGAAAATGCCGACGGAGCACGAGAGCAACCAGATGGCCTACCCCGTCGAAAAGGCAGACGACCCCAAGATCGAGATCGACAACGAGACGATTCAATATCCGGGAGCGAATCTGAAGATGACGTCCAACCAGAAAGCGATGTCGAGGAGTCAGAGGCGACTTCCGAAGAAGACGAGACTGCAGCCGAGCGACGAGTTAGACTTGCACAACGATACTTGGACAATATCAGGCAAGAGATTGACGAAACCGGGTTTGACGCAGAAGACCTTGACAAGGACTTGATTGCGAAACGGCTGAAAGAGGATGTTGATGAGGCAAAGGGCAGACAGTATCGACTGATAGCCCAAAACTTGGATTTCGCGAACGCCGCTCACACGGCATTTCGTGCGAATACGGAAACCACTACTGGCGTGGCAGCTTGTCAACCCTACGTGTACACGGTGAGCAAAGACAAAACATTGATAAAATGGCAACTTCAACCACCGAGCACTCCCTCAGATGGCCTAAAGTCTGGGGCTTCACGCCGACGTCGACCCAAACAACTTGCATTTGTGCGAGGCATCAAGATCAGGGCATCCGCTCCCCAACAGCATGGACATACCTCGCCTATCCTCTCCGTCGCTGCCTCACCAGATGGGAGATTTGTGGCGACCGGAGGGGCGGACAAGAAGCTTATCATCTGGTCAGCAGAAGACCTGCGGCCACTGAAGACATTCACTACACACAGAGACGGAGTTACGGGACTCGCATTTGCGCCAAAATCGGCTAGTACAAGCGGCTTTGGTCAACAACTGTTCAGTGCTAGCATGGATCGGTCTCTTAAAACCTACAGCTTGGCTGGCGAGGACAGTCTTGCCTACGTGGAGACACTCTTCGGTCACCAAGACCATGTTGTTGATGTCTCGGCCGTGTCTGTGGATCAATGCGTGACAGTCGGCGCTCGAGATCGAAAAGCCCTCTGGTGGAAGGTTGTGGACGAATCCCTTACAAAGTTTCTCGGCGACAGTTCTAGAAACGACGAATACCAGGCTGGCAGTCTGGATTGCGTGGCCGCCTTACCGCCACAGAACTTTGTGACGGGATCCGACGCAGGCACCATTAGTCTGTGGAGTATACACAAAAAGAAAGCGATTTTCACCATTGAGACTGCACATGGTGTTGAAGAGCCGCCTCCACTTGAGGAGGTAGTCTCCGAGGTTGACCCGAAGGTTATTGAGCCTCTGAAAAAAGACGATAGGCGGAGACCGATCCCCCGGGCTATCACTGCTTTAGCGGCTTTGCCTGGCACTGATGTGGTTTTGAGTGGGAGTTGGGATGGCTGGATCCGCGCATGGAAACTCAGCGATGATAAAAAGACGCTTTTGCCTCTTGGAACTGTGGGACAGGCTGAGGAAACTTTGAAGAAACAAAACGCAGTCACCAATGGCGAGTCAGAGCACGGGACAGGACTTGTGAATGGAGAGACCGACTCGTCTGGCCGTGGACCCACACCAGGACATGCTCTCTCAGGCCCAGTGCGTGGCTTCGTTAATTCTCTGGCGGTATTTGAGAGGAGAAAAGTCATCACCAATGAATTTGGAGGCAAGAAGGAAGGCGAGAGTCAAGGTCTGTGCATTGTGGCTGGAACTGGCAAGGAGATGAGGTTGGGGCGGTGGAGGAAAATGCATGAAGGGCGGAATGGCGCGATAGTGTTTGAAGTGCCATTGAAGGCGAAGCCGCAATAATGATAATAGCGGTGAAAGGAGACAACCTAGACACTTTCAACGATGTTCGAAGCCTCGTTGCTATCGTTGTTGTTACCACCAACAAGGCTGGAACCAAGGCTGGAACCAAGGCTGGAAGGAGCACGAGGCTGTAATTCACGTGACTGTGGCTTGGCACGGGCCACTCTACAAATTCTTCACCGCAAGCTTCACCCTTTGATCTTTTCCTTCTTCTCTCTTCAGATCAAAAAAAGCAACAGAGCCAGCCACGACCGTCGTTTCGTCCTTTTCTACAGCGATGTGTTGCCATGAGCTCTTTGTCAGCTCGATGGCTCTGGAGAACAAATTCTCATTCCTTGTAGGAAGTTTCCTTCTCGTTGGGTCCTCTTCGGTGAGGGCGATGAGTTTGAAATGTCGATTGATAGGAAACATCTTTTTCCATGTGCCCCTGTCCAATGCAATGTCTGGTCTGGCCTAGCAGAGTGGCTGCTGACCAGTGACGGAATCCAGACTGCACAGTCTGCGGACTTTGAATGGTTCCAGCCGTATTTATCGCTGTTCCGTGGCAACCACCGTCACGTATCATTTGCAGGCGGGAAAAATGGGCAATTTCAAACCTCAATTCTCGAGAAATGTCATGGTTTGTGCGCTACATTCTCTCCTTCTCTGCGAATGAGATGATTTGTTGTTGAAGTGGTTGTTTTGCATTCCAGAGACAGCGTTATGTGGATCGCGTTGTCCTTCCCGCACGGTGATCGTGCTCAAGGTAAATATCATGCGCAATGGTACAAGGTTTCCTCTTGCTCTCTTTCACTCCTCGATAGCCTCATTCTCTTTCCGAGACTCGTTACACTCGTTTGGAAACGTCTCTTTTGTTGCTCTAACAGTCACTCCTTTGAAATCTCTTCGCGCGATCGTGGTACGCCAATTCTACAATCAGCAAAACCCATACACCACGTCTCTGCCTGGACCTGGAAAAATGAAACGATCGACTCGCACCAACATGCCCTTGGCGGCACTGCTCATCGCTGCAGTTAACGCGCAAACCACCACCGTGGTCAATGACCCTGCGGACACTGCTGCCACCACCGTCTATTATTCCGTGTGCCCAACTGCTTTGACCACGACTACCACTTTGTCCAGCACCATCACTTTCTGCCCAGGTCCCAATTGCAACGGTGGTGGCCCCGTGATCACACCTCCCCCAACCAATGCCCAAACCACTGAAATCCTCTCTTACACAACCACCCTCCCGAATGGGGACGTGGAGGAAATCCACGAGTACCTTACCATCTATCACCAAATCTGCAGCAACGGTCAATCAATTGGACAAGCCACTTACACCATCACAGAAGTCTGCCCTTGTGAAGCGACCAGGAACCCAACCTCCATCCCCGAAGGCTTTACCACTACGGTTGTGTCCTGCGATTTTTGCCACAATGGTGGAGCGACCACAATGACTCTTACCACGCCATGCTCAACCGGTCCTTATGCCACTCAGACTCCTGTGATTGGACCTACTGGAGGCGCCGGTGCCCAAGCACAAGCGGCAGCAAGTGCAGGAGCCAACGCCCAAGCTGAGGCCGGTTCAGGTTCCGGCTCTGGCTCTTCCAGTGGAAGCTCTGGCAGTAGTGGCTCTTCGGGGGCTGGCTCCGGGGGTGCCAATGCTAATGCCGCCGCCAACGCGAACGCAAATGCCAACGCGAATGCTGGGGCTTCCTCTGGCAACGGTGCTGCTGGTGCAAATTCTGCTTCCAGTGGGAACTCTGCCGCTGGAGCCAGTAACGGCGACTCCGGCGCGGCCGCCAATGCTGGTGCATACGCAGCTGCCAGTGCTGCCGCCAATGCCCAAGCTGGAGGCAACAGCGGAAACAAGTACACCAATGGCACCAGCAACAATAACAACATTTCCCCGCCCGTTACGCCTGTCGTCCCCGGCGGAGCCTCAGGTGCGGGAGCCAATAACGCCAAATTTACCGGCTCCGCCGATCGACTCGGCTATGCCGTCTCCGGGGTGTTCGCTGTCGTTCTGGGGTCTTTGGCATTCATGTTGTGAAGCCACTGACTGGAGACAACATACCAGTGGTGGCAAGATGGGTTTGAGGAGTACGTGGGGATGGGTTCTCAAGGGGGGGTTGGGAAAGCACGTTTTTTCTTGGTTATCCGGAACATATTGCAATACATGGACAGCATCGCCCCTTGAACACTGATCTTTCAACAGAGTGGGTGGTTCGGATGGAAGAAGAAGAGAGGCTGTCATGTTCGCGGTGGTGGATGTCGTGTGTCTGGCTTTGGTGGTGAAGGTCGTAGAAGTTGTTTTGTCCTCGAATCAATCAACCATTTTTACCAGAATCCTGGGATTATCAGATGGATTTTTTGAACGTGGTCGATGATGTATCTTCCCTGCCGTGCCGTGCCTTGCCTTGCCTTGCCTTCTTGACCCCGTCACTGCCGCAGGGAAATACGCGTCCGGTATTGTTCGAGTAGTACTCGGGTCCAAGTCACTCGCCTCCCCTAACCTAACAGCCTGACTTTCATATCACCAGTACCAGACCATCTGGAAGATCGTCCCCGTCAATCCAAGCCTTGACGCTCTTCGCGAACAATTCCGGAGACTGCAAATCCCAAGCATGCGCCCCCCTTCGGACGATAGCCGCCTGACTCTCGCGGTTACCTTCTCTCAGTAATTCAGCCATGGCGCAGGTCGCGTGCACATCGTCCTGGGCCTCGCCGGCGACGGTCAAGGTCCTGACACGGAGCGAGCGCAGATCCGCCGCGACAAACTGCGCGATGCCCGTGAACGCGTCGGCCAGGAGTTTCCTGCTGAAGTTCCTCTTCTCCTCCTCGCGCAGGCCGGCAGGCTTTTGCAGCCCGATCCACGCGCAGATGACCCCGTCGACCCAGCCGGGGCTGTACTTGGAGATAGGCGCCTGGAGACAGTACAGGACGCTGGGGTGCTCGGCGAACCATCTCCTGAATCCGGCAAAGGGGGCCGCACCCGTGACGAACAGGGACTCGACGAGCTCGGGACGCCGCAGCGCGAGGTCCAGCGCGACGAACCCGCCGAGGGAGCACCCCACGACGTGTGCGCGCCGGTCGTGCGCCTCCCGCTCGATCACGCGCGCGACCTGTTCGGCCGCGCCGGCGAGACTGAATGGCTGGATGGGCGCTGACCGCGAGTGGCCCGGCAGGTCGACGGCGAGGAGGTGGTGGTCGGCCAGAAGGGGGAGCACGTGCGTGTACTCGGTGTGGTTGGAGCAGAGGCCGTGGAGGAAGATGATGGTGGGACCGGCGTCGCGGTTCAGCGAGAGCGAGAAAATCGTATCCGTCGTATTCTCGTCGGGCTCGCTAGACATGGTTTGGTGGTGTCGATGGATTTTCCAATCAATGACTCCTGAAATACCAGTAGTATAGTGGTAGCGGTGGTACCGTTGCTCGTGGGAGTACGTGTTTATATATCTCCTCTTTCCAGAGCCGACTCTGAACCGACTAACTTTGAATCCTGAGGTTCCAAACCAGCCTAGACTGTCCTGGTCGAATGGGTAGAAGCAATAACAGGCAGACGCGATTCCCATGCACACTATCTAGTTCAATACTTCGGTACCTACTTCAGAGTAGTATTCACGCGCCAAGATACTATGCATCTGTCCTCATGCATACATACTGTCCTAGTACCTTTTGAGACTCATAGGAACGGGCATATTGTATTGGATCCGCAGTGTCAGCAATGGGAGAAAGGGCTTGAAGTTATCACTGGTACAGTAGAAGTTAAGCAAACGCAGAGATTTGATGAACCAGAAAAGAAAATGGAACATAAACGGGTACTTGTTACCGTTTTTTCCTTCGTTCATTGAAGGCAATGAGTTCATCACCTCTTTGTTGGGGTTGTTTGACTCGGCTAATAGTAGCTATATAAAGTAGAGGGGTAAAAATGCACGAGGACTCTTGTCCACGGCTCAAAGAGCCCAGCCTCCCTCAGAAAGGTCTGGGACGACTGCTCAATGGCAGTGAGGTATTGCGGCAACAAAGGAGATTTGTGGAGTGTTCTCTCTCCTATTGAGGAAGGAGAGAGAGGACAAAGTCGTCGTAGATGTATAGTAGATGTTGTGTAGTAAGGGTTGGGGGTATCTCGGTTTCAACAGCAGCGCCAAAAAAGTAAGATCAGACAACACACACATACAGACAAAACCCGAAAGAGGGGGAGAAGAAGAATTCCCCGTTGTCTGATCTGTTCATGTCGCCAATCCTTCCATCAATCAGGTGGTGAAAAAACGTCAAAACGCTCCGGTCGCTAAAATGCAGAACAAGGCTGATGAATGTTTGTGGAGATGATGATGCAGATGCTGATGCTGATTCCTGTTTCTCTCCTGTGGCTGATGCAAGGTTGTAGTAGTAATAGTAGTAGTAGTAGCTGAGGACTGATGGTGCGAGATGAGCTAGAAAAAAGGAGAATTGCCGCGAGGCAACATCTTGGTAGGAGAGTCGTTCAGTCATGAGAGGGGCGATATTCACAGGCAAGGTAGTAAGGGGGGTAGAATAAACTGACGCGGGTTTCAGATCCGACAGGTGTCGTTCTTCCTCATGGCCTTGGCTAGCATCAGCTTCCTCATCCACTCGATGCGCTCTTTGGAGCTGTCGACGGCGAAGTGGTGGGACTTTTGGCCTTTTTCAAAGATCCTCCTGTTTACCTTCTCACTGTCGGGGATGAGGGAGAAGGCGAAGCTGTGCTCGCCGGCGGGAACCTTTCCTTGGCCGAGGAGACTTTTCTTGAAGGCTGCGCTGAGTTTCGATCCTGATGCCTGTGCGTAGGCGTGCAGGGTGTATTCATCCACGTCAATATCCTCCAGGGCAGTGGCGTTGGCGTAGTGAGTGTCGTGCATTGTCAGCTTATGGCCGACCAGTGTGCAATAGTTGTCTTGCCACTCGTGTCGGAGCATGCGAGTAGTCTTCCGCTTCCGCATCCAGCCTTGGTGGTGGGCGAGTTCAATTTCAGTGACTCGTGCGGCGGCACGCGGTTCCTGTGTATCGTTCTCCTTGACAGGTGCCACAGACGGCGTGAAAGACTGCTGTCGAATGTGCCGCCGTGGAGGGGCAGGCTGAGTAGATACACAACGCTGAATGGGGTCAGGTGGGCTGATTGTTATCGATGTCGCACCATACCGCATCTCGGGAGGCACAGATTGAGACACATCGCGTTGACAGGGGTCGGCAGCCATTGCAGTGATGGGAATATCGGTGGCCGACATGGGAGTGTCTATACGGTAGATGTCAGCTGGTGAGGCCACCCCGCCATAGTGATATGGATCGCGCAGAAGCTGCGCCTTGAGTTGAGCCTGGATCTGAGTAGGTTGTTGGAGAGCAGAGATTGGTGTCCTCGAGGGAATCTCATCTTGACTTTGTCCCACGGGTATGGTGAGCTTGGGAAGCCCACGGAGATGCTCGGCGAGGTTGGCTGACTTGACGGCAAATGAAGCAGATGCTGCAGGAGGCGGGGAAGGGTTACTGGAGTGCGTCGGACTGTTGAGGTGTTGGAAGGTGAGGAACTGTCGAACGCTCTCCTGTGGATCTCGGGGCTGAACACCGCTAAGGGTCTCGGCGGTGATCTTTACAGAAGAGGGTCCAAGGACGTCTGAGGAGCCTACGACCGACGGCAAGGCTTCGGATTGGGCCTCCGATACAGGCCGGCGGGCATCATCCTCCCATGCGCGCTGCATACGAAGAATTCTCCGCTGTTGCTTCTGCCACTTTGGGCAATCTTCGCCTTTCGAGCACTTGTGCTCTTTGGGGAGGACCTGCTCGATTCCAACAATGGAGACTGACTCGGCAGGGGTGACGATGTCGGGTTGGCGGCCTCGTCTGCGGGACCGAGATCGATCAACGACCACATGGCATTCTTCTGGGCGAGCCACCCGCTGCACAGCTCGAGGACTTCTGGTATTCCGGGAAGGAGTTCTTGAGAGTGGTGCTTCCAGGGTGATCATGCTGCTGTTTCGGAGTTGGTGGATCGAGCTCATAACTCTGTGGCGTTTTCCAAAGGAGCTGATGTCGAGCTCTTTGAGATCCTCGAATTGAAGGTCAATCAGGACGCTGCCGGAGATGTCGTGGATGAGGAACTTCTCCACGACGGCTGGCTCGAAGCCTGCTTCGGCCATCCAATCAGCCACCTGTCGAGGAGTCCAATGCCGAACCTGGGATTCGTCAAGTTCTGCGACGGCAGTGTTGAGTGCGTTGATAGGTTTGGCTGGAGTCTTGGGCTCGGCAGCCGGGGAGATATTGAGGAAGATGTCGTCGTCGGGATTTGTCAGGATGTCAGGAGTGCCACTGAACAAGTGAGGCCCTCGAGGACCCAAAACTGCTCGGTCGTCGAAATGGAACTCGAAGCCGTCAAGGCCACCACTCTGAGGAGGAGTTGGGAGCTCGTCCCGACTCGACGACAGAGTCGACTGACTGTCGTCATCCTGCGAATCCCAAGGTCTGGGAAGTGAGTCGGGATCATCCTCGTTGTCAGTGTCAAATATCTCGGTTGCCTCTGACAAAGGCCGAGGCGCTATTGTCCGTCGCCCGAGGAAGGAGAGATCTGGTGCCTTCTGAAGCATCTCAACAGGCTGCACCTGAAGCGGTGAGGATTGGGTTGACCACTCCATGGTGCAACTCTATGAAGAATGCAGTATTCTTTACAGCTGGAGGTCAACCTTGGAAGATTGAATTACGGTGGAGATGGAAACCAACGAAGGGGTTCTGGTATGTATGTATAGACCATCACGGAGGTGGAAGTGGGCGGTTAGAAGCCTTGAGCACTTGTGACGAGTGGAGATGCAAGGCCAGGGTACTTGCAGAGATGGGATGCAGGATATTGAATCGCTACTGCAGTGGTTATGCGTGCGATAGATGTGAAACGACACAGAGGCAGCCACTCAGTGAAAAGCATATTGCTGTGGCCGGGCATAGGCTGGCGGTAAGAGAGTAATGGACAGGGACAACAAGGCTTTGTGCCAATGGAGGGGCATCTATGAAAAGTACGCGCTGAAGCCGTCCCGGTCAGGGCCTGGCCGCCCCCACTTTCCCGCAGTTAGCTTGGACCAATGAGAGGACGTATAAGGGTGACGGAAGCGACCGGGTGGGTCCCAGCACATCCTGCACCTTGATTATCCCCCGCATCTCAGCCAATCAGTATCGCCGGTGATTTATTTCCAAAAATACCCTTCCACTGGGGGTCCCCCCCTTCCTGCTCTGGTATAGCCACCCTCCATAGTCTGTTCCCTGGAATAGCATCTGGCGCTTCTCACTCGCTGCAACTCGTTGGATCTCCCTGGCTCAGGCCGTTTCCTTTACCGAAGATCCCCTAGGGTCTTCCCTTTTCGTGCCTTTTACTCGGCGTGCCGTACCGCTAAATTCTCCTTTACCACCATTTTCCCTTGCCCGCCCTGTCGTTTCCCAACCTCCTCACCATTCACTTCCTCCCTACCCGCAATCGAATTTTCTGATTGGCTACTTGTCCCAGAAAATACAACTAAAACCCGGTCGACCCTCAATAGACTTTTCTCAACTTTGCGAGAGTTTGCCCTGCTGATCTCTCGGCAAACGTTTGGAGCTAACGGGTGACCAAGCATTGTCTCCTCACTGCGAGTCACAAGATAGTACCTCGTACCCGTCGCAGAGTCGCAAGGGCAGAAGGTACCCAGTCTGCTCAGTACGTCACACCCTTCCACAATACGCACATGTACCTCGGACCCTCTGCACTGGTTTCTGGGAGAGCAGCAGCTGACGTTCTACGGGCACGACATTTACAGTTGAGGTTTCGTCCATCTAGGTTGATTCAGGGTTTGTGGGAGAGCTCAACGAATGAGACCCTTGGGACGATTTGGTTCTAGACAACCGACCCTGAACATCTACCCCTCCCCTCCTAGGTTCTCGCGTCGAACAGAGAGGGGTCCGATAAGAAACGGACTTTTCACAGAAGGGATAGAACATTGAAACGGCCAAAGCGGCCCTTTCCGCGATAAGAGGTCTTCGTCTCAATTCGATGACAGATTGGCTGATTTTTCAAAGTCAAACCGAGGCTGGCGTGGGGAGAGTTTTCCCCAAGAGAGGGACTTCTCCCGTCATCTCTGCAACCTCCTCATACGGCGCGGGGGGGAACGTTTCCTCGCTAAGGGTTCAATTATTGATGCCAATAGCTCAAGTGTGATATTCCTTCCCTAGCGCTACTGCAAGCAATATTCTTGAGAAAGTCTTTTAGCATTGTACTTGCTTGAGTGTCCACTATCCTTACGGAAAGGGTCGCCTACTCCACGAGGGATTGTGAGAGCACGTTGCGCACGATGTTGACGAAAATTTCCAAAGTCACCCTCGTGTCTCTGGCACGAGAGTGATTGATCCCAGCCCATTACACATGGCAGCCACAAACTGGCAGCGGTGAGCCCACCGCTACTTGGCGACAGTTCTGGCAGGACACAGGTGACCTTGTCGTGGTACATTTCCCCGTAGGACGACGTTACATGGTACCTGAGATGGTACCTGGGAGCTCCCAGGATGGAACACTGCCTTGGAAAGTCGTCACTGGATCACTCGGATCGCAGCATGAACAAGCTTGTACAGAACCTCCCAACAAAAGAGTCGACACTTGCTGCGACGCGCCTTCTGTAAAAAGCTTAGCCCAAACTGCAAGTTGGGCTGCAACGAGGGTAAAAAGAACCTTTTTGGGGGGGAGGGGGGTGAGTGGAGGCCGTGGAGCCGACTTTTCCCCCTCGGCGACTTGCAGCTTCGCCTGCATGCTCTTAGGTACGAGTGCTAGCACCCGTCCATGCAGCATCGCTGCTTGCTAATCCTACTGGAGTCCTCTACTGAGGTGTTGGCGGACTTGTTTTTCAGGGGCTTTGGGATGAAATCCGACCACTCTAGACCACCAAACGGGATCTGTGGTTTGCGTTCATGATAAAACAGTGCAAGAGTTCTCGTGGCTCAAGTAAGTTGCGCGAACAGTCTAGAAGGTTTCGGGTAATGTCGTGGAGAGGATGTTGTGCTTGAGAGGAAGCTTCTCCGGGACGGTCCACATGAATGGAGGGGTAATAGAGAAGTGCATGTGCTCCGGTATGGTATTGAGGTAGCACAGCAATTATCGTCGCATTCTCAGTGTGTGTGTCCATGCAGTGTGCAGTGCTGCGTCATGGACAGGGCAGTTCTGCATATAAGCAAGGGGACTTTAGGGAAAGAACAGCCGTGTACAAATGCGAGGCAAGGACATGTAGCGGTACAATGATTCTCCATCTATCTCTGTGTGCAACGAGCTCTGTACAGCACAAAGGGAACTGACTCCTTTCTCTCCTCAACTGTATCCTCCACTTCCAGACTCTAACCGTTGGTCCCAGAATAGAAGCAGCAACTCATCAATGGAAAGTTCTCCGAAGGCTGCATCCTCAGCCCTATCACAGCAGTCTGAGTTATGTTCCCTCCCTGAGCACAAACAATCACAATTGCTTTAAGCAAGCCATGAGAAAAATTGAGAAGCATCGAGGTTCTAAAAATAAGCACATCATGATGAAGTACCCTTAACCCGTACAATAATGGCCGTATGCAAAGCGAAGGAAGCGAGGGGAGATGTGAGGGGAAGGGGAGCGCGAACGAGGTCAAGCTCTCGAGCGGACTATCAGACTTGGTACAAGCGAGTCGAGTGATGGAGCAAGAGTAGCGAGCACTTCGGAAGCTGGTCCAAGCTCTCAACGACAAGTCGCAAGAGCCTGTAAGGACATTGTTGTCTGCAGGCATTTGACCAGTTCCTGGCATTTGAGACCCCACTACCAAGCACACGCCCCACTACACTAGGAAATATGACTAATGCAAGACTAATGCACGAGAGTTGTCTTGGCATCACGGTTGGCTCCCGTCGCTCCCGCGATTTTCAACACCCAGATTGAACTTCACCGCAGCAGGGAAACTCCCTTTCTTCACCCACGATAGCTCCAACACTAGGCCCCAGCCTTCGACCTTGATCCGGGTGCTCAGATCCAATCACTGTTCCGATTCCCAGCTTTTGCTGCACACCATCGGTTCTTTTTCTCCTGCCTTTCCCTCACCTGACAAGGCCAGACTGCCCTCTCTACCCAGCTGACCCTCCTCGATCCTACAGTGTGCGTTCCCTCCCTTGAAAGCCAAGCCGACCAAAGCCGATCAACGTGCTCCCGAAACTCTGCGGACACCCCTTGTGGCTTGTGAGAGGGTGTACAGAAGACACTGTAAAGGTTTTCGAGACCGTGGTACAGGTTCAACGTTGCGGAGAAATCGCAAAGCAGTGCACGTGCTAGAAGAAGGTTTTTTCCTCCGGTCGAAGGTTCTGTAAGAGTCAAAGGCAGCAGGACTCTGTCACAATTGGTGCTGTTGTTGGGAAGTGAAGCGTTAGGACTGCATCTGTCCGTGTCGTCTTCGCCTGACATGACGTGTGCAATTACTTTCTTGGGGTAAATTCTCCCCATTTGCTGTTGTGCAGCATTCAAGCACAACTGGTGTCCCAAGAAACCCGGTGTGCCGGTTGCATGGCCAGCCGCATCGCTGTGTCCTTGCGCAGGTGGTGTACATGGCTCTGGTAACGACTTCCCCTGGTTCACCCTAGAAACTGGTACCCTTCTCGCACAAGCAGTTTGCATTGTCTCTCACCAGATCCCAGATGTACCTCGCCTGCACAGTTCCGCATGACTCTGTGAATGGGTCTGGGCAATGACCCACACCAGGTCTCCGATGGGTTGTTACCTCCTCTTTCAACTCGGTTAGTTGCCTCTTCGAACGCCAGAAGGAAACAAACTGTTCTCTCAGTGGCTCGATTGTCGTTCGGGGCCTCATTTGACCGGCCAAGGGCTGTTGTGAACCTGCTGGCTCTACATACAGATTTGGACGTCAAAAACTGGGCCCTAACAAGGGAGGTGTGGATGCTTCAGGTTCCTGATGCAGGCCTGGACCTAGAGGCGCTAACACACTTGCTCATGGGGACTCGTCGAAGCTCTCATGGTCTAATCTTAGCCTCGAAGCGCCCTCCACCTTTCAACACCCAATCACTGCTCAGAGCTCCCACACCTCACGCTGATTCCTCATCCTTGCTGCAGACTATCGAGCGACCGAATCAACCGAAGCATGTTGACCTACCTCGACAATAATCCATTCGATCAAGTCATTCATTGCTCAATCAACGAGGTTCCTATCCCCGCCATCCCAACCACCAATACTGGATGGGCGTCTCCAGACACAGACGCGATATTCATAGATACACCTCCTCTAACATGTGCCGCCCTTCTCTCTCATTCGTCCCTCATGCAGACAATCTTCTCCTACAGCCGGATCCTCTACTCGACCTGCTTGGAGCCTCATCGTGCTTGCATGATTTCTCCCCTCTTGGATCCAAATATAGCTCTCTCCATCGTTCGCGAGAACTTTGAAGTCTCTCATATACACCATCCTCGGCCAATGTCGCCGTGACTTCCTCCAAGGCAGACCGTTGCCCTCGCTGTTGTCCCTTCCGTCGTCGACAAACCCCCCCTTAGAGCCTGCGAATACTGCTGGACAGTGTTCGCGACCATTCCCTCGTAATAATTAACAGCAGCGCGGCTCGCCGACCTCATCCTGTCATTGCCGTCCTTTATATCTGCATCTCATCGTTGTTGATGTGCGCCGAACCAAGACTACATACGGAAGAGACTGTCCCAGAACTATCAGCAATGGCTTCCGCAAGCGAGAAGAAGGCGGCCTCCGCGACGAAGGACTCGCCCAACACCAAGTCCTCCAAGATGCACAGACGCTCGAGATCAGGTGAGTTATGCCACGAATCGCAGTGTCTCTTTTGGATGTGGATGAAGACTAAGCTTGACGTCAGGTTGCTTCACATGCCGTCTACGGCGCAAGAAGTGTGACGAAGGGAAGCCCAAATGCAAGGCATGTAGACACTTGGGCCTTGACTGCGAGTACAAGCGACCCCACTGGTGGAGCAACAATGAGACACGGAGGAAGCAGAAAGAGCACATCAAGACCATCATCAAAAGAACAAAGACAACTGAAAAGAATACAAGTACTCAAAGTCAATGTACATCCGACCACATACCTGTGGAGCACTGCTTGGAAGTCCCAACTAATCTATGCACAGATGCTTTGAACAATGCCGCCCAGTCTTACTCGGAGGACTCTCAAGACGAATACGACCCCACCTATGACCCGTCCTTTGCAACCACTCCCGGCCTCTTCGATCCGTATGGTCCCAACATCTACATGCCTCCCGAGTCATATGCGCAAGCCATCCCATGGGAGGTGGATGTCAAGACGGAGCGTCACACCTATGTTAATGATGAACTCACTCGGCGCGACTCGTCGATATCAACTTTTAGCACCTTCTACCCTCCACCTGCTCATGCGACTTTGCCGTCATACACCGGAGATGACTGGGTACAGCAAGACATCTTCGAAAGCCGACAGGACTCTTGGACCGAAGGCGACTTCGATTTCAATAACCTTGATGTCCCCCACGTCGCGCATCAATTTGAACCTCAATGCTCACTGGTCCAACTCGAGGATTGCGATCAGCCACTGTTCGAACACTTGCTACAAAGCGTCTTGCCACTGCTATTTCCCGTCCTCGAGGCCTACCAACACGGCTCGGTCCGCTCAAACGTGATATTGCCTTCTCTAGAAAATAACAAGGCCTATCTCCATTCCTGCCTCTTGGCTGCTGCTACTCACATGAAGGGCAACGGACAATTTTTGAACAACGCCGCAGACGACGATGCGATGCGCCATAAGCTCGCCTTTGTGACGATCGTGGTCGATGCACTGAATAGTGATAGCCAACACACCGAAATGCTCGATGCTCTACTCGGGATGATTTCGATGCAATGCTGTGTCGGCTCAGCGTTGGATCTTGAGAAGGAGTTGATCCCCTGGCACCAGCACTTCCAAGCCGCGGCGGACATTGTGCAGAAGCTCAACTTACCACAGAATCTAGAGAGCAATGCCCCGACAGGTGGTCATCCACCGTTCAATATGAGTCTGACTGCGTGGATCGACATCCTCGGCGCCACCATGCTCGGCAAGGCCCCGCGATTCTCTCACACTTACAGAAACATGTTCTTCGCCAGTGCATCGACGGGACTCGAGAAATTGATGGGCTGTAACGACTACGTCATGTATCTTCTCTCAGAAGTTGCATGCCTCGACTCGCTCAAGGTCGAGGGTAAACTAGACGACTTCGGGATGTGCAGCCATATCACCTCGCTAGCCGGCACACTGGACTCAATCGAGCCTCAAGAGCCTTTGCAGCTTCCGTTTAGCAGGACTGGCGTCCTCCGACCGAAACAGCTGACCAAGAACATCACCGCCATCTTCCGCAAGGCCGCTCGTGTCTACCTCTGCTCACTCGTGCCCGAGTACAACCGCTACCAGGCCGCAACCGTTAACCTGATCTCGCAGATGGCTGACCTCCTTCAATTCATCCCTTCCGGTCCCAACGGCTTCGACCGATGCCTCGTCTGGCCCATGCTTATCTGCGGTGCGAATTCGATCCCGGCCTCTCCATTCCGCCGAGTCCTCTCCGAGCGGTGCGACCTACTAGGCGAAGCCGCCGATCAAGGTTCATTTGGGAGAATGGTGCGCCTGTTGCACGAGGTGTGGAGACGCAACGACGATGTAGTTGTCTCCGCTGGAGTGTGTGAAGCCACCCCGGTGACGGCCGGAAGCCCTGGAGGATCGATCTCGACGCCAATTACCGCAGCCGCCGCTCCCACCGGCACCGGAAGCCTAACCGGAACCACTTCTTCGACAACGACCGCGACAGTAGCAGTACCGAGGAACCAGAACGTCCACTGGCGGGACGTGATGCAGCAAAACAAATGGGATTTTCTTCTGATATGAGCGGTCTCTCTTCCCCTTTGTCAAAGTCCATTGACCGAGAGTACTATTTGCAGCTCTTGATGGTGCAGAAGCCTCATTCGGTCTTGACGGCCGGGCTCTCTGCCGAGATGCAAATACGGACTCCTGGACGCGCAAAGGGAGAAGGACTTCCCCCTCTACCAGAACGATGACATTCATTTCCGACTCTGAAAAACACGTCGACATTAATTGTCCTTTATCAAGTGACAACTAATTTCTTCCACTCATTTCAACGACACATCTCCGCTACTTCGGAATGGAGAGGCGAGGATATTTCCCATCTGATCTTTTCTGGCAAAGGATTAATACCACACAACCCCCATATTTCTGCATCCAGGTCTGGGTAAAATAGCCTACCAAAAGTTATTTGCTTTTTCCTCGGTCAACCTCGACGACGAGAAAACTTTCGACGCGGCGTTTTCTTCTTGAAGAAGTGGGAGGAGGAGAAGAAGAAGCACAGGCGCTTCTTCTCCTCCATTTCTGGCGAATTATGGCTCCGGCAGGGACGGGTTACAGGCAGCATGCGGCAAGCGGCGCACGGCGCAGGGTAACAGCTCCGAATATTCCCTTGCATGGCGTATGTTCGTTCACATGGGAACTAGGGCAACAAGCACGGCACTCTTACCTAGACAGTCAAACCAACAACAGATCTGACGGCCGATATATCACATTTACTAAAGCACAGCACAGAACTCGCGTTTTGAGCTGTCCTATTCAGGATATGGAAGCTCCTCACTCTCTTGTCTGACAGAGGTACAGGGGGCCCCAGGGAAGGGACTACACTGTTATTGTGGAACCATTCTTTTATTTTAAAACTAACCATACTTTCTTGCTGGCTTATGATACCCCTGGTTTCGTGGAGCCTCTAAAGCCTCCACTGAATCTTATTTCCGACGAGTCTCCTTTTCGCTTTTTCGAATGTTTTGGGGTGGTTTGTTTCTGGTTTGTTTGTTTTTGGGTTGTTTGCGGTGGGTGGGGTGTGGACAGGAGTTGCTTGCACAGGCAAGGATGTGCATGGGGGGTGGATGGATGGACAAGACAAAGGGGATCTCGCTGGCTGGCTGGCAGGCACTGGAATTGCATTCCAAGTACCCTGAACATTCCCATGGGGCTGTTTTGTCGCACAAGAAGAGGAGGGAGAGCCGGTTTTTTCGCGGGGAGAGGTCCAGAAGCGAAGAAGAGACGGCTCACTCTGACGAGTGCTGTGGGAAGGAGACCGGCTACAGGACAGGCACAAATGCGATGAAGACAACCTCTTGAGAAATCCAGACCACAAGGGAGGCTCTCGATGAGCACGTGCTTACGCGAGACGTATAATGGAGATGGATGCGGTAGAGGGCTTCACAAGTGCAGATGGGCGCATCATGTTGAGGACAAGGACGGAGAAATGACCAACAGCAGGAGTAACACAAACGAGAGACGAGAGTATGAGGGCGACACGAGAAGAGGACTGGGTGCTTTTCAGATGCAAGCGCACATGTATTGATGGATGGATGGAGGTGAGGATAGACGGACGTTGACCACGCACGAAGATGCAGAGATGCCAGCCGAATCAAGGCGCAAAAGACACGCTCACACACATTCATACACTACGAGATGGAGAAAGAGAAGGGAGAGAGGAGTGGAGAGAGAGGGAGATACATACATACATACATATATACCTACAGTAAAGCCCACCCAAAAAAGTTAAAGTTGTATTCCCACTCCTCTTCTGCGGAGCTCTTGTTTTCTCCTCTCAAGGATATATGACACGTATATATGGGGAGAAGGTGAGCACGGTATACGAGGGGATCCGGATGTGAGATACAGGATATATAATGCTCGACAAAGGAGATCGCTGTCTATACGAGTGCGGGTAAGGAAGGGTACGAGTACAAGTAGCCCTTGGCGGTAGTGGTCGAAGTATGAGTACGAGGTACTTGGCGAAGCGAGTAAGACAATCAACCTTGCTTGAGGATCTCGATTACAAATTGGGGAAGAAAAGGCACTTGATGATTTTCAATATAAAGTTAAGCGTCACATCTCAACGGAGGGAGGAAAAGAGGAAGTCTGTAAGCCAATTTTTTTTTCCTTTTCCAGGAAGTGTATATCTGTCTCGCCTCTTCTTGTCTGTCCTGTCCTATACTGTCGTTTTCACAACTTCGGCTCATTGACGAGCATGACGCTGCCCTGACGGAGCTTCTCGGCCGCGCCGTCGACGATCTCGTCGAGGATCTCCTTGGCGCTGCTGCGGTGGTTGACCAACCCGGCCACGATGCCCATCAGGTACGGGTGGATGTTGTCGAGGATCTCGTCGTCATCCGGGTGTTGCTCCGAGTCGTGCAGCACGGGGAGGATGCCCTGGCCCGTCAGGGCCTTGATCTCCTCCTGTCGGTTCTCTTCCCAGTTGAGGATGTATTTGGTCTTGCGTATCCGGAGGGGTCGGCCCTGGATGGGGGGGTTTTTTGTATGTTAGGGTTGGACACATGCCATTAAATGGTGATCTTGAGGGAAGGAATGAGAAGGGTGTGTAAAAGAGGATTGGACGGGAAATGTGGAGATAATGTAAGGAGTGATATGTGGTGGAGGGGAAAAAAAAACGCACTGAGAATATAACGCTCCGGACAGTGTCGTCGACACCGGCACTCAAGACGGCTTCCTGGTGAGCTTTGGAAGCACCGGCCTCATTGGCCACGATGAATCTCGTGCCGACCCAGACGCCCGAAGCGCCCAGCATCAGCGCGGCAGCCAAGCTCTCACCACCAGAGACACCACCGGCCGCCACGAGCTGGACGTCGACACCCGTAAAAGCGGACTTTTGGCCCTTGAGCAGCTTGGCCACGGCGGGGATGAGCACGGAGAAGGGGATGTCGCCCGTGTGGCCGCCGGCCTCGCCGCCCTGGGCGCACAGGATGTCCACGTCCAGGTCCAGGCACTTTTGGACGTGCTTGGGGTGTCCAATCATGTTCATGTACAGGACGCCGCCGGCGTGGAGGCGCTCGACCGCCTGTCTGGGGGGAACTCCGATGGCGGAGACGAAGACGCGGGCTTTGGACTCTACGACCACGTCGATGAGTTCCATCAATTTGCCTTTGGTGTAGTCATAACTGTTTTTTGTCAGAGAGGACTTGTTTGTCAGTGGCAATCCTCTCGAGTCAGGAGCGGTTGGAGGGGATGAGGGTCTATCGATCTGCAATCTGTCTCCAACACCAGCCAGGCTGGCATTTTCCTTCTTCGCGGGTCACTTACTTTGTCTTGCGCGCGTTGCCTCCCACCTGGGGGAGCAGGATGTCGACGCCAAACGGCGCGTCCTTGTCGGTCAAGTACGACTTGAGCTCCTGGATCTGCTCACGCAACCCGTCGGGACTGTACCCGTGACCGCCAATGACGCCGATGCCGCCCGCGTTGGTGACCGCGGCAGCCAACTTCGGCCCTGCAGCGACTCCCATGCCGGCGAGCATCACGGGATGCTTGACCCCAAACAGGTCTGTGAGGGTGGTGCGGATTTTCTCTGTCCATTTGAATTTCTCTGTCAGAAAAAAGAGTTTGTGGAATTTTGCGGCACTCCCAATCCCCAATGGGAGAGAGGGCATCATATGATATATGTGAATGGATGGATGGACGGGCGGCGGGAGAGGGAAAACACCTACGGCGAGAGGAACCCATCTTTTCTTCTCTTGTGCTAAGATCAGATACTTGTCAGTTTGCGTGCTCGGAGTCGGTCGTGTCTTGCCAGAAACCGCGATATAGATTTTGCTCAAAGGTACCGAGTACAGGTATTAGTAAATGCCGTTCTTTGAATTCTGAGCCAATCCCACCACGAACACTAACCAGAGAAAATCTATATCATCTTTTATTGAAATCTAAGAATATGCACAGGGATACCTTCCATAAGCAGTCTCTCTCTCTCTCTCTCTCCTCTCTGGTCTCTGGGGTGACAAAGTGTCACTTTTACCGAGGACGTCAGCCAGGCCCCTGAGCCTCGGTTACTGCAACTGTTCAACACCGTAATCTTTGTGCACTGGGCACTTATCCTTGGGCAATCCGGCCTCGCCGGGTGCCGCAAAAGGTATGCCCGGTGGAAAGGATTTAAGGCGCTCAGTTCTTACGCGCTGGTGTCGAGCGGGCACCGAGACAGCTCCTGGTGCAAGGCAAGGCACGTACATAGCTCGATAGGTACTCGATATACCTCTGGACAAACGCGTAAAGGAGGGAGTTGGAAGCGGGGTAGAGCGAGGCAGCTTTGCCGAGAGAGGTTGGCGCCTTTCTATTTATGTAATGGTACATTTCAACGGCTGGAAGATCCAATTCTCCGAACCTCCAATCGCCATCGCTCCCAAGCTCCTACCGAGTCATGTACAGTAATGCCTCGTACCTAGGTAGTAACTGTAGCTGTAGTTGATGGCCATACTCCACTCTCTTCAAAGAAGAGGAGTAACCTGGCCCCGGCACGAGAGTCTTTGGACGAGGGCCGTCCGGCAGGACCTGGAAAGAGAAAAAAAAAAAACAAAAACAAAAACTCTGCAAGTCTTGGACAGGCAGGCATCTCCCAGTTTTGCGTCAGCTTGCCCGTCTCTCTGATGGTTGGGTTTTGGGATGGTGTTCTCTCGCCCGCCCCGTCATAGTGAGGCTGGCCGCCCCCGAAACCAAGTCCTAGTTATGAGGGTCCCCCGTCACGAGTGGTACCTCGAGACGGGGCCTCCCGAGGAGGTGCAATGAAGTGTTCCCCCACGGTTCTGCGTGGGTGAGACGCTGCCATGGCGAATGCAAATGCGATTTCCGTTGACAATCGAGTCCTGAAAAGCGGGCGGGCCGATGTGCTCTTGTAGAGATCGAGCCTCTCCGCGATGTCTGCTTTTAGACGGAGTTTCCGTGGGGTGCAAAATAACGGCAGCTCTGCACTTTGTCCACAGCTCGTGGTTGGCTGTCCGGTGTGGGGGTGACTTGTCTTGCCTTGCCAGACTGCCCATGTTTGATGTCCTCCGCTGTGATGTACCGTCTCAGCGAGGTGCATTTTTTTCGCGGTCGTCGCCAACATGTCCCCTCGAGGCGTCCCGTACCTTTGTTCCAATCAGAGCCGCGAAGCCTGTCCTGCTACGAAAGATACCTTGCGTCCAAGCCCCCTTCACTAGTCACCATTATTTGTGTCACACAAGGGTTCATGGCCTGATTGGGTGACCATCGGAAGAAGTCGGCCTGAGGAAGCGCGCCCGGCTGATGTTGCGACAAAAACGAAGAACGGTCCGGGGTATCGTCTGGGGTGGGGAATATCCGGGGTTGGACAGTGACAGGACAACCCTGGACTCCTGAGGAAGGGCTCATTCAAACGTGCCCTGGTTCACGAGGAAACAGCGCCCGGCACGTATCGCTAGAATCGGTGAAACTCGATCGAGCTAGTGAGACACAGCACGAGAGCCCGATCTAACGATTTCATTGCCCAGGATAAAAGCAGGTTGCCTGGACCTACGCCGTGCCGGAACACCGCTGCTACTCCGTTGAGCCCCGGGGTGACAGCATCCTTGACTGGAGAGTTTGCTAGGGCAGAGTAGACCACGAACGGGTTGCTTGATTGAGTCATATCATCGACTACCCGTCAGCTCCATGGGTTCCCGTAACGAGGACTCTCTGCACGCTGACCCTGCGCGATGATACCTCGTAAAACAATATGCTTGTCTCTCAAACGGACCTGCCCAGTCTGGCGCCTGACTTCCCAGAGGCCTCGTGTATCCTTAGATCGGGATTTGCCTCCTGCTGACGGGTGTCTGGGGCTGGACCAAGATGATGCGGTTTACCAGCCTTGAGCCTTGCTTTCTTGCCCACCTTGACGCCCACTCAAATGCCCACTGTGCGTGGGGGTACCCATGGACCAAATCACTGGCCGAGAAGGAACTCTATATTCCCTTAGCAAAGAACCGACCCCTTCTGTACCAGACAATTGCACTTGCGCATGATGTAAGACCCCTTGACGAGAAGCGGGCAGCTGAAATGTTGCATGGCGGTTGAGTCGAAAACGCGCTCTCCCGGAGGCATATAAATATCGGGGAGTAGGAGGTCGTGAGGGAAGTCCTGGTTTCTAGAGAAAGCAACACCCATTCTACTTGTGCCTGGTATGAACCACAGACCAGTGCAGTCGAGCCTTGATGCTTTTTCATTCCAATCTCGACAGTCTCCGCGTAAACTGACTTACTCTTTGTGAAACCATGGCGGCGGCTCAACCATTGAGGCAAGCTCGAGACAGTGGATAGACACTCCACCCCCGAGGGAAGACTGACATGATGATAGAATCGACCAGATCGACACCCAAGTCGCCCTGGCTGGAAAAGCTCACGAGGGCGGCGGTGCCATGGTGCACGTCTTCCTCTACGGGGCGACCAACACGGTCATGGACTTCATCGTGCTCGGCCGGCACTCTGGCGCACAGGCCGTGGTCAGGGGAATGCCCCCAGCCAAGAACAAAATCGGATGTATCATCGGGCGCTTCGACAGCGCGGACGAACCCACGGCCGCCCTGATGAGACAGATGGACGAAATCACAGACGCGAAAATCGTCCGGCAGGCGGAGGTATACCGCATGACGCTGGTTGGTTGTGAGTGACCAGAGACTTTGACCAGGGGAACGAAGTTGAGTGGAGGGAGGAAAGGACAGAGCAGGAAGTAGTTCACCAAAGGTCCCGGGGACTAAAAAGGGGGGAATAAATGGGGAAGAAGTGGTTGGATGAGGATGGACCACGCGCTTTGAGGGTCGCGTGCACTGACGTGGATAAAAGACCAAGATATGCAAGGTACCTCTATACCTTGTCGAGCAAGGCTACAAGGTTGACATGGTGGGGAGGAGCGGGTGGTGCCGGAGCTGTGTTCTAGCCACTGACGAGGCTGAGCGAGGCTGTTTCTAACAACCTGGGCAACAAAAACGGGACGAACTGTATCTCCTTCTGTTATTCTTCTTTGGCGACAGGGGCCGGGATCAAAAACAATTGATAATTGTCTACCTCCAGACCCAAAAATATCTATCTTCTATTGCAAATCTTCTGACAGGTCTAGATCTATCCGCTTCTGGTCTTGTCCTGCCACGCTCGCCACGACGCCTGATCTATTGGGTCCCGCCGTCCAATGTGGTGGATAAAGCTGCAATGCGTTGTCATGACTCTTCCTCAGTCTGTCCTTTGCCAGAAATCCAGAATCCGGGCAACGATTTGGTCGCCTTTCGTGACTGGCACCTCGTGTCCGGCCTCGAAGATGGCAAATTCCACATTGCCCGAGAGCACTTCTGTGGCATCTTCCTGGACCTCTTTCTGGATGATTATGGGATCGTTGGTCCCCAGGACGATCAGCACTTTCTTCTGCTTACCAGTCTCTTGGTTTACGCGGGCCAAATGTTGGCCAAATGCTCGCCATCGGTCATGCTGATGTCGGATAGGACCGTAGCGAATGCTGGACATGAATGCCGCGACGAAGCCCGGGTAGTTGTCTAGCTGATAGATGACCGTCTTCTCGACAGTGACGTGGGGACGTATCTTGGAGAGAAGAGCCTGAGAATTGGCTTCAAGGTTGACCTCGGCCGCTACCGCCTCAGTTGCATCAACCGTGGTATCCTTGTCGAGTGGTTTCTTCAGTGGCTTGGCCATGGGACTCCGAAGTCGCTTTCTCACCAAGCGCTGCAGCAAAGACTCTGGGATCAGGCCTTCCGAATAGATAAGATGGCTCGTGCGGCTGATGTGATAGGGCCTCAGTATTCCGGCCGGCGCAAATAGGATCAAGCTGTCGATCAAGTTGGGAAAGTAGGATGCAAAGGTCGTAGCGATCCCGCCGCCGAGAGAGTAACCGATCAGAGTGAATTTACCAGAGTCCTTGCCGGTCCACGATAACGGCGACGACGCTAGGACGAGCAGTATCTGAGTCGTGAAAAGCCGGATGTCGTGAGGCAGGTCTTCAGGGTTGTCCGAGTAGCCTCGTCCGAACAGGTCGAAGAGCATGACGCGGCACCCATTGTCCACAAGGGCGTGGGCAACGGCTCCCAGCGCAATCGCAGGAGTACTGATGCCGTGGACAAGGAGGACCTTGCGCCCATCTTCCGGGCCGAACTCGTACACTCTTATCGAGCCGTGAGGTGTTTCGACGTCGCGGGCCCCCGGGAGCACATCTGGAGGGTAGGGTATGTCGGCGATTTCCTCTGGGGACAGCTTCGGCAGCACCGTCACTCTCGGAGACCGCACGATCGTAGCCTTCTTCTTGTTCCAAAGTCCTCCGGCAATGACCCCGACAGAGAAGAGACAAGTACCGGCCAGCACCAGCCGCCACTCGAGAGCCCCGGGGAGCAAACACGACCTGGATGCCATTTGGCAATGTATGGCAAAACACTGCACAGATGCACAGGAACTTGACGGAGTTGTCCTCGAGACGCGGATAAGAAAACTAATTATTTAGTTCGGGCGAAATTCGATCCTTGATCGACCAACGCGACCCATTGATGACGAATCCGGAACTGCCTCGGCTCAAGGACGACGAGGCTGAATCACCCGATCAGGCTAGCCTCGACTTTTGCAGCCTCGTCTCCCATATGTACATCTGTAATGAATTCTCTGAGGCCCTTGATTCCTAAGGTATCCTCCGATCCAAGGTGAAAGTCATTTCGACACTGAACACAAGATTACTTGGGCTTCCTGAATGTTTGAAGCATCATGGTCAGCCACTATATTCTGACACATCTCACTGTACAGTAGCATTGATACACTCCACCCGCAGCTCCAATCAACAGCTCCAATTTCGAGAGCAAAAATATTCCTCCTTGGTCTGTCAGTACCATGCCTTGGGGTATCACCCATAGACTTTTGTGAAACGCCGTCGCAGACACTTTTGTTTAACTCCAGACCTCGGATCATAGTGAGAAATCCAACGCCTTCCCTCCGGATTTATCCTTTCCCTTGTTCCTCTTCCTTTTCTTCCTTTTCGGTTTTGATTGGTTGTCTTCGTCACTGCTTTCATCCAAATCGGACTCGTCGATGTCGTCATCTTCAGAGGATGATATTTCATGCTTAGTAGTAGAGGGCCGCCCCCCACCCGGAAGTCCTTTCGCCTCTGTCCATACTTTGACTGTTTGGCCGCCACTAGTAATCATTCGCCCTTCGATGTCGAAGCCGATGGCCGCGACACCATCGATTTCGTCGTGTTTGGCATCCATCTCGGCCAAGACTCCGTTGCGACCAATTCTGATGAATCGAATTCTGCCGTCCTCGAGACCCGCAGCCACAAGCTTCTCGTTCATTTTCAGTTTTCCACCTCCAAAGCCAAAAGGCACTTCAGCGAGACTATCCACGCCCAGCCCGCCCCGTTCGAGGACGATTCGTTCGTCAAGATCTCCCCATACACCTCTCTCCCACAGACTCAGCACTCCGTCACTCTGACCAACCAGGACTTTCTCGCCCACACTGGTCCCCCCTTTCTTGAGGCCTTGCACCAGGGTCAAACTCGTCAATTCAATCTCCTGGTCCGCACTCGTTGCGATAGTGCCCTTGCGAAGATCTGTCACGGCAAGGGTAGTGCCACCTGCGCTGACCCACTGTTTCGGGAATCCACTTGTGCTGGTCTCGCTTGCGGGAAGCGGAACAAGGCCATTGATATGTTCCTCGCCATGAGGTGTCCAGTTCTGACTGCATTTTGCCACGATTTCTTTTGAATCCTGCCTTAAGTCGTGGAGATATAATTTACCCGAGTCGGTACCCAGCAGCAAAGCCTGCGGCGATAGCGCGTGTAGGACGGTTGGCCCATCAACCCCTCCCGATCCCACAGTTTGGGGTATTGCAATTTTGCTCACAACCTTGCCAGTTTCCGTGTAAAAAGCCTTGACGAGACCGTCTGTTCCTGCTGAATAGCATAGATCCCCCTCGTGACTGAATGCAAGACATCGACATGATCCTTTGTGTCTCCTAGTCGTCCACACCGTGTCAAGTGAACCGAGTCCGCTCTCGGAGAGACTGGCCGTGGAAGATCTGCGCAGTGAAGGTATTATTGAGCCATTGGAATTCGTAGGTTTCAAGGGCGGTGAGGCGCTATCTTCTGACGTATCCGCAATGACCTCGGAGTCGGAGGGGAGTTTGTAGGTGTGCACATGTCCTGAGGACAAGCCGATCGCAAACACTGGTTCCGTGGGATGGACGACTTGGGCAAAAATATCGGACTTGAGAGGGAGGGTACAAATGGTGTCGAACATGATTTGTGAGAACGATCAAGGCATGGCCGGAAGGGGCTTCTTTCCTGGTGGTACAAAGGGGTGCGTTAAAACTGAAGCTTCACGCGATGCGTTGCATTGAATTGGAGACAGAATTGAATGAGAGCTAGAGAGAGCTGTGCGGCTTTTACTTAGGTAAGTAGTTGGTGCACTAGAAGTGAAGATCTCCGGGGGCAATTAGGGCAATTGGAGGACTCTTATGGGCCCGCTGAGGGTGATCAGCCTTAGGGCATCTTTACCGAGAACTCTAATCAAACAGTCCTTAAAGTCCTAGGGCTTAGGGCTACTACCCAGGGAGGCACACGTACCCTCAGTGGACGCCTAACCACCCACCACCCTGGCACCTGCAATCATCGGACTCAAACCATCATATAACAACATTTAACCATGGAGTGATCGCCCAAGGAGCCAGTTGTACAGCATTGGCTTTCTTTCGCGTTGTCCACCGGGGATATCTGAACATATGTTTCATTTCATGCTTTTCTAATCGATTTCTACGTCCATCATGGCAGCAGCAGATATCACTCAAGACGACTCCGACGCTCGAGTTGATGAAACAACTGCGCTCCTTGCTCCCTCGGGTGAACAGCCCACGTCTTCTGATAACAACGACAATGAAGATCAAACCTCCAATGGAGCGAATGGCAAAGGAGAAGACAAACCGCTACCCAAGGATCAACTCTTCTACCTCTGCTTCGCCCGCCTGATCGAACCCATCGCATTCTTCTGCATCTTTCCCTTCATCAATCAGATGATATGGGACACTGGGGAAGTGGCGAAGACGGACGTCGGCTTCTACAGTGGAATGATTGTGGGTCACCTTGTGTCGCAGAGATCTCCTAGTGGCACATATTGACAATGCGCGCAGGAGTCGCTGTTTTCCCTGACGCAAATGCTGTTCATGATCCCCTGGGGCAAAGCTGCCGATCACTTTGGAAGAAAGCCTGTCCTTGTCAGCTCGTTGGGTGGCGTGGCCCTGGCGACTTCTATCTTTGGACTGAGCAAGACAATATGGCAGATGATCCTGTTTCGATGTTTCGCTGGAGTCTTTGCTGGGACGGTCGTGTAGGTTTATTCGATCGTCTTCGGGACAATGCAAGAACGGATCGCTCACAGTGAACGCAGGACTATCCGTGCCATGATTACAGAGATTAGCACGCACAAGACCCAGGCCAGAGCATTCAGCTTCTTTGCTTTCACAGGGAATCTGGGGATCTTTCTAGGTCCTCTGCTTGGTATGTTACCCTTGTTTTGTAAAGGTCACTCGACCCGCAAGGCTGCTGACAGCTCTACGTAGGAGGAGCGCTCGCAAACCCTGCAATGGTATACCCATCTGTGTTTGGACATATCAAATTCTTTCGTGACTACCCATATGCACTCCCTACATTCGTATCAGGCTCAATCGCTATTATTGCTACCATCACTCTTGCGATGGGTATCAAAGAAGTGAGAACTGAGATTCATTTCCTTCTCCCCTGCCGCTTGCTTTTTACGTTGCCCAAGCTGACTTAGTCTGGTTGTCCCTAAAGACTCTCGTGCGGTCTCCCACGCAGCAGTCCGCAGGCGCCCGGAAAGAAATGTCGATCCCTGACCTGCTTCGATCTCCCAATGTCCCGATAACACTGTATATCTACGCGCACATCATGCTCCTGGCTTTCTCCTACACAGCTATCGTCCCGGTGTTTTTCTTCACCCCGGTCGATCTGGGCGGCTTCGGGTTTTCGCCCTTCCTCATCTCGGTATTCATGGGTTTGGGCGGCCTCTCTCAATCGCTATGGCTCCTCATTGTCTTCCCATGGCTGCAGGCCCGCTGGGGTACTAAGAGCGTCCTGGTACTCTGCGCAACCGCTTACCCGATCTTCTTCGCCCTATACCCCGTCTGCAACCTGTTACTGCGGTACCACATGACAGCCGTGTTCTGGACCATCGCCCCCATCGCCCTGGCGGTCGGCAGCGGCGTTGCCATGTCCTTCACGGCGATCCAGCTCGTCCTGAACGACGTCTCGCCTGGGCCCGAGGTGCTCGGCACTCTGAACGCCGTGGCGCTGACCATGGTCAGCGGGATAAGGGCCTTTTCCCCGGCGCTGTTTGCAAGCTTATTCGCAACCAGCGTGCGGAGCGGGGTGCTCGGCGGCCATGTCATCTGGATTTTGATGGTTGCGCTGGCTCTGGGCTTTGCGGTTGTTAGCCGCTGGGTTCCCGAGCCCGGGAAAGACGAGGACACGCCCAAGCATGTCAACACGCATGGTCATGCTGACGGCAACGGCATTGGCATCACCAACGGCAACGGAGCTGCTGCAGCCGAGGAGGGTGAGGAAGACGACGACCACGAGTAAATTGAGTTAGTAAGCAATTTCGTCAATGATGTGCACGTGTGTATAAAGAGAAGTGAGAAGATGGAATATCTGCGGAAAGCAGCCAGAGAGTGGGCCCAGGGGCTACCCCAGCGCCGCAGCCTCAATAGACGAAGCGATGGATGATCCGCCAAATCACGCTCTGGAGTCGTCTATTCGAGACAGGCTATAGACTACGCAAAAAGTACAGTACTAGACGGAGGTCGTTACAACTCGCACAGAAGCAATGATACATGGGCGTTGGTGGGACGGAAGGACGAAGGTGCAATCAGGGAATAGATATAGCAGGCGTTCGGAAACTTCCGACATGTCGACCAACGTGAATAATGACTATACACAAGGCTAAGGAGATAGTCTGGACAAAACTATTTTCAGGCTTCAGGTGGTAGCCGTCTCAAACGCAGCAAATCATCTGTCAAAACTGCAGGTGTCATCAAATACGTCCCTTTCTAAAGATCCGCTCGTGCCGGCTCCCCCGCCCACGCCCTTCTGATCAGCTCTCTAATCGGCTCCTTTTCCACCTTTCGGGGGTTGGGATATTGATTGCTCACGGCAATCTCAGCAGCCTTGTCGATGTCCTCCTCCTTCATGCCATAATCCTTCAGCGCGCGCTTCACCTGCAACTTCTCGAGCAGGATGTTCAGTCCATTGATGGCGTTGCCTTCACTCCCGGGGAGGGCAGTGGCGAGCTTCTCCATCGCTTCTGGAATAGCGGGAGCATTGTAGGAAAGCGCGTGGGGAAGGACGATAGTGTGAGTTTCGGCATGAGGGAGGTTGAAGGAGCCTCCGAGCGTGTGGCATAATTTATGGTGCAAGGCCATCGAGGACGAACCGAGACAGACACCGCAAAGCCAGGCTCCATACTGCGCCTTCTCACGAGCAGACTGGGATTGGGGGTTTTGAATGATCTCTGGGAGTGATTCAGCAAGGGCTTTGGTTCCCTCGATGGCGAGAAGGGAGATAATCGGATTTTTATTCTTCGCGTAGAGCGCCTCCACTGCGTGCGCAATCGCATTTACTCCTGATGTAGCACTGAGAGATGCGGGAAGGGTCATGGTGAGATCGACATCATAGATTACCGTGCCGGGAAGAATCTTGGGATCGGTCCGCGTGGTTTTTCGACCATCTTGCGTTTCGCCCAGTATGGGTGTCATTTCACTTCCGGCGTAGGTAGTTGGGATGCAAATATGGTGTAGGCCGGTGCGGACTGAAATCGCCTTGCCCAATCCTGTTGTTGAACCTCCTCCTATTGAGACGACACAATCTGCGGACTTGGATTGAATGAAAGCCATGGCTTCTTCGGTAATGTGCGAGGGAGTATGCATGGTAGCGTTTGAGTAGGTGCCGGCAGGCTCAATCGACGCGGCAGTCAGGATTTTAGCGAGCTCTTCAGCTTGACTGACTTGCTGGGGGGTCGAGAGGATAAGGGGTGATTTGAAGCCTAGACGTCTGATCTCATCCGGAAGTTTTTGGATACTGCCTTTCCCAAAGACCACTCGGCCTGGGTTGGCGTTGTACTCGAAAGGATCCATCGAGGCAGAATCGAGTCGGCTGGTTGTCGGTTGGACGCTAAAGGCGTACGGTCTCAAATAATTGCAAGACTTGGGGAATAGCAAAGGCAGAGAGAAAGTCGATAGGGAAGAGTTGTAGTGCGTTGGTCTGTTAGAAAGCGACCCTGCGGTCTTTTGTTTGGAGTTGAGGGCAACGGAATCAACCGCAGCGCAGCGTCATCGGAAAAGGGATTCCTGCTGGTCAATGTCTCCGTGGGGCAAAGCCGGCAGATGCACCCAAATTCCTGGGCTCTGAGCTCCAAACCCCACCGCCCAAAAGCCCCCCCAAGGCAATCAGGGAGAAGTTCCGTCAGGGGCATTATCCGATTTTGCTCGCAAGATCTTTCATAAAGCTGACAAACCCTCCTCAGGTGAATGGAATGAAACCCCGCGTCTTTCAATACAGAATTGCTCTGAATAGGTATATCGTCGTAGATGCCGCCCAGCTAACCGCCAACACCCACAAGGCTTGCAGCATCTGCTTGGTGGACCTGATACCGTCGTTGTAAGTCGAGGCCAGAGGAACTGTAGCTTTGCTACGCCAGAAATTCGCAATGTGATTGTATGCCAGGGCAAAACCGCCGGCGTTGGCGGCACTGAGCAAGAATGGCATGGTGTTGCGATCGGAGGAGACGGCAATTACGAGAATTACCGATGACACAAACGAGGACAGTGTCTGGTCCATTGTTGTCAGTATCTAACATAACAGAAGAGTGTTTCTTTCGAGACGCTTACTGCTAGCACACCACTAGCCTGTGTGGTTCGGGTTTTGTGAAGCTGTCGTGCCGCTGTGTTTGAATAGCGTGATGCGCTTTCAGTCTGTGGTTCCCACTGATGAAGGTCGTAGATCGCCATAGCTGATAGCAAGCCAAGGTAGCCGCTGCCGCAAGCTTGCACAGCGTGATATATTTCAAGAATGAAAGACATGATTGTCTAGGGTGCTGTGGTTCAATGGCGAAAGAGGGACAAGAGTTTTGGTGACGAAGACCACGAAGACCAAGAGATGCTTGAGAGGCACGAGAGGCTGCAATTCCATCATAGGGCCAATGACTAAGCCATTCTGGTGCCAAGACATTCAAGAGACACCCACGGCAAACTCCCTCCAATACTATGCACTGTAATTGTCAAGCAGCATGATTGAGTATCAAATGTTTATGGCTCACCGAAGGCTGCATTACCCCTTCCTAAAGACATGACTTTAACCAGGTTGCCCGCCGTAGACTATAGCCCCTAAAAAGGGGTAAAAGCGGCACCATCGCCACACCTGCTACAAAGTTAGCCTTGTTTCTCTTCGAGGTTTTTCTTCAGCCCTTGTTTCTGACCCTGGCCTATCGTCCCTAGACTCTGAGGACATACCATCTTGGATCCCTGCAAGATGGCCGAAGAACTGTCGGCGCCGCCTGTTCTATCTACACCCGATACATATATATTGGAAGAAACTCTTCCGGAGGCTGTGCGGCCATCAGAAGCACTGTCAGACGAGCAGATCAAGACAAGGTATGAGATCAATAGAACTATCGACGAAATCAGGCTGCGAAAATGGAAGCGAGTTGCGCTACAATTCCCCGATCAGATGCTTGCACACTCGGCAAGAGTCTACCAACTCCTAGCCAGGGGCTTAGAAGTGCAAGCCAAAACGCTTGCTGAGGCGCATATGGATGGCAATGACAATGGCAACTCAAATTCAGCGGATCCCGATATGTCCGGGCTCTCTATCGAAGGCACAAAGCCAGTCATGCTCACCATACTAGGAGACACCTCGTATGGCTCCTGTTGTGTGGATGAGATTGCTGCTGAGCACGTTGATGCAGACGCCGTTGTTCACTACGGCAGAGCCTGCTTATCGCCAACTGCAAGATTGCCCGTTCTGCACATCTTCACTACGATGGGTCTGGAGATGGACCAAGTAGTCACATCTTTTCAAGCAACGTTTCCAGATCTCCATGCGAAAGTGGTGCTAACGGCTGATGTCCCTTATGCTGCGCATGTTGTCCCTCTCTTCACGGCGCTACAAAATCTGGGCTACTCAGAATTGTTCGCGGCTTCTATTATTCACGATCCGTCTTCGGCAATTCCAAATCGAACAGTACCACCTTCAATCATGGAGGACCCTTCGTCCCTGTCACAATGGAATCTATTCCATATCTCCGACCCCCCTACGTCTCTGCTGTTGACACTCCAGTCACGTATGGCCAGTATAAAAGTCTACCCTACCGATATCATTCAATCCTCCTCAACTCCTACCACCGTTTCTTCTGCCCTGGAGACATCTACGGCTCACCTACTCCGCCGCCGCTATGCCCTTGTCACCTCTCTCACCACAGTTTCAGCCTGGGGGATTCTTGTCAATACGCTCTCTGTCAAGAACTACCTGTCGATTCTGTCACACATCCAATCGCTAATCTCCGCCGCGGGCAAAAAGTCGTACCTCTTTGTTGTTGGGAAGCTCAACCCTGCAAAACTGGCCAATTTCTCAGAAATTGGAGGGTGGGTGGTTATAGGATGTTGGGAAAGTTCTTTGATTGACAGCCGGGAATTCTACCGACCAATTATTACACCTTTCGAGTTGGAGATGGTTTTAACAGGAGATGATCAGAGAGTGTGGACGGGGCAATGGAGGGGAGATTTTCAAGGAGTATTGGAGGATGCCGAGAGACGGGAGCTGAATGGAGAGGGACAGGTTGGAACGTCGAACGAAAATGCCGATGCGAACGAGGACCAGGAAGGCGAAGTTAACCCGGATTCGGAGTCAGAATCTGAGCCGCCCGAGTTTGATCTCCGGACAGGCAAATATGTCTCACGAACCCGACCGATGCAGAGATCTCGACAGCAAGTTGCGTCAATGCCTACACCGACTTCTAGTGCCTATAATGTTTCGTCTTCCACCGCGCTGACAAGACGATCAAACGGCACCATGGTCACGGTCAACGGTGTTGCCTCCCCCGCCGCCGAATACCTTGCACAAAAACGCTCTTGGCGTGGTTTGGGTAGCGATTTCGAGGTCAAATACGAGGAAGATGAGGCAGATCTGGGCAGTGTCATTGAGGAAGGCAGGACTGGTGTTGCGAGAGGGTACACAGTAGGGGAAGAGGTAGAGATGACTTGAACTGTGCCAACGGGTGCTGGCAGCGTGTTCAAAATGTTATACGTTGCTTTTCACGTGCTGGGCTGAGCGAGGCTGAGCTGTCGTTGATGTCCGCTGGTCCTGCCGTTCTGATGTCCCACGACTTGAAATTCCCTCCTCTGACCCGCAGAACATGTCAACATGATTGTTCCAAGCTAAGCTGGCATTCTGCATCACATCAAAGAGAATGCCATCATATGTGGTACTTGATCGAGATATCAACTTGCTGGTCAGGACGAGCCTTGCGTCATGGTGCTCGGATATGACTTCCGATGATTGACCTGCGTCCCAATCAGGAAACGATGCTCCCCTTTACAGGTTCACATGTATCCTCTGTGGGTTAACAACGGTCTTCCAGAAGTGAAGGGTTGCGTGGCCGTCGCATGATCGCCATGTTTCTGATGTCAAACGCCTCAAGATTATCCTGCAGAGGGGGTTCACTCTTTGCCTCCATACTTAACCATCAAGCACTCTTCACTTAGACCAACTATTGCATATTTCGGCGAGGAACTCGAGAGAAATAACATTTTCACGCTCACAATGGCCACGAAGAATGCGGTATCCAAATTGCTCCCCAAGGCTGCCAGACCGGGCCTTTTATCTCCCCAGAAACCACGAACCCACCGCCTCTTGTCTACAAGTCCCGTCCAGAGTCAGGTGCAGACACTTCTGCAGGACAAAGAGAATGGATTTGGATTTATACGGCACAATCCTCGCACACCCAAACCTCGCAGCAAAGGTGTGACGGAAATCCGAGGCCCATACTATTCGTCGTACGGGAAGCGTCATCTACAAGACGTGTTGGAAACCATGGGGTACCATGTCGACGGACTCAAGTTTGCTGGAGGCAGCTTCTCCATGATGCCCGAAGATCGGGTCCGAGAATTGATTGACTTGGCTCACGAATACGACGTGTATGTGAGTACTGGAGGGTGGATGGAACACATCTTGACCCAGCCCGACTCCAACGCCGTGGTAGAGAAGTACTTGCGGAAGTGCAAAGATCTAGGATTCGACGTGATTGAGATCTCGTCGGGCTTCTTGTCTTTCCCACCAGATGACTGGTTGCGATTGGTGGACAAGGTACACAGCATGGGGATGAAGGCCAAACCTGAGTTGGGCATCCAGTTTGGGGCAGGTGGTGACACTGCAGCAGAGGATCTAGAAGCCACAGGCACATCCGACCCCAGCAAGGTGATCAATCTAGGGAAGGAGTTCCTCGAGGCGGGTGTCGAAAGAATGATGATTGAAAGCGAGGGGATCACTGAGAACGTCAAGAGCTGGCGGACAGACGTGATTCAGGCAATCTTGCGAGACCTCCCGCAGGAGAAGGTCATGTTTGAGGCCGCGGATCCTCCGGTTTTCAATTGGTACGTCCGCGAGTTTGGCATTGATGTCAACCTGTTTGTGGACCATTCGCAGATTGTGCAATTGACCTGCCTGAGGTCAGGCATCTGGGGCATGGCCGACACGTTTGGCAAGATTGTGAGCTACAGAGAATGATGGTGGCGTATTGATGCGACATGCCTACGGCACTTCTTGATACCGAGATGATTATGCGACGAATATGTACTGAGTACCAGCAATGTAATTTATGGAAGGCTGCATTAGGAATATGTATAATGGGAATAATACCTGGGAGAGTACTGTCTCCGGAAATAAGGGTCTTCCTAAGGGTCCATCCCACCGGTCCTGTAACGTTTCGTCGGGGCCTTCCAGCAGCCAAAGGATCTTGGGTGTCAGCCGCTAAGGGGAGCCTATTATCATGGGGATCGCCGGCACCCCTAGACACCCAACTGGGTAGGTTTCTATTGCCCTATAGCCGCCTACCGAGCACAACTCCAGGCACAAGACCCCTACGGAGTAATAATTCAGTAACGCCAACTCAAGGTAGCCACCTGGTGCCACTACACCGCCCCATTTTGGTGTGGCGGCTATGCACTTTTGTCCACAGTCCTGGGTATTGTTGCGAGGACTGTGTGCTCCGTTTTCCGTTTACGAACACCGCCCCCCGAAAGACATCATCCTCCCAGCACCACGGATCTACCGGATGGCACAAGAAGCTTAGCATTGAGGTCTTGTGTCTGCCCAAGGGATTTGACTGGCTGTACCGGTCATCAAATCTGACAACCAGTGGCAGTCAGTGGCAGTGAGCCTGCGGCCCTGCGTGATTTGGCCTGGACCACCCTTTGACATCATGGCCTGATTCCTCAACACGAACTCCCTCCAAACTTCCCGCTATGCAAAAATTGTGGAAATACCCTTTCAGCTCGCCATTGTTGCTCATTGCAGTAAACAGAATCTACTAATATCCATCCTATCGTTCCATGCAAACGGGGTAGTGATACGGTATGATACTCCACAGAGCTTCGCCATCACTCCGGTGACTGCGTCTTGTGAAGGTGAAATAGGCTACGTCCCCCATTCTTATTTTCCTTTGTGTCTTGCCTGTCTTTGCGACGTGTCGTGTGCCTCTCAAGCTTGGGACCACTTATCATCATGAAGTTTGCATTGCTAGCGGTCATCGCCAGTACTGTCGCGGCGGGTGTGGATGGTGAGTACCATGGCCGTTCGAGTTTGTTTGGCTGGGGAATCTAACATTCAATGCAGCACACGCTATCTCCCTCAAAAATGACCTCGTTGACACCTTAGTTGCCGTCGAGAACCTGCGACGGTCTCTCCCTAACTCCCCCCAAGGATACACTCCGACCTTTCAAAACTGCCCTCCCAATGCCCCCGTGGTTCGAAGCGCCGCTTCACTCTCGCCGAACGAGACCGAGTGGTTACAGAAGCGGAGGAATAACACGGTTGCGCCCATGCGCGATTTGTTGAGTCGACTGAACATTCAAGGCTTTGATGCGTCGCAATACATTGACCATGTGGCCAACAATGTCTCTGCTCTACCCAACATCGGCATCTCCGTGTCCGGAGGCGGTTGGCGAGCACTGCTGAACGGTGCTGGTGCTCTGAAAGCGTTCGATTCCCGCACCGCCAATAATACCAACCAGGGCAAGCTTGGTGGCCTGCTCCAGTCTGCGACATACATCTCGGGTCTAAGCGGAGGGTCATGGCTAGTTGGGTCTCTTTTCATCAATAATTTCTCCTCGGTCGAGGCATTGCAGGCGGAAACGAGCGGTTCCGTCTGGGAATTCGGCAACAATGTCATTGAAGGCCCTGAGAAGAGCGGAATTCAGATCTTTAACACGGCTGAGTATTATGCCAACCTGGTAAGCGATATCGGGGGCAAGTCAGATGCTGGGTTCGATACTTCCCTCACGGACCTTTGGGGTCGCGGGCTGTCGTACCAACTGATCAATGCCACCGAGGGCGGCCCAGCTTACACCTGGTCCTCTATCGGCATTTCGGCGCCCTTCTTGAATGCGGATACTCCATACCCCATCATCATTGCCGACTCACGCGCGCCGGGAGAAACACTCATCTCGTCCAACGCGACCATCTACGAGTTCAACCCATATGAGATGGGTACCTGGGATCCTACCTCTTTTGGTTTCGTCCCGATGAATCATCTGGGCACCAACTGGACAGCAGGCCGAGTTCCGGCGAATGAGAAATGTGTGGTAGGCTTCGACAACGCGGGATTTCTCATGGGGACATCCTCTTCGTTGTTCAACCAATTCATTCTGAACCTCAATGGGACTGGGGTTCCAGATTCGCTGCGGAGTCTCGTTGCAGATATTCTGACGGGCTTGGGTGAAGACAACAACGACATTGCCGATTATACGCCTAATCCTTTCTTCCAGTATAATCCGCTCACCAATCCCTCGGCCAATTCGTCCCGGCTCACCCTCGTTGACGGTGGGGAGGACTTGCAAAATATTCCACTTCACCCACTCATCCAGCCCAACCGTCAGGTCGATGTCATCTTTGCAGTCGACTCCTCGGCTGACACCACCTTTAGCTGGCCAAACGGGACCTCTCTGGTGGCGACGTACGAACGGTCTCTGAGCCCTATGGCCAATGGGACAATCTTTCCCAGCGTCCCCGACGTGAATACTTTTGTCAATTTGGGTCTCAACACGCGTCCGACTTTCTTTGGGTGTGACACATCCAATTTCACGAGCGGCTCCAACATCCCGCCGTTGGTCGTCTATATCCCCAATTCGCCGTACGTGACATTCAGCAATATCTCAACCTTTCAGCTGTCGACCAACAACACCCAACGGGACGCCATCATACTGAATGGGCAGAATGTTGCCACAATGGCTAACGGCACGCGGGACGCCACTTGGCCCACATGTGTGGCTTGCGCCATCTTGAGCCGCAGTATGGAGCGCACCAACACGGAGGTACCTCAAGCGTGCACAAGCTGCTTTAACAACTTTTGTTGGGATGGCTCGCTCAACTCGACAGAGCCGGTCAACTACGCACCTGAGCCACTTCTCCAGGCGGAGAACCTAGAGAGCGGAAGCCCAAGACTCTTGCCTAGGTGGGCTTTTGCCGCGGCTGCGATAGCGCTGGGATACCATTCTCTGTAAAACAATGTTTTGATTTTTTATAAGCTTGTCAATGATGTTTCCTTACACCTGTTGGATTCAACTTATGGGATATGCATCGCGTCTTAGATAGGCAATCCGGGGTCAGGGCATACACAAAAGTGTCACACACAGAGGGGGCATTTCTTGCATATGATGGCTCGGGGTTTATGAAACGATATGGGACAGCCGTCTGTACCTTGATGATCACTTCTATGTAGTCAGTATCTGAGGCTGAACACGAAACCTGACAGAATCCCGACCATTCCTTCTTGATCACGCCGAGGCACAGCTTTCCACATTATAGACGAATGTGTGAACAACCAAGCCGACGGCCCGAGTGAGGAAGTTGATGCAATGGCAGTATAACTGAAGAGCGCAAGGGGATGGCTCTCCAAAATGATAAGGCTGACGTTGGTTTGAGGACCATCTTCACTAGTGCCACCACCACCGACAACTTGCATCCTCACCTCCACATGACTATACCTTTGAATTGAACTCCTCGTTACTCGGCGTTAGTTAACAACCGTCCTTTACGCGGTTCAGAGTCCCTGCTCGTCGTCGTATTCTCTCTTGTTCCCGAGGCAAGTATGGCACTCTTTACCCCATCCTGAACAAAGGAGGATGATGAAATGAGGAGAAACGCAGTTCTGAACGACGAATGACGGCCATATCTCGGGGATTTCATCATCCCACGCCCTTCCGCCCACGTACCGAATCATATCCCGATCAGCATGACGATCCAGGGGGAAAAGGATGCAAAGGGTCTGAGGAAGCGAAAGCCCAATCAGCGCAGATTTCCGCCTCGACTCGACGCATGTGTCCGTCCGACCAAACCTCTCGGCTCCTCACCAAGCTCTGTGAGTGGCTCGCGCAGACCCAGGGATGAAAATCTTTCTTTAAGGATGCGCGTTGGAGATGCTTCGACGGTGCCACAATCCGCCGCGGACACACATTGCGCTCCGCGGTGGTCAGTAGCCGCTGCCGTAAGCCGGTCAGTGACGATGCATTCTGTCAGGTGGGCACCCAGCAGATGAGCTGCAAGAGGCGACATGGTCTTGGAGGCAAGGTAGGCTCGTCCGAGTCGGCTTTTTCTTTACACCCAGATACGCCCTTGACGGGCTTCGGTTTGTCATTGACAACCCCCCCTCGGCGTACACATCTGGACCCCAAAAATCCCCAGCCATAAGTCAGAAGGAGAGCCAAAAATGATGAGGGCGAACCTTTCAAGTCGTTGTTAATTGAAACAGGCCAAGCATGGGCGAAATCAGCGTCCAGGCATCGAGGCCCTCGCCGCCGTCGGGGAAGGTCGACACTATCACAGACCGCGACAGCCAAGCATCGTCCGAAGAACCCATTCCGATCTTTGAATCTCCTCCACGTCGTTCAAGCACGAGTCCTCCCGATACTGTGACTGAAGATGGCACCACATACGTGTACCTAACATTTGACACTCCCATCCCATTCGACGAGTTCTCGTCTGGCGCACCTTCAATACCTCCGCCAAATCTCAAAAATTATGAATCACCACTCACCTGGTCCTCGACGCACAAGACCATCATCTTGATATTGTCATGTGGCTGTACCTTTCTTGCTGCGTACAGTGCTGGATCTTATTCCATTGCCGCCGAGCCTCAACGTGCCAAATGGCATCTGTCTGAAGTCGCCTTCAGCACCGGCGTCACGACATGGGCAACAGGCTTCGCTGTGTCTCCCATGTTCCTGGCGCCATTTTCGGAAATCAACGGTCGGCGACCCGTCTTTATTGGTTCAGCAGTCATGTTTCTGGCTGCTCTCATTGCTTGTGCGACCACTCCAACCTTCGGCGGAATGCTGGTAGCTCGATTCTTCGTCGGTGCCGGGGCCAGCACCTTTGCGACCATGGTTGGAGGAGTCGTGTCTGACCTGTATCATGCTGAACATCGGAACACGCCAATGGCTGCATACAGTGGCGCCGCACTCGCAGGAACTGGAATGGGCCCGCTTCTGTCCGGCTTCATTGTCGGTCGCGCGAGTTTCCGTTGGGTCTATTATCATCAGATCATTGGCCTGGCGATCATGCTGGTCGTGGTGTACCTCTTCTTCAAAGAGACGCGGGGCTCTGTGCTCCTCAGTCGCCGAGCCAAAGTATTGAATACATACCTCGATAAGCTCGAGACGCAGTCGGCCACCACTTCTGGTGAGAAACCAAGCACACAAGTCCGTGTCCGCTACAGAGTCGCAGCGGACGAGAGTCGGTCCTCGCTTGGTCGCATGTTGTACCTGTCGCTGACCCTTCCCTTCAAGCTCCTTACCACAGAGCCCGTGGTCTTTTTCTTTTCGTTGTGGGTTGCCTTTGCCTGGGCCCTGTTGTATATGACATTCTCGGTGATCCCTTTGGTTTTCCAGACCCGCCACAACTTCAACGTCGAGCAGAGTGGAGCGGTTTTCGCCGCCATTTCGATCGGCTCCGTGCTGGCCACCCTGCTGTCCATCTATCAGGAGAGACTCGCGAAGAAGAGATGGCCCAAACTCAACAACAGTCCGGAGGGAAGACTGTATTTCCCTTGTCTCGAGGGGGCACTTCTTCCCATTGGCCTCTTTTGGTTCGGATGGACGACGAATTCTTCCATTCCATGGATATCGCCGGTGCTCGCCATTGGATGTGCACAGATGGGTATCTTCGTCATTTATCTCGCCGTCTTCAACTATCTGGCTGACGTCTACCATCGATATGCATCGTCGGCATTGGCAGCCCAGAGTTTCATGCGGAATATTTTTGCCGCAATTTTCCCACTTTTCACAAACCAAATGTTCAACAACCTGGACTACCCGCCTGCAGCCAGCTTGCTGGGAGGCATTGCCGCCCTGTTGACGGTGGTGCCCTGGGTGCTGTTGTTCAACGGCGAGAAGATCCGCGCGCGCAGTAAGATCGCGAGGCAGATCATGTCAACACCGGGGTCTTGAAAGGGAGACGTCGAAGTCGAGAATTTGTTAACAGTATCGAGTGTTGGTATTCAACAATTGGAGGTTTCGAGCGTGGGGATATATGGCAAGCGAGAGTTGAATCAACCACAGCGGGACCGAGTTACGATCGCCATGACATTAGATTATGCAGGCATTGCTATTCGAGGAGTAAGGATTGCCATGGCAGGATTCAACAGCATAAATGGTTAACATCCAACAAAGATGTTTGGTATTCTTGGGATCGCCAGAGTTCAAATAGTCTAGCCTTGTAGTATAGAAAAGAAATTGTGTCCCTACTAGAGCGCTGTCGACCCGGTCGGGTCTTTTTAAGAAGAGGGGGAAAGGGGGAGGCGTACAATTCGCCTTTACCGAGCAGAGCACAGCAGAGCAGAGCAGGGAAGCCATGCATGTTGCTGTACAAGTGACATGTACACGTACACGTACATAAAGTGTTCGGTAGAGGTGGTTAATTGTGCCAGAACCAGATCAGATGGCATGCATGCATGTACCCCAAATCGGGGAAACCTGGAGTTTGGTGCCAGAACGGCACGGGGTCAGGGAGGCAAGGGGTGCAAAAGAACCGTCTTTCAATTCTGGTCCTGGTTCTGAATTGGATTGGTTTTGGATCCTCGTTTGGTGATTCAATTGATTGATTTGATCCGATTGAATTGTCTATTCCTTGCGCGCCGGCTTTTGTTCTCCCTCCCCGCCTTTCATACCTATGTAATCTGGGTAACATTTCCCCTTTTTTCTCTTTTGTCACAACCCTGTCCGTCTCGGATTTCATTCACCCAGTACGAGTGTATAGGACGGGAAAGGCCCGGACCCCGGTTTACCCCGGTGGAGGTGGGAAAGACCCATGGCTATACGCTTCGTACGTGTGGCAGATCAACGCCTGTGTCCTTGTTCCACCATTCCTTTTTATCTTGTCCCAGCCAATCGCCGCTCCTGGACCTCTGTCAGAGCGCGACTGCCGCTCAAAAACGCCGTGACGCCCAGCACGCTCAGGACGGGGAGTGTTTGGAATAGGTTCCAGGTCGTGTAGTATAGGAAGAAGACGACCTCGATCCCGACAAGCGAAGACAGGAAGCAGGCGTGCGAGAGCGGGGAGGCGGAGAATGCTTTGGGTAAGGAAGATAGATTTAATCCTAGGGCAAGCCACTGTCGATTCATAGAGAGAGGAAGAGGTTAGTGATGGTCCATCCCTGGTAGATACGTGCGCGGGGAAGAGGGTAGGGGTGAATGAGGTACAGGCAGGCTAAACATGGGATAGGGGCCCGTGAAGGTGTGAGACAGAGGCGGAGGCAAGGGCAACGTACAGCACCCGCCAACAACGGCAGTGTTCCCACCACAGCGGCCAAAAACACCAGACTGATGATCTTGGGCGGAGACCTAGGGTCAGAACGGAAAACGTGGTGGATTTCTGGAAGCTTTCCGTATCGGAGCGGTCTCTCTGCTGGTGGTGCGGGAGTGTTTGGGTCTGTCTTGACTTGGAGTGTGAAGGCTGGGGAATTGTAGCCGGGAGTGGTGCTGAACGAGGCGATGACAATGGATGCGCTGAGGCCCGACGTATCGTTTGATGAAGTGAGGAATTGTACGGGGAGATCCTTTTGTGTCTGTCCACGCAACAACCGTTAGTCTAGTCTTCTTTCCCATAGCCAGAGCAGCCCAGATAGACCCCGGTCCCAGGATTCAATTCGTGCATGAGTATCCCCGTTCGTGTCTTTCCCTTGCTCCGATAGGAACTGAGACGTACCAAATCAACCTTCGCTTTCCCAGACTCCTTTACACTGAAAGGATATGAAACGTCGAGTTTGCCATCTTGGTCTTGCAGCAGCAGAAACGCCTGGTGTGGTCTTTTGGCACTTTTTCCTTCTTGCGTTGTGAGAGTAATCTTCAAAGTGTCGGAAGAGCCGAGCAGAATGGGTTTGGAGAGCGGTTGAGAGGGTGTGAGTCTGGACGACATGAACCAGTTAGCATGCAACTAATTGAGTTCTTCTGCGCATGTCTAGAGTGCTGAGCGGCGTCGACAGTCATGGAACAGAACATACTTCTCTTTAACTCCTCCATCCTTCCCAGCTGCGGACCCTTTGCTGGTTACGCTGAGAGAGGCGTCTGCAAATGTCCACGTGGCAGCTGCTACTGCTGATGAGCCTAACGTAGAGCACAGAAGCAGAGCCTGTGGGAGAAATGAAAGCAAACGCATAATTGTGGCCCTGAGGTTGGCGTGGTGCACACGGTAGGGTTGGCAGAGGTTCAACGAAATGTCCGGTTGATTGAGGAAGCATTGACAGAGGAGATACGTAGCCTCAGCCTCGTCAGCTTCATTCAGCCTTGCATCTCCAAATGCCAAGGCCACCATAGCCTTCTCCTTTACTTCTTCCATTTGTACCAAATATTCCACACATCCTGGGCTCGCACGACCAGAAAAATTGTGAAGATATGCGTGTTCTCGAAGCGCCGTATGGTCTTCCCATGCCGGCCTCACATTGCCTGTTTCGCAGCTGCTCTGTCTCGAACCCCAACATCTAGCCTGGTAGGTCGACGGCACCGACGGAACCGCTTTAAGCCAGTGCTCATCGCTGCGTTTTATACGTATCTCGCCGGTTCTTTCCACGCCCCTTCGCTTATTCGCTGTATTAATCTCTATCGTAGTTGTACCAGACTACCTAGCTTACAGCAATTGTACGATGAATGTCCCACAACACACTCAAGGCTGATCCGCTCCAGCGAGACCGTGGATTTGGGCGGACTTTTGAAAAGCTGAATTCTAGGTGTGAAAGGGGTCTAAAGAGTGTAATTCCAAGGATGGATCACTCAATCGCCCCGAACCGAGCTTACAGAGACTGTCATCTCCCTCTGAAAGCGCGCCGACGACATCATTCAGAAGATTGCACTGCAGAATGTCGGATCCGGACATTCAATGGTGAAAAGGGTATTCGACGTTACTTGATGAAATCAAATAAAGTCTCTGCCATGAATTCTATCCGAGGCGACACGTACTTCCTGCACGGCTCCTAGCCATGTTAAGAATACCGTTGAAGGCGCAGTCGCTCCCTGCCATCGGGCTCCACTGGGTTGGATCTCTGCACAAATCAGATCCCACAAGTGCGCAGCCAAAGAGGAAAGATTGGCTGGGCAGCACAGTCTTCAAGGTATGCGGGGACAGCTATCGATAGATGTCCCAGCGCTCAATGTTTGGACAAAGCTGGCCCAGAAGGATCGATTTTTGAACGACGACCAACTTGCCGTGGACAGGTCTATCGGTCTACAAGCTTTCACTGGGTGGTCGGAAAGTTGTATAGCTCTTAGCGCGCATCAGAGACTTGTTGTCAATGTGGCTCCGAATCACAGTAAGTGACATGAAGAAAAAGCCAAGTGCAGAAGAAAGAAAAAGTACTTGGAAACGCCGTGGGAGTATGTTGGAACGCTGCAGAGAAATCAGGAGCCCGATTGCTTTGAAGTCTTCGGCATTTCTCATTTACTCACAAATCTCCAGGGACGAAGCTTCCAGCCATCTTCACGGCTAAGACAGACTGCCAGTCGCATTAGTCACCGCATTTCCAGAATCGGAACAGGAGCGATCTGCCCGCCTGTTGTTTTACATTTGCTTCATCAACATCATCATCACACAGAGTTAAGTATACAGTGGACACGGTCCACTGTTCCTACAGCAGGAGTGCACTTGTGGGCTGCTTCGACAAGGCTGTCACCCTGAGATGGATGAATTCGGCAATCCCGCTTGTGATTAGCCGCCTCGTGCGGGAAAAACAGCCGGCTGGTCTGTTAGACTGAGTACCCTTCAACTCTTCAAAAGACCAAGATCCCTTTGGGGGTCCTGCAACCTACCTTTTCTATGTAAGTGGTGAAGCATCATAAAAGTTGTTGTCTTATCCCAACGCCCAGTACACAACATCTGCAATGCTAACCGCAACCGAGTGGTCGATAGCCGCAACTCCAAAAATATCTCCACACAACTGTGGCAAATGGGGGACCATGAGGGGCACAATGCTTTGCTCCGCGATGCAGGAGAACAAAGTCCGAAAGCAACTAGAAGATTGAAGGGTGGTCTCATGGAATGGTTGGACCTTTCTGTGACCATGATAGGTCCGAGTGAGTCCTGGACAACCCTTTTCAGACGTTCCGCGTACCCTTCTGGCCCTTCTCCCCATCAATGATAGCCGATAAACCCCATGGATTCTGCCTGAGGGCCGAGGTCTCCGCACGCTCTCGGCCAGATATTCGTGCCAGTATCCGCAGGGATACAGTCATCTATCAATCCATCTCCACGCTCCTCTATTTTAGACGCGGCTGCCTCTTGCTTCAATTCAATTAACCCTTGTATCGTGGAAAGAAGATCTGTGTTCCAGGGGTCCACGTAAACTAGTTTCTTGGGTGACATTTGCGGCTGGATCGTCTATTCTTTCCTGGTTGCGAGTAAAGCCATCGCGAACTCAGCAACCATGCCGATAAAGCGAGATATCGGCCACACAACACCCGCGGTCAATGGGTCAGATGGACCGGCCGGAGACGAAGTGGTTCAGAATGGGAACCATGTCAATGGCGCCGATGAGATACTGGACATGGTCATCGTGGGTGCTGGATTCGCGGGAATCTATCTGCTGCATCAACTGAGGAAACTAGGCTTCAAGGCCAAAATCGTCGAGGTATTTGCCTTCGTGATCGGGCCTCTGACCAGGAGCCATGCCCATTCATAAACTATATTTACTGACGTGGAGATTCGCAAGGCTGGATCCGACCTTGGCGGTATCTGGTACTGGAACCGATATCCAGGCGCCCGAGTGGACAGTCAGTATCCGGTCTATGCGCTGTCCATTCCCGAAGTATACCGCGACTGGACTTGGTCATCGCATTATCCCGACCACGCCGAGCTGCGAGAATACTTCCAACACGTCGAAAACTGCCTCCACGTCAAGAAGGACTGCGTCTTCAATACCAAAGTCACCGAGGCTGCGTGGGACGACGAGACGTGCCTGTGGACGATCCGATGTGAGAACGGCCTGACGTTCCGGACCAAATACTGGACGGCGTGTACCGGCTTCGCGGCGAAACGGTACTTTCCTGACTGGGAGGGCCTGGAGGATTTCAAGGGCGTCATCCATCATTCCAGTTTCTGGCCCAAGGAGGGCGTCGACGTGAAGGGGAAGCGCGTGGCTGTGATTGGGACTGGCGCCACGGGCGTGCAAATCACACAAGAGGTTCGTCATTGTTGCCAATCTGCCTACAATACATTCCCGGACCCCAACCTGCTCCAGGGTATCACTGGCGATGTCCTCTGGGAGGTGACATTGAGAACGAGGCTGACATATACTTGTATATAGTGGGCGAGAGAAATCGGCGAAGACGGATACTTGGAAATGTTTCAGCGGACCCCGAATCTAGCGTGCCCGATGAATCAGGTGTACCTGACCAAGGAAGAACAAGCCAAGGTCGTCGAGGAGCTGGCGGGGAGATTTGCCGACCGCAACAACTACTACAATGGCTTTCTCTATCAATGGCGCGACAACTTGACTTTCGACCATTCCAAGGAGGAAAGAATGGAGTTCTATCAGATGTTGTGGAAGATGGTGAGACCGCTCAAATCTCTTGCCTTTGCTCCTGCTCCTCAACGGGCGTTCTCTTGACTGAAGACGAGAGGTGATGCTGATTGATTCTTTTCGCTTCACGGCTAGGGAGGTTTCCGTTTCCTCATGAACAATTACTATGACATGACTCGCGATCCGAAGGCCAACCAGGAGGCATACGAATTCTGGCGAGATCGTGTACGAGAGCGAGTTCGCGATCCGAGAAAGCAGGAGCTGCTTGCGCCGTGGGAACGCCCTCATCTCTTTGGCGGAAAACGCCTTTCCCTCGAGCAGGACTTTTATGACCACTTCAATAAAGTAAGAACTCCGGTGGCGTGCATGAAGCTACCCTCCCAATTTCACATGTGCCTCCAAGTGTGAGGCTATTCAATGGCTGGTCATGGTCGATACTGACTTCTGTCCCTTTCCGTTAGCCCAACGTCGACGTGGTCGATGTTCGAAACAATCCTATTAAGAAATTCGTCGCCGACGGCATCATCCAGGAGGACGGGACGTTCCATAAACTCGACATCATCGCCCTAGCCACGGGCTTCGACTCCATCACTGGTGGACTGAAGGATATGAAGATCTCGGGCGTCAACGGCGAAATCCTAACGGATAAATGGGCCAAAGGCACCTGGACCTACCTGGGCATTTCGACTGCCCATTTTCCCAATTTCTTTTTGTGAGTGAACCTGTGAAGAAGAGTTCAACAGAACTGCCTTAGCCGGCCCCTTGCCTTGATCTTGCCCCCCTCCACAGTGCGTTGAAAGGATCCAGATGACTGACATGTTCCCCCTTATTAGCACATACGGCCCGCAAGCCCCGACGGCCTTCTCGAACGGACCCTCGTGCATCGAAATCCAAGGCGACTGGATCGCATCGGTCCTTTCGGACATGCGCGAGCGAGGCCTGAAGAAAATCGACCCCGAGCGGACCGCCGAGGAAGACTGGAGAAAACTGGTCTTTGAGCTGATCAGCGACACGCCCCGAGGGAAGGTCGACTCGTGGTACAACGGGGCCAATATCCCGGGCAAACCGCGCGAGCATTTGAATTACGCTGGAGGTATTCCACGGTACAAGAAGACGCTCGAGCAGGTTAGAAAAGACGGATATCCTGGGTTTACCCTTGCATGAAGACTCGAGAGATCAGATGCAATTGTGATTTACTATCAAGATTTAAGTGTTGTTAGTTTTTCTCTGTGCCCCGCGAAGAATGAATAGGAGGAGATAGATTGATTGGCTGGATTCAAGTCTCAAGATATCTTGCTCGCATAGCTGTATGGTGCGTGAACATATATACACAGATTGCGAATGCCAACGATAAATTCATATCACGCAGGTCCATTCGCGGCAGGGGGTCCTCTCAAGGACTGGAGACCTCGTTTCGAAAAGAGATAACCTCTTCCCCTTCCCTTCTTCCCCCTCAAGACGCATTTTGTTGTATGTACTATCACCGTTTGGCCGTGAGACACGCAGTCAAGGGTAGAGCAGCAAAGGGTTTCAACAGATTATGCGCTTCTCTATGTCGGCACATGCGGTCTCCCACCAACGCCATGATCAAGTAAGTGATCAAGAGCCACCGCCTCTCCCCTTCAGCACAAATACCGCTGCTTCAGGGGCATTCGACGACGACCGGGTCTATGACAAAAAGGGGATCTCAAATGCGTACGACGTCCGACTAAGGCTTCGAGCCCTGGAGCAAGAACTCCATGACCACCTCCTCCATCAGCGCGGCGTCGTCGTCCCTGTCCGTCAGACGGAGATACTCCCTCGTCTCCTCGACGGGCCAGTCGCTGCCGACGATCTCGCGGATGCACGCGCCGTTGACCTCGCGATCAAACTCCGGGTGGGCCTGCAGCGTCAAGACCCGGTCGGGCACGTACATGCCCTGCATGCCGCAGAGGGCCGTGGCGCCGACCTCGACGCACTCCGGGGGGAGCCGCGCGGGCTGCGTGACGACGACCGTGTCCTGGTGCGACAGCTGGAGCTGGATCGCGCCCGACGACCGGGGCAAGGACTTGAGCTGGCGCGGGAAGCAGCTCGCGAAGTCGGGGTTGATGGCGATCTCGTACACGCCCAGCTCCCAGCCTCGTGGGTTCTTGATGACGTGCAGCCCGCCCGTGTGGGCGAAGAGTGACTGGTTGATGATCTGGTGGCCGAAGCAGGTGCCGAAGATCTTCACCTTGGGGTGGTGCTGGTATGTGTCTGCCACAAGTGTCAATTCAGTTCTTGGTTCAGACTCTGCAAGATTGGACGATGGCGGAGGAGGATGATTCCAGGAAACAGGAAGGCCAGCAGTGGTCTTGGATGGACGATTTCCCCGCTGCTGACCCTGATACAGAACGGCTTTTCTGTACCCCTTGGGGTATCCGAAGTGGTACACAAAGTTGATACTCACGCTGCAAGAACCCCCCCAGCTTCTTCACCCACTCGATATCCTCATACGCCCCGGCCGAACTCCCTGTCACGACCAACGCATCGAGCCCCTCCAGCGCCTCCGCGTCCGGCAACTGACCGGCCGTCGCGTTATACGGCGTCGTCCTCACCTTGATCTGCCCTTCCAGTGCGGGCGATACTTCGTCGCCGTGCCTAGCTCTCTCCAGGAGCCGTTTCGCGCCCCGGTCAAAGAAATTCTGGAAGATCTGGTCGAACGGACCGCGGAGGCGGGAGACCGGCGGGGGCAGGACCTCGCAGATCAGGATGGCGAGGTGGAGCGTGAGCGTCTCGGTCGAGGTGGGGAGGGAGTGCATGGTTCGTTCGTTCTTTCTTTCTTCCTCCGCGAGCCCTGGTGGACTATGTATGAGGCAATGAATTGGCTTTCTGTGGTGTCGCTCAAGAGTGCTTTATGCCGGACGGGCCTCGAGATAGGCAAAGAATGGATGAATGACAATGACGACGGAGTGATCGAATGCTCGAACCAGATCTCTTCCCTCGGTCATGGATATATATATCTCTTCTATCTATCCGCCCAACAACAGAGTCATCAAGCACGCCCTCCCAGTGTGCTTGATAAGAGATATACGACAAAGTATCCACTCTGAGTCTCCCGGAAATGGGCATCTGTGGCCCTCGTCCACCAATCACCGCTCAAGAACTCCCCTTCCTAAACGGGGTGTTTCTTTGGTTTCTGGGCTTCTCCTGGTCGATGAGCATTACTCGTACCGCAGGACATATTTCTTACTCCTTGGACTTCATGAGGAATGCGATAGCTTATCATGTCCATGAACGGTTGGGAGAGATGTGATGTTATTATTTATACACTGACCAGGTAGGTTCCAGCCACTGGTCCGAATGAGCTGCGAGTTTTTATTTGCTCTGCGCCGTAATGTTACATGAGCCACTTACTCTAACCTCGTAAGTTCAGGAGCTCGAGAGTCTCATCAAATGCTCTTGACCAGTTCTGCGAGGAACTCTTCGCGGCGGTTGAAGAACAGGCTCGAGTGCGTCTCGTCCTCGACTCGAAGGACTGCCTGGCCGCCTAATCGCTGAGCTATCGTTTCCCCGTGGTACGGCGGCACGTTGACGTCCATCTTCGCATACCACAGCTGCACGGGCAGGTCTGGACGGATATCTTCGATGCGGAACCCGAGCGGCGAGCTGAGCAGCCGGCCGTCCTGGAGGGTGGTGTCGTAGCCCTGGGCGAAGGTGGCTCGCGACGCGCGCATGAACCGCGAGGCATTGACCGGGTCTTTCATAACTTCGTGGTCTTTCTGCTCGGCCGGCGTCTTGGGGGGCGTGACAAATTCTTTCATGTGGCGCGCCAGGCGCTCCTCGTCGCTGAGGTCCATGCGGCCCATCGTCTGCGTCTGCCAGAACCACCGGTTGATGAAGTAGGGCGTGTACCGGTACCCGAAGGTGAAGCCGATCCAGTTCAACCACCGCGCGCCTTTCATGCCGATCTCGTACACGGGGCCCAGCCCGCAGACGATCGAGACGCACTTGAGCTTGTCGCGGGGCATGGCGTAGGCGCAGGCGAGGGCGTATGGTCCGCCGCCAGAGACTCCCTGGTGTCAGTCGGTATCAACACTTGGTCATAATCATGTTTGTTTTTCTAGTCTGGGCCAAAGTTTCAAGCTCTCTCGGAGAGAGCCACGTACGTACCAGGACACCATACTTGTCCAGCTTCAGATGGTCTGCCAACCTCTCCAGATCTTTGGGGTGGTCGAGGAGTGTTCTGCCCGGCTGCGGCGAGCTCAATCCAATCCCCGGCCTGTCCGCACAGATGATGCGGGCTCCTAATTTCAAACCCAGATCGTGCAGATGGGCGCCTTCCAGGCGCGATCCGGGGTGGCCGTGCAGGAAAAAGATGGCACGTCCTGTCGGGGAGCCGAACTGTACGTATCCCAGTTTTCGCCCGTCCGGGAGGACAAGAGTGTCGGAGTTGTCGATGTCGATGTCGATGTCACTCATGGTGGTGGAATGTGATTTTGGTGTAGATATCTCGAGATCGCGGACCTCGACTGGAGGCGGTGTGTATAACTTGTCAAGCAAGACGTGCTCAAGCGACGATGTTGGCGTGTTATATGTGCATATCAGATATGATGTACGAGGTAGGGCTATTTCAAAGCGTTCCCGTGCCTGGTACTTTGGACCACGTACTCTGCATTCGGGGAGACATGGCCACACACAGAGAGAGAGAGACATAGAAAGCCTCGGTCGGTTGCGGCCTGGAGCTCCGATAGAACCCGCGAGTGACTCAGAGGGAAATAGGCGAGCACAACCGAGTACGAGGGGACGAGTTTTACGAGTAAGTCTTTGTTTGATCTCTATGCTCTATCCTTTTTTCAAGGTATTTTGCTGTTGTGTTTCGAGTATCTCGCAGGTAGGTTGGTAGGTTATGCGAAAGAACCTGGTTTGGTAGGGGACATCTGCCGGGTGGTAATCACTCCAAACACATTCCTCGTGCCTTCAGGTTGCACTTTGTACTTCTACAGGCTAGAGATTGATCTTTATCCCTAGCAGGGTTGACTGTCGCCTGAGACTACAGCCTAGATGGGCCACTGAGACGTGAAGTCGAGGTCACCAGGCACATGAGGCCAGCCACTTGGGGTGACAGACAAGGTGCCTGGGGGGCCTTTAGCGAACGCGGGCGGCCGCTCGCTAAGGTTTGGTGTGGCACGGTAGACTCGACTAGGCGTTCTAGGGGCCGGTTACAGTTAAAAGTCCCCGGAGACACCCGCGAATGGACAAGCCACTTAGGTACTCCTGGATTCCTAGGCAGGCATGCACAGCTTTAGGACTGACTAAGGCGTGCAAGGCCATCAAGGCTTGGCTGCGCATCCTTCGACCAAATCACCATCAGCACCTCCTCGTTACTCCCTGCATCCATCGACTGCCGACCGACGTAGAACCGAGACAATGTCCATCGTCTTCACCACCGCATCTGATCAGGCATCGCAATGCACAGCAATACCAGCTACAACCTGGTCTTTTCCCCGGCTAAATTCATTTGATTTCACGCTCGGCGCAATCCTCGGACGTGGAGTATCCGCCAAGGTGATGTGTCGATGAAACATGGACCACGACATGATGCAACAGGTTGAGATGACACCGAGCACCGATGGGTATGCGACTTTGAGGTCTTGACTGAGACATGACGCTGGTCCGACAACCGGGTCCCCGACAAGGTGCCGCACACTTTGACCGGTCAGTCAAAGCCCGTGTGTGTGTGGAAGAGGCTGAAGTCAGCAATGTTTATGTCCATCACTCAAGTGAGGTAGGCAATCAGATCTGAAGCTGAAGCCTTGTGCGCCTACAAGAAACATCCCGGCCCAATTCTGATCGATTCTCGTCTTTTCGTCTTCTGCGCGACTCGACCGCTTTGGTCCAACAGCCTCGCTGGAATATTGAGACGTTGAGCCATGCATAGGGGGGATCAGAACGGACAATCCATGGCTATCTCACATGTTTCCACAGAGACAGAGTACCTCATTCAGACACGGTAGGCACAGAGCTAGCACTGATCAAGTTCGAGCAGCGGCGGACGTGGAGCCACCGAAGTGATTTTGGCCATTGGCTTCACAGACTGACGAAGACGTTCAGTGATGAGAGATACACATGGGTACACATGTTGAATCAACAACAAGTCCTGATGGACAATTGCGGCCGCAACCAACCGCATCCTGCGACGGTCTAGTGCAGGGCCTGCGGTATAGAAGGAACATTGACAGATCAGACGGATTCAACCAAGCAAAGAGTGTTGAGCAGCATTTCAACGCGTCCTTTGGTTTGATATGGATGCTGTTCTCCGTACCCCGTCAGCTGTGGGGTGTTTCCACAACAAAGACCCCCGTGGGGACCCTACCAATGCAACGCGCGACTGTACGAGCGATCCTTCTGGATCCCTCAAAACCTTACTTTTCGCAGATGTTTCCTCCTCAAGAGACAGTCTGGTGATGGGAGACATGTTTGGTACATGGCTTCATTCCTAATCGAAACCGGAGGAGTTGGTTGAATTTAGGCAAAAACTGAGTGTGTAGTCCCTGGTACTTTTTCTTGAGAAAAGCGACAGAGCCAAAGGGACGAGAGGGAAAGAGAGGGAGAAAAAAAAAATATAAAGATGGCTTGATATCTCCGGAGAACTCAGCATTGTCAAGACAAACAACAATCATCGAATCTCAACTTCCTCCCACTTGATCAAAACATCCAACAGCAAAAGCAGCCCAAACTCCTCTGAAAATGCAGGTCAAAACCATTCTCCTCGCCCTCATTCCCCTCATGGGTCTCGTCGCCGCGAACCCGATCGCCGCTCCTGAACCTGCTCCCGCTGCTGTCGCGGCTGGTGCCGAACTCCTCAAACGCTCCGTCTGCTCTGGTTGGTGCGGTGGTGGCACTGTACGTATCCCGTCTTCTGCTTGTGTTATCCCTTTCGACTTCTCTCCCTTCCAGCAGTGTATACAACATGAGCCGAAAGACATTGGTGGAGTGACTGACCTTGTCCTCTAAAATGGATAGTGCTTCTGGACTTGCCCGGGAGAGTGCGGCGTCGCTGCCGGCTCGTGCAAATAGTGAAGTACACGAATGCATCGAACGCCATGATTGGAACCAGATGGAGAGATCTGCATGGCTGCGAGTGACTGCGATACATGGATGAAAATGGTGTGATGGGTACGCGTGAGAGAGACGAGCTGGCTCTAGAGAAAGGGAGCACGAGGTGATGCATATCGGCTTAGACAAGAAACCATGTGCAGGCTCTCGCTCCGGACTGATACGTCGGTAGAGAGAGTAGTAGAGGCTAAGGGGGAGATAGAAAACAGGACATTCCTTGATGCATTCCCTCGTGTTCGTGTTATAGGATCGTGATGTCTTTGCTATACAAGCCGGTTGAGTGCCGTCGCTTCCCCTCGTCGCACCGCAGCTTGTAGAGAGCCCCGTGCAAGATTGTACTGACTGACCGATTGACTGATTGACTGGCCGCCTCTCGATCCTGTCTTACCCCCTTGAACCTGATTCATCATTCATGCGACCTTGACCTTGACATTGACGTGGTGAAGTGGTGCACCACACCAGATGCCCAGGTATCTATCCACCTCGACACCTTGGTACCTAAGAGTCTAAGACCCAAGGTACCTAACATACGTAGGTAGACCATTTAGAACCTCTTCTCGAGATTCCCGACCTCGGTATCAATGACACCGTCTATCGCACCATCCAAGGACGAAGGAACCCCCTCGCTGGTCAGGAACTGGTTGACTTCTACACACGCACCCACCGGTATATGATCAGCCCCTCGCGTCTCGGTCTTGGAGCCATCTCGACGTTGTGTCGGAGGTGGAAATACCTACCTTGGTTAATGTACGAGTTCCCGGCGTTTTGCTCGATGCTCTTCATCAGACCGCCGGCTTGGCCGCTTTGTTGGCCTTGGTGGCTCTGGCCTTGCTCCTGTTGTTGTTGTTTTTGTTGTTGTTGCTGAGATGACTGGTTGTTCTGGCTCTGGTCGTCTGCTTGGTTCCCCATTTGACTTTCGAGGAATTGCTCGCCTTGTTTGAGGAGGTTGTCCATTGTCGTTGTCGGTATGGGTATCGGTATGGGTATCGGTCTTGTTCAGTTGAATAAAGGGATGTGTTGGTGAGACAGTTGACCCTGACTTTGAAAGACAACCAAACATGGGCGAGGGTAATGATATCTTTTTATACCTTTTTGGCAAGGGCGTCGAACCAGCTTCAATTTTCAGCTCCAGCTACTCGTACAGCTAAAGCGACACCCGAGACGCCTTTTACCACATACCTTAGGTACTTCTACCCATCGGCAATGCCGCACCTTACTTGACTAGCCTTATCACATTATCCTCGTCCTCCGTCCTCGCACTTGTCCACCGATTTCCTCGCGCGATGACGTGGCTCTCCTCATCCAGGCTTCGATCTCTGGTTCCGAGTGGTTCCCGTTCCTGCATGGCGCACAACACAAGCACCCCCAAGCATCGCTTGTGCAAGGCTTAGATTCTTACCAAGAGATTTTCATTCGCCAGATAAAGCATGGTGATTGCTTTTTTCCAAATAAGCATTGCGCTTTCCACCCCCTCGCCTTGGGGGCTAGTGCCAGTATATTGTTTTGAGTATTTCTACGCGAAAATTCACACAGTAGTCCCATTACTTAGTCGGTACCGGTAGTACGTGCTCACTCGTACAAGTACACTAGTACAAGTAGGCACCTACTCCGAACCAAAAGCCTAACCGCGCCAGTGAGGACAACGACCCTTGTCCAGCTGAACGCTGAACAAACCCGGTTGTTCGGAAAGGGAATAATAGGTTTCCACCCACCTTGTTAACACAACCACCACATTTGAGCATGTCACATCACTCCTGCTTCTTGACGTTGGGATGATGGCCTCGATGCGTGACCGAGAGTCATGGACTGGATTATTGACAGCATCAGCTGATATAACAGAACGCAGAAATGAGACCAAGTCGATCAACCTAGAGGCTCGGATGTCGTCTACGTTCTGGTGTGGGATTGATTACTCGGAGAATATGAACATTGCGAGGCTGGGTCAGATAGGGGTTTAACAAACGTGTTCAACACCATGACATGATTTTGCAACGAATGACATTTCGCTGCTCGCTTGTTAGATTGCAGGTGCTGATATCTGAGAAACATAGTCAGCCAGAAAGATGCCTCTTCCTCATTAAAGACGAGATCTCCGGCTAGGTCGCCTCTGCGCGGCTCTCAAACCAACACGGATCACACAATCAACTCCTCAATCTCGCAGAATCCAAGATCTAACCTCTTTACACTTTGTCATTCGCTCGGCTCATGCAGGTGGTGCGACCGCTCATAGGTCATGTCGGCGCTCAGCTTCGACTCCTCATTGATGAACGGGACAAACTGCACGACCCGGACCCCAATCTGGGGAGCGACTTCGAGACATTCGCCCGACATGGTATTCTCGCCCAGCAGCGACTCGAAGGCCTCCAACAGTCTCTCCATGGGCACCAGGACGCCGAGCTTTTCTGCCTTGTCGTACACGGCGGCGGTGGAGATTCCCGTCCGGATCTTGTTCGGACACACGGCGTTGAGGGTGATGTGCTCCTCGGCGAGGATCTTACCGTACGAGCGGACGAAGCCCACGACGGCACTGCAACGTCTTGGTCAGTCTTCCAGGACGGCGATGGCAGAAGGAGGGTTGCGACGTACTGCTTTGCCGCGGTATAGATGGGGATGGTCTGGTGGATGTAGAATCCACAGACAGACGCCACGGGCATGACTGCATACGGGATGAGTTGGTTCATGGCCACAACAAAGAGGTGACAGACAGAGCCTTACTTTTCCCACGGAAGCCATACTGGTTGGGCTGCTGGCGACGAAAGTGCTGGACAGCCAGGGACACGGTGTAGATGACACCAATGCCGTCGACTTCCAGCACGCTCAGGTCGGGCTTCTCGTATCCCGTCGAGTTGGGCCTGTTGGGGAACATGCGTCGCTCGCCAATACCAGCAATCGGCAGCACATAGTCGATGCGCTTGAATTCAGCCTCGGCAGCTTCCCATGCCTTTCGCTGCGAGTCCCAGTCCGCGACGTCGACCGGGACCGTCCACACGACCTGATCGCCCGTGTTGAGTTCGTCGGCCAGCGTCTGAGCGCCCTGGAGATCTCTGTCTGCCACGTAGACTTTGATTCTGTCGTTTTGTGTTAGAAATGCCGATATCCTGAGGAGGAATGTAATTACCCACCCCTTTTCTACCAACATCTTGGTAACTGCTCGCCCGATACCGCTGGCACCGCCTTACCTCGAATTAGCCCCGTCACCAAGCAACATGGAAATTCGGGGCTTGACAAACCCGTCAGAAAAGCAGTTTGCCCTTGATACGACATTTTTGGCAGGCAGGTCTCAGACTCTAGATGTCTCTAGATAGGTTATTCTTTCAATGCCAACAAATCTAGAGGATGCTCTTCCCGATCATAACGGCTCTCTCTCTCTCTTAGCCCAAGTCTCCTCGCAGGTTCCAGCAGACCAGATCCAGACTCCGGCTCTCATAAGTATCCATCGTCGAAGCCACACGATGACCATGTCGGTTCGACAGCTGAGAATAGCCGGATCAGCAGTGCGGGGAGGAGAAAGACGTGAAGAGGGGTCACCAGGGGGTTTGATATTGAGTGAAAATCACGGACAGGCAATCGATTCCCGAGAGACACCAACTTCCCCAACATGAAAAGAAAGCAGAACTTGAACCGGTAATGTTCCCGGTAAAGTGCCCGGTAGTCGCGATACCGACGACTCTACTACATTCATTCTCACAACCCGCAATGTTATGTATGGCAGTCATGGCACTGCTCCGGTAGACCAACACGACACATACGTATGATACCATGGCAGACTACTCGCAGTACCAGGGGCCGAATCCCGAGTGGGACGAGTTTGTTCGAGAGAATGGCGTCGCGCCGACGGGATTGGCTCCTGGCCAGACACCGGCGGACTTGAGACGGTCGACGAATGCTCTGAGGGAGACGGCGGCCAAGATTGAACTCGAAGCGTCAGGTGAGTTTTGCGGAGGTGTTTGCTAGTCGTGCGATGGCACCAATGCTAGCACAGACAGACTGTGTGTTTGTGGTGCTTGGTCGAGAGAAGATTGTCATATGGATTTATTCTGAATGGGTGTTTGATTGTCGCAACATATCCCCTCCGTCTGTTCCATACCATCTATCTCTCTCAACAGCATCTTGCCCTCCCAATAGGACATGGTTCTATCAATACTGACGCTTACCCCCCTTTACAGGCCTCCTGGAAAAAGTGTCCTGGCGAGACGCCGACATTCCCACGCGCGACAACTCGACCGTCCCAGCACGCATCTACACCCCCAAAGGCGTCGACCCATCTACCACCGGACCTCTACCCGTCTACCTCTTCTTCCATGGCGGCGGCTACCTCTTTGGCAGCCTCGACACCGAAGACGCCAACTGCGCGCGCGTCGTGGCCATGTCTTCGATTCCTGTAATGGTCGTCCACGTCAACTACCGCCACACGCCGGACTTTCGGTACCCGACGCAGCACAACGACGCGTGGGACGCCTTCGTCTGGCTCGGCGAGAACATTGCCTCGTACGGCGGTGACCGCGAGAGGGTAATCGTGGGGGGCATCTCCGCGGGAGGCGGACTGACCGCGTCGGTCGTGCTCCAAGCACAAGGACGCCAGAACGACGCCAGCGACAGCTCTGCAAAAATCATCGGCCAACTCCTCCTCATCCCCTGGATCATGCACCCCAAAGCCTACCCGTTCGACCTGCTCGTGTCGACGGAACGGTCCAGCTTCCATCAAAACGCCAACGCGCCCGTGCTCCCACACTCGCAGATCGACATGTTTCTCGGCGTGTTCGATAGTGAAGACACAGACCCGGCGGATATCTACCTCAGCACGGTGCTGGCGCCGGACGACAAGGTAAAGGGGATGCCCAAGACGGTGGTCGTGGCGGCGGGTATGGACCCGTTGAGGGATGAGGCGCTCCTGTTTGCGGACAAGTTGAAGAAGAACGGGTGAGTTTCTTCCTCCTCAGTATCCTTCCCTTCTGCTTCTGCTCCCGTCACTGTCGCCTCTACTGCCCCTACTACCTACACATCCACCCAATTTGTTATTTTCTTATCTTGTCCGTAAATTTCCTACGCACACCGACCTGACCGCGATATCTAGCGTCCCCACTCGCGTCCACGTCTTCCCCGGCCTCCCACACGGTTTCCGGCGCTTCGCCACGCTCAAGGCCAGCGCGCGGTGGGACGCCGTCATTGTCGAGGGGATCCAGTGGTGTTTATCCGAGAATCGGGAGAGTTCCACCCAAGTTGAACTCTAGGAGGTGGAGAGAGAGAGAGAGAGAGACAAAGGAGCTAGAAAAGGTAAAAATTGACCTTGACTGACTGAGGGAGCTTGAAAGTTGGTAGATGGTTAGAGAGTCATGGATCAGAGATAGCAGATCAGATTTTAGAGAGTATAGACCAGAGATTATAAGCACGCCGAGTATATACCACAGGATACTTGGATCTAGGGTCAAAGATTCTATTGGGCATTTGTATTCAGCGTGAGAGGATGAAGAGTCGTCAATAGCTCGGTGGATAGATGAATGGATGGATGGACAGATAGAGTGACATGCGACAAAGACGTCAGTATGATTATATACCGCGCCTCCTCCCCAGACCGGTACATACGCTAGGATTGATACATTTATGTGATTCACTACCTCGTCTCGCTCGACCATGTCTGATCACTCTCACTCACTCACTCACTCAGCGTCGTCCTTTAGAATCTTCAGCACCGTCGACATGGCCCCGTCCTTGCCGCTGACCAGGTTCAGCCGCGTGGGGCCCGGGTTGTTGAAGAGGGGGATGACGCGCCACGACGCGGGCGGCTCGTCGATGACCTCGAGCAGCGTGCCGGGCGGGTACTTGTCACCGGGATTCTCGGCCAGGGCGATCATGGCGTCGGCGATGACGGTCGGCGAGAGGAGCGTGTCCTTGGTCGGGTCGACCCAGCCGGCGACGCCGGGGTCTTCCATGAGGAGGGGGGTGGCGATTGGTCTTTTTGGGTTGGAGGGTTAGTTTCTTTCTCCAGAAGTGTCGTCGAGGCGGGAGGGAGGGGTGAGTGGTAGAAGGGGAGAGTAGGGAGGAGAAACGAAAAGGGGGAAAGAGTCTCAAGGGGAGTCAGTTCTCAAGAGATAACACGACACCACTTTCCACTGTGAACTTCTCACGACTTTTAAAGACAAACATGATCTTAATGCACAAGGGCTCAGGAGGAATACTGTAGAATACATACCCCGGCGCCACACCCACCACGCGCACGCCACAAACCTGCTCCGCCGCAGCCATGCCCATGACGAAGCTGCCCACGCCGTGCTTGGACGCCTGGTACAGGGGCGTGATGAAACTGACCGTCTCGGCCGCGACGCTGGCGATGAGGACGACGGTGCCGGTCTTCTTCGCGCGCATCAAGTGCCGGATGGCCATGCGGGTCATCTTGATCGGGTGGACGAGGTTGATGTCAAAGTGCTTGTAGTGCGAGGGGGAGTCGACATCGCCCCAGAATCCGGAGGTTGGCTTTTTTCACGTTTGCGACGGGGTCAGTCGACAAGACATTCCCACTCAATGGCACGGGACAAGAGAAGGAGGGAGATGAATGGCGAAGTGGTCGAAGGAATAGATCTTCCTGCACTGTCGCCTCCACTGGCAAGTGACTTACAGGCTCATAGATGCCCGCCCCCGGACACACCAGGTCCGGCACGGCGCCGAACTCCCTCTTCGCCACGTCAAACGACTTCTCCAGCTGCGCCCAGTCCGTCACGTCGGTCGGCTCAAAGACGACCTTGGGTCCGTCGCCGCCCTTTTGCGCGATCGAGTCCACGAACGCTCGGGCTTCGGGCCGCAGGCTGATGTCGGCGATCAGGACGCTGCATCCTTTGGCGACCAGGGCCTGTGCAAAGGCCAGGTTTATCCCTGTGCCACTGGTAATCAGTAGGTACGTTGTGAGTGAGTGTTGGAGGCAAGCGTCCAACGAGTAAAGTTCTGGGAATAGAGGGATGGTATAGAGAAAACATTGGCAGGGATAATGTAGGTATAGTGTATAGTATATGGTCTTCTTACCGGATCCTGCGCCCGTGACAATGGCAGACGCGCCCTGAAGGTTGAGGCCAGGCATGTTCAAGACAAGGGTGTGTACAACACTGGTGCTCTTGCTGTAGGTCTCAGGGACAACAACAAACCCGTGATTTCAAGATTGTGAGTTTTTTCTCCAAAGGTCTTGGACGGCATTCAACAGTACCCGTATATTAGGCACCCGCTGAGGAGAAGGAGAAGCATTTAGAGGTGGTGGTGGTGGTGGTGGTGGATCTGTCGGGCCTCGGTAAGCATTTCGATATACATGATATTCCCCCACTTCCATATCTCACGGTTTGGACTCCTCGATGCAGTTCGCGAGACATGGGGAGTGATGGTTAGTTGGAGTGACGCATTTTGGAGACAGAGGGAGAATTTATCGCGTCCTCTGTGATCTGGCTCAGTCAAGGCCTATGAGCCTGGTTGTGGAGTTCCAGACAATGTTTGTTTGGCTTCCCCGCAAGCATCTTTGAGACTAGAAACCCCATCTCCAGGGGGTGGTATTCAATGCGGATATCGTGCACCGATCCTCCCAAGGCAAATCGCCAAAGCCTTGCCTGGAAACAACACAGGGGAATATTAGAGCGGCAAAGAACTGTTTCGTGATTTGGGAAAGAATAACAAAGAATGAAGGCGTTGCATCGATCCAATTTCACGCAGGCGGTCTCAGTCACCATGGGACGCACCACAGGGTTTGTTCCGAGTGACGTCCGACATGGGCTCGTAGTCGTAGTGTCGAGACATTCTGTCCAGTTCCGGCGGATGGTGTGCTCGACCCTTCAGAGCCAGAATTCGAGTTCTAGGAAGGTCCTCGAAAGGGATCACGTCACCAGAAAGCTGGACGTGACCCGGTCAGTTTGCAAAGTCGTAACACAGGGGCGCCAGGAAGAGTGAGAGCTCAATTGAGCCTTCTGGCGCACTAACAACCGATCGCGAGGTTCGTGTGACAACTTTTCCCGTCGTGTGATGGTGCTCGAGGGCGGTTTCAAGGCCGGCGATAGAACCTGCATTTTGAATCGTATCATACTGATATCCAAAGTCTGTCCACGAATGGTATCATCAGAATTCCAGTGTCTGAGGGCACCATTTCCCGGGTCAGTTCTCTGGAACGGCAGAAGAGGTGAGGTAGAATTGGGGTCCGATACTCCAGTCTGGGAATCCGTATACGGCGGAAACCACTGTTTGCGGTTGGTCGACCAGCTATTATTGAAAGTCTGCCAAATGGCAAATTGGCGATCAGCGTTACTGTCCACGGTCAGCATATCTCTCACCAAAGTGAGAGCGCGTACCAATGGTGCAGGTGGAAGATCGGATCAAAAGCTGCAACTGCAGGGTCTGACATATGGCCCAACCCTCGAGTCGACCCATTACCTCCTATCATACCCTGTTTCAGTCAGTTCCGCTTGGCTGATGCGTCAACAAGAGCCAGAAGACATCTTCCATGTAGGTTGTTGTGAATCATTTCCAAAGACATGTATCCCTGCCAACTGGCCGGTGGCTTTTGGTTGGAAGAAATGGTCCTGGCAAAGTCGCGATATGTCAAGGTATACTTTGGTGAAAGAAGCCGATACACAAGGTCGCCGACGAGATGATAAGACTTGGACGTTCCGACCTTGACGGTGATTTTGCTATGAATGTTTGCCTGTAGTAATCCCGCGTTGGTGAAGCCGGAGAAATCGGTGGTGTTCTTTGTGATCCCGCATCTGCTTGTGCCGGAACATTGAGACCACTATCGAAGTTAGACAATATGCACAAGCCAGGAAATGTCCAAGTTCCTGGTTCGGGCCGTTGTTGCTTATCTTGTTCTCTTTCAGCGAGTCGTCTCCCATTCTGAGGAGCTTGCCATTCACAAATCAACCGATACCGATATAGAGGATTTTCCTTGTTCAAGGTAGTGGTGGAGGTGCCTTCAGCTTTCTTTGGACCCTGGACGGATATACTCTGGTTCAATAGAATGTCGGGGACCACGACGTCGGGTAGCGCCCAGTCGAAGTACGGTAGACGCCGTCGATCATGTTCTGTCATCCACTGATCTTTTTCGCTGCCGAATGGGAAGGTCAGTTCATCAATGACTTCTTTCATGATTTCATAGATTCTTTACTGCACTGAATTAGCAGTTCCTCAGCACATGTGTCAGGGACTGAGGTGTATGTACCTCAATAGTAGCATATAATGCCTATGCCATGTCGGAAACGTGATCTCGTTGTGCACACAGAAGCCTTTTGGATCTCCGTGTATGCCTTTTCGTCGTATGTCAAGGGCATCAAAATCAGTGGTTTAGCGGATCAAGCGGCAATGTAATCCAACCTACCAGCTGCCTGAAAGTAGGGTGGAGGATTCGTCTCGAAAACCCCCTTGGTGTAGAACTTTTGCAGAGCACGAACGAATAGCGATAGTTGAAGCGGATTGTTGGAGACCCAAGCCCTGACTTCTTGACGCAAGGGAATTGGACTTCCGGTAGGATTAATACCATTGACGGGGGCGTTGGCTAAGAATTCGCCGACCATTGGAGTGACTTTTCAGGACTGATTCGATTGGTATGAGAGAAGGAGATCGTTGTCCAAGTTCACGTGGGCCACGGGGTCATGGGGCCTATAAGTAGATGGAGGGTTTGTGCACCTGATGGCATGTTGCGCTGTGGGAGATTCTCATGGTAGCACAGAATAGGAGGCTAGATGAGGCTGGACAAGAAAGGGACGGAATAACACGAGGACGGCTTGCAGGTGAAGGAGCTACCTCTTGCAAGGCCAGCCCCGTGATGCAAAAGATATGAAATCGCATAGTAATTGTGTCTTTCCCACATTTCAGCTGAGGCTGAAGCGGGCAGGCTGGGGGAATAAGGACGGCGCCAGTCCTTGTAGCTTGATTGATCATATGAGCGAGTGAACACTAGACTCAGCCTTGTGAAATGCTGCGAGAAAGTGGAAGAGCAAAGCATCGTCTTCCAAGCAAATTGCTCGGGATTCGAGACCGGATATTGGGGGTGATGTGACTGGCGTGATTACAGGCACGCGTACATGTCTGTGTACTCTGTCCAGCCGTGTATTTCTCCAGAGACATGTGATATGTTCATGTCCATCACTTCAGCTCGAGGTTTGTTTTTAGCAGAAATGAAGAGCGCCACATTGTATTTGACGTTTCTTGCTGCTCGTCTGGACATGCGTTGAGGCGGAGGATGTCTTTGTTGGTATCACAAACCGCGTCTCGTAGCATTCCTCTAGTCCAATTAGGGTTAGTGCGTCTCGGAATACTTTCCTAAACCATTTACTCCATTTCCGCGAAGTTCATCTTGTCTCGCACGCACATCTTCACAGTTCAAAGTAATTTCCTGGTGGTTGCTACAGGGCGTGTTTCGTGCCTCAGTACTCCTCGTCTCATCTACACCATCTCATCCAATTTGGCTTCGTGGTGAAGAACTCCTTGCTTCTCTAATCTTGGAGGAGGGCAGACAATTGTGCCTCGGCATATAGAAACTGCTCCAACTTGATACCCGGCAGGACAAGCCCCAGGACAGACAAAGTAACCAACCAACAGTAAGCATGCTTGCCATAACGTTACCTTAGCTTGTTATCCGGTCTTCCAGTTATCTCCAGATTTATAGATCCACGACTTTGTTATAAACGGGTATTGGCTCAAGTTCGGACTATTACTGTTCAATGTTGTGAAGCCCTCGCTGTGTCAGTCCCGATTTCCTACCCCAGAGGAATACATCTAGTCTGGGTATAAGTCACATTTCTCCAGCCATGGCTCCAAGCAAAGAGGCAGAGCCTAGACAGCTAGATTTCGAAACACACCTTGAGCTGAAGCAGACCGGCCCCGTAAGTAACGAGCGAACAGACACCGAATAACGGGAAACCTGACTGACGCGCATTATTAGGATACCTTCACAAACGTCCATGAACCATGGGTATTCCACATCACAAACACATACCCAGGACCGTTGATGATGGCCCAGGCGGCCGCGGCCGCGTGGAAGACCGTCCCCGATGGCTTCATGCTGGACTCGCTACAGACGTACTTCATGCTGGCACCGAGCCCGAAAAAGCCGTTGACATATAAGGTGCAACGGATTGGCAACGGCCGACGATTTGCAGTGCGGATCGTGACCATTGAACAAGACGAAAAGGCCTGCGTGACAATCACCACGAGTTTCGTCAATGCTGCTCCTTGGTCGGGTCGAGCTATGAACCACGCGGTGCCAATGAGGATTGACAGACGCAAGCGGGAAATCAACCTGGATGATTTTGGTATGATGCGCACACAGCGAGGGCCGTTTATGAAATTCGAGAGACTACCACATGTCCACGAAGGTATGTCCTGTTCTCTTCCTAGCCATCTCGACCAAAGGGCGTTTTACTCACGCCTTCTGCCTCAAGACCCCAAGAGTCCCGCCACAACGATAGCGCCGGTCATTGCGCAGATCGACCCGCCCATCTCATCACCAAGGGGTGCTGCGGCTCACATTCTCGGCATCATCCACGCCTCCGACTACCATGTAATGGACTGTCCGTTGAGCATCCACGGCGTGCCGCACGGGTCCTGGCCGATCGGAGACCAGACCAAGACGCCGCTCCCGTCCGCGATGAAGATCATGACCAGTCTGAACCACACGATCCACTTCCACGCCCACAACGGCTTCCGGGCCGACGAGCTGCTGTACATCGAGGTCACGTCGCCGTGGGCCAAGGACGGGAGAGCCATGATGAACTCAAGAATTTACAGCAAACAGGGCTTCCTGATTGCGACTGTTGTACAAGAGGTATGAGGACGATATACTTCCGATCGCGAGTCACTATCACAGGCTAATAATCAGGGATAGGCTTTCTATGTCTTCAAAGAAGAGAGCGGCGCTAAGCTCTGATGGACACTGCAGCATGAGGCCAGGTGGAAGGGGGTGGATGGATGGGAGGACTTTAGAAAGATCAGATTTCTGCGGCTCTAGCATCACGAATCTGCTATAGAGCGCGCCATTTCGAATCGCGCCATATTAGAGATATCTGAAGTCTGCCCATCGTGGTATTGATCAAACCGAGGATGCGATAGAGAGGACGAATCTCCATGGACAGCCAGCCATGCAGGCAGACAGGACATGAAGACTCTGTGCGTATACTTCACCGTAGCGAGCCCTCCAGAGCATATAAACACTAGCGCAATTTCAATATCATTCTTCTAAACCTACATCCATCCATCTTCTCCATACAATTCCATACGAGCATTGACGATATATTCAAGACCCGTACCCAAAATATCGCGTCGAGACCGGCACTTGAACTCTTTACAAGATTCCGCCCGTGTTCGAAAACCGCGCTACCACCATCATGCAGTGTGTGCGCCAGGACGGCGGTAGATGAAGTTTCAAAACTCGAGTCCAAAACAACCTTGGCTCTACACTTGGCGTCGACGTGGTCCCAAAAAATGTCCGAGTCACTTAACGTCATTGCCCTGATATCGGGCGGCAAGGACTCGTTGTTCAGCGTCCTGCACTGTCTGGAAAACGGGCACAGGGTCGTCGCGCTGGCTAACCTCTACCCGAGCACGACCCGCGAACAACAAGGAGATGATGCTCCCTCAAACGGTCCTCGCGACGAGGACGGGTCGGAAGGAGGCGATCTAAACAGCTTCATGTACCAGACGGTCGGACACTCCGTGATCCCCCTGTACCCAGAGTGTCTCGGCATCCCGCTCTACAGGCGGGAGATTACAGGTTCGGCGGTGCAGATGGGTCGCTATTACGATGCAGGGCAAGGCCAACTCGATGTCGCGGCCGATGAGACTGAGGACCTGGTGCCCCTGTTGAGACAAGTCATGCAGGCTCACCCCGAGGCGAATGCTCTGTGTTCAGGCGCCATACTCTCGACGTACCAACGGACCAGGGTCGAGTCTGTGGCGGTCCGGCTCGGTCTAACCCCGCTGGCATATCTCTGGCAATATCCAGCTCTTCCTCCCCCAGCGGGACGAGGCGAATCCCTAAGTGGATTGCTAGACGACATGAACGCCGCGGGGTGTGATGCCAGAATCATCAAGATCGCGAGCGGAGGCATCAAAGAGAGTCTTTTGTGGGCCAACGTCACAGACCCGAAAACCCAGCTGAGGCTCGTCAACGGGCTACGGCCTTTCTTTCCCGGGCACGAGTTTTGGCTCCGTGGAGCGGTCCTGGGAGAAGGGGGAGAATACGAGACGCTGGCTGTCAACGGGCCCCGAAGACTTTGGAGGAGGAGAATTGTCATTCCGCCAGAGCACCAATCCGCTTATACCGGGGAAGGGGGCGTGAGTTACCTCAGGTTGGCGAAGTCTGGAACGGAGGAGAACATTGCAGACCCACCAGAGGCGCAGGAAGAGGCTCTTAGGATGCCGCGAGCGTTGGACGCCCAGTTCCAGGCCGTTCTGACTGCGGTGGAAGCTCAAGAAGCGGCGAATGTCGACAGAAGTGCCGACAAGCTCAATGAAGCAGACTCGAAGCTGTCACGACAGAGGCTGGACTCCTCCTTGCGAAGTACCACGTCTCTGGCCTCGAGACACATGTCGATATGTAACATTACTTGGAGTGAGCCGAGCGTTGACGGGAGTTCAGGCAGCGCTGCCCGCCAAATGCAAGGTATATGTGATCAGCTGCAATCCTTGCTCGAGTCGGAGACAGGTTCTCTCGCCAACCCGGTGAGACTTACGCCGTCCAATATCGTCGCTGTTGTCTTATTGTTAAAGGACATGTCGAATTTTGGGGCGATCAACTCGATCTACGCTTCGATATTCCGCTCGGGCGAACCTAACCCTCCAGCACGGGTGACCATTGCATGTCCATTGCCAGAGACGACCGAAGTGAGTTTGAACGTGCTGCTCGACCTGGGACCTCGCGACGAACGGCGGGGGCTGCACGTGCAGAGTCGGAGCTACTGGGCGCCAGCGAACATCGGCCCGTATAGTCAAGCCATCTGTGTGCCGGTGGACAGGAAATGGGAATCGGAAGTCAATGTCCACAACGCAGAACTGGTGGAGATGGTCCATATGGCCGGACAGATCCCTCTTGTTCCGCACACCATGGACCTTTCACACGCAGGGTTTCCCGAGCAGGCTGTGTTGAGCCTTCAGCATCTGTGGCGCGTCGGGCAAGAACGAGGTGTCGATCTATGGCCCTGGGGGATAGCCTTTTTGGAAAATTGCACGGACGGCCCTGCTCGTGCGAGAGTCACAAGCAAAGTATGGCGACAAACTCACGTGAAAGGTTCGGGAGTGACACAGATCGTTGAAGACGAGGAAGACAACGGGACTGACACAGGGTTGGATGCCTGGGACCTGCAGTACAACCGTGCTACGACATCCAGCGCACAGACGACGGTGGGCGAACATCTTCATCTTCTCCCGAACCCAAGTGTGTTCCTCAGTGGGACCTCGCCTACCTTCATCCCACCCTTCATAGCCGCCGAGGTTGCTTCTCTACCTCGAGCTGCGCCGGTCGAATGGTGGAGCATGGGACTCACGAACCTGCCCAAAGGGCCGGCATCAAAGCCCAGAGTGTCGGTGGCTCGGAGAGAGCTTGCTTGGGGGTCCATAGTCAAGATGACAGTCCTTCCAGCACACGGGAAAGCAGGCACAACCATTCACTTGATTACGGTGCTGGTCCGCCAAGGGGAAGGGTCTGGGATTAGCGCCGTGGATGGCGCAGACGTGGAGAGGAGCATCCTAGACCTGATCAAAGCAGAAGACACTTATGAGGTGTTGACATTGGCATCGACAGAACTGGTGCATGGTACCGCCTTCATCGCGCTGCGGAGGCAGGAGGAATGGACTGGCATGAGGGAGCAGCATCTCTTCAACAGCCTGGCCGTTATACCGTGCAACTCGCTGTTTGGAGACTCGGGGGTTGAAGGAACAGCGACATCCTGTCCGCCCCTTTCCGTCGCGATGGTCATGCGCATCGACCAGAATCGGAGGCACTCGGGCTGAAGGTGGTGTGCACTGTTTCATCCTTGGATCCGTGATCATGGATTCTAAGAATATCACCTTCGCAGACGAGCAGCTGACTTCCCAATAACAGCAGCAGCGCAAGCGCTATTGAAGCCATTCACCTCTTCCAGACGCCTCGTGAACAAGAAGTCACAGCAGACCTGGAAGAGCCAATCCTCGTATTCATTCCGACAACAGCTTGCGCTGTAAGAATACGCGCTGGGAGTCACGAGGCTGAAGTGCAACCGCCAGCGAATCACATTCAAGCGTCTAGCATGAGAAGTCAGCTGGAATTTTTGACGACACTTATAAGCGCCGAGGGATGGTGTTGGCAGACGACCGCGGCGGCAACTGAGTGACCTCTCTTCTGGCCTTTAAGGGGGGGCTCGATTGTTGATGGGAGTCTCTGCTTCCACGTTGACTCGAGCGCCTACTAGTCATCGCATGTTGGTTCTCCAGGGCGACTAGCTATTCGCCCCTTTGATATGCCCACCTATCTTTCAGCATCAATGCTATCGCCCTCGCTTCTGGATTGCCGCCGGGAGAAGTCCAACAGAAAACAGTCGCAGTTGGGATGTCTTGGGTTTTAATGGGATAAGGATTAGGTCAGCGCACAGACTGGGAGCATCCAATACTCGACGTTCGTGGGCACATCGCCAGCACAACTGATGCAGGACGTCGCTACTGATGAGCTCTTGGTATGCGATCTGGGCGGTTCGTGTGTCCAGTCGACAGCGCCTGTAGTCTTGTGCGCAGTCACAGGCGTCAAGAGAGACGCTGGAGGGCTGGTTGAGTAGCTAGCTGGACGGCTGAGCTCTGTCCTCCAGTGTGTACCTGACCCTTCGACCCTGCAGATGATGTGCAGTTTCACATGGGCGATCAACAAAGTCCAGGGTCCCGAGTCCCAGTTCGGGCAATGCCGTACCTGGAAAGGTACGTAAAGACCATAGACACTCGGTCCCCACCGCCGTGCGGACGTCCACACACCCACACACCACACACAGAGAGAAGAACCTTAGACCTTAAAACAGCGACATCTCGTCCCGCTCTCTGTGCCTATCCACCCCGCCATAGAAAACTTATTTGTCCAAGTAGCACCTGGGTGACTCGGACGTGCGAACCGGTTACCTACCCACCCATCCAGCCATTCGGCCTCTCAAGTCGGGCGATTCAGCCAGCCAACGATCCCGCAAACCCAAGCAGGAAAACTCAAAAAAAAAATAACACGCACGCGCGAGTGAGACAAAGAAGATACCGACGTATGTAGGCCGAACGAATCCGCCGCCGTGTTTGGTTTGTTGGGGAAGGATAAGCAGAAGAAGGTTTCGCAAGCTCGAGGTCTGCATACTGCAGGTAGTGTACGAGCATGCACGTACTGTACGAGCACACCCGCACCCCGTAGCGTATAAGCATACACGTAGTGCACGAGCATACACGTAGTATACAAGTATGCTCGTAGGGTACAAGCATACACGTAGTATACAAGCATACTCGTAGGGTATAAGTATACTCGTAGGGTACAAGCAAGAGGTAGCATACGAGCATACCTATACCCTTATACGAGCATACCTATACCCTTATACGAGCATACCCGTAGGGTATGTACATACTCGTAGGGTATAAGTAAGAGGTAGGGTACAAGCATGCTCGTAGGGTACAAGTATACTCGTAGGGTATAAGTAAGAGGTAGTGTACGAGCATGCCCGTAGGGTACGAGCAAGAGGTAGTGTACGAGTATACACGTAGTGTACGAGTATACACGTAGTGTACGAGCATGTACGTAGGGTACAAGTATGCTCGTAGGGTATAAGTATACTCGTAGGGTACAAGTATGCTCGTAGGGTATAAGCATACTCGCAGGGTACAAGTAAGAGGTAGTGTACGAGTATGCACGTAGTGTACGAGCATGCACGTAGTGTACAAGGACGTAGGTGGTAGATACACCTTTCTGTGGATGTGGATGTGGATGAGGATGCAACTGGTATACGGACTGATAGAGGAAGAGAGGGAGACAGGGACAGACAGAGCGGTAATGAACCTGCATGAGGATGAGCATGAACGGCTGCCCTGCTGCTGAGGTATGGGATACAGGGGACAGTACGGACATGGTACTAGATACCACCAAGGTACCAAGGTACACTCCGTCTGTCGTCCGTGCGAGATACCTACGGAGTAGATACGCACCATGTGTCCTTTGTGTCCTGTGTCCGGTACCAAGTACCTACCAAGTACTGGTACCTACGGGAAGTTTACGTACGGGGGTATCCATTCTCAAGGGTTCAGTGTCCAGTGTCCAGTACCGTACTCCGTACCTGTCCTTGGGCGGCTCCATCCTCTAGATCTCACCATCCAGCCAGCCGGGCTCTGCTCACCGAACCCCTCTCTGCTCGGTTCCTGGTCCCCTAGTCCCTGATTCGGCATTCATGAGGGGGGAAATGGAAATGTTTGACTTTTCGCTCAACAATTACCCTTCTTCGATCCGTTCTTTGATCTCCGAAGGGAGGAGGGAGGGTCAGAGGGTTCAGAAGAAGAGGCGGGGTTGTAGTGCTGGTGTGGTGTGGTGTGGTGGCGGTTCAAGTAGGTAGGTGGTGGTAGTGGTAGGTGACCTGCCGGCTATCAATCTGGGGAACAGATCGACCTTGAGTCGAGTTGATCGGCTGGAGTAACTGGGCACTGGGTAAGAGGACTCGGTGGAACAACCGAAGATATTGAGTTCGTTGTTCGTTGTTAGGTACAGATTCTCCAGCTTTGGGCTCTTGACGAATGGGCTGGGCGGGCGACCCAACCTGGTGGCGCAGCTGGAGACCTGTGAGAGACGGAGAAAGTTTGTTGTTGGGACTTGATCCGTAGGGCTAGAGAGGCTTAAAGTGCATGCATAGCCAAGCACCCATCACCCACTACCCAGGTACTCCGTACTTACCACAGGTAGAGAGATAGGTACATATGTACCGAGTAGGTAATGGACAATGATACCCGTACCCAGACTCCGTAATGATCGTCTCTGACCTTGCACTCAGTCTTGGATTCTTCTTCTCCCGAACAAGCCACAAGCCACACCAGCCTCCCACCCCTCCCACCATCCCCGCGGTAGGGTTCACCTGCGTGTACTCGGTATGTGTGTGTGCACTGTGTGAAGAGAGAGAAAAGTGTGGGTGGACCAGGACCAGCCAGTTCGTAAAGTTATTTCTCCGAACCCGTACCCATACCCATGCCCGCACCCGTCGCTTGAATACTCCGGTATTTGTCTTTGTAGGTTACGGAGAGGTAGCCGGGTGTGTGTGGGCGTGGGTGTATCCAGGGTGTGTGGGGACTCGATTCGTAGATACGAGTATCTACGTAAGTGGCCAGGCACCTGGATAAGGACGAGTAATAGCACGGAATATTTTGCGGAATTTACAGTAGATACTTACATTCAAATAAATGGTAAACACTCCGCAGTGAGCGCTGAACTTTCCGCCTCAGCATCTGGTGTCCGGTGCCTGGTGCCTGAAAAGGTCCTTACATTTGTAGATAGGCGGGGCCACCGCACCAAAGCCTATCTCATCGCGTGTCGCGTCATCGTGTTTACCGCGTAGCGTCGCGTCAAGTCGCGTCTGTTTGACTTTGCAGGTTCCCTTTTTTTTGCCTTTTTTTTCTTCGTCCGCCATTCAGATCCGCGCACGACGCGTTTTTTCCACGCTTTGGTTTCTGGTTGGGCCGTCCGCGGATCTACGGTACTTGGTACAAGGAGGTGAAGAATGAGGTGCTGGTGACATATCGACCCAATCGCCAATCGGAGTGCGAGTGCACGTACGTAAAGGAAGAGAAAGGAAAGGTACTTGCTTGTACGGTACGAGTAGTGCGATGTACCTACATGCAGTAGGTGGAGAGATAGTACAGAGTATCTTGTACCAAGTAGGAGTTTCTTTACGAGATCCACGAGGTAGGTCCCCATACACTACTTGTAAGTGCTTGCATACGTACAAGTGCATACGAGGTACTCGTCCTGGTTGATAGACAGGTGGACAGGCGGAAAGGCTGATAAGGTGATAGGACCAGTACTCCGTACCCAGTACTCGGCAAGAGGTACGATGCACCGAGTACTGAGTAAGCTTTCCTTTTCTTTTTCATTCAGCTGTGTTCCAGTGTTGAGCCTCCGAGCCTCCTCGCCTACTGTCCCGCGCTCTCACCTCTCACACCAGTGCTTGGAAATCCCCCCTGCACTAGCCTCGTTTCATATCCCGACGTACGTGCATTGCGTTGCCCGCAGTGCCCCTTTCACTCGGAGGACCTCAGCCGCCTCAGCCAGCCGCTGTCGCCCATCAATACCACCTGGTGGGTGCCTGGCGAGCTGGGTACTCTTATCACATCACCTCATGAAAAATATGTACCTCGTATCATATTATCGACTTGTTTTTTTTTCTTTCCCTCGTTTGCAACCGCTCACCCCTCTCGTCCCCCCCCTTTTTTTCTCTTGCTCTCTTTTTTTGATTTTCCATCTCACCCTGCTCTACCATTCGCCAATTCAATCAATCACAATCGTAGTCGCGTAGGGAGGAAAGGGGTAGACAGATACCATGATGTACTCGGGAGGGAGGGCAGGGATACTTGAGTGAGAGGAACCTACGAAAAAGAAAAGATAGAGGTAGAAACGAGATCATGAAGTAATGTACATGAAGGGGGGGTCTCGCTGAGTACAGAGTACCTCATATCCAGTGCCTAAAGCCCAATGCCACGCACCCCTGCAGGCAGGCTGGCCAGGGCCATCCAACTCTAGACCCAGCCAATGCAAAAAAGTTTCTCTGGATCGTTCTGGGGCTTCTGGCGTAAATCTGCTATCCAACATCCAATATCCGTTATCTGCTATCGATATAGATATCGATATCGATAGACAACACACGGCAACGATATCTTCCCGGCACATCACCGTCAGATCAGAACCCGCGGAGTACGTAGGTATCTAACGCCAGAGGATCGACTGCACTCAATTTTGTCGGAGCATGCATGTAATCTGTGAACCTACCTCGTAGCAAGCACACTGTACCTCGTACTCAATACTCGACACGCATACAGAGGAGACGGATGATTTACATCAACGCCCCGCCTACTACTCCGTACTCAATACTCAGAAGAATTCAATGTCAAAAGTTAACAATATCTAGTAGTACAAGTACACTGCGGTACATACAGGAACTCTGGAATGGCTGTCAATACTGCGTACGAGAGCATTGTTGCTGTTGCTGTTGCTGTTGCTGTCGCTCTCGCTGTCGCTGATCGTCCTCGACTTTGTCTGGTCTTACATCCTCCGGGAGCCTGCGCTTCAACCTCTCATCTCCATATCTCCGTCCTCACAAAAGGAAAAAGTTTGGCTGAAAAGTCAAAAGCAATAAAAAATTTGATCTCGAAAGAATGAAAAGAAGAAAAAATCTCGGTCGTCCTCTGCCTCCAAACTCCTCCCCTTCCCTTCCCTTCCCTCCCCTCCCTGATGTCTGCCACCCACCAAGAAAAGGCCATAGAATACAATGGGTCTTGAAAAGTCGAAGTTAAAAGGTTCTAAATCACTTTTCTTCCCATAGACATACACATTCTTGAGCTCCTGCGTTGGTTTTTCCCCCGTCTCGTCGACTCCGATTTGGTTGCCCCAGTAGGGTGCTTTGGCGAGGAATCCCTGACAAATATTCCTGTATTGGTCCTGAATCACATCATAAAGATCATTGCGGTCGTGGTTGTTTTGTGTGTTGTTGTTGCTTAGAGTTATTTTGAGTTTTCACATGATGATTCTTGGGTTCATTCGTGAGGTCACATCTGGTATATTTACAGGGATTCGTCTCGCTTTCTCTTCTTCAAAGCACGCTTGCTTTCTCCCGATGACGAATCGGAAGCGCTGCTGCTGGACGACGTTGCCAAAGCGGCTCTCTGTGCCGCCTCGTACAGCGCATGGCCCATTTCCTCGTCGAAGGGTTGATGGGGTTGGAGTTCTCCATTCTCAAGGACACCCATCACGATGGCACCGCTACCATGGGTACGGGCATGTTGAGCGAGGTTGTCTGAGCGAGAGAACTTCTTGCCACACTCGTTGCATTCGAATGGCTTGTCTTGTGTGTGCAGAGAGCGGTAGTGACGCTTGAGATGTTCTTGTCGGCGGAAGCGGCGTGAGCACAGCGTGCAGACAAAGGTCTTGGAGGGGTCCTCGGTCAGGGATTGCTTGCGTCCACGTCGGTTGGCGGGAGCTTGCGACGGAGTAGAGCCATCGGCGTTGCTTGAGCCGTTGTTGTCATCATTGTTGCTTTGCTGCTCCTGGGGAGTGCCATCGGAGTTGCTTTGGCCATCGGCGTGGCTGTTGATGTGGGCATCGGACTGAGTGAAGGAATGGAACTCCAAATCACTGTCAGTCGAGCCAGTGCGCTTCATCTTGCGTTGAGTCTTCTTCTTGGATGCGCAGCACGAGCCCGAGTCAGAAAAGGATGAAGCGGGAGGTGACAACAGCCCCGCGTGGGCGGCGTGTTCGTCCTCGTCAAAGCTGCCGAAGCTGTGCACACTCAAAAAGTCCTCCTCTTCACCGATCGACAACTTGAGTCTCTTGTCGCCGTTGTAGGCAATCTCGGGGTCGGTGAAGTTGACAAAGCTGAACTCGTCTTCCGAGTCGAACTCGGTGCAAAAAGAAGTGTCAAACGAGGGGTTCTCAACGAGAGTGAAGGGGTCGGCAGTTTCATGCTCGGGGGTGATGGGGAAGGCTTGTCCCAGGGCAAATTTGTGCTCGTCGTCTTCGGCCGATAGAGTTGGCAAGGGAGGGAAGGTCTGGACGGGAGCCGAGACCACGGGTTCGAGTGAGGTTGAGGTCAAATCTCGCAGGTTGACAAATTCAGCCACGGGATAGGCAGATGGCGAGACTTGAGATTGGGGTGAAGCTGGGGCCAACGAGGGTGATGTGCAGCTGCTCAAGTTGATGGTGCTGGCTGTGGATGCGGCAGAACGAAAGGAGTCGGTGCCGTTACTGGGGACCATTGCGGCCTTGGCATCACCGGGATGCGGGAAAATGTGCACCTCTGCCGTTTTCCTCGTCAGTCAAACCGTTTCACACTCACTCCCCCCCCTCTTTGGGGAGGTTTTCACTGAAACCGGATAGTACTTACGTCCGTTCTCCGCCCACTCATCGAGAAATGTAAGAGGCTGCATTTCCTCCTTAGATGCTTCGATGGGCAAGTTGAAGTACCCGGCGCCGTGCACGGGCGTCTGGTTCACACTGCTGGCCGGAGGGCTGCTAGCGGTGCTGGGGCAGGCCGAGAGACATGGAGTAGGAGGTGAAGAGTGCCGGCTCTCCAAAAAGTGTCCGTGTTCCATGTGGGCGTTGCTGTCCAGCATCATCTTGGGCATAGCCATCGGCATGGCCAGGGTCAATGGTGGTGACGCTCGGGGAGTCAGAACCTGCTGAGGCACGTAATGCGCATGAGGGTGTCCTTGGGCAAATGGAGCCGGACCTTGCCAGTACTGGTGAATCATGTACTGCTGGTGCGGGTGTTGGTGTTGCAGGTGATGAGGATACCCAGCCATGGGGCTATATGCAGGCTGCTCTGCTGGCATTGGCGTGAACACAGCGTTATGTCGTGCGTCCGAGTCGGGCCGGTACTGGTAGAATTGGATCTGTTGAGTTGCCATGGGATATGAAGCTTCCATTTCGAATGGTCTTTTGACAGAATACAAAAACTTGTTTCTGTTCCTCCTTTTGTCCTTCGTTCAGCTTACTGTCTCTGGCAGCAAGCCTTGGAAGTGATTGTGGTACAAGTTGGTACAAAGAAAATTGCGATGTGTCCAATGAATGGCTATGTCGTCGTCGTCTCTCAGGTTGTGTCCCTTTTTGTTCTTTTGGTCTCTGGGGGTTCAGGTCACTAGCTTAAACTGTACATGTAATAGTTGCAGGATATGCTGATAACCGAGCAGGATCTCTCAAGTCAAGGGATTAGAGATGGAGGTATGGTACAGTTGATGTGATGTGATGTTGATACAGGCTGTGTCAAAGGAAGGACAGGATATTTGTTCAATAGTTTGTACAAGCAGGGTTTTGTTGTACAGGTTATATTGAACAAGGATCCGGAAAGGCCTGGGGGGGTTGGTTCAAATGAGAGAGAGAGGGATGGATATAACAGAAGTAAAAGAAGGTGTAGATCGCGGGGGAGATAAATGAACGACTTTGTCCTCTGATATGAGGGAAACGAGAGCGAAGAGGCAAAGAAGGATAAGAGCTGGACTGGTGCTGGGGTGCCAGAACGAGACCATAAAGAGTCGATCGCTGTGATTTCTCGAGGCCGGTGGGCGTAGTGGGCGTAGCAGCACCACCAGTGCCTTGGGTCTCCTGCACCTCGATGGAGTTTAGTTGGATGGACTTGCATGGACCGGGCGCTGCATTGGGGCCCGTAGTTGGTGTTGTTGGTTAGACCTTTTGGACCCTGGTCAGTTGACGGGTTCACTGACTTTGATGCGAGGGTGGAGGCCGCGGTCTCACCAACCCCCAGTCCGTCTCAAAGACTATCACCCACTAAAATAGGTTCCACTTTACGGCTGGCACCCTTAGAGCAGCGACCTTGGTAGGTACTGCCAGGCACTCAGGTGCCTTGGTGCCTTGGTGCCTGGGTGCCTGGCTAAGAAGGAAGAGCCCGGCCTGGTCCCAGTTCCAGTTGGTCCCCTTGGTCCCTTTGGCTGGGCTGTGCTGGAGCGCCGCGCCCGAACAAGGACTATCACGCAGTACCCGTATGCATGGGAAATTGCACTCTGGGCTCAGCACACGCACCACCTGCATCCCACCTCATCATGTCTTTTTTATGATTTTTTTTATTTTTCGGGAAGCGGGAAGAGGGAGAGAGACCAGAGAGGGGGGGCATTGTCCTGTCCATGACGCACAAGTTGACCTTTCGGGTGGCCTTTCTCGTGGGTGTGTAAGTGACTGGGTGAAGTATTCGGAACTCGTTCTTGTATGGCTGGTGAGATATTGGAATTGTGCCTCTGCAAGTAATCCTATAAAGGAGTGGAAATGACCAGAATGACCACCTCGACCCGGCTATTGGAGGAATAAAAGACGTCCATCACAAAACACTGCCGCTCCTCAACCTCATGAGTGGTCCCCGAGTATTCGAGTACTTGTCAAGTTGAGTCCGTATACCATCTTGGCTTCTGGGATTATCCAACATCAAACGGGGATGCGTTTCTCGTACCTTGAAGTGCTAAAACAAAAAAGTATGTTCGACACCGATCCTCCAATCCTCCCTGCCTCTTGTCGTATTCAGACATGACCTGGTCTTGTCTTGTGTGAGGTGATTCGCTTGCCACCTTGTTATCCGAAGATGGTTGAGACAAATAATGGTGGTGGTGGTGGGCAAATGACGTGCTGTGGTGTCGTTCAACCCAAACTGTATGTACCTCGTAATCCAGGGAGCATATCGCGCGTACCGAAAAGACAGAATAATGACAGAAAGACGTGTGATGCTCCCCCCAAGCCAAGGCACGGTCCATGGCCCATGTCCCATGTTCATGTTCCTGACTGGGCGAGTCGCTGGCACGTCAAAACGCCAATCATCAGCGTGACGTGGAAAAGCAGATGGTGATAAGCTGCCGTCCTCGGGTTCCCCTGGAGCGAATCGCTGGACCGGACACTTGTTGGACTCTATTCTTGGATTTTACGAGTGCGCCTCCCCGAAAGCCCAGCAGCCCATAAAGCCCATATTGCCCATAGTCAACGCCTACATGTATGGCAATGGGAATGCTCACCAAGGACAAATCCATTGAGTCTGTGTAGCCTGTTAAAATAACTCATGGCTGTTCTTTCCCTACGAGTAGACGCCCAAGCTGGATGGATATTCTCTTCTCTCGCTATCTGGACTGGTGGATTGGTGGATGGTGGAAATTCGTAGCCGTCATCATCACCAGCTCCCCTTCTTCCCAGCACACCTGACAATAATGTATGTGTCTGTCACAGCGTCACCCTACTCTTGCCTTTCTGTCCTATCCTTTCCTCTTCGGGCATTTATGCTTCGGGTGTCTGTCTGTGATGAATGGCATGATGGGAATCACACAATCGGAAAGGAAAGGTGGTGGGTGGTAGATGGTGGCAAGTATTGTACCTGGTAGGCAGTGATTTTTTCGGAACAGCAATAACTTGGTAAGCGTCACAGGGAAAAAAAAAGTAAAAGCCATCAAGGTTGTGCAGACAGACGAGACGGGCGAGCTTGCATGGCTGCATGGCCAGCCACGGTGCAAATGTCTCAGACTCTACAAGGTATGAAAGAGCAGCGAGTCCACTAAAACTGTGCCGACATATGCAGGTACGACAGTGATCGCGTCGCCCGTGTCGCGCGCATGCGCCCCCCCTCATCATCCAATCCTCGCCTCCTCACCCACTCCGTCCTCCAGCCATTGACGAAAGAACGAAAAAGTCAACTGGGTAGCAGAACCAAGAACCAGACAGCTGGCTTTGGCATGGCATGGCATGCATGCATGCGTGGATGGTTTGCTTTTCCCGGATGGATAGACTGCGCTTTTTTGCCTTTTCTCATGTTACCCGACAGAGGCAGAGAGGTAGAGGACATGATTGATTGGCTTCCCAGGTGGTGGTAAACAGTCCAAGTTCACATGCGAAAAGAATGAACGCATCAAGAGTCGACGAGTGGGAGAAGTACCTAGTAGTAGTGGGATATTCCTTATTCCCATTACCTACTCGTACACCAAGTACAAGTATTCGCCTCTCGGATCAGACAACTGGCTTTTCCCCGCCGCTCCCGCCAGTATAGACAGCTGATCGGGTGTTTCATCTCTTGCAGCTGCAGACCCGAGGTTTGGTCGGGGACCTTGACTATGCCTTCGTAACGAGGGACTGTCAGCAGCCTCTGTTTCTTCCAAGTTACCACTCGCACTGGCTGCTCCGGACCAATTCGTACCCACAGCCCGTCTTCTGTTGCATCGAGTCATTGCTGGTCCACCTGCAGAAACGAGTGTGCTCGTAGCTAGGGACCCTATCTCCAAGTTATGACGACTTGTGGGATTCTGATAGTCCGTCCTAGGTAGCAGTGTTGCTACCAGTGGATCCTGCATCCCAGTCCGTACAAAGGTCAGGGTTTCAAGAGCCCGAAACAAAGGTCCTGGAAAGGCGTGGATGCTGGCTGGCACTTGGTGGGGTGACCATTTCTTCCTTGTAGCGGACACGTATCGATAGGCATTTCTTTAGTCAATGTCTGGTTTCTGGGTCAGGACTCCAGCAGCCCTGCAAAAGTTGGGCCCCCCCAGAAGGTCGTGGAGAACAGAGTTACTCGTACTCTTTGCGCTGGGAGGAGATACCTCTGCAAGCTCTGTCATCTGTCTTCGGGTACCCTGTATGACAGTATATACGAAGGCTCTGAGAAAGTATGGAAGTGCTTCCCGTCGACAAGGGAACTCTCTTTTGGTCAGGCCTCTCTCTTCTGTGGTCATCATTTGCCAATAGTGAGTGCAGGGTCTGATCTTGCCTTGTTTGCTTCTTGCCGTGGCAAAGAGTGTCCCTTGTCACTCGTCCTGGTGTGCCTGGCTATTAATCGCCTGCCACACCACACCTTTCCGCGCGCACACCCACCTTCTGAGTTGGACGCGAGATCGAAGGAAACCCTGGGTCGACAAAGCGGCACTTGTTTCCTCTCACTCACTCGTTCCGCTGGTGCCCCAAGCAAAACGGTCTCGACGGATGGCCCAATGGTGGATTTGTTCAGCTCAAGCCATCGCTTGGGGAGTCAGGCACATCCAGAGCACTAGGGAAGAGTAGATCCCAACGGTGTCTCCTCCCAGGAACCATCACCTTCCCTCAGGTACCCGAGCATCTCCACTTTGCCCCAGGACCCAGAATGGCTCTGATGGCCCTGGTGGCCCTGCGCGCTTTTCTCACATCCGCGACCCGGGCACATCCATAGTGGGCATCAAACTTTTGGCCCTTGCCCCCTGCCTCAAGCCGACGGCCCCAGGCACCAAGCTACAGGCGCCGTCCTTCGCGCGCGCGGGTCCCGCGATGGGTAGTGGTCCGTGTCTTTGATGGCCCTCCCATCTCGCGCCGAATAGGCCTAGGGCCCTTCCAGAATGCTCGCTGTTGATTCGACTCCACTGAGGACCGCGGTCTTGGGCCACCACAAACCAGAGCCAGAGCGTGGCAAGTTGACGCCTATCTTTGCCCAACCAAGACTGCTATCAGCCCGCGAATGCCACCAGAAGCACTTCGAGACCCGCAGCGGCCAGGACCCTAACGCAGGAACATTGTGGACATTTCATGCACGATGTGCTCGACTTTTCTCCGGTGCCCAATTGGAGCTCTTGGGCTTGCTGCAGGTACCAAGACTCTTTTCTTTGCCTGGCTACCACGGTGGTCCATCAGTGGCCAAAGACCTCCTCTTCTGCCCGCCCAGGGAGCTGCAGCTCGTGTTTCAGATTCGAGGCGATACGGCAATGCCATGTGCTCATCACTCGTATGTGTGCCGTCTCGATCCTTCTGCCGACACGTCTTCTGTGTGGTTGTAACCCTCTTGACCCCATCATGTTTCATGTTTTTCTCTCGGACAGCGAAATTTTGCAATTTTTTTCTCTTTGGCGACACCAACTAGTTCTACCACGTTCTTGGTCGCTTCTAAGCTCGATTCGTTATCTGGACGCTAGAAGCTGGTGGGCTTGATCAGAAATCCTCCAAAATTGGTACTGGACTATCTCGGCGGCCCGAACGGCGTTTTCTAGGTGAACTGGCCCTTTCGCTCCAGGCACAGTAGACCAGGATCATGTGCTGTTACCCAATGCCGATACCACAGGGATTTCGCTCTTGACTGTGGGTGGCGGAACTCTTTCGCTAGACTTTGTGCGGAGGGAAGACTTGGTGCTTCCGGGGAAATTGCATCTCCACTTTCTCTATCACCTTATCGATGGATGGCGTCGGGGAAGGAAGCAAGACGTCTTCAACTTAGTCTCGTTTAATGGGTTGGTCAATCACCACTTTTCTAACTCGGGCAGTCACTTTCACCTGAGCTTCTGGATTCCATGGGGCGTGGTCTGTTCGGTGGCTGCCGTTGAATACTCGGACGGATTATGGACGTCGCCTCTCTTTTCCGTGGTGGTTCTGGCTGGTGGTCTAAATTTCGCCTCTTGACGAAGTTCCTCCAAGCCGCCTTACTCCGATTACGGTCGAGAAGTACGAATTATCATCGGGATGATTGCATCTATCTTCTCGCGCGAAAGCCGGAGACTCAGAGTCCACTGGCCTCGACTCGTAACATGCCAACCTCGGACAGCTCCGTCTACTGGAGCCGAGATGTAGGTTGTAGCAGACTGTCAATCCGCGGGGCAGGGCACCTTTTCGCCGTATCAAGAGCTGGATGAGTGCCGAGTCAACCGTGTACAAGTGACAAAGTCAAGAGACTCTACGACGTACCGAGTACATACATACCTACATGCCGGTTATCGGGGTCCTCCTATCATGTGCTGTGTAGTGCTGTTCTGCGCGGGTGGTGATGGATACTTTCCCTTCTGTCCTCCATGTGACTGGATGCGCATTGGGAGAGTTCATGACGAGTTCGTCGACTCTTTAGAGATTGTCGATCTTGAACGACGCCACCGTCACGATCCATCATCTTGTAGGTAGAAGAGTCAGTAGATGGCTATGGCGAAACCTACCATGCCAACTCATGTTCAGGCCCAAGGCTGGCACGGTTCGAGCTGGGTTTGAAGACGATCGAACCCTGGACCCTGATCCATGTCCATGGGAGATCATCGCTCAGGGTATGTGCTTGTACCTCATACTCCGTACCCAGTACTCGGTACAGATGTTCAGGCCCAACCGACTGAACTTTGGCTGGCACGGCTGGCACGGCTGGCTAGCTGCCTGGTGCCGGAAAAGGTGGTTAGAGAGAATATTAAGGTACCTACTTACGGAGTATGCTTGACGTCTACGCGAGATGGGGAGGATGAACCGGCCCCCAAATCCCAATCAATTCCAATCCCGGGTTTGCTTGCGACTGGATCTCGTACCGAGTACATGTAACATAATTAATTATTACCAAAATGGAAAAAAAAAGAAGAAGGCTGTGCAGGCAAAAAAATGCAATCAAACAATCAAACAGTGACCAGAGGGCAACCCTGCTGCCCTGCCAACTTTCCCAGAGAGCCTTGCCCTTGCCTCAATACCCTTCCCTGCCTGTCCACAATAATCCACGTGTGATTTCGAATCCTGGTCTCATCTCGTCTCGCTCCCACGTCTACGATCCCTCGGGAAAAGGAATCAGGATCATGATTGAGTAGCTGAGCAGGCACCGAGTACTCGGTAGCCACGACTCACCGCAGTACCCAACCTCGTCCTTGTACTACTCGTTCGAGTACTGCGAGTACTACGAGAACTTGGTTCTTGGTTGTTGATACTTGGTTCTGGGTATCCAGCTTTAAAAAAGAAGCCTTAGAGCTTGTGTCACAACGAATGAACGCTCTTGTTCATCCACCTGCACGATAGCATTTTTTTCATCCTGCCGGGCAATGGAGTTCGGAAGCTTACAGTACACATCTCAGTATCCTTTTTGACACACGGACTCGGACACGCAATGTGGCTGAACTGGCTTGCCGGTGGCTGGACAGAGAAAGTGTGTCCAACTAGTAACGCCTCCGTCAGAGAATCATGACGTCCTTGACCAGCTCGAGCGGGTAGAAAGGGCCCAGGAACCTTCAAACCGTGCGCCACTTGCGGTTTAATCGTGTGTTGACTTACAAATGGACAGATGGCGAGGACGTCCGCGACGGGTGAGGTCTGCATTGATCTACGCTTTTGGGGTGTAGAGGTACGTGTACTTGGTCCTTGGTACTTGGTAACTCGGTACAGCTAATGCATTCATGCTCTTTGTCCAACCTCAGCCTAGCTGCCAGCTTCACCCACTGGCAGTCTACGTGGTAGGGTTACTACCGAAGAAAAAAAAATGCTTATATCAAGGAAACTGCAGGATCGACAATCGCCGCCGGCGGAGCTTTGGTGAAACACCCCAGGGTCTTTGCCTATAACTTACCCGCAAAACTCTGCGAAACAAGAAATGGATGGGATTGTCCTTGATATTACCCAAATTCTCGCATTTCCTCGACCCCTTTTGGAGGGAACAAGAAATCCGAGGGGTTTTGGTAAGCAAAATGACGATAGAACCCGAATCTGATCCTCCAGCACAAGCCATAAAAAGTGTCCTTGCCGATTCCCCTTTTTTGTCCATTTGTGAAGATGTCGACTGTCTGATTGGAGTGGGAAGCGGATGGCGAAGGTCCCCACAATGAAACAATGCGATGTTTCGTGGTTCATGGCCTTTCGTAGAGCCCAGCCAACTACCAGATTCTTGTCAGTTGTGAATACAGATGTATCTCACCCTTGATCATAGTACAGTGAACAACTCATTTTCGACAACAAACAATAAACGGGAGATGGCAGCGAGTTCAGGCTACACAATGCAGCCACGATGACATGAAAGGAGTCTCGTGCCACAAACTGGCAGCGAGTACGAACAACCACCCCCCCCCCCTACCTCAAGGAACTTGTCTGTCTTTCATCACGATATTGCACAGTCGTGGACTAAGCGCACGCGACAGCAGTCACATTATCGAGACTGCGGAGCAGGTGAGCGCCCTAGAGTGGCTGGACGATAATGATAATTTCGAGGCTTCGTGCACAGCTGAAATCATTTCTGTGGTGCACAAGTCTGCCACTGCACCCTATTTCTGCGAAAAGCCCACTTGATATCTCTGAGCAATATGACCCGCGAAGTTCGCTCATGCCGCTTGAGGGGATGGGAAGGACAGGGGTTTAGAAGAAGATACAAAGCAATCACCACAAAACTGCCCGTGGCTGAGAAGAGGAAAAAAAAAGTCAGATCTGGCTTCAGAATATCAGTCAATATTTGAGATCATGCTCACGCTCCACCCACCCAGACAAGGGTCCAGATGAGGGAAAGCAAACAATCATTCTCTTCCTATCAATAAAATTTGCTGTTGCAGTTCATCACAAGCCATGATTACAAAAGTTCAAAATCCAACTGATGGCCACAAGGGAGGAAATTTCTCTGAAGAGTCCCCAACCTTTCGCCAAGACATTTATATCGGACTAGGCCCAGTTTGTGATAGCTCCCTCTTCTGCTAGCGCTCTTATCGAAACTACAAGTCGAGATTTTTCCGTGCCTCTTCTTCTTCTCTTTTTTCCTTTTTTCGTGCAGCGCTGCCACTATCAATTACCCCTGTGTTGCTTGGCCCATGTTTCTAAATTCTCCATAACGAGACCAAGTGTCAGTGGCAGCACAGATCAAACCATAATTGCAATTACCGATCTCCTCGACGAGTTGGATGAAGAAACCCATTTGAGTGGCTGATGAGTTTGGGCTCGTTGAGTGTTCCTGCGCTGGTCTATGCGTGGGGTCGGACATACTATGTTTTGCGTAAGCAGGGTTGGACGAGTACCAAAAGTTTGACCAGAGGCTCGTTCTTGGAACGTGCAATAGTGTTGAAAACCCAAGTACATGGCTACCAAGAGGAGAGTCTGGAGGGTGGGTGTATACAGCAGCAAGCAAAGTCATAGGCTGCGGTACAAGTCTGGGTCTTCGAACTGCCTGAAGATGAACAGAAACTCCATCCAAGTTCTATGCTCTTTTGTTTGCAGTGTTGCTTTTCCCCATCTAATGAGTCGCTTTTGTCGCCAGCCTGAATGCGGTCGTCTCTCATGTCGTAGTGTTGAGGTCATGCCCTCATTCATCTCCTCCGATCTTTTCGATCTTCCCATCCCTCTTCTCTCCTGTCTCGCCAATGACTCTAATACGATCGATCCGGACTTTTTCGTTGTCTCCTTCGCTCTCCACCACAAACACCACCAGGCTAGACACATTTTGAAATTTGACAATGCGCAGTTCAATTTTGGCAGTCCCTGTTTTTGCATCCCAGTCCTTCTCTGACAGTGTAATCTCCTGCGCCGCTTGTGTATCGTCGGCCTCGTCAAAACCAAGGATGCGAGGTCTATTGGTGTAGACCTTGACCAGCTTCGGTCGGCTGGGGGACTCGTCGTCGTCGGTGTTGTCGGGTAGGGAGGTGAGGTGTAATGAGTGGATTTTTAGCGTGGACATGAAGGGGAGGTAGAGCATGAGCTGTTCGTCCGTGTCGCTTTCGACCCAGTCTGATTTGTCCTCTGCTTTTCCTATGGGTCGCCATGCATTAGAACATTTCAACACTCAGGTGGGAGAAGCCGCCTAAAAACGCTTACCTTTGGGTTTGGTTCCACTGATCAATGTTCTCGCGTTTCCATGCTCCGAGTCCCAATTCAGCAGTTCCATGCCCAAGACATCCACCTGAGAAGTCACGTTGCGGTATCCTCTTGGTAGCTCAAGACCTACCCATGTGCTATCGCTCGAGTCCTCTGTATCCTCGCCCGTTTCTAACTTGTTTGCCTCATTGGCCAATTCCTTCACCGCGTTCGATAACTGCTCCCGGTCTCCGCCTTGGATGACTTTGACTGTCTGCGCATTCTTGAAAACCACAAAGGTGGGCAGTACTCGGATGCCATATGACCGGGTGATGTCCTGCTGTTTGTCGGTGTCGATTCTGGCGAACGTGATCTTGTTTGGGCGCGACAGTTGTGCCGCGAGTTGCTCGAAGATGGGGGCGATCACCCTACATGGTGCAAACCAGTCGGCATAGAAGTCGGCCACGACGATCTTCGATGACGAAAGGAGGACTGAGAACTGGTCGGTCGACTCGATATGGACTAAGCTGGACATGGTGCTGGCTTCTTTAGCTGGCCAGACGCCGTGGGTTGAATCGAGGAATGGGGATAGATGTATCCCGTTATCGAGTATGAGACGGCGCAGTCTCGGTCACGGGACGGTCGCGGTGCCAAACTATTCCGTTATTGATGAGAACCAGAGCCAGGACATCCAACAAGGGAAACCGTTCAGACCAAGCAGAATCAGGAAACCGTGACTGGTTCCCGTCAAACCTCGAGGTGTTTGTAATTGGACTTGGGCTGCGGTGGCTTCAGCCCCCGCCTTTTCAGCCCAGCGCGGGCCGGGATTTCTTTTCACCGAATCAGAGCATCGCATTTCCTCGTCTGGTATCAATTCTTGATGCTTCACTCGTCCCATATCGATCTCCTCGTCCCGCCATCCCACTACTGTCCACTACTTGACCTTGCCGTCCACGATGCCCTGGCACCCGTCTATCTTCAGCCGCTCTAGACGGTTCAATGACCTCTATAACTTCTTCACAGTTCCGTCTTCGCTTAGAGCTGCGGTATGACGCATACAAACCTCAAGCTGAATCGGTGCGCATATGCCAGAGCGATCCAGCCTATGGTAGCTCGATGTGCCTGTGCGTTACGCACTCGATTTGGCTTCAAGAACTCTCCAGTGACTCTGCCCCAAGCGAAGGGACCAGAGTTCTTCTTGTATAAGATGGATCTTCTCTTCGTCGATGTTTCTGCTTCAAGTCATCATCCTATTCTGATCTGCAAATGTCCGCTACCACATGGCTGCTGGACGCACCAACGTCTTCTTCGTGCCCTACAGGCCTCACTCAAAGTCCAAAAAACCGTCCTCGGGTGAACCTGCCATCTCACAGCAGAAACATGCTGCTCGTGAGTACCATCGAAAGGCCAAGCTGGAACGACTCGCTAAGCTAAACGCTGTACATAACCGCGATGCACGCAGTGCCAGTGAAAGTCCTCCACCTGGTATCTCTTCTCGGCCGCCCCTGCTTCGAAATAAGACCTTCCCGGAAGATGAGATTCGTAACAGGACATTTGCTGTGTTTGATGTTGGCACTGGAGTGTTGGATCCCTTCAATGCCTGCGTCCCCAGTGGTGTACCTTCATATGCTCTCGACATTTTAGCCTATGGTAAGTTTGTAGCGTCATGGCCCTTCTCAGATCAAACACATCCTCCTAGACATCTCGTTCTGAAGACCTTGAAGACACAACTACTCATTACATTTTCAGGTCGTTCGAATCTTGAAGCCGGCATCTCCCTCTGTCTTGCACACTACCCCCTTGCACCGGGAGCCGCAGCCTCCTCGCTCATCCGACCGACAGCCGCTTCGAAGCAATGGACAATAGCCAGCTCCTCCAACAGCGTCCTTTCAGAGGGGACTATCAAAATTGCTCTGTTAGCATGTGCGATGCAATCTCGCGCCGCATTCTGGTCCATTATTTTTGCGTAAGCCATTCCTCCTATTGGGCACCACTCCCGTGGTTGATGATACCTCTATTGGACACTAATTGTGAAGAAGAGGCGCAACCCATAATGCCTATCTTCAGGGCGAAACAGGTACCCCCAGTCGCAACCGTACGTTACGGTTATCGTACAAGACTCAAGCCATCAGAGAGCTAAATGTGGAGATCCAAGAGCTTCAAGGCCCAGCTTCCGACGAGCTCCTACTTGCCATCATCACACTAGCCGCCCATGGATCTGGGGAGCAATTGGAACCCCCTCCGCAAGGAGAGAATCTGAGCGCGTTACAATCGGTGCAGAGCTTTCAGTACTACGGTCGCATGCAGAGCGAAGCGGCACATCTGAAGGCTATCTGCCATTTGGTATATCAGAAGGGAGGTCTGCATACCGTGAAAATGCCCGGACTGGCGAACGCCCTTGCGTTGTACGTCGCCCTGAAACCCCTCGCTGGTGTTTTGGCACTCAATTAACGCTAAACAGGGCCGATATCTTCTATGCATTCCAAGATATGCGGGTGCCTGCATTTCCGCTGCTGGCGCCAACAAGCTTGATCATGTCGACATGGCCTGCAAGTTCCACGCGTCTAACTCCATCCCTCCAGAACTTGGCAAGTGGTTTCCAAGATCTGGAGGATGTGGTTGGCTTTGCACCGTTGATGCAGATCGTCAACAACGCCCGTCTGATCACCATTGGATTTGATGCATACCTATCCGGCCTCTCCTCGGCGCCGTCTCTCAACCAGATAGTCTGGGCCAGAAACTTCATGACGCACGACCTACTCTCGGCCCCCTCAGAGCTCCTAGTTCCATACTCTCGCACCGGTTCATCCTCACCACGGGATAACGATAGCTCAAGTATCATGGTTCACAGCTTTCCCCTGCAATCTCTACACAACCTCGTTCGGCTATCGACCATGGCATATACACTTATAGTGCTCTTTCCTGTACCAAGCGTTGCAGGTATCCATGGTAAACTGACACGAGAACTAATGCTTGCACTAGACAACTGCACTGTTCTGGAACTTTGGACGACGCATTCGAGGTTGTTGCTTTGGAGTACCATCCTCGGAGGGGTCATTGCACAAAACACCAGTCTTCGGCCATGGTTTACCGAGATGATCAGACAAGCCCGGACCAAAATCCCCCGTCTAGCGCTCTTGAACGCGAAGAGCAGAAGTAGGAGCAAGAGCAGACACTCGAGTCACAGTATGAGTTCTGTTAGTGACGACGACGGGACAGATGGGGAGTCGGACGCGCCGTGGCCAGTGGTGAAGGACAATTGTTTTCGGTTTCTCTGGTTCGACGGTCCCGAATGTGACGGTCAAGGTCGAGTGTTTTGGGGCGAAGCGTGCGACGACACGAGCAAGCTAGCCTAGCCACGGAAAGAGTGTTTGGAGAATTTCGTCGTTGGTCGGGAGTCGTGATAAATTCATTGATTTGTTAGAATTGGTGGTTGTGTTCGTGGGTGAAGCAAGTAAGCAAGTAATTGCGCAAATAATCATGATACAAAACTAGCGTTAATCGTACATTGCAAGGTACCAAGCTACTACCAAGCTACTACCAAGCTACTACTGAGGTTGGTAGGTATGTATGTATGTATATATGTATACAAATGCCCAGCTAAAGCCAAAGCAATAGCGACAGCCTTAGCGATTAAGTACTATATATCCCCCCCAAGAGATTTTGATATGATACGATCTTCAACGAACCTAGAATCCAAAACCTAGAATACAGGCAGGACACAGATCAAAGACCAACAACAGCACTAACAGCACCAACCAGAACAGGACGCCCGAAATACAGGAGTTATTGAGGAGGTGGTCAAAATAATTTCCAAACCCGCCTGGGTTAATTGTACTTTTTCCCATTTCCCTCTTTCCTTCTGCTAATCATATGTCTGTCCCATTCCCTCTTGCCTCTTGCATTATGATTCGTTCCCTTCCGTCATTTTGTAGACCACCCGGTGATATCGTGGTGTGTGCGCCTCGAGAATACCAATGTATAATAAACATGTACCCATGTACCCATGTACCCATGTGTCCATGTGCCGCATGGTGGGTGGGTGAGGGAGGTATACACTCATTCACAGTACAGAATGATCGCCTCCTCAAACATTCTCAGACAGGCCAATATGTTCGCTCCTTTTGTTGCCTTTAAAGATCAAAAATCATGCCTCCGTTTCAACACCGTCGCCGCCACGCCCGTCTTTGTCCCTTTCAAAAATCCTGTCCACTCCTCCCTCGACCCGCTTGGCCTTGCCGATCATCCAGTCCACCGTCCTGGCCCCCCTCCACTGCATTACCCCCCTGTGCTTCCTGTGTAGCTCCCGGTGATGGTCCTTGTAATCCCTCACCTGCGCCCTCAAACCACGAGAGCCGTCGTCGGGGTCGTTATGTCCGTCGACGTCCAGGAGGTTGGCAGCCGTGGCGCTGACTGCGCCGAGCGGCTTGGACACCAGGCGGGCAGGACCGTTGAGTGGGTTCTTGGAGGTCGAGGACGTCGTTCCAGAGTCCGAGTCCGAGGCATCCGAGTCGTCGTTGGCGTGCGTGCGGAGTTTACGGCGGGATCTGTCCCTTTTGCTCGACGACCTATCCTCGTCGTCATCGGTGTTGTCACTGTCCCCCTCCTCGTCATCGTCGATCTCTCCCTCCCCATGATGTTCGTCTTCATACTGGTCGACCTGTCCCTCATCATTCGCCGTGTCCAACACCTCCATTACCTGTCTCAAATCTGCATTGCGAGCTTTGTTTGCATAGCTCTTGTGGTACCCACTGAGCCCTCTCCAAAATTTGACTATGAGCTCAAGTTCGCCAAGTGGTTGCTCGTTTTCCTCCATCCCAGAATAGCCATAACTCGTGGTCGCGCGGTGCATGGCCTCTTTGCCACCCTTCCAGAGCTTGACCGTAATGGTTTTCTCTTCCTCGTCGGGGATGTCTTTGAGCCAGAAGACCCCCAGGGCAGGCGTGGAGTCAGGCCCAAGACGAGATTTGCGGCATTCGATGATCAACGAGCTTGAATAGCGTTTGCGCACGGCAAGAAAGATGGATTTTTTGTCGCCTTTGGGTCTCCATTCGCCATCCTCACCAGAGCCAGTAGGGTGCATCTTTGCTCTCATCAGATTGGTTCTTAACTTGATGCGTTGCTGGATGAATGAACCGTCGTCCTTTGTATGCCCTCTTCCCTCCTTCGCTCTGACGGGGCATTTGATTTCCAGTGTCCCGAAATTCCATCCGAGCAATTCCTTTGGCAGTTTCAGTTCCACGCTACGCCAAACCATGCTGATCCGCGCACGACCGAAACCGATGCCACCGACAAGTGGATAGGTCTGCATGACCTGGCTCCTTTCCTTGAAGACTCTTTGCAAAGGGAGATAGATCATCCCGAGGAGAGCATCGTCTTCGCGTTCCCGACTATCGCGGACGGAAATCATCACCTCTGCGGTCTTCCAGTCCGGCACGAAGCGTTCCGTGCCAGCGTTGAAGAAGGGCTTTGCATTCTTGGGTTTGGTTCTGGTGCGATAGATCTTCTGATGGTTGAGAATGATGGTCGCATAGCTGCTGGGCAGATCGTCATTTTGCTCAGCCTCGTCCTCGCGGTTATCGTTGCCACTGTTTTTCTCTCGCTTCTGCAAAGCCTGTACCTCCAGTCCGGTAATGTTGTGGATCTGAATGCTGAATATGCCACTGACATAGTCATCCGGTGGAGGGCTGGAGATGATCAAAGCGTCTTCACGCTCCTTGTAATCCTCTTCCTTTTGCTGTTTGATTTCCTTGCTCTCGTCGTGCGCCGTGGCTTCTCGCAACTTGTGCTCGGCCGTCTCGCTGACCTGTTTCCTGAGGTCGTCTATCGTTCGGACATTCGGATCGGCCGTCTGTTTGGCAAGTTGCTCTTCTGTAATCCTGGTTTTGGTGAAATAACCTACTCGCCATTGAAGGGTGCCTGGCATCTTTTCTTCGGGTTCTTCACCCACAAAACGATCTTCTCGATCACACATCCGGTTTTTGGTCTTTGAGCTATGCATCAATTCGCGAAGATCCACCTCTACGCGACCAAGGTCATCATCTGCAGTATATTTGTCCGAATCCCAGAGTTGAAGGCGAAGTTTTTCATCGGCATTGAGCTCTTCAGGCGTGACTAGGATGTGTGACCACTCTGACCAATTTGGGTTTTGGTCGTTGACAATGATCCTCGTCGAGGCAACAGGCTTGCCGAACTTACCCCAGGACACCGTCATGTATGCGTCGCTCGATCCTTTAAGTGGACCGAAGCCTCCATCACCTTCCTTGAAACCACTGGCAGATTTGATAAAGATCATGACAACGCCTCGAGCGACTGTGTCCTTCTTGAAGTCATCACCTACAAGCATATCTTTGAGGTCCAGCGTCAGACTCTTGGGCGCAACATACTCCGCTAGCGCTGCGTCGATCGAAGATTGAACAAACGACGAAATGAGCGGCACATCCATCAAGTTGAGTGCGTGGCGGGACAAGGGGACACAGGACATATCCGCCTGCGGTTGTCCCATGAACGACAAAGTGCAGAGGCTAAAGAAAGGAGGATCAGGCGTGAGTTGTAGTCGCAAACGCATTGTGCCGATGATCCCGCGCAGTTCCACCCAAACCGGGACGGCGATGCCACCGGGCAGGTAGAATTTGAGATACAGGTGGGCATTCTTCGCCTTTGCTTGTAGAGATTTGCCAGAAGACCGGGCCCGATAGGCGAATGCGAGCTCCATATTGACAAAGTCGCCCTGTTCGGCCTCCATGCCCTCTCGTATGGCCTGCTCATCCTGCTCGTTTTGCTGGCTGTTATGATGATGGTCATTCGACTTGCTCTTGTCCTCGCCACCGGCACCATCCTCTATCTCACCCTTCCCGGAGGCTGTTCGATCATTGGCGCCTTCTTCTCTTGCATTTTTGAGTTTTCCATCCGCGCCCACAGACCGACTTGCAGCACCCGTAGGTAACCAGTTGATGCCGAGAACACGGAAGGCCTCACTCCCTTGGCCAAGATCGTCGACACTGACCATCCGCACCACTTTTGGGAGCGATGCCTGCATGACATCCTCCAACATGTCCGAGATCGAAGTGAACAGGTCTGGGTTGATGAGGGGCCAGACGGCCGACAGGAGATTGTTTAACCAAGCCACCGATTCTGGGATGGCGTCTTCAGCTTGAGTCGTGTGAAGTTCTTCCTGACGAGCAGCATCCCAGATCTCGTCCTTGCAGATTGCTTCGACCTTCTTACCGAGCCAGTCTTTGACCAGCAGGATCACGAAAGCCGCAATGACGCCTGGTACGAAAATGACGACTGCCGCAGCAGAGAGCCTCGACTGGAAAGATGACCCCTTCTCGTAAAGACTGACACCAAACACTCGAGCGACAATCTCTCCCAGAAGAAGTAGTCCCAGAACGCCCGCCAGGCCTATCGTGATGGCGCGCTCATACGTCCTCGCCAGCTCATTCTTGAGGTCGTCGAAGTTCGGAGGCGGGAATAACTTTTGCATACCATGCAAACTGTCCTGGGCCTCCTCGCGCTCTTTGTCAAGCTCTTCCCGGGATTTCCTGGCACCACTCACTCCTGTCTGGGTTCGAGAGTCTGTTCCGCTCGCGGGGATATTCTCGTTGACGGCCTTGAGGTCCTTGCGCGTCGAGTCCCGAATGATTATGGGCAAGTGGGTCACAGGGTCCGTAACCTCTCTACCCCCATCACTGCGCTTCTTGTGCTTCATGTCCTTTCTCTTCTGGCGAGGGTCATGGTGGCCTGCAACGGCCTCGGTAGCCGATTGACCCGGCTGGTCTGTCTTGTTGTCCCCTGCATCCTCGTCTCGTGGCTGCTGCTGACTCTGGCTCTCTTCTTCTTCGTCCTCTCGAGCCTGCTCTTCGCCTCCTTCTTGGCCCTTCCTCCCAGCTGGCTCTCCCGGAGTCACGACGTTTCGGTTTTGAGACCTGTAAGGATCGTGCCTCGACTTGGGCCCTTCCTCCTCGCCCTTCAAGACACCCTTGGCGGCATGATACGCTCTCTTGACAGTGGAGTCGTCAGTCTCGTCATGCTGGGCCTGTTCGGCTTGCTGCTGCTGATTGTTCAACTCGCTCCGTTCGGCCCGGTATTTCTGGACGGTAGGTATAGGATGGCGGGCAGAGTGAGGGGCCTGGTATGTTCTCCGCTGGGACTCTGGATCGAAGTCGTCCGTCGAAGACATGCTGGCCCATGCCAGACACAGCAGCAGAAGGAAGGGAGGGTCTGCTGAGGATTGCTCAAAGGAACAATGTAAATGGACGGTTCGCCTACCTGGAATTGATGAGGGGGGAAAGCCGCGACGAGAACCAGTCTCAGCAGCAAAAGGAAACAAAACAATTGTAGTCAGGGTGAAGCCAGCTCCGTGAAGAGTATTTCAGATCATATTCATTCCCCGCAAATGCTACGACGACAAACCTTGAATCAAGGCATTTGTGGGCAAATCCATGGTGGAATGGGGAAGCAGAACAATGACGTCGCAAAACTCCACGCGCGGCAAGAACCAAAAATGAACGGAGTTCAGGAAGCGGAACCAGACAGCCCAGACAAGCCCATCCCAAAAGCCAGCCAGCTCCACCCGGGCAACGGATGATCTGCCACCAGAACCTGGCCCTATATTTGATGTGTGGTGTTTGTTTCGCGGCCTGGCTGCGTCGTCAGCGAAAGGGCGACGTAGAAACCGAGAAACAAGGAAGACGATCGACCGCAGATGAACCGTGGATGGATGATCGTCCGCCAATGGGGCGAGTGGCGCTGCGGGGATCTGCATGCAGGATCGCATGAGACTGAGACTCATTTTTGTCCCTCTTTCTCTTCCCCCCATAGGCCATGACCAGGAATCTGCATGTTGAAAGCGGTCTTTGATGTCCAGCACGGGTGAAAATCAAGCAATATCGAGAACATATACCCACTACGATGTCCTGCAACTCCCTCGCCACCCCGAAGAGTTTGGTCGTCTGTCGAAGGACGACATCAAGGCCGCATACCGACGTGCGCTACTCAAACACCACCCAGACAAAGCATCCAGTACTACCGAGAATGTCTCCCTGAAATCCTTACGGAGCAAAGATGCTACAACATCAACACCCATCTTCTCCATCGATGACATCGTCGTCGCACATGCGGTCCTATCTGACTCTAAGAGACGTGCGGAATATAATCGTGCTCTGGATCGCGCCGTCAACTTTGGCGGAAACGATCAGAGCGGCAAGAAAGACACACACATTGGAGTAGAGGTCTATGACCTCGAAGACCTAAGATACAACGAAGTCCAGTCTATCTGGTCCAAGAGCTGCCGTTGTGGTGACGAGGAAGGCTATACCGTGACGGAGTCCGATCTCGAGAAAGAGTCGCAGCAAGGCGAGATCTATGTGGGATGTCGAGGGTGTAGTCTCTTCATAAAGATCTTGTTTGCTCTGGAAGACACATGAACAAAAGGGCGGTGTTGGTGGGCGTCGTCAATGTGGCTTCGCAGCCGCCTTTTCAGCCTGGTGCAGGACCTCCATAGCCTCGCGGACATCGGCCGACCGACCTTGAAGAATGGTTTCAAACTCTTGCTTGATCGTCTCATGCGCCGTGGCCAGCTCCTGGACCTCTTGGATAATTTGTTTCTCAACCTCTTCCTTCCTCTTGGTCAAGGCGAGCAACCTGGTGAGAAGCTCGCCTTGAAAGCGCTTTCTGGGGTCAGGCAAACCAAAGGTTAATGGGGAGCTGATCGTAACGAACCCCTCGAAGGGAGTGGCAGATCCATGGAAAGAAAGACTTACGTGTCTTGCTGGAACCTGTCCACCCTCTCGTCAATCTGCACCTCGATCTCCCGAAATTGACTGTCAAACTCCTTCTCCAGGCGCTGCTGTCTCTGTACTTTGCGGAGGCCGACCTAAGAGGCGTGAAGTCAGTGCCGGTTCGACGCAACCCTAACGCCCGGGAGGAGGTCCACGGCCGTCTGTATTCTGAAAATCCACTCACATCCATAGCCATGCTCTTCTTCAGATTCTCCTCACTCTTCCTCAACTGGTGACTCGTGCTCGTGCTCGTGCCCGTGCTCGTCCGGTCACCCTGCACTTCAGAGTCCTCTTCGCCGTCACTGTCAAACTGAGCCGCCGGCGCTGAGTTCCTCGTCAAGCGTTTCGATGACATTGATATTTGTTGTTGGGGGGTGGCAACTCGATCTGGAAGGGAAGGGGACAAAGAAGCTAGCCGAGGAAGGGGAGCGGTGGGACGCGATGGATGGAGATTTGAAACTGTGCACTGACAATTAACCTGAAAGGTTGGTAAGTCTGAGAAGAGACAACCGCCGGAAAAACAGTGGGTGGGGGAGGAGAAATACACCGTGCTAGACTCTGGTGCGAGCAACAAATATCAGGGCGTGGACGATGCTGACAAGAGTATATCAGCGCCGACACGATAGAAATCAATCAACCATTGCCAACAACATGACAAGCACCACGATACTGTGTTATTCCAATCCACTCTATCAACTGTTTCTACAGGTCAACTTTTGTACATCGTCATAAACCAGAACGACTTCCGCTCTGTCATCCAAACCACTGATAAAGATACACGATACAAAGTTCGTTACTCCATGGTCAACGATTGCTTTGAGACGTGGCATCAGTGATCATCCAACCTTTCCTTGCGCTGCTCATCAATGAACCCCATCCCTTGGGTACTTTTCAGTCCACAATTTCCAACTCACCCTGTCGGTCCTGGGCGAAAAGGTCCTTATATCCGTCCCAAAGTCTGACCAACTCTGCCACATATTGCTGGTGGACCTCATCTAGATACCTTTCGTCCACATTGTTGTCCTTTGTTCCCTGTTGTACAACCCGTATTGGTCTTCCAACCACAACATTCACCGCCCTCCTATATGGAAGCAAGCCCACATCGTAGTTGAATATTCCTCTTGCATGGAAGAGTGGGACGGTGAATCCCATGAACTTCTTGACAAGCATTTGAAATTTGTGGATCCATGGGTGTTCGACACTGTCAATTTGATCGTAGAGTTCGTTTTCGCCAAAGGCAAGCACCGGCACCAGATCGGCGCCAGTGCGTATAGCTAGTTTGATGAAGCCTTTCCTACTTTTCAGAACGAGACGGAGGGAGTGAGGCTTAGCGTCAAGAGATTCGCGGGCACCACCGATGACGATTGTCACTGCGCGACCCATTCCTTCACCATTCAATCCTCCTTTGCACAGGATGTTCTCGATGGACTCGCGCGACACAGACGCTAGGCCCATCGCCAATGCGTAGTCACGGTAGAAAGGAACTCGAAAATTCGTGTCAAGGGTCAATAGGGTGTTTGTGATGCCAGGGTACAAGTCCGAAAATCCCAAAGCCTCGGTGGCAAAGGCTGCGAATGCGCCGTGGGAGATGATCCCGTGCGGATGGTATCCAAAGATATACTTCCTTGTTGGTTCAAGCTCGACAGTGCGATGCAACCGAGCGGGGAAGTAGGATGCGAATAGTGACCAAAACTTCGACCCGCGCATCCATTGCGATCTTCTTGAAAGGGTGCCATTGGTGGCCTCTTCACTGATGACGAGAGTGTAGATGAGGTAGGGGACCAGGAGAGGCCAGGTAAGAGGGATTGCGCAGAGGAGGAAGAAGAGGGAGAGGAATAGAGGGATGGTGGTAGTGTGCCACAGCACTGCTAGAGTCTGAAGCCTCCGCTGTAACGGGACGTTGAGGGGTGCCCATCGTATCCTGTTACGAAATAATTAGCCATAATTACAGGCCTCGAAAAGGCGCATACGCAGAAGTTTGCCAGCCGGCACCGGCTCTCCGGCCACTCGCAAGCTCATCCTGGCGTTTGGGTGGTCGATTGCGTTTCCTTTCTCGTGGCGTAGTGTTTCCACGGCGCTTGAGAGAATCTTCATAGCCATCGCTGGGCTTGATGCTTGTCAAGATCTCTCCAGTATGATTCATATGTTTCTCATAAAGAGCCTTCTCTTCGTCTAGTTGCTGTTGGCTGCCTTGGCCATTGACCATCGGGGGTTGGGCAGATCCGTTGACCGCAGCATGTTCCTTTGCACCAGACCCGACCTCAACGTGGGAATGATTCGGGCCGTTCTCGCCATTCGTGACGGCATCTGCATAGGATTTGGGAGGGAGGTCGTGCTCAGCGCGTTCTTCCGGCTGAGATGGCTCTGGGTTCAGTTCCGCCTGCCCCTCTACTGCGTTCGTAGCCATTTCAGTGTAGGCCAAGAGGGGGTCGCTTTGCAAGGATAGAGCGCGTTCACGGAACCAGGCAAAATCCGAGTGGCCTCGCCGAAGCATCAATCAACACATTTAAGAAAGGCGCCGGCGCACGTGTAAGCACTGTGAGCTAGAAAGGAGGCTGCAAGAGAGTTGCAAGGAAACAATGTGCGATCTTGCATAGTGAGTGCGACCCAGTCATGACATGATTGGACTGTTTCAGACAGGAGGCAATCAAGTCCGGGCACCGCCAGTGACGTCAGTGCCAAGACTGGCTTAGTGGGCCACCAGACGAATAATACATTGCATAAAATACCCCAGCCTTGCATTGTCATGTTCGTGTACGAGGTATGTACAGCATCCTCGTCAAGAGAAACTCCCACAATGCCCCCCGAAACCCTTCGTATATGGGATCCCCGAGACCACGAAATGACTATACTATCCTCTGAACTCTAGCACTATCCTGCGAAGTCCACGACTCGTTTCACAAATCTTTCGCGGCCACACCAAATTGCATGTTGTCGTTGTCAAAGACAGCAAACACGGCCTTGAGGAAAATGTCTCCGTAAATAGACTGGCCGATACCCTCGTTGCTCTGTAGGCCGCCGAAGCATGCTGCAGCACATTATTCGTCAGTTCAGCGACCTCGCTATCGCGGGATTTTGGACTTACAAGAAGAACCAGTGGAGACGGGAGCGTAGTTCATAAACGACCCTGGAATGACAGCATGATAGCTGCCAATACCGACAGCGAAGTCGGGAAGATCCGCAGAGCAGGGGAAGGTATAGCCCCCCTGAGAGTTGTCCAACTCGGCGCCCTCGACTTGATCGTAGTAGGCCGAAACAATATCATCATCCATGAGAAGGAGGGTGGTGCCAGTATCAGCAATGGCGTCAATGCTTGCCGACTGGAATTCCCCATCACCAACTTGGTAACCTGTACCAGTGATTTCCCAGAAGCCCTGGGAGTTGTCCACGGGTGTGTATGTGATATCGCCCGTGTATTTGCTGTTGTCGATGAATCCAAAGTCGTACGAACCCGGCTCTCCCTTTTTCAAGTCCACGGTGAATACATTCTGCTCAAGGGTTCCTTGGGCAATGGCAGTATCGAAGAAGGTGGTTTGTTGCTGGGGTTGGACTAGATGCACATTAGTAGCAACATCAGATGGCTCGTGGATCCACTGACCGGTGTTAATAGAGCTGAAAGCCAGGCCGAGCAGACCGTCATTGTTTGCATCCTGTTGGAACTGTGAACTGATCTGTTTGGCAACTTCGACAGCTTGTCCCGTGACCGTGGTGCCACCGACATTGACAGTGTCCGTGTAGACATTGCCGCTCGCGCTCGACCCATCGCCGTATGAGATCTTCCAGGTGGCTCCACTGAGCTGCTTAGCCGTCTTTGACTTGGACGGATCGTAGATGCTGTGTCCAGAGCGCTCTGAGCTGGGCAACTGGGACGAGAAGACCCACCTAGCGAACATTAGCGATAACTGGCATCAATGTAAGTGGACACCAGGGAGTGTTTACAGATCTGCGGATCCAGTATCAAAATCGAGGTTCAATGTTTCGCCTCCAATGCTGACAGGGCAGAGATATTCAGCGTCGAATTGCTCAGGGGTGGCAGTGACAGAGCCATCTGCGGCCGCGGCTTTGACATTGTCGGGCACGGCAATGTTGTATTTGCGGTAGGTCTTTTGCAGAGCCACAGGACCGGCCTGGTATGGCTTTGCAACACTCTGCACAAGTGTAAAGCCTTTCTTCGTCTCGACCTGCGGGACAGGAATGGGTTTTGCGAGCGTCACGCCCGTCAAGGCGGAAGCCGCCAGCAGGACTGTAAAAGAAAGCATTTTCTATGGAAATAAAGAGTGACAGGTTTCAAACAGAAACGGGCAAATGAACGGACGTCTTGCTGGTCGGAAAGAGAGACTGACTTGATAGAGAGCTGTTCAAAACGAGCTTGTCCACGAGAACTTATATATCTGTTTGTGGAGTCCACAAACACAACATCACAAATCCAAAGCGGATCCTATTCCACAACCTTGATCATGAGAAATCCTTGCCAGAGAATGAGATAGCTACATAGCAATGATACTCTGGATCCAGCGTACGAGGATCGTCGATATTGGAAGGACCATGGAGCGGACGAGCATCACGGAGGGAAGGACATATTGAGAAGGTCGCGAAGACATCCGAGGCCCAGATCCTAGAGAGCCCGCGGTGAACATGAGGTTGATTCGAGAAGACAATCAAGCATATCAAGCACAGTATCGAAGCTTTGATGGCCCCAATCTGCCGAGAGATGGCTATCGAGGGGCACGATTGGACTGCAAGTCATCACGGCAGGCTGTGGAAGGACTTGATACTCGCCTAGCTTGGCGCCTCGGAGGAGATTGAGGGCGAGGGTCATGAAACGTGGGGACTTCTCCGGAGCAGGTAAGATGACAGGTATGAGCAGAAACAAATCTGGTAACGAATCCCCGATGCAGAGGCTATTGCGACGAAGCGAGTGGTGATTGATGCGACATTTAAGATGAGGTTGGAAGAAGAAAGTGCCACAGCGGCCGCTGATTGGCCGCATGTCCAGCTCCGCTCGCGCTGCATGATCGACACATTCTGCTCGACGGACACAGCGTCCAGCAAACCATCTTCCTGGCCAAGCTGTTTCAACGGTATTTCAACCTTCCAACTCCTGTTCATTCTGCCGTGGGCATGACTAGCCTGCTAGCCTTGCCTTGTTACTTTGTCTTGCATCTCGATTCGTCCCTTCATTGAAATGAACGCCGCTGGCGCAGTTACTAAACAAACGCCCCCGAGTCCCGCTCCCGTCCTGCGGGCGAGGTTACCTTTATCCCTCCCCCACGCAAAGTCTACCAGAGCCTTCCTCCCTTGCCAACGTCCAATGACCTCGATACCTCTCGAAACTACGCGGCACGCGGGCTACAGGGGGTCCCCAGGTAACGCGGGTGCAGATCAGGGCGAATGCGACTCAATCTAGCAGAACCCTCAACAGACGTCCAACCAACTCCATGCCAGACGAGGTGGCCATGAATTCGTACCGTCCGTGCCCTGTTTCAGAGTTCCAACATACCCGTACCCATTATGCCTATCTCTCGGCGCAGGTCATGTCCTTGTGAACGCCCGAGTGCCTCTTCCCGATAACGGCCAGTACTCGTCGACCGCGGTGGGGCAGACGGTTTCTGTAAGATTGCGTTGAGCAAAATACAGGCAAACATCCGCCTATGAGAGACAAAAGCCCATCGGCTGCCACGCTGAATCCTACATCTGCAAAATACATGCTCGCTCCTCTACGAGTATTCGCAAGCCCGCATGATGGAGGTGACAAGGTGTGGCACTGCAAAAGGACAAGCAAGAGCCGAAAAAGAACAATGAGTAGACATTGACCAGTATCCACCATGTGATGCATAAGTCCTGGGCATTGTCGATGAGGGTGAATGTATTAAACATGCATATACGAGTATCTTTTTTCTGTTCATCATAGCCATGCCGAAATATAAACGTTGTAAATGATGTCTCAAAAATGCTCCTCTGGCAGTTCTAAATCACGTGTCTGCTCCTTCTTCGCCACAAAAAGCTCATATTGTCCACGGGGGTGGTCGTCCTTCAGAGCTGAATGCCGACTGTCTATGGAGATCGCCGTGGTGGGCGTGGAAGTGGCGGGTGGGTGTGAGGCCTCGTGGCGTCTGGGCGAGGAACTCCTGTTGCCAGTCCAGCTAATGTGTTGGCGGCATCGCTCTCCGAACGATTGAGGCCGGGTCGGCTGTCATCGCGCCCTGGGTGTCGTAGTTGGAGGGGATCGGTGGCCCTGGGTCGGGGTTGTTCCATGGCACGGCCGAGATGCAGAAGAGTAGCGGTTCCCATTGGACCCGTTCGAGGTGGAGGGGGCAGACTTCTTGAGCCCGGCCCCTGAGGGAACTCGGCTGGTCGTTCGTGAGATAGGATTGGCGGTAGCTGAGTCGGACTCAATTGTTCTCGGCCTGGACTGGGGAGATGTATGGGAGCGTGGGAGGGCCTTGGTGTCTCTTGGTAACCTCGAAAGTCCGGTGGGCGATTCCTCCACGACGATTCCTGCATTGTTGGCGAGGGTAAAGTCGGCGGATAGGACAGGGCGTTTTGCCCATGCGGGACGCTGCCAAAGGTGGGAGGGGGAGGGATTGGAGCTGTTGCTGCTGCTGGTGGCGGTGGTTGGGGCGCGGTCGGTGCTGATTGATGTTGTTGCTGTTGCTGCTGCTGTACAAAATACGACAGTCTTGATCTTGCGAGAGGATCGGGAGACCCTGTAGACTCGACGGACGACGCACTCGGTGGCAGTGTCGGTAGGGGAGGTGTACCTGACCCTGCACCCAACGATAAACCAGCCGCCCGTATGAGTGGATCGGGTACTTCACTCCGCACTGTAGAAGACTCATCAGAGACCGAACTCTGGCTAGACAGTAGACCGGGACGAAAGTACTCCCGACCTTGTTGCACTGAAGGAGGGGTTCCGCTACGCGACGAAGGCAATTGCGGTCGTTGCTGTATCGACCCTCCCGAACCACTGGGGTGAATTGTCCCTCCAATAAATGGCGAAGATGCTGAAGACCCAATCGACCCGCCTCGGAAATGCCCAGATGCCTGTGATGCCACTTCTGGGTTGGCCTCGACTGACTTGGTAGAGATGATACTCCCGCTGGATTCCTGCTCCAGCTTAGGCCGCTTTGGCTCCGACGGCTGTCCGTGTCTGGCTTTAAACTCCGACAGGTAAGCCATATAGTCCCTGTACTCGTCGGTCTTGCGATAGGCCGACAGCAGGATGTTGTATTTCTCTTTGGCGGCGCTGGCCTGGGCCTCGAAAGGCTCTTTGCCAGTAGGGTCCAATTTCTGCCATCGGTCCCCGACGAGCTTAGCTATCTGGGTAAAGGAAAGGTTTTGGTCTTTGACCTCCTCCCTGACTTTGTTAGAAAAGATCACGTATGCCGAAGGAGGGCGTTCGGGAGCATTCTCGTCTGGTTTAGGATGGCGTCGGTACTTTCGTTTGGTCTCGGGAGGAGGGACAGACGGCCGCTCAGGACCCAAGGAAGGTCCCGCGCCAGCATCAAACCCTCTACTGCCTTCTAAGAGCGCTTCCTGGGCAGGAGAGCCAAAAAGGCGTTCGTAAGAAACTCCTCGATATTCGGCGATTGCACGCTGAAGTTTCTTTATCCAAGCGTCAGCGACTCCTTCACCAAGACAACAGTCACCCACAAACTCACCCTACGATGGCCTAGTTTGACATTGAGAGCGTCACTAGCGCAGAATCAGTATACCAGGCCCCTCATAATGTGTGTATATTTGACAAACTCACAAGTCACTCTCTTGAATATCTGTCAGAGTCTCCCAAGTGTCGAATCCTTCGCCGATGAAAGCATCGAGGTATTGCTCAAGGCCAAGGCGCTCGAGATGGGGTGCGAGATCGGTCATTCACGCACAGGTAGTTGTTCATTGACACCAAGGTTGTTGCAAAGTCGAGGCGACGGGGATCTCAAGACGACGAGACAGTTCAATCAGGGCGAAACGCCTCGCAAGCTGTCCGATGAATCGCGGTACCGGCTGACTCGATTCTCATGTGGAAATGTCGTAGCAAGACAACGCAGATCTCAACCGTAGAGGGAGTGTCAACCCGCCCGAATAGGGTTGGGGGTGGTACGTCTCAAACGGTCGGATGTATACAGAATCAATGCTTTAGGCTAGATTTGCCGACCACAAATAGATTAGATGGCGGTGTTGTGAGGTTTTTGATATTGCACTGAAGGCAATGTGTTTTTGTGCGCAACTTGGGTTCCAATGCAAGAACTTCAGGATGCTGCCCAGAAGGGGGGACAGCTTTTTTCCCCCAGAGCTGGTTCGATTGAGGGGATCGATGACCGAGATAGTGATGGCAACGAAACAGGGTCAATGTCATTCAGGGTCTCGAGTGATCAGCCTCGAATACCACAACTGTCTCCAGTGGCATGTGGTGGGGGGTTGAGGCACAAGAGATGGACAAATGTTAAGACCCTGGTGACGGGAAACCGGGCTATGAGGCTCCAATTCGGATCCAATTCGGATCGAGCTCGGAGTACCAGGAGCTCAAAATGGATATCTAGATCTTCGACAAGAGAAAAATATGTTTCCGATGGCGACAAGGTGGCACACCACGCGTCTCCCAAGATGGCCTTTGGCTGTAGGTTGAAGGCGTTGACCCGTAGCGACCGAAATAGACTCACGAGAGAGGAAAGCCCCGGCCAATACCTTTGGATATGATCTGACCCAAAAAAAAAAAAAAAACGGGAGGCGACTGGCGCCAGTGTACGGATAGAAAGGGAGAATGGGCGGGAAGAGGCCCGGGAAAATCGATCTATAGGCTGTTCATTTGATCTGGGATAAGGAGTGATGGGTGGTTGAAAAGAAGGGCCAAGTAAAAATTTCGCTGTGTGTGAAGCCGTGGAGCAACAGAGAATCAGATGATGCAACAGAGGGAAGCGTCCGCGTGCTGTGCCGCCATTCGCCGACTAGCGACGCAGGAATAAGGGTAACCAAGGGTAAAGGAGCCGTGGTGGGAAGGGGGATGATATTGGGGGTGGGTGGTTGTAGTGGCTTGGTTGTAAGGTTCGCGCAGCTTCGTAGCCTCTCCTCTTTTAGCTCCATTTCCCGTAACCGAGCTGTCAGAGCTCTTTAGGCTCTCAGAGGGCGAGGAGGGGGACAAAGGGTGGTAACTTTGGCCTTAGTCTGGAGCAGTCTTCGCCCGCCCACTCCCCGCCCACCAACAACAAGTCGATTAAGCCCTGTTGTGGGGAGCCATGGGGCCCAGATACTTAGACATGCCTCCTATGGTCCCTATGGTCCCTATGGTACCTGCGTGGGACCACACCATCACCACCATGGATGGATTTGCCTGATGACCGCATCAGCCATGGCTCTCCGTTTGGACATGATGCGTCGTCTGTGGTTTCCTGGAGGGGGATTTGTCCAAGTACCATGGCTGCGGAAGCAGATGCCCGATTCGCATCACTATGTAGATTCGAAAAACAAAATAACCAATATATAAAGATGAGGTGCTCCATCTGAGGATGGTGGTCTTTCCCCGCTGACAAGTGGTGTCCAACTCATTTTTTTGCTTCCCGTTGACTTGTTGCGATCGCAGCTGAGGTTCCCCATCGAGTATCCCTGGACACACCGCCTCAAGAGCCTGTTCCGAGGGTCATTTTCGTGAATGACGCTCCAAGGTCGTCGATTGTCCCGATGGCCCTGACCCCCTGGAAGCAAACTGCTGCAAGGGTTGGGCCGTTTGAATGGGGTACAAGGCTCTTTGTCAATGCTGAGTCGACTTGGACAGGCATAACTTTACAAACTTGGCGCCGATAAGATCAATTGGAGATCGACAACATGCACGGAAGCGGAGGCTTGATGAACGTGACAGGAAATGCAAGCCGTCGATCTAGCGTTCAGTTAAAAAAGCAAAGAGCGGGCTGTCCATCTTTGGCCATGCCATGACGGGGTCCATACTGCAGGAAACGATTCCACAAAAGTAGAGAGCAGATGCAACCCAGATGTGGATGCAGGTTCACAGACCAGCTGCGCCAGAAGTCCGATTGTAGTCGAAAAGTGCGATCTCGACGGCTTGTCCCCATCGGCACGGACATGGGGAGACAGGTCAGTTTGGTGAGATGGCCGGCCAAATGCTCGATTCCCAGCGACAGCCTTGGTTGACCTAAGCCTTAGCCTGGATCTGAGCCAAAGCTCCCGCGGACCCAGGATTTCCACCCCCCCAATTCGTACTCGTACGAGTATGTAGTGGCGAAAAACCCCGAATATTGGCCTTTCCAGAATTGCAATGGGGGGATTGGCCCTGAACACAAGATTGAATTCCTGTTTCGATGCGTCTTGGATCCCGAGAACTGACTGGCTCGGGGACCCCTGGAGCCGCCCTTCGTCTGGTCCTGCGTCTGAGGTGGGTTAGCGGGCACCATGCGCCTTAGCCGGGGCAATTTCAATGACGAAATGCAGTAATGATCGGTCGGATATCCGGTGCCGAAAAAAACGAGTTCGTAGCGTGGCCTGGTAAGTGAATACCTACCTAATCGTACTTGTATATCATCAAGATATAGTCCAAAAGCCTCGACAAGTCCTAGAAATATTTCCACCTTGTCCACTTTCTGATTATTTCGTCTTGGTGAACTCGAGATGCGTTGTCCTTGATCCCATCCCTGATGCTGATGTCAAACTGGGATCAAACATCGGGACTCGGCAGCGTCAATAAGCGCGACATTATTTTAAGTTTGGAGGCGACACTGGCTTGACGGGACATACCGTGGAAAGTCTCTGTCTTTTGATTGCGACTTCCTTTTGTCAGGCCACAACGAATGAGGACTGTTGAAGTGAATAATACAAATGCTTTTGAAAAATAGCCAACATAAGATAATGTATTAATGGGGAAGCCTGGGTTCAGTCCAAACGGCTTGGTTGATAGGGCTTTCGGTGGGGTCAATCGGCCGCAGACAAAGTGTCTAAGCGGGTTACGTTCCCCATGACGAAGACTGCGAGGATCCGCTCACCGAAACCTCGAAAAAAGAAACTTGCTCTATGTGAACCAACAGGATCCGCTATGAGCTCTCAAAACATATATGGATTTCTTCCATCAGTGCGAATCGAGGTTTTGGAGGACATATGAACATCAGGGATATAGACAACTGAAGAGGAGGGATCGATCTTGCCGTCAAAGATAATGACCTTGATCCGACTTCATCCACGTGCAGGTAAATCCCCGTAAAGAACTAGAAACCTTGGGTAAGTATGCTCAGGGTATCAACCACTACAAGTAAAGACTAATTATTGGCCATCACAAACACGGGCAAAGGTCAATAGGCCCCGAGGAGGTGATACAGAATACAGACAAGTACCGAGTAGAGAGATTCGATGCAGCCGAGTGGGTGACGATTCTTGGCAGTCTGACTCCCGCGTGGGTTACAAATGACACTAAACCACATGTGGCCAGGCTGGGCATTATCGATAACTGCCTGCGCCCTCCCTGCGCTGCCTGCGCTGCCTGCGACTTGATCCCTGGCCCGCTTTTCTTCCTCGCTTCGCAACAAAAACTCATTTCTTCCGCTCTCTGTCCGCTGGACTTGAACAATGCACACCGGCTTCCATGGCCATCTATAGTCTTCCATAGTCCCTCTCAACCTACAACCACCCCGCCCGTAGCAGATTCGAACTGCGAACTCAGCCGAACCACCCCAGACCCTGACATTCGAAGGCTCTGTCAGGCTCACTACATTTTGGGCTCCCATCGATATCCGGAACCTTTTTGAATGATCCCTTGACAAAGCTGACCCATCACGATTCCGGCTTTTCCCAAATGGCACAACGGAAGTCTGCCTCCCAGAATGTGGACGATCAGGCCCAATCAGACAATGACCTTGACATGAACAACCCTCGGTTGTTGATGTCTGAATTAGCAAAGGTATGAGAATCGGAAGTCGAGCCTGATGCGATTCCGCTCAACTCCGCTGACTATTTGACAACCTCTTGCTGGAGAAAAGGCATTCGAAGAAGTCGCACAGTATGCCCATGTGAAACGGCCGTATGGATTACCCTTTTCTGACAGTGGCACAGGGCGGAGTCAACGGCTTCAGCTCTTGAGGCCAAGGTTGATAGCATCCACAAACAGCTTGACCAGCTCTTAGCCAGCTTTGAACAACCTTCTGAGTCCAGTTTGCAGGAGCCCTCATCAAAACCCTCCGATGCCAAGTAGGTCAGCGTTTTGCCAGCCTGGTCCTTCTTGTAAGACACGTGGCCACCACCTTTCACATGTTCCGAAACCGAGACCTCAGAGCCAATCGGTTTCTGATCATCATGGTCGCGTCAACGCCCTTCAACGCCGATACAGGTCGCTTCCATTGCTCCACTTGGTATCTCCGCTCGTTCTCTTGACCCAACATGGTGGTTACCAGTCAAGGGTTTACGAGTCCGTGTGATTCCCGAATGGTCTAAGCGACTCAGGGTTGGGGGAAAATGATCCCGAAATTGAACTTCCCATCTACCTTCTCAACGACTCCGACTTCAGTGATGACTCCATCGATGAGTTCTGCCGGGGTAACATCAAAGGCTGGATTCCATACATCAATCCCAACTGCAGCGGTGCTCACCGTCTCTGAACCTTCGTCCAGAAGTAACTTTCCGTCTACCGTAACTCTGGGACCCTTGATCCTTGTCACCTCTTCCGGTGCTCTTTCCTCGATTACAATGTCCTTCCCCGATAACGTGTCTCGGTCGATGGTTGTCCTAGGAGCGGCAACTAGGAATTTTACCCCGTGATGACGGGCAAGTACAGCCAGAGAATGCGTTCCGATTTTGTTGGCTGTGTCGCCATTCGCTGCGACTCTGTCGGCTCCAACAACAATGGCTGCCAGACGGTGTCCTTCTCTAGCCATCAGTGCACAAGCCATCGAGTCCGTTATGAGCGTGGCCGGGATCTCGTCGTGGACGAGTTCATATGCCGTCAACCGTGAACCTTGGTTGTAGGGTCGAGTCTCGGAGCAGTATGCTCGGGTGAGCATGTTGACGGCTCTCAGTGATCTGATGACACCAAGCGCCGTGCCATATCCCGCAGTTGCCAGAGATCTGTTCAAATGTCAGTTCCCTTCCTGAAATGTTTCTCGCCTGACTGGTGTTTCTGCACTCACCCAGTGTTGCAATGTGTCAGAATCGCAAGCTCTTGATTCTTGTTTGCTTTTCTTTTCCTTCCGGCAGCGGTGTTTTCCTCGATCCAACGAGCTCCATGCTCCCCAATAGCCTTGTTGTCGGAGACATCGTCCACCAGCATCCGTTCTGCAGCGGCAATGTAGGCTTGGGCAACAGACTCCGCAGACGCCCCCGGTTGCAATGTGGCCTTCTTGGCCACGATCTTGAGCTTGCCGACTGCATCTCCGAGATTTACCGCCGTCGGTCGACTCGTCTTGAGATAGTCCAGCCGCTGGCCTATGCTGTCCTTGACCTCTTCCGGCGCTGCTGCAGCCAGCGTCCCGTTCCTGATCTCACGTCCCACCTCGACGGCGAGAGCCAGAGCCGCCACAATGGCGATGGCCGGGGCCCCCCGGACTTTCATCTGTTTGATTGCGGCATGGGCTTCTTCGCAGTCTCGAATCGGAACGTAGGCGGTTCGGTGTGGTAGGAGCAGCTGATCGAGGATCCGTAACGAGGGGGAGGCATCGGCCGAAGCGGGTTCATACTGGATAGCCTGCAGCACCATGACTGGGAGAGATCTAGGAGACGATGTCGAGGTTTTGGGAACCAGGACTGGAATGCACAAGGAAGAATTTTTGGCGTTGGTTTCACTATTATTGTCTGCGTGAAATTGGTTTCAATCTGGTCCGCCACCAACTTTTTTTTCCATCTGCACGCCATGTTGCGGGGTTGAGGTGATTTGCTGTTACCCCTCACCGCGCGTTTCTCCCACGTGCTACGGTCACTGGTACCTGGTCGTGCTACTTTGTTGTATGCATGCGACTTTCAAATCTGCTGTGGTTGTCCTTCGCCATCTTCCCTCGACACTCGAGTTATGAAACACCCAGAGATAGCGGAGCCAGCCCAAAGTGGCTTCGCGCCAGCTGCAGCCTATGATGCTCATCGTCCGACCTATCCAGAAGAAGCGGTCCAACGTCTCCTCGAAGCCTGTGAAGTCGCGGGCGTCAAGGGCGCAAAGATTGCGGACCTGGCGGCCGGTACTGGCAAATTCACCGAGATTTTGGCGAGAAGATCAGAAGAATATGACATCGTCGCTATAGAGCCTCACGACGGCATGCGGGCGCAACTGGAGCAGAAGCACCTTGCCCATGTACGGGTTCTTAAAGGCACCGCCGACAACATGCCAGCCATCGCTGATGAGTCTCTTGCGTGTCTCATAGCATCGCAGGTGAGTTCAGACGGTGCCTGACCGGGACGAGTTTATTCTGATCCAGCCCGTAGTCGTTCCATTGGTACGTCCCAAGCATTTCCACAGAAATCTTTCTGGTGATCTGATGGCTTTCGTTCAAGGTTTGCCAACAGTGAGGCGTTGAAAGAGATTGCTCGCACACTCCGACCAGCAGGTGTATTTGGCATGATTTGGAATATCGATGACTGTATGGGTGGTCCCCCGCGATTGAGACAGCCGGAAAGCTCACTTGCCATAACGCAGACAATTCACCAAAATCGTGGACGATTCATCGGGGTTGGGAGCAAGCCATGCGCGACGTGATTTGGACGTTCGAGGACGGGTCGCCACGCTTTCGACACGAGAAATGGCGACAAGTGTTCGAGGACCAGACGGCGAGTAACCCTTTGAGCGCAACTTTCACCAACCCACTGTTTGGGCTGCCCTTGGGAGAAGGGAGTGTTGAGTTCACATCGTGGCTGTCGAAGGAAGATATCTGGGCCAGGTTGAGGACGTTGAGTCAACTCGCGATATTAGAGGGTGAAGAACTGGACAAGGTGAGAAAAGCATTCGACGACAGTCTGAGGTCAGAGGGAACCGTGATTGATGGAGACGGTTTGATCGCTGTGCATGGGAGGACTGTGTTCTTCTGGACGAGCAAAATCCCTCCTGAGCCGCTCAAGAGCAGTGGCTAGATTTGTCGTTACCAAACATAGTATTTTCGAACACCGCCTTCGTACATTCCTGTAAACGTTGCCAATGGCTCCTCTTTTAGAGCTACACCTCGTGTGAAGGCTCGCAAACTCGAGTCGACTTGTAGCCCTCTTTCCCCCTTCGTGATCACTCCTGCTCGAGGTTCAAGTGGCGGAGAAGCCCGACAAGGCAGTGTATCAATCCAGGATGCGTATCAAGGGACGACTGTTCCAGGTCTTATGATCGTCCGTGGCGCTCCTTTTGAGCATATATCGACCACGCATGGTATGCACATGATTGTCCCCTCCTCTCGCCATCTGGCGGTTCCACTCGATCAGTGTATTGATCAGTCAGCTGGCTAGCCATGGACTGCTCTCAGTCGCTGGAAATATAGAGCACTATATCAACACACCACTGTGTCAGCAAAGGTCTCTACTTATTGACAAAACTCCCATGTTCACTTGCAGCTACTCTCGCTGAAAGCACCATCGCCTTGCTTTGTTTCCCCCCTGCTATTTTGCGCCACTAGTTTGCGGGGGCAGCATGTCGAAGAACGTACCATTATTCCCTCTGACGAACGCATCACCATATTTGCGTCGCAGCTTCCCGTCTACATATTCACTGCACTTCTCCAGTGCGATATTCATGTACCCGTCCACGCTCTGCAGTTCACCTTTGTAGACCACGCCAGAATTGAGCTTGACAGTCACGGGCACGCCGATGATCGAGGATAGGAAGGAGGCTGGGTCTTTGGGGTCCGAACTCGAGGGCGCAGCTCCGGGCGAGTTGTGGTTTTCCATTTTCGAGAGGGGATCGACGGGATACAGGAACGGAGGGTGAAGGGAGAGAAAAGAGACGGAGGTGAAGACAGGGCAGACGAGACTGCGCGAAAAGTCAAAGAGGGATTATCAGAAAGGCGTTCGGGTGTGATTTGGATCAGATGAAAGGAGTCTGTAGTTTTGTGGGGGATCAGTTTGAGCTGCGTGATAGAGTAGAGCCTTATAGGGAGCATTGGAGCTAGACAATAGAGTGTGGAGAGACTACGGAATCATTCCTTGGCGTAACGAGGCTGTCATCGTCCTTGACTCCAACTTGTACATAATCATCTTTCGACTCTCTATCCACCGAAACAACATTACCCTCCCCAACACATGGATGCTGGAAGCCACGCGAAGCTGTTGACCGGGTGTGTCGCTGTCACTTAACGACTGCTCGATCCCTTCAATTGGAAGAGCAGCATCTATAAGTCCAATGGTGAACCTTGTGTACCCATGATTGGCACTTGGGCCGTCATCTATGGACTGTCTCCGACTACCTAGAGGTTCTCCAGGGTGCAGTAAAATGCCCTTGGCACGTTAGAAGTGCCTGTAGAACAACAGCAGGGCATATCTTTCCCCTCTTCCTCCCAAAAAGAATATGAAGATGCCACCCTTGTAGGTCTGAGTGACCCATACTCTAGACATACCTCAGCTAGAATGGTTGGTGTCGAAATAATCAACGAGGTCAGATGTGACCGGCTGAAGTTTGTCCCTCATCCTCTAGCCCCCGGGACGATCCAAGATATGCAGTGGAACTGAGACGGTGCGCAATAGCACCCGTTCGAAGAAATATCTGGCCAACACGTCGAAGTGCGGCTGCAGGTCTTCCTATGCCACCTTTGGACATCAATGCTGTACGAGTGCTGCACCAATCTTCGTGCGCACTACTGACAGGTCGAGGACAGGTTCTGTGTCAGCGCTTCAATTGAGTCGTTGATAAGACTCGAACAATGCTCCCCTGGGATTCGTCTTTCACGCCCGATTGTTGACAGTGTATTGCACGCCATGTCGAGTCCAGCAGCATCACAGGGCTCTATTGCCCTAACACTAATTCCTCTCATGTTTGCTGGCTGCGTGGTCAGCTATCTCGTTGGAATCTATCGCAGTTACCAGAAGCTTAGCCACTTCAAAGCGCCCCCTCTAGCTGCGTTCACCAGCCATCAATGCTCGCATGCCAACCGCCCAGAAAGAGGCGCTCAAGAAATATGGGAAGCTGGCCAAGCGCCAACTACGAGGTCGAGGCTGACAGTTATGATGCAGGGTCGCCGGCACGGATAGGCCCCAGTCTCTTGGTCACGGATGACCCCGAGCTGCTGAGGCACATGAGTGCTCCTAGGTCTAAATGGACGCGGAGCTCGTGGTACGAGGGCATGAAGCTAGAACCCCAGAGCCAACCACATCTTCTCGGAACGCGATGAACGACGACATGCCGAGATGAGATCGAAGACGATAGGGGCAGTAAATCCACCCGAGCTATATGCGTTTCCTGTAACTTTGGTGTTGATGGTCTTGATTGTGCTGACCGGTGACAAGTATTCTGGGAAAGAGGTTGACGCGCTGGAATCCGACATTGACGAGAACCTGCAGAGGCTGCTAGCCCTGATTAGACGACAGTATAACGGGAAGCCTCTTGACATGTCACTGGTGGCATCTTTCTTCACCTTGGATGTGCTGAGCCAAATCGCATTTGGGGATGCTTTTGGCTTCTTCGCCGCCAAGAGAGATCTCTACAATTTGAATGAGATCGCAAACCAATTCTTCAAGGTGACAGAGTTGATCCTCAATCACGATACTCTGCGCACATTCATCCAAAGCCGGCCGATGCAGAAACTATGGGCTCCGAGAGGCACAGAGATGAGTTCGGCCAGGGTCGGATCATCGGTATCGCTCAAAAAGCAGTCGCTGAACGCTACCGGCCGGGTGCCAAGGTCAAAAGGGACATTCTTGGACACGTCGCAAAAGGACTCAGTCAGACACAGGTTGAGGCTGAGTCACACCTGCAGATCATCGCTGGCTCCGATTCGACGTCTTCTGCTCTACGCATAACAATGATGTTGTTGATCGGCAGTCCAGTGGCGTCCCAAAAGCTCGTTACCGAGATCGACAGGGCGGTTGCAAACGGCAAAATCTCCTGCCAGATCGTCAGGTGTAGTGAGGCCGCCGAGCTCGAGTATCTATCTGCCTGTATCTGGGAAGGTATCAGAATGTTCCCCCCTTTGTTCGGCCTTCTGAGCAACCTCGCTCCCCCTGAGGGTGGTACAGTAAACGGAGTCTTCTTCCCACCGGGGACCGAAGTGGCTTTCTGTTGCGAGGGGGTTGGGCGGAGAACGGACGTATTTGGAGCAGACGCAGATCTGTATCGCCCTGATAGATGGCTACAACCCGATCCGGAAGTCAAGGCCAGGTACTTGAGAACAGCGGATCTGACGTTTGGGAGCGGTAGACTTGCATGTCTGGGCAAGAGTATTGCCATGATGGAAGTACACAAGGCGTTCGTCGGAGGTGAGCTGACACTGTCGTGTACCTGTATGTATCTGCCTTGTGATCCTGACAATTAATCTAGCTGCTTCGGGACTTCGAACGGGCCCTCGTGGATCCAATCAAGGGTGCTAGATCGATCGCCCATGGCACATCTGGGTCCAGGAGAATATGATGCTAGTAGCATCGGCCCGGCAGCTTTAGCTGCAGGAGCCGGGGGCTGTGCAGAGGACTCGAAATTTTGCATAGAGGCCCTCGTCGCTTAACAGGTCAACAGACACGAAGGGCGTGTTACAGAAATAGCCAGACGTGACGATGTCTGTCTGCAGCACCCAAGCTATGCTAGTGTTAAACGTCGATCAGAACCCGCGGGTTTCACAATGACTTCACTTGTCACGGGACGTATCTGAAACTTACGAACAGAACTTTCTAAACATGGACACAAACCATGATGATTGCAGCTGGTGTTTGTTATTTCAACAGTCCTTTTTTCTAGCGTTGGTGGTAGACCGATGTATTTAGGGGCCACCTGTTCCCGTGGCTCAGCCTCGATGAGATCGATATCCCATCACCACATCAAAGCGCCTCCGCCAACCACGTCTCTCCACCCCCGCTTTTGGTCTCCTTTATGCAAAGGACTACTCGGTACTACCTTTGTTGTTACAGGAGATAGTCTCCAGACGATCCAGCTAAGCCGAGAAATAGTAAACCCATATAATACCCGCGCGGGATCCTCACGAGTTTGTACTAGAATAATATGGAGTCCGTTTAGCTGGTGCCAAAGTAAAGTTCTTGGCGCTTTTTTTTTCCATGTGGGTAAGTTATCTTACGGAGTCCCGAGTAATTACAATAATCTTGATGATTATGGACGAGGTAGTCGTGTGGAGGCCACCAAGACTTATGCTAGTTTGGGTACAAAACCAATCAGTGTGTTCACGCTAATATTATAAACATCCGACATAGGTATAGTAAGCTGCGGTGGACCCTTTCCAAGAGGGAAAGTACACAATCTCACGCGGCACCGATGTATGTATGTATTTGGCTTATCTGAGGGGGGTGGGGGGGGGGGGGGGGGCGATGCCTAACACAACCTACGAAGTACCTAATAGGTATCTTCGATACCTTGGTCACCTATACAAAATGTCACTAAGGGCGCCACATGCTCACTCGTAGCCACCACGTGTGAGATTTTGAAACGATGTACCGCTGAGCAGCAGTAGCAGTTGTAGTACTTCTCGTACGAAAAGGGGGGACGCCTCCCTCTTTGTTTTTGATTTCATCTGCTTTTTTTATGGGGTTGGTTTTCCACCTTTGCAATACCTTTGTAAATTGTCGTTTCATAGATTGCCGTTCTATTTCTGTCTGTCTGTCCCCTGAACCAGTGCACCTGGAGGAGCACACAACTCGGTAGTAGATGTGTCATTTCCACACGTGCCCGGCTTCGAATCAATTGACCAATCAACCAGCCGACTAGTCGATGTTGTCAGGACTCGATATTATGCCTCCCGCTACAAGACAGAGCTTCCTGTTAGTTTTTGGGTAGACTGCTGGGTACGGCAGCGGGAAGACAAGAGACAAGGACAGATGAATGGTAGTAAGAGCATTTCCTGATTTTTGACTAAAATTTAGAACAACCCAAGTGACTGAATCCATCCCGTTTCTTTGTCGCTTTACTTGGTCATATATAGAAGAAACAAAAAACAGTGAGAGGCTCCAGGTACAAGAGACAAAAGGACGATAGGCTAGAGATGGAAAAACAACCCAAAAACAACCCAAAAACCAGTCGCTCGCGAGTTCGCCATGTCGATTGAAGTTGGTCGCGGACTTGATCCCCCTAAATGGCCTGGCCGTAATGAACGTTGGGGTCATCATCCTCATCGTAATCTGGGTCGAAGTGGTTCGGGTTCTGATCGTCCTCGTCTTCAGGCCAGTGACCCCCGCCTTCCTCGTCCTCATCTTCGTCCCAACCCAGGTCGTTGAGGAGTGCTTCGTGGTCTGCTAGAGCACTTTGAGTGTTGTGAAATGTTTGGGCGTCTCGCTGACGTGCGTGACCGAACACGGCGTCATCGTCGACCTCCCAGTCTGGTATCTCTTCGGGATGCTGTCCTCCCTGACCCTGCATACCTGGATGCTGAGTGACACCTGCTGCCAGCCCTGCCATACGAGATGGACGTGGAGTGGCACCCAATGACTGCGGTGTCACGCCTGCTGGATTCGCTGTGATACCTGCTGGGTGTGAAACGACACCCGCTGGATTCGCTGTGATACCTGATGGATGCGAAACGACACCCGCTGGATTCAGGGAGGAAGACTGAGGATGGGCAACAGGTGGATGTTGAGGTCCCTGAGCAGGCTGGTGAGGGGGTTGCTGCATGGGTTGATGGGCGGGACCTCCTGTGGGTGGAGGGGCAGATGCACCTTTTGGCGGTGCATGGCGGTTTGGTCCAGGTCTTGGGGCATGAAGTGATGCTACCGGTTGAACTGGACCTGCGTGAAATGGATCGGGATCAGCCTGCGCTCCGTAAAGCGTACTTGCCGGTCGCTGCTGAGGCAGTGGAGGCGGCTTCGGCTTCGGCTTTTTGAAGAAAGACATGGCAGGCCAGCTGAGCCCCTAGATTGAGAGGGTAGAGCAAAAGAAAGAACCTCGAATTGAAATCCAACGGGTCCAGAGAAAGATGATCCAACTGTCGAACTGTTAGAAGGGACCTTGTGTGTGTGCGTGTGTGCAGAGTAAAATCCTGTTGATCGTATGGAATGCTACTGACGCCCATCTTTATAAGGAGCATAGTTTCTATATACCAACCATCTGTTGCTGCGCCTCGCCGGAATAGACCCCACGAACTCTACACAATCCACCAGGGTCACGTCCAAACACGCTACATTGTTTTCTGGGGCCTCACATAGTCTTGTGGACCATCAACGGCTCACCAAAGGCTTGTGATGAAAAAAGAACTGACCACCCCGCCACCGGTATATCTGTGGGGCAAGGAAGTGACAAAATCTGCCATCCACTAGCCATGCCCATCAAGGAACGAATCCCTCATGGACTTTAAGCTCGCCGTCTTGGCTGGCTTATATCTGACCTGACTCAGAGAAGGCGGAAGCGAATCGCTGTCCTCTGTATATCGGACCTCCGCTTTACAACCTCTAGTATCAGATAGTATGTACATTAAAGGTTGGCGAGGATAACTAGCATGTATTTCTTAATATATGACTTATATATCCCAGAGGACTCTCTCGTCTGCGCCTATTTCCCTAGTCAGTAGTGCCTTCCTTTCTGGTGATGGTGATCAGAAAAGCCGTAAAGGGGTCGTCTTGGCGCCAAGCCTCAGTATTTTTCAATCCCTCCCTGGCTGCCTGGCACTCCTGGCAACACTCCTGAACAAGTACATCCCCAATCCCCCAAGTACAAACGCCGAGCCGATTGCACGCCGTCTTTTGTAGAGTATTCTTTTCTCGGCCATCGGGATCGATCTGGATTCACTGATCTTGTCCTGACCGTCAGATCTCGGGCGTTTGGAGTCTTTGTAATTCGAAAGTCTTGCAACCCGACCAGTTCTCAACCTTGGCTTTCTACAATGTCACCAAAGCCACTACCGACAGACCTGCCCACTTACACCTTTCGGTCCGCCCGAGATTTTGAGACTTTCCTCGAGCGTGAGCACACCACTGCCCCTGGATGCTATGTTAAGCTCGCGAAGAAGTCGGCGTGCGAGCCGTCGGTTTCGTCAGCTGAGGCGGTCGAGATAGCTTTATGTTTTGGGTGGATCGACGGCCGTGCAAACGGCTTCGATGAGAACTGGTGGTTGGTGCGATATACTCCGCGCCGGTCGAAAAGTATTTGGTCCCGAAAGAACGTGAATACGGTGACCAGACTGGTCCAGGAAGGTAGGATGCGCCCAGCGGGCATTGCTGCCGTTGATGCTGCCAAAGCGGATGGTCGCTGGGCTCGCGCCTACGACGGCCCAGCGACGATAGCTGTGTCGGACGATCTTGCTGCCGCCCTCGCTGCCGTGCCTGCGGCGTCTTCTTTCTTCGAAGCTCTGAGCAAGTCAGAGCGGTACGCGGTGCTCTGGCGCATACAGACAGCGTCCCCTCAAAATCGAGCGAAGCGGATCGAAGCACTCGTCCAGATGCTAGCCGTTGGGAATGTACCCGGCCGAACAGTAAAACCCCAAACGCTCCCTAAGGACAGACAAGCCGTGAAGAAAGCGGTGGCGAAAAATTCTACAGTGAAGCAAAAGCTGGCTACGGAAGACATACCCACTGGCCAGCCTCTGCCAACGGCAGAATCCAGACAGCCTCGACGTTCTGGGCTGCGGCCACGAAGCTGAAGCACCTACTTTGTGGACTGGGCAGGCTGCTAATGAGATTGTCGAGTTTACACCGATGGATTGAACCTTCACTGAACGCTCACGTCCAACAGTGGCTTCTACCAGACCTTTGCCTCAAACCACCAATATTTCGCCTCGACGCAGAACATCTACCTTCGACCAGTCCTATACCTGAACTTGCGTCCATTCTGGAAATTCAAGATCCTCCCGCTTTATCGACATCATGTTCCGATCGTCGACGTATTCTCGCAGTGGCAGGTCCTCGAATTGGCTCCGGTTTCCGATGTTCATGCCTCTTTTCTGGATCAAGCGTGCGTACTCCATGGTTCTTCGCACGAACTCCGCGTGGTCGCCGGTCTTGAGATACTCGACGAGCATGAGGACGTCGAACGCAGCTTGGCTTGTACTAGCGACGGTGTGTGGCCTGAACCCAGCGAGTGCATCCCCGATAAGCACAACCTTGCCACCATAGAAGTCATTGGTCGGAGTGATCACGTCTGTGATACACTGCACAAATGGCTTCTTCGTCTTCTCGACCATCTCGGACATCTGTGGTGGAAGACGGTCTCTGCCGCGCTGTTTGACCATCTCCCAAGCCTCGGGCCGCATCATTCCAGGTGGGATGGTCAGGCGCCTCCGCTTGCCATCCTTGTCAGTCATCACCTTTTCAAGTTCTTGCTCGCCTTCGGAAAAGTTTGTGTACCAGACAAAATTCAGCAGTCGTTTCCCTGGCTCCATCGCCCCATCGGTCCCAGGGATGGTGTACGTCAGATTTTGAATGCCTGGAGCATGGAAGAAAGTAAACTTCTCCACGAATACTTTCCTGGCTTCCTCAGTAGCCTCGTTCTCCGGTACCGTGCCCCTTATCACGCAATAGCCTGCATATTTTCGCTCGACTTCAGGACACAGTATCTTCCGGATGGTCGAACTCGGCCCATCAGCGCCGACAAGCATATCCCCGACGATTGACACCTTCTCGCCATCAGTCGTATCATAGAGTACCCTTATCTGATCACCTTCCTCTTGGAAACTTGTCACCGTACAGCCATACCGATAATCGATCCTGCCGTCGCCAGGCTGGGGCCCGGGGACTTTGCAGTATCCGCTCTGCTGGTGGTCATAGTTGGCGCGGAGCATGTAATAGCACAAGTCCCAACTTGTCATGGTCTGTTTCATGACTTCCTCATGGACAACTTTGCCTGACTGATCGAGATACATTCGTTTCTGAGACGTGACGGCGACCGGTCGCTTGCAACGGTCGTAGCGTTCGAAGAAGGAGAGGGTATCGCCTCCCGCGACAATACCGGCACCTTGGTTCTCGAGCAGGTTCGTTGGGTTGCGTTCCAGAATTGTCGTGTCATAGCCATGCTGCTTGAGCGCTACGCCGGTGAAGAGGCCACCGAGGGAGCCGCCTACAATGATGATGTGTTTGGGCCTGCGTGCTGTGGGGGCACCATTGAGCTGTGACCCTGCCATTTTGTTTGTTATCAACCAGCAGAATGTTTTCAATATGGTGGGAGAGACGGATGGCAGAATACATGCGAACGCACATGGTTCGGATCATCAAACCCAGAAGAACATTACGTCTCGCATGCACTCTCGCTCCACGGACGGTTGCCGGCCGATGGAGAAAAGCCACATCATCCTCTGTAGGGAGATTGGGCAACTGGGGGAGGAGAAGCACGTCGACCTTGGGGAAGTGCTCATCATGATTAGGTTTCGATCAACAGTGATTAGTTGGATCTCCTCAGGGCTCGGTGGAATGGGGATGGGCATTTCAATAATGATCTACAACCCCGCATGGATCCTGCATCATTTCCTCCTAATGAGTTGGTAGTTAGTGGCACCAAGGCCCCGTCGTGCCCAGTCAAGCCAGTCCAGCCCCCAGCCTTACGAGGCTGTGAAGGGGAAATGCAACCAATGCCCCGAGCAAGGAGGGAGGAGGGAGAAGAGACAGTACCGAGTACAAGTGTCGAGTACGAATCAAGAACGGGGGTGTATAAGGCGAGAACATCCCAGAATTGGGTGACCCTACTCGGTACATGGGGAGTGCTATCACAAGCACATACAGAGGTAGGCAGGCTACCTCTAGAGGGTGAGGTTAGGGGAGGGGGAGCGGGTTCACCTTAACTAATGTACCTCGTACCGAGTAATAATTAATAGGTAAAACTCGCCCTTTGTTAGACATCCAGGCATTGTCCCCCAAAAGCGGCGACACTGCCCACCAAATCTGGCGGGACATTTTCCCTTGCACCGTACCACGCGCGTGCACGCCTACAATAACGCGTGGGAGACACAAAGAGCTTTGTCCCCCGCGCCTCGAAATTCCTGCGCCCGTCGACTCGAGGAATTCAAAGTTCCCACCGTTCGCACGCTTGTGCATGCCAACCTCCCCTGGAGAATGCACAAAGCGAATCTGCCAGACCAGCCAGGAACTTCCCCTCGATCACCGCGAAAGTATGACTAGCAGTGGCGGTGGTGGCGGTGTGAAACGGTCCCTGTTCAGTAAGTCCGCTGTAAGAGCTGCGGTACCTGCGGTCACGAATTCGGCCTTGACAGCGGGCGGCGGCGGCGGATCGATCTTCGGTCGCAATGTCAATTACGAGGACATTGTCCGCGCAGAGAGGGCGCAGCGGGAGAGGAAGGCCGCAAAGGCCAAGGCGCGCAGCGGCGGCGCAGGGGAAAAGAGGAAAAAGAGCGAGGGTCCTGACGCGAAGAAGCGCAGAATATCCGCAGATGATTGCGACGTTGGAAGCGGTTCGGCGAGTGAAGTTGAGAAGAGGAAGAAGGAGGACAAGATTCGAGAAAGACCTGTGACGCGCAGCACGCCGACGAAGCGCAAGGACTTGCAGAGGGGGCTGGAGGCGTTGCCAAAGACACGGCCGTCTCCACGTCCCAAGGAGGCCGTGAAGAGTACCACTATTTATCTCGATGACGGAGATGGAGAGGAGGCCGAAGACGACGTCCCAATCATACTCACCTACGCAAAGCCGAAGAACGCGGGACCTGATCTGTTGACCGAAAAGGACTCGGACGAGGAGGATGAATACCTACGCCTGCTGAAGCAGAAGGCACGCGAAAAGGCTCGACTTCAGCGTCAGGGCGGCCAAACGATTCTGAGATCTAGCACTCCGCCTGATCGACAACCCTCAATTGCCCGCGAAGATATTGATCCGAATTCACCTGCCGGTGTGCGTTCGCAGGGGACCAGCCGGCCAGCTTCGTCTAATTCCGTCCAAGACTTCGAAGCGTCAGCCGCACGCACACACAACCCCCCCGAACCAGAAAATGACCCAGAAGTCAAGATCATGATCCAGTCCCAGATCCCCGGTACCAATTCCCTCATCGTCAAGCGGAAGGCATCGCAATCCCTGAAACAGGTCAAGGAGTTTTGGTGCCGGAAATTCGACCTCGAAGACTCCGTCGCCAGGCAAGTCTTCTTGACGTGGAAAGGGACGAGACTGTTCGACTCGACCACGATGCGCGGCATCATTCGGGGATTGAAGAAGGACTACCACCGGCAGCAACGGCCACGAAGTTTAAGCCTGGGCATTGAGGATGTGGAGGAGAACGCAGACGGTGATGCTGGATACGACTCCAGCAGCGCCAAGGATCCCAGTGGAGGGCATATCATGCTCGAAGCCATGACGCCCGAGCTCTACGACCAGAGACTGCGCGAGAAAGACCGTCTTCGGCAACGACAACGATCGCTACTCACTTCTTCAGCCGATGGAAGCGAAGACGAGGACGAGGATGGAGGCGACGCAGACCAGGAGGGAAGAGAGCACGACACAGAAGCCGCAAGAGCTCCCTTGCAAACAGCGGCGGCAGCAGCAGTAGCAGAAAGAGACAAAGGTGCAATCGTCATCCGACTGGTAAGCAAGGACCTGGAACCCATGCAGCTACGGGTGCGGCCGAACACCACGATCGGCAAGATCATGCGCGGGTTCGCGGCGACGAGGAAAGTCGACGAAGCAAAGACGCCGTGGTTGATTTTCGACGGCGAAAGACTCGACAAAGAGAGCACAGTCGAAGAAGTCGGCTTTGAGGACGAGGACGAAGTCGAGGTTAGTATCCGATGATTGGGGAAGATCTTTCATCACAGTGGCTGCTGGTTCACCTACACATGTAGTAGTTTGTACTTGAGAAGGAGACATGATTTGATGTGAGATGTGAGCGTAATATGGGAATGGGAATGGAAAGGGGGACTGAATCGCTGGAGTGCCTCCCTAGGCGTAGGTCTCTGGCCTCTAGACTCCCCCAGACGGATCTATCAAGGAAGGTGAGCGAAATACTGTAGGGCATGCCACTCACTAAGCCAGGCAGAGTGCTGGTACTCACGACGATGACGAGTCTACGCATTTCATTACTGCATTGAATTGCATCACACTGCTTCAATTTTCAGTAGATCACTGGAATTGGAACCGTGCGTTCGTGGCAGAAACAGGGTCGCATGCACACTAGACTCCTCTTCATGTGGGTAGGCAGGTACGCAGGGTAGGTAGTAAAAAGGTAGGGAAGGGCAGAGCGAGCGAAACAAAACTTGTCTTCTGAACCGCCACGCAAGAAGTGGGAAGAAAAATGTTTCTAGGGAAAGTCGGAGGAAGGGGTTTTATGGTTCTTTTCTCTGGCATGGTATTTTCGTTTCTGCTTCAAAGATCAAGCCAAGGTTGAGGAAGTAAGGTTGTCGTCTCAACCTGCAACCTGCTGTGGTTACAGGTTTCGCACCCCTGGGAGACCTTGATCGCTGGCTGGATTGCCGGTAGGTAGAATGGCTAGTCAGCTAGCTAATCAACCAGACAGACAACCAACCGACCGACCAACCGGCCAGCCAGCCAGCCAGCCTCGAAGGAACAGATTTCCCTCGTGTTCAACAGCGCCGTAAAATGCTTTTTTGTCCATCTCTCGGAAATTGTTTGGTCTCTGGTTGATCGGCAAACATCCCGCCCACCCAACGGTCTTCTCCTCCCCTAGCCTCGAGAGGTCTTGTGCCTCGACAGTCGGCTCCGTTCATCCCTCTCCCCATCACTTTACAACTCCCTCATCTCCGTCGTCAAAGAGCATTTGTGCCCAATAGTAGAACCAGGGTAGAAAATGTTGTCGATGTTTAATGGGCCCCAGTTCTTCTGGCCTCGGCGATGACACGCTGCAGCTCGTCGACCTTTCTCTTCGCACGGCCGAAAGTACCGAGCTATACAATGACACAAAACGTTAGCTTTCTAGGGATCTTGCGATTTTGTTGCCTGTTTGCATTCCACACAAGTTCCAGGTCCAACAGTGTGAACACGAAAATCGCAGCGCAAGGCTGGGAGTCCAGGACGTGTATCTCCACAGAAAGACTTCTTGTGTGTATACAGCGAGCAGCAGGGATGGTATTGTAGGTCGAAACGTACCCGCTTCTTGGCCAACTTTCTCGCACGCTTGTCCTTGCTGTTCCTCAACAATTCAATGACACGTCGCTCGTACGGTGCCAGGCCGGCGACTTCCTTGACGATTTCGCGGACGAAGGCCGTGCGCTTGCTGAGGGAGCCCTTGCGCCGGGAGATCCGAGGCTTGGTGGTGATGGGTGTGACTTTCTGTGAGAGGGAAAATATGACATATTAGCATTCTTGCCTGTTTGCGGAGGCTGGCACCATCTGGGTTGAAAGGGAAAATGTCGAGTTCGGCCTCCTTCTCGTCACCATCCTCCTCCTCGCCATCTGTTGAAAGCATCCGTGGTGTACCATAATTTTTTTTTCGATTGGAGGAGGCCGACCTGAAAGAGGAGGGGGTTGGGTTTACACGGCCAGGGAAAGAGAATACTCACATGGCCCTTGTTCAAGCCGACAATGATGCCGGACTTCTCAGTGCGTTCTTTCGCCATCTTGAACGGTCTGATGAGTTGGCGAAAGCGAGACTGAGGAATAAGCTGGAGACAGTGAGGGTTCGTTGGTGTGCAAATTGATTTCTGGGCGCAGTTGGCGGCAACTTTTCGCATTCAAGGTGGACGGAAAGTTTGCCGAATGTGTGGGCTCCGAATTAGGGATGGCGCCACGTAGTCTTGGCATTACCTTGGGCTCTGCTGCGAGTGAGGCATCACTTGTCTCCAACTACCTCATATTTGGATCTGATACTCACTCCAACGCCAATTTCCCTCGTTGTAGATTGGAAGACTCGACCTCGAGTCCAAATGACCTCTGCACAGAGTTACAGTTTCAACGCATGCGTCACTAATCTCTTATATCCCTCCAACGCCTCCTCCATATCCCCCACGGTAAGCCCCTCGTCCTTGCCATGGGCCACAAGAATACTCCCTGGCCCGTAGAGATACTTCTTGACCCCTTCCTCGACATCCAGATTCGGCACATCGGTCCCGTAGTTCACCGTGATCGTTTCGAAACCATCCACGTCTGCATCCAACGGTATGGGCCCGTATCCTTGAGAGAACTGCAGTTCCAACCAGCCCTCGGGGTCGGCCTTTCGCACCGCGTCCGTGACGATTCTGCGAACGTCTGGGACAGTTCCCCCTGCGAGCCTGAAGGTCACGTCGGCCATGGCAAACTCGGGGACGACGTTGCCCGCCACACCTCCCTGCATGAATCCAACATTCACCGTAGACTTGCCGTACTTGTCGCTCCTGGGCAGTCCGCCCTCCTCCTCGGGTGCATCTCCCAATCCATCCAGAGCCACAAGTGCGGGCAGGATCATACTATTAGCACTCCTCCCAAGCCATGGATAACCGCTGTGCGCCGCTTTACCACGTGCGCGTAGAGAGAGCATCTCAATCCCCTTGTGGCCAGTTGCTAGTTTGCCCTCCGTGGGCTCGCCGAAGAGAATTGCTTTGTAGTCGTCGCGGGTGTCTTTGTAGAGCTGCGACGAGGAGAAGTGGCGCATGCCATCGCCCCTCGTTTCCTCGCCTACCACAAACAGCAGCGCAAGGTCAGAAGGGGAGACGGACGTGGAAATGGCGGGGTCCGCGAGCAGGTCCAACGCGGCTTGGATTTGAACAGCCACGCAAGCTTTGTCGTCGACCGTCCCGCGACCGGAGATGAGTATATCCCTGCGCGAGAACGATGTCGTAGAACCAGAGTTGTCTCCCTTCGTGGGGAGAGACAGCGAGTACGGGATATGCGGCGGGACCGTGTCAATGTGCGACGTCAAGAGTACCTTTGGCAGGCTTCGTTCCTCCCCGGCAGACGCAGCGGAGCGCCCATACTGCGCAACATCCGGGTAGGCATAGATGTTGAATCTCTCCTTTGTGCTGCTGCTGCTGCTTGTCGAACCCAGTGCCGATGGCGGCGGCACACTCTGCGTAAGCACCGTAAAGTTGTGCGCTTCCAGAATCGAGACCAGGAGCTTCCCCACTGCCGCCTCATTATCCGAAATCGATTCGACTTCGCAAATGGCACGATGCAGCGACAACAAGGGCGAAGCAGCTATCACATCCGAGAGCTCACCATGGTCGAGAGTGTGCCCGCCCAGAGCTAAAGACGGCTGTTGTATCGCATGTTGTTGATCCTGCACGGGGGCGATCAAGGCGTGGAGTGTATAGACTGGGAGCAATGCCAATGCAAAGCGTTGGACTAGCTTCATGACTTTCAGCCAATGTCGACACCTTCACTTACAAGCACATGAGATGCAATGACGAGATTTGCTTGATGGTGTCGAAATGAAGAGAGGTCGATAAGAGCTGCGAGTAGACGAGATCGCCGTTTGATCCTCTCCTGCCGCTCCACCGCAGGTCACGAAATCGCGGATCTCACCGCTGGCCAGAAGTAATTACCTACGACAAGCTACATGCATCTAAAGTCGGACATGTCTTTTCCTTTTTGGCATAAAATAAAACTGGGAGCTGATACACTCTTTCAATTCAAGACTGTCGTGGTTCAACCTTGAGTTGTTTTCACTCCATTCGTTGCCTTGGCCTTCTTCTTTTCTCTCCGTCGTTCCCATACCATCAGGTAACCCTCTCTCGTGAAAAGCGTTTCAGATTCTGCTCGTTCGAGCCAGAGATCTTGTATTTCCAGCCATTCCGGGAGATCAGTTCGCTGAGCATATGCAACAGCCTTGTCCCTCAGTTGAACCTTCCATGCCACTTTCTGACCCTCGGCCCCAGCAGCTTTGTTCGCGGCGTCGGCGGCATTAGTATCTTCACCCCCAGCACTAGAAATCGATGTCGTATCCAAAATAATGTTTGCAACCATGTCGTAAAGGATTGGCTCCCCGGGTGGGTGGACCGCCGGGTTAGGTTCGACGTAAGGTGACATGTCCAGCCCTCGAGGAGAAGGAAATGTTACAATGGTCGGGTTCCTCTCGGAAACAAATTTATTCCGACTGAATCGCTTGATATGGAATAGAAGGTAGGGAGGAAGCGGGTGTAGAAGTCGATGTCGTAGTCGATGAGCCGCTCTCTCCATGGCATTCAGCCCGTTATATTTCTGTAACAGGTTGGTCAGAGGGACTTGAGGGATGATATTCTTGGATTCGACCGCATCTCGAAAGAGCGGCACTGGAGGGAGATCTAGCGTCAGGATGAGGAACGGATGCAGGTCCGTCTTAATGTTGGACGACTCTTCAAATCTGAGTCGATCGCCCGTCGTGTCGGATTTCGCTGTGATTTCTTGTGACTCAACGCGCAATTTCCCTTGAAAACACTTGTAGATGGGTGATGAGAGCGCCTTGCGCGAACCTCCTAACGTACTGTGCAGGTTGTTGAGGAGCCACGCGAGCAGATCCACAGGGTCAGATTGGTGTGTCAGAGTAAATCTTTTCGACGATCGCAGGGCAATCTCCTGCAATAGTTCGTGCGGCGAGACGTGAGATCGAAACGCCCTTGGGTTCCAAAGCTTGCGGACCAGCGTGCTGAAGCGCACTGGTAACTGCGACGCCGTGTGTGGAAACTCTTGCAGGAGGAAGAAATCCCTCAAGGGCGAGATATGTGCCAACGCCTGCACAACAACATTGAGATAGTCGTTGGCTTTGATGTTGTTCATTCCCATAAAACCTGGCCTGTACCGCTTGTGGGCAAGGTCTGTTGACTCCTTCGGATCCTTGTCTAGCATTTTGACCTCCTCTTCCGTGTATTTTGGATCCACCACGTACTTGATATCGTCCAAACTCTTGTTGTGCACCTCATAGCCCTCGGGTAGGACGTAGACCTTCTTCGTTTCCATGTTGATGAAGACATGATGATCGACTTCGAGCGCGTGCAGATAGGCGTGAGACTTTGGGCCTCGCCCTTGGAAGTATTTGCCGCATACCAGGCAGGCGTAGACATTGATGTTGGAGAGGGTAACGGAGCAGAGTTTCTCAAAGTCGAAATCGAGCAAGGATCGATTGATGGTGTCAAGATAGAGATCGTCGTAGCCTTCTGCGGGAGCATTTTGTCGCAGGGGCGCAGCCGATAACCGATCGTCTTCCACGTCTGATTCGACTTCTTCTTCTTCATCCCCTTGTTCCCCTGTCATCCTCTCAGAGACACCGGCGCCATTTGTAGGTTGGGCGTCCCGGCTTTGAGAAGTATTCAGACCACCATGCGCACGGGGCTCTTCCTCTAGTACATCTTCAACACGCGCTTTCTTGCTTGCCGGGGATGCACTGACGAGAACGCCCTCCAAGGGCTCTTCTGATTTTCTTTTTGACATCGAAATTGAGCGCTCTGTATCTGGTAGAATATGGTTTGTACAATCAGTCAAGCGTTCAGAAAATTGCAACTGCGCAATAATTCGACGCGGAGAAGCCTTCCGGCAAGTGATTGGTTGGATTTCAGCCTCGCGGCTCTGCGTTCCTCCTCACGACAGGATCAAAGCACTAGCCGATAAACTTGAGTCTACATATTAGCCCAACCTACAACCTGACAGCAGTTGCAGGGAGGCGAACATATTCTCTAGAGCCAGGTTTCTTTCTCCTTCAAAGGAAATCAAATCGACTTCTCGCATGACCAAGTGGCCGGGTATCTTTTGGGTACATTTCGCGAAACACTTTTCAACTGCCCATCGGCTCGATTCCAATTAGACCTCATATGTTCCCCCAGCCGAATCTCTCACCCAGTCTCATTGTTATCCGAGCACCAATTCCCCATATCACAAAATTTACCAGGCCTTGTATGCCGATCGTGAGGGCCCAATTACCCCAGAATTGCCATCTTTGCATCATAGAAAGGTCTCGCACCCGCATTCCCGAAGTGGGAGGCCATACATCTCCAAGCAATGAGGAAGTCGTGGCCCTTTGTTGATCTGCAGATTGGTGAGAGAGGAACCCTCGAGCTAGCGACCTTAAGAACAGGATGTCAAGCGGGAGCAGGACAATAGACTCAATGATCGAGGTCGTGTAATGTGCGAAAGCTTCAGCCGGGTGATTGGACAGGATAGTCACGCGATAAAGACTCTCGTCGGTGTTACCCGGATCTCTCGATTGCGATTGACGACGTTGCAGCATCCCGTCTCCCATTGTTGGTGCGTCTTGTTCTATGACGGTCGGACGGCGCACAGGCCGTGGTGTTGTGTGGGGTAAACTCGCCGCACGAGATATGCCCGGGACAGGGGAAATAGGAGACGGAGTCCGCTGTAGAGGAGAGCCTGAGGATGGAATCGGAGGAATTGGAGATGCTGCATCCGGCGTAGCTGGAACCGGGCTGGCTGTTCGTCGCTCTCCGGAATCCGTAGTGTCCGGGAGACCAGGCTCAAGAAGGGTCTCCAATGGAACGGCAGGCTGTAGACTCTCCGTATCCACGACTGGACTGTCTGAAGACGGGAGATAGAGAGGATCACCGGTCTCTTGGTGCGGGTCGCTCCAGTCAAGGAGATCTTCATCGTTTGCATTTTCTACAATCTGATCATCGCCGAATTGTCCCTCTCCTAGCTCAATCTCACGTTCAGCATTGTCTTGAGCCTCGTGCGCAGTGCCGTGGCCTGTGTCCACTTCCGTGAGGAGTGGTCCATCTTGGGGGTCTGGTGTCGAGGTAAATGCTGGACTGGACGCTCGGAAGCTCACATCGTCGGCCAACTCGAATATGTCAATCATGGAGTGATCCGGATCCAAGTTGAAGTCGTGAAAGGCAGAACGTATAGCCATGACTCGAAGGGTTCTTGGGGCTCGTCTGAGATCAAGTTCACGGTTCTGTCGATATAATGCTCGGTAGTGCATGGCACTCCGTCCTAGTAACTCCCTTTCAATATTTGGGCTCAATTCGACTGCCAAGGGAACTCTTTGTGTCTGAATGATCCGGACCCAAAACCATAAAGAGGCTGGAATTATTGCCTGAATAGTGTCTCTCATGGACCGTGGGCTCGATCCACTCGATTCACCGAAAATAGCCTCTTCCAGTTCAATAGAGGCGGTCTCAAGGTTCAGATTTCTGGCACTTTGTAGCGATATTCGATCTGGCCGGTCGGGCTTCGCTACCATCTGGCGGACCAGAACATAGACTTTTTTGAAGAGATAGTTGCCAAGCAGGTCTCTGATGAAAGCTAAGACAAAAGGACTGGAAATTATCTTTACTAGTGATGGGATCAAGGCCCTGCAGGACCAGTCTGACACGCCGGGCGACATGCTAACAGGGGACTGACCACTGAAGCGTACCAAGGCAGTCCAGGAGGGCGCAGGGTGAAGCGGGATGAGGTTGAGCGATTGTAAGATGGAATAGGCGTAGAACGGGTACTCGAAGGCAAACCATAGGACTTGTAAGCTACCTAAAGTCAGTGAAATGTCGTCAAAGCCGCAGGATTGCTCACCTTGACCGGCGCATTATCCTGCTGATATTTGCTAACCCTAGAGCTGATGCTGGGCGTGCTGGCCTCGAAACTCTGTCATCCTCTAGTATCGCAATTCTGAGCAGTTGGCTGATCCTCGCAATTGTGCCAGGGACGAAGCCAGCAAACAGGAAAGCGCTCGGGCCCATGATACTCCATTCCGAGAAGAGCATCTGTGGAACAGGCAATCCTAAGTAGGACTTGAAAGTCTGGGCACGTCAGCTGCGGCGAAGTGGGTAGTTGGCCGGTTTACTTACCAGAAGACGCCGGCGAAAGTTGACTGTCCAGTGGGTAGCAACATTTTGAACAACAGTCTCGACGATCTCGCAGTAAGCGCCAGTAGCATGCTCGTCTAAGAGAAGTCGATATCGCTGCGCATCATTCATCGATTGCCACCGAGATTGCTGCATTTGTGCTTTGCGAACAACGACACCGACCGTGGACAGGGCTTCATTTTGGGCTCGAAGCAGTCGTCTCCTCAACGTCTCAGAAGCAGGATTTCTTGGATGACCTCGATCGTCGAATTGTTGAATATAGTTGCGGTCTGTTCGACGCTGCACGTTCGGTCCAAGGATGAACTCCCCATTCTCATCTTCCAGCGGAGGTCCAAAAGGAGATCGTCCCTAATATCAACTGTCAGATGTCTAGATGCAACTTGATTGTATCCATGACAAAAGTGGTTAAATTGTTATGAGAAGGGAGTACTTCGGCATTCCGGAAGCTCTTCACACCGCATGATCTCTTACCAAAGCTAGACGAGCAATATGTGACTGTCGACCCATTTGCGTGGCTGGTTGAATACGCTCTTTGGCAATTGAAGGGGCAAACGGATTAAATGCATCAGTGGCTCTGGTCGAAGGGAGTGCGTTCAAACATTACATATGAAGACAGTAGAAGTCGGAATCCATCAAGCAGGAGCTGCTCATGTTCAACGTAGCTACTTTGAACCACTATCCATGTCATTGATATGGTTCTAGAGAGGAAAGATGGGCGAGAGGCTGAACAGGGCAACCAGAGGTCCTAAATGCCAAGACAATTCAAACCAGCGTGAAGTTTAGCCTGCATTGAGGAGAAAATCGACGCCGTTTTGTACTCAATATCCCTTTTTTCCTTTGTACCGATGAGTTGATACGATGCCATTAGGCCTCATAGAAAGTGTTCAGACGGCAGCTTGATGAAAACTCATCTTTACCAAATCCCTCTTAGTCCATAGGGACCGCCCCATATGCATCGTCCGCTGTTCCCGCTGATGGTAATGATGACCGCCAACAAAGGATGAAAAAGACAGCCCCAGTGGCATAGGCGTTGAGAGCAGCTACCCTCGCCACTAGCTTCGCCCACCTCGTGTTATGTCCTCGTACCATTAGGCGCACGGAAAGTGGACATCATAAAAAGGCTCAGGTAAGAGTAGAGGATTGTTTATCGAAGGTACGTCTGGTCGACCACACCCATCTAGATCTGGCAGTGAATCGGAGCTGAGGATCTGTAGAATCATCGGTAGGTAGTGATTGCGATTTCCCTCCTGGATTCGGTCGTCCGAGCCTAAGTGTTGAGGTCGATGCGTTACTTCTTGACATGCCTCGACAAATCTGAGTCGCAGCACCAGAACTAATAATGCCGTGGCCTTGAACCGCTCGTATTGGAAAAATTAGTATGCAGGCAGAGAGAGCGGTACGATCTGTCATCTGTGACTGGACCGTGGCTAGAGTGAAATGGTTCTTGATATCTCTGAGCGTGGATGTAGCACTCTGCTATCCGTACGTCTTCCTCATTTGGAGAACATGACATGCAATTGCCCATTTTCGGGTGGTACTGAGGTCTTCAATGTTCGTGTGAAAAGCACGAAAGAAATCTAGTTTTGCTGGCCATGTAGTAGCAGGAGAAATTGGTCATTGTTGAACAAGGATTAAACGCGGCAAAGGTTGGTATGGAGGTTGTCATCCAAGGAGGCCCAACGTTCGTCTCTGGCACTTCTGTGTAGTGGGACTAGGATGCCTGTATCACTGCCCAGCGATGCTGTCTAAGGTATGCAGATTCATGATCGTGACAAGTAAGCAAGCAAGCATGACAAGGTAAGATACCGTCCAGCCTTGCCAAGCCGCAGCCTTGTCCTTGCCTGACCTGATTCTCCCCGCAGTCTTCAAAATTTCGACTCGCTGTATCTGCGTTCACTGCGCAGTACTACGTTTTACCTGTCACACCAATCCCTTCCGGAGCTCCAGCAAAGAAGAGGAGGACACCGGGAGAAGCCACCATGGCAGCATACAATAATCCAACGCAAATCTTTGCCGACGATGTGCAAGAAGAAAAGGGTGAAAATGCGCGTCTCTCTGCCTTCGTCGGTGCCATCGCAGTTGGGGACCTCGTGAAATCCACGCTCGGCCCGAAGGGTATGGACAAGATTCTTCAGTCTGCTTCGACCGGGGAGATTATGGTAACGAATGACGGCGCCACCATCCTCAAATCCATTGCCCTCGACAACGCCGCCGCAAAGGTCCTCGTCAACATCTCCAAAGTCCAAGACGATGAAGTAGGAGATGGCACTACATCGGTGACAGTCCTGGCGGCAGAATTGCTTCGAGAGGCAGAACAACTAGTAAACCGTCATATTCACCCCCAAACCATTATCGAAGGCTACCGTCTAGCATCACAAGCAGCTTTGCAAGCACTCGAAAAATCCGCTGTCGACAATTCCAAGCAACCCGAGCTTTTCCGAAAAGACCTCCTGGCAATCGCTCGTACAACGCTATCCTCAAAGGTCCTTTCTCAGGATCGTGATCAATTTGCTAGTCTGGCGGTCGACGCCGTCCTCCGGCTCAGAGGATCTGTCGATCTGAATCACATCCAAATCATCAAGAAATCAGGAGGGAAACTGTCCGATTCTTACCTCGACGAAGGGTTCATTCTCGACAAACGTATTGGTGTCAACCAACCCAAGAGATTGGAAAATGCCAAAATACTCGTGGCGAATACTGCAATGGACACGGATAAAGTGAAAATTTGGGCTGCGCGCATGAAAGTCGGTTCGACAAAAGAACTGGCTGAGTTGGAAAAAGCCGAACGCGAGAGAATGCGTGCGAAGGTCGAACGGATCAAAGCACATGGAATCAACTGCTTCATCAACAGACAATTGATCTATAACTGGCCGGAGCAATTGTTCACGGAAGCCGGAATCATGTCCATCGAACATGCCGACTTCGACGGTGTGGAACGTCTCGCTTTGGTCACTGGTGGGGAGATTGCGAGCACTTTTGACCATCCGGAGTCTGTCAAGCTCGGGCACTGCGACTTGATTGAAGAGATTATTATCGGTGAAGATACATTGATCAAATTCTCCGGTGTGGCAGCAGGCCAAGCTTGCACTATCGTGCTCAGGGGCGCGACAGAACAACTTCTGGACGAAGCGGAGCGAAGTCTACACGATGCTCTTGCCGTTCTGTCACAAACTATCAAAGAACCCCGCGTCGTTCTCGGGGGCGGCTCTTCCGAAATGGTGATGGCAAAAGCGGTGGATTCGCTTGCGCAGAAGGTCCCTGGGAAAAAGCGCCTGGCTGTCGATTCATTCTCGACCGCCCTACGTCAACTCCCGACCATCCTTGCGGACAATGCCGGCCTCGATTCTTCCGCTCTCGTGTCAGAATTGAGAAGCGAGGTGTATAGAGGTATGACGAGTTCGGGCTTGGATCTATTGACCCCGGGTGGTGGCATCGCCGATATGCGAGAGTTGGGTGTGATCGAGAGTTACAAGTTGAAGAAAGCGGTGGTAGGAAGTGCGAGCGAGGCGGCAGAGCTATTGCTGCGGGTAGACGATATCATTAGGGCAGCGCCTCGGAGGAGGGAGCGGATGTAAGAGTGAATGAGTACTGCAAAAGACAGATGGCGAATGGAAGATTGCAGGAGACACATCGCAAGGAAATGAGATGGACGCGATTCCACGCGCTGTGGCGGCGTGTGTATCAACCTCCTGTGACCAAACCGAGAACGAAAAACTAAATGGCATGTCACTGCCATACAAAAGCTGAATGACGTTTACCACGAGCGCGACACATCCAATGGTTGACGAAACTCATTGCCACGATCGAAATTACTTGCCTGGACATGTCTTGAAGGCGAGCCAGTCTCATCCGTCCGTTCACCTATCGACCTACACACATACCTACTTGCCTGTCCACTCAACTATTCGGTCCTTTTCTTCAACCTACCCACCGAATCCAAGAACCACGAATGGATGAGATCGGTAGAGCATTGGCTGGCTGGCTGATCAGCTGGCTGGCGAACTCCCGGGACATATCAGACCGACGCATACCAGGTCAGATCATTTCAAGGACCCAGGTACCTGCGCCATGTCATGTCATGACACGGTACTTCGTACTGTTTCCGACTCAGTCCCAACTCCCAGATCAGCCCCTAGATATGTTTGTATGTTATGCATGTCCCAATCCCGATGTGCGCACGTTTTGGTACCTGAGGTATACATATACCTACCTGCCTTGGAAAGAAAGAGACGAGACCCCACGATCAGCCATCAAGCACTCGGCACCCATCAGTACCGCTCACCCATCCTCTCCCCTCTCAAGCACTCACTCACTCGCTCGCTCGATCAATCGACCAATCAATCAACCCACCAACCCTGCAAAGGGACACCCTGGGAATGAAAAATCCGTCTTGCTCATTTTCCGATCCTCGACTGAGAGTGCGGGTTTGAACCTCATTGATTAGGCGAGTCGCAATCGCAGTCGCAAGAACATGTACATGTGTATGTATGAATGTATGCACGTTCGTATGTGTACATACGTACATACATACACACATACATGGACTGAGAAGACAATGGACGGAACAAAGAGAGGAGACCATTTCAGAAAAAGACACCTCTCATGACCAGGATTTGGCTAAATAGACGATGGGATTCGCGACTGTCGCTGTGAGTCCAGGTACCTCGTACTGTATCCAAGGCTTTTTGCCTTTGCAACCACGGAGCATGTCACAAGGACGAAAGGATTCTCAGGTGGATGGTAGACAAAACAGACAATCAAATCGAACCCAAAAAAAAAGGATAGATGTATTCAAATTTTGACTATTTTCTGCATAGTGATCCCCTGACCCAGACGCAGAGGAGCCCCCCCCCCTCTCCTGGCTCACTCAAGGAACCACCTCTCCATTCGAAACCGCTCGATCAAGCCGCGTTCCAAAATCAGACAATGGCAGTTGATCAGCAGGCTTGGGAATCTCTTGGCCCAGAATTCATAGTAGCCCTTTGCACTGCCGCCGAGCATCTGCTCCTTCACGTCCTCTGGCAAGTCATGGAAGTGGTTCTTCTTATTCCGAATCACCCTCAACAGGTCGATCATCTTGGAACCGCTGTATTTACGCTGTTTGCCCATTTCAGTGAGAAAGGTTTTTGGAAGTGCTCGAAGCCAATCCTTAGATGGTCCGATGACGTTAGGCGCAAGGGATTCCAGGGCGGCGAGCTCGGCAAGAGATTCTTTCTCAGCGGCCGTGCGGATCGCGCTCTCATCAAAGATGTTGGTGATGGAATTTTTCTCCCGCTCGTAGCAGTCAGACACATCGCAGAGGAATTCCAGCTTATCGGCCACATCCCAGAAATAGGGGTGACGAAGTACTTGCCCTGTGTCAGGTCGCTCTTTGGGGTTGTGTTTGAGCATTTGCATCACAAGGTCATCGGCGTCGAATTGGTACTCGTACAAGCGCAGGTCTTCGGTGCTGAACTTGTTCTCTTTGATGTTCAAATCTCGGCCGAGGCTGGTGCCCCCAACATCAAAAGGATGACGGCCTTGGGTCATGACATAGTAAAAGACACATCCCAGGGAGAAGATATCGATGGCCTTGGTTGCACGACGGCCTGACGGGCGATCAAGGATAGTACCTTCGCTAGAGTGCGTTGTGGATTTGGAAGTGGTAGTCGAGCTGGAAGTCGGTGCAACGGCCGATCTAGAGCCGACAAGCAACTCCGGCGCTCTCCACCCTGTTGTGCCAGCGGCTGTATGGTTCGCAGTCGGAGCGAAGGTTGATTCCGGCCCTTCTTCGAGAGGCTTACATAGGCCAAAGTCAGAAATGACGAATTGGAGTTTCGGCAATCCATTGGTAGGGCGATTGCTCTTAACAGCCTTTACCAGGACGTTCTGAGGCTTGATGTCTCGATGTACCAACTTGAGTGAATGTAGATGTTGGACGCCCTCTGTGATTTGGCGTAGGGTGTCCTTGACATCAAAGCCTTCAGGCAGCTTCACTAGTTCCGGGTACTGAAGGGGTCGCTCGATGAACTGATCCAAAGATGTAGTGAAGCGCTCAAGCGCAATGTAGGTAAAGTGTTGAGACTCCTCCTTTCCGAAGTAGCGGATGACGTGTGGGTTCTCGTCGCTCGACAGCAGGTGTTTGATCTCTTTGGCAGCGAGGCTGTTTGAGGAACGAATCAAACGCTTGACTGCGACTTCTCTGCCGTCCAGTGAGCCAGGAAACACCGCAGTGCCATTGCTTCCACGGCCTAGACATCGGTCTTCCCTGGTGTCGATTCTGAGCTTGCCAACCTGAAGCAGGCCGTCCTTGGTGGGTATCTCGGCAACGAGTTGTTCCTTCTCATCCATAGCTTCTGGATCCATTGTCTTTTTACTCTTCTTGTTCCTCTTCCCTCCACGCTTCCCTCTCTTGGCATGTCGACGGCGAGGCTGTGCACCATTCTCGGCGTTTTCGCTAGGGTTGGACTCTTCCTTGTTCTTTTCATCCTCTGACTCCCCCTCGGAACTCTCGTCGTTGGGTTCAAAAACCTTGACGTTCTTTGCAGGGCTGGCAGCCGAGACTGCTGTGCTCTGAGCCCGACTCCTGACAGGTGTTTTGACTACGTCCCCTAGGATTTCAGAGACAACTTCAGCGGCATCTTTATCTCCTGGAACCTCAGTGACATGGTCTGCTTGAACGTCTGTGCTAACCGGAGTAGCGGGAGTAGCGGTTGCGGAAGCCCGAGTTTTCTGCACAGCGACTTCTACGCCCGCCTTTCGGAGGAAGCGTTGCATCTTCAACATGATTGGAACCCTCATCTGTAGTCCAACCACAAATAAGAAAATGCTGGCACAGATGATGTTGAAGACGGATAGCAATGGATGGTTGATCACGGGTACCAAAGAAGGCGGGATCTTAGCTTCCAATGCCGCCATTGCCTTCTCAGCCTCCTCAGCCAAATCTGTCGCTGGCGGCGGACCGGATATCGTCAACCTGAGGGGAGTGAGGTTCGGTTCCGTGGAAAGTACGTGAACACCGACAATTTCTTCCAGATTGCTGTCAAAATCCAACGGTTCACTGTCATAGTTCCAGTTCGAGCTTGCAGGCGACGCACCGCTAGTTACGCCGGGATATGACAACTCGGACATGGCGTACCACACCCCAGACTCGGTTTTGTTCACAAACACCCTCTCAGCACGCTGCATTTCGTTTCTCCAGATTTCGGGAGAGGCCAGGAGAGGGGAATCCGTAGGTCGTGCTAGTAAGACAAGCTTGGCCGATTCGTCTCGATTGTCCAGGGGACGGACGACATCAAAGACTCGGGCCACAGGGGTCTCGAACATGTGGGTAAATCGAGGCACCTTGCCAGAGTCGGCAGTGCTGTCAATACCAATGATTCGACCGTTGTAATAGCTCTGGATTTGGTAGTTGTCCAGAGGAGCTACATATTGGTCTTGGAGATCGCTGTCTCCTTTGTTTGGAACCCATTCGGCGAATTTGATGGTGCAAAGGGGTTGAGTTGTGATCTTGTGGGATATCTCAATGGTGTACTCGACTCTTCCCAGGTTGATAGTTCCAATCGGATCACATGCAGGGTCATCCAACTCGAAACCACTGAGTCGCCGGCAGCTGCGACCTTGGTCGTCATTGGAGAAGCCCCTGTATTTGTCAAATTGTTGTAAAATATGGCCAGTGGCTGCATCTACCACGTATGCCGTTGTCTCCTGGGAGGAAATGGTCACGAGTGGTGGATCATCGACAAACTGCGGCGTTTCGGCTGCAAGGGATCTGACGGTGATTCCTAATCGTTGTAGCCCTATTCTAGGGTCCCGGTGTTGGATGTAGAGGTTGCCATCTTTGCTGGGCTCGACAATGAACATGTAGTCGTCCTCATATTGAGAGCCGTCCACCTCTGGGTCACTTCGGTTCAATTTGTGGTGGATGGTCTGGATCATGGGACTGTCTGGAATACCCAGTGACCACCTCTCGTTACCGGTCTTCCTGTCACGGGCGTGTATGGTGCCATCAATGGTGGCTAGTAGGACAATGTTCTCCACCTCCCAATCTTGCAACAGCCGCGCTGAGGAAAGCGCAGAGAGCCCCTGGGAAAAGGACTCGTCAGACTGTGCAAGAGGTGCTCTGACAGCACCACTACTCGGAGAGTCGTGGGCTGGAGCCAAGGCACGGAGCTTGTGGTTTTCGGGGTTTTCATCGGTGCTTCGAAATTTGACAGTGGTGATGTCGTTTTTGAGCAAGGGGATCTCTGCTGGACTGCGGCCAGCTGGAGCGGACGGTCGACTCGAGTCGGAGCGCAGGCTCTGCGTCGAAGCCACCAACCTCTGAGGGGCGTCGGACGGCGGGAGAGATTGAGGGTGAGCCGCAGCTATGAGGAGGAGGAAGATGGCCCAAGTCAAGACGGTCTTTGGTTTCGATCCTCCACGTCGGCCCTTTGGAGGCCGAAGCGGAGGTTTGGCCATAGTCGAGGACGAGAGACTCCAGTGTTGTAGGAGACGAACGGTGAACTTTGACCTATGTCGTGGATGGCATGGTGTCTGGTTTGTCTTGTGTGGGAATAAAATAAGGAGGGACGAGGGTTTGGCTCAGGTGTAAATACGAGTTTTTGGGAAAGGTGAGAAGTGGGAAGCGGTTCGGTCAGCTTACGGATGTCCCAAGCACGAACAACATACAAGTAGCAGTTCCCGAGTAGGTTGTGGGCAGACAGCCACCCACAGGGCTTGGGTGCTGGCCCTTGCTTCCCTTATTGCCCTTAGAGTGTCAAGCTCGGGCGACCCGGTGCCTCCCATAGGCCCAGCACAAGGCCTAGAATGTCACCAGCCAATGCCCACTGATTAACCCTCCGGGTTGACTGCCAGTCCGTATGCAGCCCCGGACGCCATGGTCGAATCCTCCCCCTGATAGTGGCCAACGAACCATTGGATTCTCTGGCTTTCGCTCTGCGCCCCGTCCCACTGACGATCTAAACCCAAAACGGTCTCTTGGGACCCGGTGCATGTGTTTCAGGCTGAAGCCTTTTCCCCATCCCATGTTGAACACGACGAATGGTGTATGAGGTCCAGAACCCTCCTTACTTACTTCTCCTGAAGGCCGCAGGCGATTGACAGCGACATGTCGGTATGTTCGTTGATCTCACGATAACTGCTGAGTCTTAAAAGTAAAGTCCACCCGATGGTTGAACATCCCCTTAATGGTGGTACCTTGCCACAGACCACAGATCAGTATTCGTAACCCACAAGCATTATCCCTTCGCATCGACGCTCCGGGACACTCATACAGTCCTACCAAAATATTCGATCAAAGCCTCGGTCTCAGTAGTGGGAATACTGTTCTCATTCTATGCTGTCATTCGCGATCATCCGCTCAAAGGACAGCAAGTACGCCTTCTCTGTTATGCCACTCGGTACCGAGTACAGTCATTATTAAATCAGTCTCTCTCACATTTTCGGAATGGGACCTTGAAGATAACCCAGGAGGAGAGTACAAGAGCAAGCACCCAGCCCATTAATACATCATGGAACCCCTTCAAATAGAAAGACATCCAAGAAAGAAGAGTGCTGCATTTCGCTCAGAAAAACACCACATACTCGCCCTTCTCATTCCGCTTTATTCTCAACGCCCGCCATAAGTCCTGCTCCTCTTCCATCTTCGAAGTGTTGCTTCGGACATCGTTATGCTTATGCCATCGCTTGAGCATCTTGTGAATGGAATATCCTTTGTCTGAGTCGAGTCCGGGTGCATTGGCGAGGAAACTGCGGCAAGCACGTTTCGTCTTTTCTTCTGCGCCGAACACGACCATTGCACCATTTGTGCTTTTGCGTCTGCCTGCACCGTTGCTATGCTGGTGCATGGGATCCGAGTCCGTGTCAGAGCCAGAATCGTCGTGTTTGTGGTACTCAATGGCTTTGAGTTTGCGTGTCGTGCCTTCGCCTGGCGATCGCGAAGGCGATTCGTCACTATACCGGCGGCGCGAGCGGTGTTCATGTCGAATATTGGCGGATGCAGTACCATTATGTCGATGGACCTTGTGCTTTTTTCTCTCTCGCTTCTCGCCATCGCGGATTCGGGAGAGACTGTTCCCCTGGTCCGACGAGCTGGCTCTCCTCCGCGTTTTGGTGTTGGCCATTTGGCTCTCGACCTGGCTAGGAAGAAGTGCTCCGCCCACCATTGAAAGCGCTCGAACTGCTCGACCTTTGATCGAGATGCCAAGGCCGTTGGAATCCTCCTTGGTGTGTCGAGTGCGTTTTAACGGAGAGGTGGGGTCTTCTGGTTTCAAGCTTCGACGAGTCGTGCGCTCTTTCTGGACTACCACGCGTTTGTCGTTGGGATCAGGAGATCGACGGAATGGGTACGACTCATCTTGGGACATCATTCGATTCAACCCACCCGTGAGTCCAGAGTGCACAATCACTGGTGTGTCCACCTTTACCGCATCGGCCATCAGGGTGTCCCCTTCCAGCTCGTGGACTTGATCATCCGTGGCGCGCTTCCGCTTCTTTTCACTGCCGCTGTTCGTCCGGCTATGCACCCGTGGTCTTTCCTTTTTGTCTAATTTGGATTTCGTCTCCTTCGCCGCCGGAGTCATGAATTCGAGTGACAGTGTGCTGTTGTTCATGTCTAACCCACCTCGGGGCTTGACTGGTGCTGCACCCCACGTATAGCCGTTTTCTTCGTACTCCTTGCTATGTCGCTCCTCCTCTTCTGCGTTGTGATACCCATTTTGGCTGGATGGCCGACTGCTGGAGAAAATTGACGGAGCGGTCTGCTTCATTGACATTTCCTCCTTATCCTTTGTGAAGCTTATCTGAGGTGTGCCTATTTGACTGCCTTCGTCGACCATATAATCAAAGACACTGTCACGATTTGAGTCCGGCACGGCGGGAGGAGGAGTGGGAACGTGTGGAGGCGCATCTATATCGAAGTCGTCTTCAACGTATGCTGGACGGGGCACCAGAGCCTTTTCGTTCTCTGGCTCGACAATGGATACAGACTTTCGTTTCGCGGCCTTGGAAGGCTTCTCGCGATATAAAGCGCCCTGGTATTTCTGATCTTCCGTGATACATGACTATTTGGGGCAAACCCGGTCAGTGTCAAAAGATCCTCTGCATAGTCGGGCGCGGTGTATGTAGGAAGGAATCCCCTGTTTGAAGAAGAGTGTGTCTGTGCGTTTCACATACTGTATGTGCTCTGTAGCTCGTGCCTTGAAAAGTCGTCATGCAATCGATACAGGTAAACACGGCGCCCCGGCATTGATTGCGGTGCGGATCGAGTTTCTTCTTGGTCAGGACGTCGCCACAGGCCTGTAGACGGGATGGTTAGAAACCGCAATGTGTGATGATCCGCTGCGCATGGTGCTGACCTCGCATTGAAAAGAAACCATCTTGCGTGTTGTTGCGTGAGTGGTGAGGGAAATTTCCCCCTCTCAAAAGTTCAGGGCTGCGAGTCAATCAACACGAAAAAAAGAGACTATGAAGGAGCGGGTCGGGTTGGGCAGCAAGACGAGTTGATCGTCGCACAAGAGCCAGCTCTCGAGCGGGAACGGCGAAGGAGTGTAAAAAGGGCGTCAAATAATGTCAGGAGGGAGAGTTCGGTCTCTTGTCAGAGGGGTAGGATAGTCAGGTATGCGTGAGGGCGTCGCAAACAGGGCCAAAAAAGCGCAGGGTGTTCGCACCATGGATTCATTCCTCTCTTGTTGATAGCGGCCCCTTCGCTTGGCACAATTTTTTATATTTGGAGCCAACATTCGTCACCTGAAGCAGGTCTAGTGGCCCACGCACCTTACCGCTTCACTATTAGTTCGGCGCCAGTGCCCGCCCTCCCGACGCCTATCATACGCCCATCATGATTTAATCAGGGGGAACCCAAGCATCAGCAAGCCCATGTTTGAGACCTCTCGTTCCCCCAAACCGCGTCGCGCCTGGCCATTCATGTCTCGCGCAGGCGCGTTCAGTGGTCATCTGGTCTGACTAACTGCACACCAAGATCATGGAGCGCATGATGGTCCACGAACACCTGGGGCGGGCTCACCGGATAACCCATGGAAAAACCTGATTGTTGTGCACCATCCATCAGGTATTTTGTATATTGACAATAAACATCTGGTGGTGCCAAAGGCGTCTGTTGTAAACACCAGCTACGTCAATACGCAACATTCCCACTGTCAAGTTCGTGCACCCTCGTACCACTCTTCTCCTTCAAACCAGCCAATGTGCGGCCGTTCCGCAGCGCCCGGCGCAGAGCCCTCGCTAGGTGTGACACCTGAAACAACCCTCTCACAGTCGCATTCCTCTGATAACAGTGCAGCAGAGGGATCACAATCGTTGCAAGCCTTTGTACCCGCTTCCCCCCTTTGCGCCGCTGCGTTCGACCTGGTGACGTCCACTGCCCTGCCGCTGACGATCGTGCATCACTCGCTGCGGGTCTACTTGTTGGCGAATTGGTTGGCTCAGCGGGAGAAGAGTGAATGGGCAGACAGTGATCTCTTGTTCGTGGCATGCATATGTCATGATATTGGTACCGCCGAGGCGCACAATGGCCCACAACGATTCGAGGTCGAGGGGGCCGATGCTGCCGCGGACTTCCTGCGCAAGCAGATGAAATCCGAAGCAGAGGTACACGAGGTCTGGACTGCGATCGCTCTACATACCTCGCCTGGCATAGCAGAACGCATCACACCATTGGCTAGGCTGGTGAGGTTGGGTGTCCTGATTGATTTTCGTCCCGCAACTCGGGCGGCCCTGGACGCAGTGGCCTTTGCGGAAACTCTGGAGACCAAACTTCCACGTTTAGAGATCGAGAAGATCTTGGGGGACGCTGTCGTTCACCAAGCTATTCAGAATCCAGCCAAGGCCCCTGCAGCTTCATGGCCGAACAATCTCTACAAGTCATACCTTGAGAATCCCGAATGGACGGGTGTCAATCGAGGCTTTTGAAGGGCATTATATAGTCTAGGTTTTCTCTCGAAATAGAAAAGTAGAGTTGATCAGTCGTCATTGATCACAATCGTAGCCTCCTTCCAATCGCACCAAAGCAAAGGCTGGTGCAAAACAGAATGCTCGCCAACCAGGTATAGACACCAAACTTTTCAGACGCCATTGGCTGATGAATCGCTGGAACTGGCACGAAATCTGGGTCCACCACCAACATAACCAAAGTGCCGATGGTGCTTACAGCTGCTGAAAAGGCGAAGCCTGGTAGAGATCGATCGATGATATACCACAGCACAGGATTCGCCAGAGCCAGAGTCAAAGCAACTTGCAGCGTGGATTGCCAGGGAATCCGGCGCTGACACAATTAGTACATCCTGTTTGATGGTGGGAGAGGGGATAGTGGCTCACCACTGCAAATGCAATGCCAACAAATGCTCCCATGCTGCGAACGGTAGAGTACCATAATGGCCCAAGCCCACTATCGGTAGACGTGGAAGAATTGGCAGCTTCAGGCTCAAGCGCGGTGCTCTTTGATGACTTTGATTCAGACGATACAAATCTCTCCCAGAAGGAGTCGACTAGAGGAAGGGCATTCCCGAGCAAAATGCCAAAGATGCCCCAAGAGACCTGATAATACAGAGAGCTCCGGTCGATGTCAGGCACCGGGACCGGCGTGATCTGTTGAGTCTTGTGGAGATGGGTGATTAGTGTCCCATAGCCAATCCCGCATCCGAATAATAGCGAAGTCTGCAAGAACAGAGGCACCAGATAGCCACGGAAGCCTTTTCTCTTTACTTTCAGCCGGGGTTTTGTGGCCTCTCCGTTCCAAGTCACTGGACCCCCCGCCGATTCATAGGTGTAGTCATCTATGCTCGGCCTTTTGCTAGGTGTCTGTGCTCCGGTACCCCAAGGTGTAGATGTTTCATCCCGGTTACCCTCTGAGGTGAGAGGAGAGTAAATCCCAAGCAGAGTCGAAGACGTCAAGTTGAGGATTGATCGTGTGCGACTCGGAGGGAGATCAGGCTTTTGTGTCAGAAGCAACTCGGGGTTTGTAGCTTCAGCCGGAGACGGCGGGTGTGAGGAGTCCGTTGAAGCAGGTGTGAGCTCAAATGCTCGTCGAGGAATAGGTCGGTAGACTTGAGGCATCTCCATGATGACCAGGAGGTTTGATGCGTTGGAAGATAGTGGCACGGACAAGGAACACGAAATGAGAGCGACAATAGGTAGTAGTTCAGCTCAAGTGATTGTGCTAATGTCAATGCAAAAATGGAGAGATGAAGTATTATAATTCAGTCATGATGGTAAGGAGAAAAATGTCAGCCTCAGCCAAGGCGAGATAGAATGAGGACACCTGAGCAGTTGGGGAGCGGAGTCTTGAGGTCCGTTGTGGTGACAAGCCCACATGAGCATGAGCTGATGAGAGGGAAAGGGTTCTGTAAGTATTTTCTTCTTTCACATGTCCATATGCAAGTTGACATCGGAGGTGCGTGCGCCCAAAGGTCACACAACTGCAACAAAAACAAGACTATGCCCAAGTGGGTTGTTGGGGTGTTAGGCACCCAGAGGCACCCAGAGGCACCCAGGGGCGCTATTACGAGTACCGATCATGGTCGAAATGATTCGTGGGGAGATGCGGATAAGTCTTGGATAATTCACCGTAGTGGATACGGCGGAGCGTACGTAGTATCAACTCCGCCATTCTTCCCCTTCCACCTTCTACAGCTGGAATAGGCGCATATTCTTTTCAATGTTACACTTACACTTGTGATGCTCAATCTATAACTTGGCCTTTGGAGCGGCTGCTGACCGCGTCATGGTAATCTCATCCCAGTCCAATGGCTTCTTGGTGGCTTGAAACGCTTTCAATCCAATGGCTGCTTCACCATCGGGGCGCATCATCTTGTCAAATAGTTGCTTGATCCCCTTGGCTTGCTCTGCGCCCCCGGAATGGAGCCAGCCCAGTCTGATCAATTCTTTGCACATGGTAGACGCTTCCGGACCAGCCACCTTCAAGCGAGCGAGGTATCGATCCAACTCTGTCTGAAGCTGTGTGGGGTCATCGACAACCTTTGCGATCACGGCTAGGGACCGCAGCTCATCCATCGGGATTGGACGCGCAGAGAGCATGGCCTCTCTGGTGAAAGCGAGCCCCCATTCTCTGACCACATATTTCGAGATGGTCGCTGGACACAATCCTAGTTTGGCTTCGCTCAGCGTGAATGTGGCAGATTTGACTGCGATCCTGACGTCGCACGCAAAGGCGAGTCCAACTCCACCACCAAATGCCGACCCATTAATACCGGCTATCGTCACTTGAGGGGCGTTGTCAATTGCTTCAAAGAGCTGTGTGAGACGCTCGTATTGTGCGTCGCTGACTTCGCTTGATTGCGCAACCGGCGAAGTCCCTTTTCCAAGGTCCATCCCCGCACAAAAGTATTTTCCTTCGGCAGTCAAGACTATTCGAGAGGTAGTGCGATCTTCCCGTGCCCGACGGAACACGTCCGTCAGATCGTTGATCATGGGAGTGGTCAGAGCATTGCCCTTCTTTGGCTGATTGAGAACCACTTTGAGGTTGACTCCCGATCGGTACAGCCTGATGCTCTCCGTCTCATTGACCAACGTCCAGGTGTATGCTGGGGAGGTTTGGCTCTTTTGTTGCGTCGTACCTCTAGACTGAAGCAGCGCTCGTTTGGCCAGCAGAGCGACTCCGGCGCGGCTCTCGTTTGGTTTCTTCAATTGCTCAGAGATCCAGCTCCCGACTTCCATCAGCTTCGAAAGGTCCACCCCAGTTTCAACTCCGGCCTGCTGGAACAAATACACCAGGTCTTCCGTAGCAGCATTTCCCTTAGCCCCAGGCGCAAAAGGGCAGCCGCCCAATCCGCCGACACTGCTATCGAAGACACGGAGACCACACTGATAAGCCTGCCAGACGTTGCTGACGGCCTGACCATAGGTGTCGTGAAAATGCCCCGCAAGCTGTGACAGTGGAATGCCGTTGTTCTGGAGATACAGGAGCAGGCTTTCGACGTCGGCCGCTGTGCCAACGCCCAGTGTATCGCCCAGGCTGACTTCGTAGCATCCCATATCCAACAAGGTCCGCACGACTTTCAGGACAGCGGCCTGCGGAGTAGGGCCGTCAAAGGGGTCCGCAAAGATGCACGATATATATCCTCTGACCGCCAGACCTGCAGCGGTAGCTTTCACTGCCACTTGTCTCGCCCTTGACAAGCCCTCATCGACAGTGGCGTTGATGTTGGCTTTGCTGAATCCCTCGGTGGCACTCACAAAGACCGCCACCTCCCGCACCGAGTTTTCCATAGCAATCTGCAGACCCTTCAGGTTGGGGATCAACACCGGCAGTCGAAGGTTGCCGTCGAGTAGCAATGTCTTGATGGCTTGGTCCGCGAGCACTTGTCGACAATCGGCCAGTTGCGGGATGGCGCGTGGAGAGACCACAGACGTGATCTCTATTGTATCCAGACCCGTAGCGCGTAGACGAGCGATGAGCTCCAGCTTCGTGGCGGTCGGGATCGCCGTCTTGACATTCTGCAGACCGTCGCGAGGTCCGACCTCGACGATGCGAACGCCATTCGTCCTCGTATTCGACACACCTCGAGCCATGATGCCTGCACGCGTATTTCCACCAAGAGAAATGTTATGCGCAGACACAAGCCTCCATCTCGAGAACGCAATAATATATTCGAAGTAGCTTGTTTTCCTTTTGCAACAAGCAACGTACTGTAGGTACAATGTATGTACGAGGTATGTTGGTACGTGTGTCGGTACTAGGGTAATCCAGCCCGCCCGCGTCACTTTCCGTCCGGGTTTGTTGTTTGTTACCTAGGTATCACTGGAATAGCTGATGATAGAAGGCCGGAAGTGCGAAGTTATGGTGAGGGATGAGGGAGTAAGTGATTTACAAATCAATCAATAATCCATTCTCGTGAGTTGAGAGACAAGAGTGAGAAATCAAAATCTATGCGGTTGCGTTGCGTGGTGCACTTGGAGCCCCCCCAGCAATTCAGCCTCGGAAGTTCCAGTTCGGAGTTTGAAGTTTCTCTCTCGCATTTCTTTCCCCCCCGCGCGTGCGTGCGTGCGCTCCCCATTATTTCCGCCGCCCGGGCCCCCCCAATGACCAAAATGCCCAGGTCCGGCAAACTCGAAAGCCGCTTTTCTACCTCTACGCAGACTGGAGTGCTGGGGTCCCGGCTGTGAAGGAAAAGTGGAGACCCGGTTGTGAGAGGGGAGGTGGGGAGGTGGGCCCGGTATCGATCCCGTGCCCTCTCTCAGGTACGGGGTCGAGCCGTCGAGCCGTGCTAGGCCGTGCAGGTCCCAGGTCCTAGGTCCTAGGTCCTAGGTCCCAAGTTTCATGTCGAAAGGGGAAATAATGGGAGAGGGCAAGGGAATGGGGAAGGGAAATGCACCGAGGTTGATTGTTACCTTACCTCTCTGCCTCTGTACCTCTGTGCCTCTCTGCCAGTGTGGCCCTGCTGCCGGCACCAGGGGAATACTACGTGACGAGGATTGTTGCGAGTCATCATTGTAGTACTAGCTAGGTACTGTACCGTCGGGTCTGGGCTTGTACTTGTATGGGATTCTGTGAAAGGAGGAAGGGGGTACAGAGGTAGGTACATACCCGAGTATACTTGAAGGTACTTGTAGACGTCCTCACGGTCCCCTTCCGATAGACCTTCCTTGGGTATCTACCTACACCTACACCACTGTATCTCGGTCGCCTCCTTCGTAGTACTCTATTCAATTAATCATCCTGTAAGAATAATGCAAACGGTGCATAGTGCCTGCACAGTTGATTCCGATTTCGATTCGATGGTTGGGGTTGAGGTTGAGGTTGACAGCTGTATATGTATGTATGTATTGATATGGTAGGCTCTACAGGTGTGTAGAACATGAGTCAGGGATGGGAGATGAGAGATGGGACATGGATTGACGAGTGTCCAAGAGACGAGCCCGCAACCCATAGCCAGAGGGATAGTAGATGGAATGCCGTGGTTGTTATATCTGCAGAGTATGTATACGAGACGAACTATATATTATAGTCTACCAGTCTATCGACTCTATGTAGTGCCCAGTTTTGATGCTCGCAGCAACACTCACAGCTTCGCTCTCACCGAGTCCAGCTTCTCATCCCCCCCTTTGCCCATCTGCACAAGCCTCTCCCCGACGTCCCGGAGAATGTGCTTCATGATCTTCCCGCTGCCGGTCTTGGGAAATTCGTCGCCCACACCTTCATCGCCGATCCAGAAAACATACTTGGGCGCTTTATGGCTCCCCAACGACTTGCGCACCCAGTTATTGACTTCCTTCCAGCCCGGCCTCATCAGCCGCGTTCTGTTTCCTTCCTTGAGGTCGAGATCGAGACAGCCCGGTCGTGGATGTGCCCGCAGGAACGCGCCGACAACTTCGCCGTACCTGGCGTCCTTGATGGCGACGCAGCTGGCCTCGGCTATCGAGGGATGCTCGGCCAGGCAACTTTCGATCTCGCTGGGGAAGATGTTTTCACCGCCTATTCATACGTCCAAAGGTCAGTGATGAGTACGTGAGATGTCAATGCATAGAAAGTGACCAATGGGAGTAGGGCATGGGGACCTACCGCGAATAATGATATCCTTGATCCGTCCAGTTACAGAACAGTAACCGTGCTCATCGATGACACATTCATCACCAGTGTACATCCACAGGACACCATTTTCGTCCCTTTTCATCACTTCATCTGTCTTTGCTGGATTGTTGAAGTACCCCCTCTGCAAAGCATAGCCACTTACACAGAGCTCTCCTCGCACTCCACGTGGGACTACGTTGCCAGCGCGGTCAACAATCTTGCCCATTGTATGTGGGAACACGCTCCCAACAGTCTTGGTTCGTCTTTCTTCTGTGTCATCAAGCGAGGTCATGAACGTCACGGGACTCGTCTCCGTCATTCCATACGCGATGAGCACCCCCTTGATACCAAACTCTGGGTCTAATTGCTTAACCAGCGCCGGTGAAACCGATGACCCTGCAACAAGTCCTGTCTTGACGGACGAGATCTTGTATCTCTTTGCTTTATTGGCTTCAATCTCCGCAATGAACATGGTTGGTACCCCGAGCAGCGCGGTGCATTTCTCTTCGTTCAGTGCGTCAAGGACGGAGTCAGGATCAAACTGGTCGCAGGGGAACACAATGCTGCTCCCATGAGTGAATGCCCCCAGGAAGCCCATCACAAGACCAAAACAGTGAAATAGAGGAGGCGGACAACAAACGATGTCGGATGGGGTCAACTGCATCTTCATTCCGACGAAGCGGCCATTGTTTATCAGGTTCCTGAGTATGTTAGCACGGTCCATTGCTCAACTGGCAACGGGTTTGGTTACCTGTGAGTCAGCATGGCTGCTTTTGGCGCGCCAGTGGTTCCTACCTTGGTCAGTCTGGACTTTTGAAGCCTGCATAGGACCGTGACATACCGGAAGTGAATTGGAGGTTCAAGACATCATGACACCGGACACGGCTCTCTGCTCGCCTCAGTGTCACCTGGTCGATATTCCGTCCTTCAGAGACAAAAGACGAATAGGGACACAACCCTAAAGACTTGTGTGTCGCGTTGTCACCCGCCGCCAGAGAAACACAGGGAACGCTTCCCAGTTCCTTGACCACAGCTTCAATGTGCGCAGACAGATCTTTCAGTCGGATCTTTGCCGCGATGAAAAGAAGTTTGCATGCTGCAATTCGAGTTAGACCAGCGTTAGAGAGAGCGAAGAAAGTAACTTGCATGTTACACTCAGAGCAGAGACCAGCTCCTTCGGAGTATAAGTGTTGTTCAGGACAATCAAAGGGCAGCCTATCCGCGCGGCAGCAAGGAATGTCTCGATGTACTGATAGCAATTTCCAGCCATGATCGCAATGTTGTCTCCATGCCTCAACCCTCTAGCCAACATCGACTTTGCAATTGCTTCGCTTCGCCTTACAAGATCGTTGTACGAGAGCCTGTGACGTTGCCAGGAGAACACGGCTGCTGTGTGTTCGCCATATCGAGCAGCCTGTCGATACATGAGTTCCCCCAAAGTCTCTTCCAACAATGGTGGCCTTTGAGGGCCTGTAACAAAAGAAGGTGCAGACGCCATCGTTGTTGATGGTGCTGTTGAGTAACTTGCAGGATCAATACTTGCCATTATGCTTCTAAGTGTAGGGGCATTCTGGGAGTCTAGGTAATCACCCTGGTGGATATTGCTGGAGACCTGATATATTAGTGTTATGTGGCCCAACACTGGCAGCGAACATCGGGACCGTGGGACTTGGGCATAGTCACCATCCGGACAAACATGTCTCGATTCTATTGCGACTGTGGAAGATGTGGAACCCGTTCCGCTCTGGCGGGCCGCCTCACAAGGGTTGCATTTGCGCTCCGCAACGCCATCGAACCGGGGCAGCCTCGGCCCAACCATGCACGGTCATGCCCAGGGATTGGGCCGGTGGATATGGCGGGCTCTCATATCACATCAATCCCCGAAGCTGGTTCCATGAGTCTCGTCTCTAGGTCCGCTCCCCTCTACCTAAGATCCATTCCAAGCCATGTCGCACGCTGAGTCTTTCCCCGTGGTTGAGTCGCTTCTCGATGTGACCAGAGAACCGTATAGGTCGAATCGAGAGGCATGGAAACCGGTGATAGACGAGTTCTCCAGGAATCTATTGAGGACAACATCCGAAGGCACCTCCCAATCTATCGACAAGCATGAGGAAAGGGGACAACTATTGGCAAGAGACAGGATATCGCTGCTGCTAGATCCTGATTCGTCATTTCTTGAGCTGGGCTCTTTTACGGGCTTCGACTTGAAGGATTCCAGCCCTTGTGCCAGCCTCCTGGCTGGTATTGGAAGCATCAGCGGCCGCATCTGCCTCGTTCTCGCGCACATTGCAACACAAAGTGGTGGCGCATGGAACGAGCTGACAGTGATCAAACAAAACAGAGTGACGGAAATCGCCAACGAGAATGACTTGCCGATCGTCGCCCTCGTGCAGTCGGCAGGGGTCTTCCTTCCACAGCAGTTTCGAGTGTTCCACAAGGGGGGACAGATTTTCCGTGATCTCGCCGTGCGAACCCAGAATGGACAGGCCTCTTGTGCAATTGTCTTTGGCTCCTCCACAGCAGGTGGCGCCTATCATCCTGGGCTGTCAGATTATACTATTTTCGTTGAGAATCAAGCACAAGTCTTTCTCGCAGGTCCTCCTCTCGTCAAAATGGCTACCGGCGAAAGTATCGTCGCGGAGGAGCTGGGAGGGGCTCGGGTTCACGGGACTGTCACCGGCCTTGCGGATCAAATTGCCTCTGACGAGTTTGACGCGGTTCGCAAGGCTCGAGAATGGGTCAGTACGTTATCGGCTCCGAGTCGCCCAGCGCAGCCTATGCGTCCACCGCTTGCGCCGCGTTATCCAATCGATGACATATTTTCCATTGTCAATCCCGACGTGCGAAAGCCCTTCGATATGAAAGAGGTGGTTCTCCGGTTGATTGACGAGTCACGTCTGGCGGTATTCAAGCCTGAATATGGTCGGAATCTGTTGACAGGGTGGGCATATATAATGGGTAAGTTCTGCGGGTGATCCTCGATGTCAAACAAGGACTGAAATGAAACAGGGATGCGTGTTGGAATAATTGCAAACCAGACACCCATCATCAATCCCGACGAAGCATCCAAAGGCACGCAGTTCATCCGCCTGTGCAATCAACAAAACATCCCAATTGCCTTTCTTCACAACGTGACTGGGTTTATGGTGGGCTCCAAGGCTGAGCATGCAGGCATTATCAAAAAGGGGGCGCAGTTTGTATCCGCGGTCAGTTGTTCAAAAGTGCCACACATCTCCATTATCTTAGGGGCATCATATGGCGCAGGCAACTATGCCATGTGTGGAAGGTCATATAAACCACGCTTTCTCTTCACCTGGCCAACTGGACGGTGCAGTGTAATGGGACCAGAGCAGCTGTCTGGGGTGATGGCTCAGATTGAAGCTAATAGCGCCCGGAGCAAAGGAGTGGTCCTCAAGCCCGAGGAGGTGGAAGCTAGAGTGCAGCGGCTGCAGCAGGAAGTCCAGAGGGACAGCAGTGCGTATCGGACAAGCGCCTACTTGCTGGATGATGGAGTAATTGATCCTCGGGATACGCGCGATGTGCTTGCAATGTGTTTAGAAGTCGTGCAGACACCGCCAGTGCAAGGGAGTGCAGGCCATCGGGCTTTGGCAAGAATATGATAAGACATGGTGATGAGGATGAGGAAAAGGTGGAAATGTGAGCGAAGTGAAGTTTGAAGAACTGTACTTGTACATGAAATATCACTCGAGTCTGGCAGATAGATTTCCTCACCTGTCGCTGCAGTCTCCCACAGTTAACGTGGGATCTTTTCCTTGTCAGACAGACAAGTGTCAAACACCCGCCTTGACACCGCAACGTTAGGTGCGCAGGTGCGAAACATGTTGAGTTGAGGGTGGCATTGGTGTCATTACAAGGCTTGGCTTGCATCACACGACAAAATCTACCAGAGTCACATGCATAATGCTTCTCAGAAACACAAAAACCAACAAAACTCCCAGAAAAAAAAAGTATAGTGAGTCCCCTCGGCCGGAGTCGAGCCAGCGACCTTTCGGTTATATGAGAATCCATTACAGCCGAACGTGATATCCAACTACACCACAAGGGGTTATAACTTTTGGATAAGTTATAAGTAGTTCTGAAATCATATCAGACAATTCATTTTGTGAACCATTTTTCGACTTTTAGTATATAAGTATAAATTTTCACCCCGTGCGCACTAGTCTATATAGAGGTTTTTGCGCCAAGCCTCTCATCTTCTCGGGAGCCGTCAAATGCCGTGGCGTGCGTCTCCCCGCTACTATGCCCGAAGCGGTAGCAACACCTCAAGCCAAGGCAGATTTCTAGCAATGACATGACTTCACAAATCCAGTCTTTGAGCTTCCCATTACGATCAGACTTCATGGACGACAGGCGCGAGGCCAAAAGAGCACGTCAGGCGTGTCTCAATTGCAGGAGGTGAGTCGATCATGTTGATATGAAGCCACCATCCCCAACCCATGCTTGCGATGTAGAATCTTACGCATCCATCAATACGGGCTTACACTGATTGGCAGGAAGAAGACGCGCTGCTCGGGGGAAAAGCCAGTATGCGCCTTCTGTGCCCGTCTCAATCAGCGCTGCACGTGGGATGGTGACGAAGAGGTTTCGCCTGAACGACTCACGGACACGGGCCGAGCTCTATCCTCTTCAGGCACAGCCGCACAGAACGCAAGTCTTGCTGCGAGAGTCGCTTTGCTGGAGTCTCGGCTGAGCTTTCTGGACGCGGACAATGCATTCAACCTATTCGCTTCGGTGTCCCCACCGACGGCAGTCAATCAACCCGTGGATCAACCCCCTGCGGTCGACGACATGGCGCGGACGAATAGCGACTTCACCTTTCTTCCTGATCCGGTAATCTTTCGATCTCTGGTTCAAGTCTACTTTGATCGCTGTCACAACCAACCCTATGCCTTTTTCCACGAAGAGATGTTTCGCCATGACTATGAATCCGGATCATTGCCCGAGTATTTACTCTATGCTTTTGCTGCTGCTGCCTGCCGCTTCTCCGACCATGAGTTCTATCGGCATCGTCGTAGTGAAGCAATCGATGCATATGCACAATCATCATTCGGGCAAATATTCGAACACTCATTTTCCGATGCCGAGAGTTTGGAGCCTTTGATGGTGGTGGCTCTGGCGATATTGGCGGTTGTGGACTTTGCAGGTGAGTTTGGTGAGACGGTTGATGCGAGGCATGCAAGGATTAACACAACATCGTCCAAAGCCGGACGCCCAAGGATAGGCTGGGTGAAGCTGGGTCTGTCATGTCGGTTCGCACATGCCCTGCGACTCAATGAAGAGCCCGATCCACAGCTTCCCATACACGAACAGGAAGAACGGCGGCGAATATTCTGGTCGGTCTATCTTCTCGATATCCTGATGTCGGTTGGGCCCAACCGGCCCCCTTCGCTTCTCGATGAAGACTGCACTGTTCGTCTGCCCTGTCATGAGAGCTTTTTCAGGGATGGACTCGACGGCGGCCCTGTGCCAACTTTGACCTCCGTGGTCGAAAATCCGTCAGGTGCCAACCACCAAAACCTGGACCCGTTCGCTATGACTATAATCATGGCATCGGCACTTGGCCGCTTTATACGCTTTAGCCTGAAGCGCACTTTGAGTACGACTCATGTTCTCTGGGATCCGCGCTCCAAGTATTATGAGGTACAAAGCATTTTATTGTACTACGAAAGCCACTCGCCATGTGCTTTCAGTACCATTTCCGAGGTGCTCAATCGACAACCTTCATTCAGCGAGGCTACCTCACCATCACATGTCAGCCACATTATCTACTCCCACGCCCTCTACCACCTCAATAATTGTCTTCTCAACCATCCGTTCATCTTATACCGCTTCTTCCAGGCATATACGGCACCCGTACCTCTAAGTTTCGTGCAAGAGGCACTACAAAGATGCCGAAGACACGCCACAAATCTCCTCGAGCTACTGATCGATCTGGAAACGTACGGCCCGCTCAGCCATCCCAGCTTCTATGGTTATTGTGCAATGGCAGCAGGGGTGATCCACAGCATATACGAGAAGAGTGAAGACGCAGAAGTCGCAGAGGCCTCGAGAAAACAGCTTCAATCAGCTCTGAGCTTCCTACAACGTGAACCAGTACGGTGGGGACATGTGGGCCACATGGTAAGTGATGGCCACCTGTATGCGTCGGTTGTCTTACAAGTTATCCCGCGATGCGAGGACGGTGTCAACTGATAAACAAGTTGAAGATGGTGTACTGATTCAAAATTCAAGGGTACCCTTCTCCGCTCTTTCAAGTTGGATCCCGAAGTTGCCAGGGTTCTCATAAACCCTAGGAACCTGGCACAGAAAATGACCGTGCCACTTGGAAATATGCTATGGCAGCTCCTTGATTACGCCTGGTTGCCCCACAACATCCGCCCTGGCGAGACAAGGTCTACACTGGCAGATCTTTTACCAGGAACCGGCCACCTGCGGACAAACATCAGTGAGTCCTTGGCTTCAGGCAGCACGAATCTTCCAGGAGACCAGTTTAACACAAGCGGTGTTCTACCTGCCACGTACGCTCGTATGCTGGGAGAAGACATGGGCGGGATTTTGGCAGAAGCCATGGGAGACAACAGCTTGCAGGGATTTGCGCGGCCAACCTTTTCCAATGGACCGCCGGCTGCTTTTTGATGTTCGTGGATGCGCAGAGAACGGCTCTATTGACGATTTTAATTTTAACACTTCTTTTCACCCGCCGACAAGGCCCGCCACTATCCAGAGTTACTTTACATCTTGGTCACAATTTGCTCGACGAACGAGTCAACCTTTGCAACTCCTTTGTCTCTAGCTTGACTGCAAGGTCGCTCAAAATCTCATCGCTGCCTCCGCCCACCACCATGACCCGGACATCTCGACTGATCTGCTCGATTCTGGCACCCTTTCCAGTCCTCGAATACCCTGCTCCGCCCAGGATTTGCTGCGCGTCCCGGTTGACACGTTCTAACACCCGCCCGGCGCTGGTCTTGAGAATGGCAATCATTCCTCCGAGATTGAGGTCTTCCCGAGACGTAGCTCCCTGGCGATTTTGGGTCGCCCTCTTTCTCTCATGCTCCGTCAGGTACACAATTGACTCCATGTATGCATATGTTGGCTCGACATCACGGCCAAAGTCCGCAAACTTGGCCGCGATCACTTGGTTCGCAATCAAGGGCTTGCCGAAAGTGTGTCTCCTGAGTGCATGGGCATAGGCGTCTTCGATGGAGACGCGTGCCATGCGAAGGGACGTACATGCGAGCCAGAGTCTTTCATGGTTGAAGTTGGACATGATGATATCAAAGCCACGGTTTTCTGCGCCTATGAGGTTTGCCACCGGCACTTCGACTTCGTCAAATTCGATATAGGTGGAGCCACTGGCGTTGACTCCCGAGTTTTCGATCTTGCTGCATGTCACACCGGGGGATTTCAGCGGGATGATGAGCGCCGATACTCCCCCGCGGCCTGGTCCCCCTGTGCGTACCGCGGCGGTGCAGTAGTCGGCAAAGATGGCATTGGTGATCCATTTTTTGGCGCCGTTTACGATATACACGTCTCCACGACGCTCAGCCGTCGTTGTGAGGCCCGCGACGTCCGACCCGGCTGTGGTGAGTTAGAAAGAATGACGCTAAATCGGAGAGGGGGGAGAGGAGGAGGGAGAGAAAACTAACCATCTGGCTCGGTGACACCAAGACAAAATCGCGATCGACCCACTATCACGTCGGGCAAGAATCTCATCTTCTGCTCCTCGCTCCCGAAATTTATGAGCGGTGGCGCGCCGATGGAATTGCCACAACTCAACGCCCAGATGACGCCCAGGTAGCCACACCTGGCAATCTCGTCAATCACGATCAGGTCGTGGAACCCGTCCCACTCTTCCGGGTCAATGTCCCCGGGCAGTCTCTGGCCGACGGCCTTGATCTGGGCGACTGCCAGAGGGTAGATCGAGACAGCCATGTACCCCAAGCGGGCGTGGTTGAGGATGACCTCGCTGGGCACGGAGCCCTGTCGCTCCCAGTCCTCGCAGAACGGGGTGATGTGCGTGTCGACGTATTCGCGCGCCTCGGCCTGGAGCCGGCGATGGCTCGCGGTGTAGTAGGGGCTGACGTCGCGCGAGAGCCACGGAGGGTCTGCGTATGGTGCTGAAGAGACCGAGGGAGCCATTGTGACCGACCCGCTGATAAAGATATTCAAATCACAATAAAAAAAGTTTCCACACGGGAAGTTTTCCACAATTTCCAACCAAAACAGATCAGAGGTCAAGCAAGAGTCAAGAGTTGTGGGAAGGGTTCTTTCTCCCTAATTCTCGTGACCTATTCTGTCACGCTGCAGCTGTAACTGTAGCTGTCCCCTATCCTTGTCAAACAAACCACTGACTTCTTTCTTTTACAAGCTTTCTTGTTCCTCTCCTTCTTTTCTGGCGTTGCGTTGCGTTTCGTGGTGTGACGTGATGTGATGTGAATGTGAATGTGACGGGAAGTATGTAGCTCTACTCGGTACAAGTCCAAGTACAAATACTTGGGGTAGAATAAACCCCAGATTTGTTACTTACAAGTAATTATATATATTCCAATTTCCACTTCTGAGAAATAACCGATTCAACGCCGAAAAATCCAAAGCCAACCCATTACTATTATTTTGCATAGACAGACAGGCAAGCCACCAAAAGTGCCCAGTGCCCAGTTCCTAGGTAGTTCCTAGGTAGTTGCATTTCGCGCGGGCCACCCCAGCCGGGAAGAATGACCACGGCTTTTTGGTTTTGGGGGGGTGGGCAAAAAGGGGAGGACCGCGCGGGCACCTCGGCCCTTGCGATCGGCTACACTTGCCTTTGCAGCCAGACGTCAACTCATCTATCATTCCGCAGCGGAAAAACTTGTACGAGGTACCGAGTTCTCATGTTCCTGTTCTGATCGCATCTTGATCCTCTAGAAACCAGTCCCCTGTACATATGTATGTACTCCCTCGATTCGTTTGAGGCTTCAAACACCGTCAGCCGCTTTCCAAACTACTTTCGTTCCCGTAATTATGCGGCACTGTTCTACTCCAGTAAAGGTGGCTGCTTCAGCCTCCAGATCAGGTCTTCCGCCTCGGTAGCGCGTGACGAGATACGCACCGAGTAGCACCGCGTAACCGATGCCATGTAGAATGTAGCTGAATGGCAGATTCCCCCATTTGTACCGATACCCCAGCGGCACCGACTAATCTCCCCACGTCGGTGCTCCCTGCCTCAGCAGCCATCTCAGCGCAATAGCTATGATAACCACAGCCTGAAGGGGCGAGAAAGACAACGCTCAGTGCGCCTGGCGCGCCCGACATGCGCCTCATTTCGAGGTGCTGCGGATAGAACTGCCACAAGACGAAAAATAGGGCGACCCATGTATTGACGATCAGGCTAAAGCCGATGAAAATTGCGGTTCCCATCTCTCGCGGGGACGGTTTGGGAAGAGCGATGAGCATAGCTGGGAATAAGGACAAGGCAGCATGGGTGAAAGCGATGGCAGCCATGGCAGCCATGGCGGTGCCAGCCTTGTTGTTAGAAAGGTTAGCGGGTTTACTGCTGGAGGGGTGGGAGGCGAATAAGGTCGTCCTGCGTGCTCGTGAGTATGTGATTCAAGGAAATAGTTCGGAGGAGACTGAACGTACAGCGTTGATATGCATAAGCCGCAAACAAGAGTGCGTGCGCAAACTGAATGTTACTGTAGATGGCATTGAAGAGCACAAAGTATGGAGATATACCCTGGGTAGAACCATGGCGTACAATGCGAGCGATTGGGGTTTGGGGGGGGGGGGGGGAGGAGATATGCGGCGACAATGGCAACGAGAAGGACAATAGAGAATGGGTTAGTTTGATCAAGGCGTAACTGGGTGGTAAGGACCTCCAGATCAATAGTACCGTCGAAGGGACTGTTGCGTAAGTTCCCGTTCTAAAAGCCCATGATTGCTATTCCAGTGTGATTTATTGTACACTTGAGTATAGTGCCGGAAATGGTCTGCGTGCGTCGTAGATCGTGAGCAAAAGGATAAGCATCAACACTTGAAGCAGAGGACGAAAGATAGATGGAAGATCAAGATGTGAACTCTTGTTGGGAGCTGTCGCCTAAATGAACCAAGAATTTGGGCGTCACCAAAGGCCACACATTACGAGGTACAGATGTCGGCATCAGTTGTGTATATACGAACATGGTTCGTTTCAAAAGCAGGATATCGCCTTCCCTGGCAGACTCGAAGTTTGGGCGTCAAGCACAGTGCTTAGCTGTCCCGTGAGCCTATGGGTGCTAAAATTGGTGCTACGTGGCTAAGAGGTCAAGCCTCGCACTGCAATCCACGTGTGTATGTGTCCGGGTAGTTGATGTTGCGAGTGAGAAACATCGAAACTCCGTGAACCGCAGGGGGAGGCTCTGGAAGCAGAAGGTGAACCGAGGGTGGGCAGTTCGGTCACGTGCAGAATATGGCCGAATGGTTCTCGCATTATTGAGTCTACGCAGGACCCCTACGGACTCATCAGAGGGAGTCAATGATAATCTCCCGTATACTCTTCGCCTCCCTGTTCATCCCGTCCGTCCTCACGGATTGGTTGATATACCTTTGAAGCAGATTTCCCGCTCCTTGAACTCTCCACTTGTGTACTTGAGGGGCGGGAAACGCGGATTCAGTTCCGATGGGCCTTGGCCGTGGACGGGCCGTGTTTCAGGGCCTCAGACCGGTCTTTGTGTACTCGTACGAATGCGCAATGAGGTCAGTGAGTGAACCCATGATTCAAGATGCAGACATAATTCGAGGCGAATCACAATCCAGATCGAGGTTCGAGGTTCGAGGTTCGGGGGTGCAATGCACTGTCTATTGACTGACTACTACCCAAGTATAAAAGGACCAAGTATATACCGAGGTAGATTGTTTGATTGGCTGATATCCGCCTATCCGCCCACTCGTATTGCAACGAGACGTGGAGAGAGGGTACCTGTTGAGTAGGTATATATGTAAAGACTGGTTAGTTAGGGACAGGTCGGTAGGTTGGATGATAGCTAGGTAATCAATCTCCAGGGCTCTGCAGAGAAGAGGAACGAATGAATGAGAGTGTTCTTATTCAAGTACAAGTATATCCTATCCGCTCGACGTAACCTGCGAGCTACTGTATTGTACGTTATTTATTACCTACAACCCGGTACTTGTGCAAATGAACGACATAAACCTGTCTGTTCTGTCTATGCGTATACCTGGCAAATCTATAACTCACCTACTCTATTCAACCCAGCACAGCACAGCCCCGTCATTGACGGCATCCCCGTTCTTGACGCCCGTCATGAACTTGCCGTCCACGTTGATGGAAATATTAGTCTCCATCTTCATGCTCTCAATCACCATGACGACCTCGCCCGCCTTCACCTGGTCCCCGTTGGCCTTGAGCACCGAGAGGACCTTGCACGGCATGGGAGACTTAACCACCTTGGAATTCGAGGACGCCGAAGCCCCGCCAGCCCCGCCTTGTCGCTGACTCTCCATGTAGTTGAGCACGCTGTAGCATTTGTATTCGACCCAAGTCCCCAGACCGCGGAAGTGGCACAAGACAGTCTGATAGGAGCTGGTAGACGACGCGGGGTTGGACGGTGTATCTGTCGCGATGTGGGCGTGGATGACGGACTGGTCGATGGAGACGGCCACTGAGGCTTTTCTCCATCCATTGTCGCCACTAGGATCTTGTATGTCTTTCCACTGGGTAAATTCCACCGTGTACTGCGGAGCTTTGGCGAGCGATGGATCCCGCAGCTTGTGGCTGATGGCGTGATACTGCCGAGACATCTGATAGGCCTCTGTATTGTTCCGGCTTCCAGCGTCGGAAGCACTGTCGTCTGCACCCGTGGGAATGGGGACTACCGTGACCTGGTATTTCGAGTGGCCTTCGCCCCGAGACTGGGACCCCCAAACTAACAGAATCGGTGTCTGAGCGGATGACGGCTCGGAAGGAACAATTATACTGGTGCTGCGATTGACGGGATCAAAGTGTTGATTCCGGAACCCGCGAGTGACATGCTTGAAAGGCCTGGCATCACTGGATGGAGATGCTCCATCTCTCAGCACGAGGCCCGGGACAAGCGAAAGCATAGATATCATGTCCTGCGCAGAGTCGGTGTAGGGATTCTTCAGCAGACTTTGCAAATGCGTCGGAATCAGCGAGGTCGTATATGCCGGATCGTGAAAGCTGTGGTGTACGAGGCAGGACTGAAGGAAAAGTTGGTTGGTTTTCACTCCTGCGCACACGGTATTTGCGAGAACCTTGACCATTTTCGAGATGGCCAGTGACCTCGTTGGCGCCCACACGACAATTTTTGCAATCATCGAATCAAAGTAGATGGATATGCTGGATCCAGTTTGTACGGACGTCTCGTATCGTACATCTCTTGACGTTTGATACTGGTCTGATTCGCGCCACAATTGAATGGTGCCATTCTGTGGCATAAAGTCGCCGCTTGGGTCTTCGGCGCAGAGACGACACTCGATAGCATGGCCTTTTTGTGGAATGTTCCGTAGGATGGCGAGACTAGCGAGTGATCCGCCAGCAGCCACAAACAATTGCAATGAGACAATGTCGAGGCCTGTGACTTCTTCTGTGATGGGATGCTCGACCTGTAGGCGTGTGTTAACTTCGAGGAAATAGAAACTCCCGTCCCTGGCGTCCACGACGAACTCGACAGTTCCAGCACCCTCGTAGCCAATGAGCTCGCCGATCTGAACAGCCACTGCGCACATTCTCTGCCGCTGTTCCTGAGTCAAAAAGGGCGAAGGTGTCTCCTCGATAATCTTCTGGTGTCGTCGCTGAACAGAGCACTCTCTCTCCCACAATGAGAGGACTTTGCCATGGCTATCGCCAATGATTTGGACTTCGACGTGTTTGGCCGCTTCAATGTATTTCTCCAAAATACAATCGCTGGACCCAAAAGAGCGTTGAGCCTCTGATTGAGCGCGAGCAAGCTCGCCCGCAAGTTGCGAGCGCTCTCGAACAATCCGCATCCCGCGACCTCCACCTCCCGCAGACGCTTTGAGCATCACCGGAAACCCTACATTTTCTGCTGCAGATTCCAACTCCTCGACATTTTGACTCGACCCGGTGAATCCTGGAATCAGCGGAACACTTGGCGCATGTTCCCTCAAGTAGTCCTTCGAGTTCCGCTTGTCACCTAGCGTCGACATGGCCTGAGAGCTTGGTCCAATAAAGATCAACCCCGCTTGACGTACAGCATCCGCGAAATCTTTGTTCTCGCTGAGATAGCCATAGCCCGGATGTATGGCATCAGCGCCCCTCGATCGAGCAACCTCTACCAGAAGTTGGACGTTTAAGAATGGGTTTCCGCCGGCCTGACTGATGCTTCCCAGATTGACTGCTTCATCTGCCTCGGCCACATGGCGTGAAGATGAGTCTTCCTCTGCATAGATGGCGATCGAGGTTAGATCGAGTTTCCTGCATGTCGTGATGATTCGACATGCAATTTCGCCTCTGTTCGCAATCAGCACCCTCTGGATCTTCCTTCGGCCATGACTGCTAGGTGGTAACTGGGCGACGAAAAGGGGCGGTCGCTGCGGAGTTGCAGATGTTTCTCCTGGGTCTGGCTGGTTGTCGCGATACTGCCTCATTCTGATGGTTTGTTCGATGGTTGGAGGATTTGAAAGATGTCACTTCAACGAGGTCTGGGATGGGGCACGCATTATAGCCGATGCACAGGACAAATTAGTAAAGCCCTCAGCTCCTTGCCTCCCTAGACATGGTTCTAACCACAGCTTTGGAGCCAAATAACCAACAGAAATTCCGCGGGGTACCCTACCGAGGCAAGTAATTTGCCGTTTTCTGGTCGACGGAGAAGGCGGGCCGTGCGATGGCAGCCACCGGATCTGGGACTTTGCATGTTTGACCAAGCCGCCTTCGGTTGAAACGAGGCCCAGAGTCACGGAAATCTTGGCGAGACCGGCTAATCTCCCGTCTGACACAAGACTGCAGCCAAATATCAAGTGTAGATGGAGTGGACAAGCAGTCGCGGTGGCTCAGTACCAGGTCGTGGTCCTGCGGCCCTTTCGATGCCTGCATTTCCCGGCCCAATGCTTCACCGGATCTTAATCACGTGTATGCCAAGACCACTAACCTCTTTTGGCGCAAATATCAAAAGTGAGCCTCTCAAGTCATTTTTGTCAAAGACTTTGATGAGGAAAAATCATCCGGCAATTCCACAAACCATCTCAGCTAGAAAATTTTCTCTAAATCGCTGTGAACCTGACTCCCACAGCTTGTGTTTGTCAAATTCGTCATACGCACTTCCCAGAGTTTAACATCATCAACCCGCCAAGATGTCCCTGACCAACGTTATCGACCCGGAGAATGCCCCAAACTATGAGGACATGGAGAAACAGTTCGCCGTGAGGGCGGTGCAGCATATGACGGTCTATTGGGGCATTCTAGAAAAGATACCTGGCTCAAAACTTCGCCTGACTCGACTTGACGACGAGATCCTCGACCACTTTAAGCGTGAATTTCCGGATTTCGACCCAGCTGAGGAGATTGACGAGGATGCCATGAAGAGCAAAGATGGCAAAGAGAAGTGGCGCAATTTTGCCCAGGTCTACGAAAAGGGCGAGAAGAAAATCGAAGACTACAACTTCGGCACCATGCTGAGGAAAAGTCCCAAAACCGAGTATGGCGAAAAGGAGACCATTTTTGTGATTCGGGTGCAATTCTATGCCATCGAAATTGCTAGAAACAGAGCTGGACTGAACGACTGGATTTATGAAAACGCACAGAAGCAAGAGAAGAAGTCATAGACAGGGAGATGGCACGCCAACCGCAAATTGGACACCGAGAGCCATGCCGAACCGTTCAATCAGCACGAGACTGTCTCAGACTCCTTTCAAATATGATGAACCCCAAATGTCTCATTACCTGGGCCTCGTGGGCACATTCCACAGAACAATATCAAGGATCCAAGGTGTGCCACCGACGGCCTTGGCACTCAGCATTCAGTTCGAGGAATGAACATTTTTTTCAATCATGACTTCCCATGGTTCAAGTTGTTGATTCTTGATCTTTAGTCCCACTGCAATTGGTTCGCGACATTGATACGTTGGTCCTGTCAACCATGTCTAGTCAAGCGTCCACCTCCACGACATGACCACCGATGCACAGGACGAGGATCAACCTGAGTCTGACGAGGCACTGCAGAAATATGGCTTCCTCGGTCGTTGGAGAAGCATTTTCAGATTCACTGCAACAGCACACTTGTTCGTTCTTTTGCCGGCCATCACTATTTCCGCAGCAGCAGGATGTTTACAACCAGCAATGGCTTTCTTTTTTGGCCAATTCTTCGACACCTTTTCGGATTTTGCCGCGGGAAAGACTGATGGCTCAACCTTCATGTACCGCTCTCTGCGCAGCCTCTATGCGCTCCTTGGAGTCGCAGGTGCCACGTTCTTCTTCAAGGGCATCCTTTTTAGCCTTTGGCTGGTGTTCGGCGAGATGCAAGCCAGGCGCATTCGTGAATTACTCTTCCAATCTTTGCTCGATCGTGAAATAGAATGGTACGAGGCGCGAACAATTGGAGTAGGGACACTCCTAACCAGGTTTCAACGGTACGGGGTACCCAATGTGGCGATGCGTGTTTCTCACGAGATCAGACAGATCAGTCAACTGCAGCTAGGAAGCTCCCAGCCTCTTGGCTTTATCATTATGTGCCTGGTTCAGGCGCTGGCTGGACTTAGCCTCGCATTGCTTAGCAACTGGAAATTGGCCCTGATCGTGCTCTCGGCTATACCTGTCATCGCTGTTGGAAGCGCGCTCATTTCTCGACGTATACAAGCGAATATCGACTGTCAGAACCAAAAACTAACCACCGCAACCAGCTTAGCAAACAACTGCGTCAAAAACATCGTTACTGTGAAATGCTCCAATACTCAAGCCCGGGAAGGGAACAACTACGCTTCGGCGGTCAGGGCAGCTGGCGTGTTCTCTCTGAAGCAGGCTTTCTCTACTGCCTTACAATCTGGATTCGTACGTTTCACCACGACGGCAATGTTTGTACAGGGCAAGTCTTTCGCGCCTGATCATAGAAAAAATCTCATGAATGTGTGCAGGGTTCTGGTTTGGCGGTACACAGGTTCATTCAGGTGGAACGACCGCTGGCAAAGTGGTTACTTCATTCTGGGCCTGCCTTATAGCTACGAAAGCATTCGAGGACTTGCTACCACATTGCATCATTCTTCAACGGGCCAAATCTTCAGCCCTAGCGTTGGAGGCAGTGGTGGCTAAAGTCACCAGTGTGCGATCGCAACAACGAAAAGCAGGTGGAATCTCACCGCAATTTTGCGAAGGCAATATCGAAATCCGGGCGGTACGTGTCAAAACATATTTGACAAGTCGATCGACTAATTCCTCCAAAGGTTTCCTTTGCCTATCCTTCTAGTCCCACGTCCCTTGCTCTAGACCACTGCACATTCTATTTTCCGGCTGGGAAGACAACGTTCATCGTCGGCAAGAGTGGATCTGGGAAGAGCACACTCACCAATATGCTGTTGAGATTCTATTATCCAAAGAGAGGAGCAATCTTCATCGACGACCACGCCTTAGGAGATATTGATATTAATTGGCTGAGAAACAATGTCACCCTCGTGCAGCAAGATTGTGTGCTTTTCAACGACACGATTTTCAACAACGTTGCTCTTGGTCAACGCGATTTCGAGCGAGTTCCGGATGCGCGTGTCAGCGAATGTCTGAGGATGGTCGCATTGGAACCTACCATTGAGCAACTTCCCGAGGGTGTCCATACTAGAGTTGGCACAGGCGGCTCGTCTCTTTCTGGAGGCCAAGTGCAGCGAGTTGTCATTGCGCGTGCGTGCCTACGCAACACACCGATAATGATACTGGACGAGGCAACAAGTGCTCTCGACAATCTGAGCAAGACAACTGTCATGGAATCTCTTCGGGAGTGGCGACGTGAAAAAACGACCATCATTATAACACACGATACGAGTCAGATACAAGAAAATGATTTCGTCTACGTCCTTGAAAGCGGTCGGGTTGTTCACGAAGGTCGTCGTGGGAGCCTTGCTGGCTTTGAAACTAGCACTACTGATAAGGGAGTTTACGCAAAACAGCAGGTAACCGAAGAACACAGCCTTTCCACGAAATATTTGTCCCGGGGCAGTTCTACAGGCCGGTCAAATCAGTGTAGCCCTTCTGTCCCGTCTCGGAAAGACTCTTTCGACTTCGACACAGCAGAAGGAAGACAAGATCGCACTTATGAAAATATTCAAGACGCTGGCCAAGGAGTACAACTTGGACGTAGCCTGAAGAAAGGCCTGTCTACAAGCAGTGAAGCTGCGCTGATGTCTCTCAAGCGTCAATCAATGGCTCGCGCCAAAGCTATATATAGCCTTCGTCAAACACCTACGCCTGGGAATCAAGGAGCGACTTTATCTTCATCAACGAATAACAGCCCCGAACCCATTATCCGCAGAACCATTTTCATATCACCCGTCCCCAAGTCCACACGACCGCGGGACAAACCACTGCCTATACCACCTCTGAGGTCCGATGCTGAAAGTGGAGGGACAATTCCAGGCTACGGGACTGGCGTGTCCTTTGTTGATAGAGAAAACAAACGACTACAACCAGCAGCTTCGATCCCCACAGTTTTACGTACAATATGGCCTACACTCGATAATGCTCGTCGAACCAAGCTGCTTCTTGGACTTCTGGCGACGCTGATCCACTCAGGAGCTCCCCCTGCATTTGCTTATGCGCTCGTGCAAATCTTCGACACCTATTACTTGCCAAGAGGGTACGAGAAGAAGGCCTTGATCTACTCGCTGGTCGTTTTTGGAATCGCCGTCACTGATGGGTGTGCGTGTTTCTTCATGCAATATTTTCTCGACTCGGTAAGCCAATTGTGGGTGGACACGCTCAGAATTCAGGCATTGCAGCGCATTCTACGCCAACCTAAGGCCTGGTTCGATCGAGACCATAATAACCCTGCAGCTCTCATGTCTTCACTCGATAAGAGTGTAGAAGAAGTCAAGGATCTCGTGGAAAGATTTGCGGCCCAGCTCCTCGTCGTTGCTGTTATGATGACTGTGGCAATGATATGGGCCATGTTCTCCTGTTGGAAGATCACACTGGCCAGTCTTGCAGCCTCTCCCCTGCTCTACGCTCTAGCAAAGTGGTTTGGGTTTGTCGCTTCTCTTTGGGAATCTCGAACAAGCGCAGCCAGCGACCGTGTCAACGAAATTTTTATCGAATCTTTTGCAGACATCAAGACAGTTCGGTCGCTCACGCTGGAATCTTACTTCCACAAGAAGTATCGCAATGCAACCCAACAGGCCTTTTCCATTGGTGTCCGACGAGCTTTATTCAGTGGCTTCTTCTTCGGCCTATCTGAATCCGCCATCGCTTTCTTCACACCATTGATCTTTTGGTATGGAGCTCGGCTCGCCAAAGATGGCGAGTGGCCTGTGAACTCTATATTCACCGTGTTTGGTCTCCTTTTGTTTTGTACCGCCAATGCTAATGCGGTCGTTACATACATACCCCAGACGAGTTCAGCGACCGATACCGCCAGTCGCCTGATTCGACTTGCACATATGCAAGTGAACTCTCATGAAGAAGTTGGGGAGGTTCAGCTCGACAAAGACGATCGAACCACGCTCTCGGGTCCGATCCATTTCATCAACCTGACATTCTTTTACCCGACCCGTCCAGAGGCAGCGGCCCTTCGGAGACTCAATCTCACCATTCCATCTGGCAAAACCACCGCGATCGTAGGATCCTCGGGCTCTGGAAAGTCGACTATCACATCTCTCCTGCTGGGCCTCTACCCCCCGACGGCTGATCATCTCGCCCTGTCCCCTTCCAACCCCTGGGACGGTCCAGCATTTCTCACACTGTCCGGTCGTGACATTCGAACACTTGACCTCTCCTGCCTCCGGGCCCTAATCGCCACCGTCCCACAGCACCCAGTGCTCCTCCCGACCACGGTGCGCGAGAACATTTCCTACGGCCTTCCCCCAGAAGCTCCGTGGACGTTGGCAACGCGGGTCGAATCTGCCGCGCGTGCCGCGGGGATCCACGAGTTCATCCAGTCGCTCCCGCAGGGGTACGCCACCGTCGTAGGCGACGGCGGCCTCGGCGTCTCCGGCGGCCAGGCACAACGCATCGTCGTCGCCCGCGCGCTGATGCGCGACCCCAAGATCCTCATCCTCGACGAAGCGACCAGCGCGCTGGACCGCGAAAGCGCGGACACCATACAAAGGACTATCGCCCGGTTGGTTAGACAGAAGCAGGGCAAACTGACGGTTATCATGGTCACACACGCGAGGGAGATGATGGCGGTGGCGGACCTCGTCGTGGTCATGGAGGAGGGCAGGGTGGCCGAACAGGGCGCCTTTGCCGACTTGGTCGCGAAGCAGGGGAAATTGTGGGCGCTGCTGAATGCTGGGGACGCTCAATGATTAGGGAGTCTAGAACTGCTTTGAAGCAGAGGCGCACGGGACGGAAAGTCGTCTGCTCTATTCTTGCTTTCTCTCCAAGAAATATGGAGGACTGCGCGCTGGATTTGTCACTGGTTTTTGCCCTGTCAAGAATCCAAATTGCAAATTATCCAAATCTGCCCTTGAAATCGGTGTCAATGTTCTCATCTACATCACTACATCTCCTAGTATCTAAGTATAAACCCTCCACCTTGGCCGTAGACGACGCATCCAGTCACTGACTCCCCTCTACCCTGTTCTCTTCAATCCACGTTCTGACGGCCGTCCAGTTCTTGCACATATGTACAGCGCTCTGCAATCCGCCCGCACGATCGGCCACCGTCTTCTGATGGCCCACGTAGTGGTGCGGGCTCTGTGGAGAAGACACCGCGCCGCCGTCGCGGGTGGGTTCCAGCGTCGTGTCCGCGGCGCAGAGGAGGGCTTGTCGGACTGTTCGTCGGAGATGACAGAGTGAGTAAATTTGCCAGAAAAAGGAAGAGTATCAAGTGGAGAGAAAAAATCATTCTTACCGTGGTCGAGACAGTGAAAGACGTGGGCTTTCTCGTGGACGTGAGGGTGTTCTTCGTGGTCGTAGTCGATCAGGATCTGGCGGATGAATGCCTAGACGGGGAGAGCGCTCGTGGTCAGTGATGAAGCCAGACAACTTCAGCTGGGTGTAACCCGGTTCCATACAATCGAACAGTCCACTGTTGAGCAGGGGGAAGATGTCGGGGTGGGGGAACTTACCAGACACTCCAACTGTCTCACGACAGCAACGTCGTATATCTCGGTATCAGAAACCGGGCGTCCGTCTCCATCAACCGCAGCGGCGCTCAATGGCAGGCCGTATCTCCTCGGGTGCTGGACAGATATCCTCCCGTCGCCCTTTGGGAACATGCGGAGCCACGCACGATCGCCCTTCGCCCCCTGAAGCTGGAACTCATACCTGTCCGCAAACACTGATGGGAGCTCGCCAAACGATGGAGCGAATATCTTGACTCTCGAGGTCGCAGGTGTGGCGCCGTTCGTCTTCCAGAACGCAGACGGCGCTGTTGGGAATGTAGGTACGAGCTTGTGCCGATAGCTGAAGAGAGTGAATGAGAGGGCTGCCGCCACGAGGAGGACGCCAAAGACAATCTTCAATTGGTTTCGCCTCGATGTAGAGCTTTCCGCGGGTACAGGCGCTCCGGTGTATTCCCCACGAGGCGACTTGGGGGTCCGCGGAACGACCAGTGCGTTTTTCTCGCCTCGGTATGGTGAGCGAAATCGGAGAGTGGAAGGCATGTCTTGGTGTTATCATAGAACGGCCCGGAAACCACTGCACACCGCGATAACAGAGATATATGAGATTAGCCAAGTCAATCTTTGACATCAAGTCCAACATTGACAGCCAGCAAGACCGCATTAGGCCATCGGTCCCCAAAAGACAACGAGTGATCAAGCGGCTTGACAAAGAAACAAAGAACGGTGTGACAACCATCTTGTCGAGTTAGTTGAAAGCGCCCATAGAGCCAAAGCTCTTTGCATCTTTCGCCATGGCCACAGACAGATTTGTTCCAGAGGGTAGCTTAGCACGAAATGCCATAGTAACGAGTCCAATTGACATTCGCGGCTCGTTCTTCGGTAGACATGGGCTACCTAGCTGCGTCGAGTGAAAAGCGCGTCTGATGGCGTGCAGACTTTGCTGACCTTAAGGGGACCCCTACACAGCGCCACATAGTTGCAGCAGTGAGTTGTAGAAGTAGCCAAGTAGTACGAGGTGGTAGTGCACAAACTCGATAATAGAGAAATGGTTAATACGAGGAAGAACAACCAATCAACAGCGGGTCTATCAGGGTCTATGCCTCATTTGGTCTTAGCGCGAGGAAATTCCCGAAGTTCATCCGATCCCCATGTTTTTCTTCGTTTTCGACATGCGCGAATCTCTCAGCCTCGCACTTCAAACCCAGCGGCATATCAAAGTTCCGCCTGTCCAGGAGCAAACCATGGCAGACACTCAGTCCCGCAAACGCTCGAGATCTGCGGGCGGTGCGAATTCGGACAGTGAGTCTTCCGACGATGACTTTGGGCCAGCTTTGCCCTCTTCGGTGCCTCCGAAAAAGAAACGCAAGCTCCCGTATGAATCTCTCTACGTGGATGCCTTACCCAAAGCGCTGAGGTATTCCAAGTCATTGATGCACAAGGATCAGCTGTTAGCCGTGACAATCGCCCCGTCGCCCGCTGATTTTGTCATCACCACCTCGGTCGACGGCGTGGTCAAATTCTGGAAGAAAGTCGCTGTCGGGATCGAGTTCGCCAAAGAGTACCGCGCACATGAAGGACCCATAGTGAGCTCCTCGGTTAGTGTTGATGGAAGTTTCTTCGCTACTGCTGGCGACGAGGAAGACGGCACGATCAAGATTTTCGATGTTATCACTTTCGATCTACTGTCCATTTTGAACCTCGAGAGCCCGGCTTCTTGTATATGTTGGGTGCATCGGAGGGGAGCTTCGCCAATATTAGCTGTCGCTCGCGGCAAAGAGATCCACATTTACGACGACCCTGGCAATTCGCAGACCCCGGTGCAAACTTTGTCTTCTCTTCACAGAGCCCCGGTGGTGGCCATGGCCTACAACCCAGCCTTTAACTGCGTTGTCTCGGCTGACTCAACCGGCATGATTGAGTATTGGCAACCAGGTGACAACTACGAAAAGCCGGACAGCGTTTTCAAGATGAAGTCTACGACGAATCTGTTTGATTTCAAAAAGGCGAAATCTGCCCCTTGCTGTATCACAATATCACCTTCAGGTCACCAGTTTGCTACCATATCCTTTCCGGACAGGAAGATTCGAATCTTCGACTTTGCCTCCGGCAAGCTCTATCGGTCATACGATGAGTCGCTAGAGACAATAACATCGATGCAACAGGCAGGGACGGCGCTCCAGAAGCTCGACGAGGTCGAATTCGGAAGAAGGATGGCTGTTGAGCGCGAACTCGACAACCCAACCGTCAGATCGAGAATCAACATTGTTTTTGATGAGTCAGGCCATTTCATCGCATACGGGTCGCTCCTGGGCATCAAGGTGATCAACACCCTCACCAACCGAGTGATGAAAGCGTATGGCAAGGATGAGCCATTCCGAGCTCTGAACGTGGCTTTATATCAAGGAGCGCCCCAAAAGAAAGAAGTGGTGACGGTGTCGATGGCAGCCAGTGCCAACCCCCTGCTCAACGAGGCCGAGGCTCGAGACCCCATGTTGTTTGCGACTGCATATGGCAAAGTCCGGTTTTACATGTTCACAAACGACGAAGAGATTAGCAAGTCGACCCGCGATGTGCAGAATGAGAAGCCTCGAGTCATTTCAGGAAAGAAAAAAGAAGAGAAAAAGGCCCAGTCGGGCACCTCTGCCGTCCTGCATACCACGTATGGCGACATCCACATCAGATTGTTTCCGGACAAGGCACCAAAAGCCGTGGAAAACTTTGTCACCCACGCAAGGAACGGCTACTACAACAACACAATCTTCCACCGAGTGATCAGAAAGTTCATGATCCAAGGCGGAGATCCTTTGGGCGATGGCACGGGCGGCGAGAGCATCTGGGGGAAAGAGTTCGAGGATGAATTCTCCGACCTGAAGCACGACAAGCCGTATACAGTGAGCATGGCCAATGCTGGGCCTAATACAAACGGATCGCAATTCTTCATCACCACGGAGAAAACACCTTGGCTGGACAAAAAGCACACCATCTTTGGACGTGCGTACAAGGGGTTGGAAGTGATTCACCAAATTGAAAATACAAAGGTGCGAAAGGAGAAGCCGGAGGAGGACATAAAGATAGTCAATATTTCGATCAGTTGAGGGCGGCAGTGAATGTGATGTGAAGTCGCAGTGCATTTAATCTTTGGCTTCACCAGGTACGTAGCAGAAGAAGGACTATATCAAATCAATGATACTTTGCCCGGAAAGTCGTGGGATTCTTGTCGCGTAGATTCATGGCGCGATTCACGCTTCGTTTTCTCCGCATTTTCATTCTCTCCTCACCGCGCGCGCAACATTTTATTTTTCCCACCAGCTTCTTTCACTTCCTCACATGCGCCCAGACAGGCCATTGTCGCTGTCATGGTTAAGTTGCGCGTTGCCGCGAGGATCTTCTCGGAGGACAACTACCTCCAGAGTCTTCAAGGATCCGCCACGTCACCCGTCAAAGGTGAGAAGCGGCTGGTGGTGGTTGTGCGAGATCCGTACAAATGGCAGATTGGAACTCTAGCTCTCGAGGTGCAGAGAGCATACCGAAGCTGCTACCAAGTGTGAGTGTCCTAACTGCTGTGCTGTTTCCAGACAGCTTCTGACCGTAGGCGCAGTGAGCTCCCGACCATCAAGTACCTCAAGGACAACGAAGACGACTGCGACCTGGACCCGCGAGCCTATGTGTCGGATCTCCTTCTCGACGAAGGCCGGGCCCAAATCGATGCTTCTGACCAGCGCGTCATGATCAAGGTCGTCTTGGAGCAAGGACTGGCCCTACGAGAAGGATCGGTCGCAATCGGTAGCCAGTTGCACGACCCCTGCTACCAAGACCAACTCGAGAAGAGTTCGCGGCCCCCCGTTCCCACATTCCCTGCTCAGCCGTCGTCACTGGGCAAACGCTCATTTCCCGTCGACGACGAGTACGATTTGACAGCATCTGCAAACAAGAGGCCCCGACAAGTTGAGATACCAGAGACACAAGGACAAGATCAAATTCCAGTATCTTCAATTGAACACGAGGGCGTTCACGGTACAATCGAGCTGGTGGAAGGCACACAGTTTACCAACCCGGAGCAAGATTCGGAAGGACGGCAGAATCTCGTCCAGCTCAAGCAAGAGTCCCCCGAACTGCGGAGGGTGCTACAGAATGTCACTCCCGCGACTCTCGACGAGCTTGAGGAGTTGACAGAACGCCCTCCAACTTTTGGCACCAACAAGAGACCGAGGGTTGGTTCGACGTATCCCAACAACTCGCGTGCCTCGCATCAGCCGAACAGTCTCCTGCCGTCTACCAATTCCCTCGGGCGGCTGCAGAAGCGCTCGCAAGGACCGATTACACCTCCCTCAGAGACATCGAGAAGGCTCTCTAATTCCGTGACCCACCAATCTCGGCGCTCGGAAGAGGCCGCAAAATCCACCGCTCAGTCGGGATCGGCATCGACATCGGCTAGCAAATTCAAGAGGCGTGACATCTACGACTACCCAGAATCGGAGATTGATGATTCCCAAATGTCCCCGCGGTCACGACAGGCGCAACTAAGTAATCGAAAGTCAATGAACAATTTATCGCATATTGCGAATCTACAATCCCCTCGTGAACCCGAGGAAACCGATTTTGGATTCACCATCAGCCAAGCCATCGAAGCTCTGGAGACAGAGTCCGTGTTTGACGACAGCCACCCACTCATTGAATCCTTGCCAGCACCCGATCTCAATTTTGACAAGACGAACTTGGGTTCAGCCGATGAAATTGAAAACAGTATCTATGAGGACGCCGAGATGGGAGATGTTGATCGGTCAGGTCTGATAGATATCAGTACACCCAAAGGAACAGAGGTCAACGGAGTTACAGAGGCCGAGCACCCGGATGGAGAAGACAAAGAGAACGAGGCATCGCTTGCGACATCTGCCATACCCCACAAAGATGCTGCAAAGGCTACACATGCTGAAGATGTTACGTTAGGCACACAGGATAATGCTAAAGAGGCCCAACCCATCGGCTCGTCAAAGGATGATCAGGCACATGAGAGCCGACCCCAGGCGAAGAGGGTTCGAAAACGAAAGTCAGACACCTTCAGCACGGATGGCAGCCAGCAAGGGTCTACACAGAGACTCAACCAGTCTGGTCAGGCAGACGCAGACAACGGGACCAAGAAGGCCCCCAATGCTGTCAAGAAACCCAAGGAATCGCAGAAGACATCCACTCTCGACAGTCCAGGAGAGCAGCTATCTCAGGATCTTCGGGAGTCGGCAGGGAACCAGCTGTACACGGAGGCCGTGAACAAGAGACTCGCGGCACAGCAGAGAAGTGCGCTGGCAACACCCGCGAAAAAGAATAAGGTCCAGAAACCAGGGAACAACGCAGAGGGGACTGGTTCTGTGTTGTCGCGTGCTACAGGGGCTAACAAAGATGTGGTGTCCACGACAACCCCTGCGCGGGCGAAGAATAAAAAGTTGTCGGAAAAGCCAGCAGTGGCCACAACGATGCCAGAGGTGTCTGTATCCCGCTCCTCGCCGACCGTCGCTTTTCGTGCTTCACAGTCAAACCATGACACGGCCGATTTATCGAAGGCACCCCTTCCGAACTGGGGTTCTGAGCCTGCCGCGGCGAATAAGCGCGGTTCTTCAGTCACAGACAAGGTGGGTGGAGTCAAGGACGATAAAGAAGCCGACTCCAAGACCTCATCGTTTGGCCTGGGCTTGACTCCAGAAGAGATCAGGATTCTGGAAAGCCGTAAAGGCATGACCAAAGAGCAATATGAAGCAGATAAGAAGCGGCGACAGTTGGAGGCAAAAAAGACTGCCGAAGGCCAAAGAAAGCAAGGCGCTGCTGCCACAAAGAAGAAAACTACCACGGACAAGCCGTCGGTGGACAAAGGCGACGGGCCGCGGATATCCAAGACTCCCGAGCCAAAGCCTGCTGTCACTCTAGCGAACACTAGGACGTCTAAAAGTCTTTCTTTCCAAGAAGAATCACCTGACCCGGCTGACAAGGTAACTCGACCTGACTCGACGAAAGACAGCGAAAAGGAAAAAGCGTCGATCTCAGGCAAAGCAGCGTCTGTCCGGCGTGAGTCCTCCAGCACGAGCTTCTCAAAGTCGGAAAGCACCGAACCCAAAGTGCCGCCAAAGACGCCCGCCAAAGCATCCACAAAAAGCCCTTCCGTACAGTCGTCCACCATCAGCAAGACACCCAAGCCGAGTGCTGACGCACACTCGTCTGAGCAAGCCAAGGGCTCCGTGACAAGGAGATCCACCACCCCGGCGCCAGCCGCAAAGAGTGAGTCGAAGATAGGAAAGACACCTGCCAAAACTCCTCAGCCGAAAAAGCCGACACTCGGGACAGCCAAGCGCCTGGTCGACCTCCACAAGGTGGTCCGGAGTGCGAGCAAAGTGAGCAAGGCTGCAGCGGAAAGCGTCCTTTCTCGTGTAAATGCGGCCAAACAGAAACAGAAGCCGATGACCTTCACCCTCGGTGATGACGATGACGATGATGACGACGATGACGACGAAAGTGACGAAAGCGAAGAGGAAGAGGCTGAGAAGGTCAAGGTCGTTGTACCTCCCCGCAAGACGGGTCAAGACGAGGGCAAGAGCCAGAGCCAGAGCCAGAACCAGAACAACGACAAAAAGAAGAACATCAGCAGCAGCAGCAGCAGCAGCACTTCCGATGACGACTCATCGACCACATCAACCTCCTCGCCGTCATCAGAGGAAGCGGGAAAGAAGAGAATCCCAAACCCCAAACCGAGTCAAGCAAAGGGGAACGTGTCCGGGCGAGCTTGTCGTGCCAGTAACCGGAACAGGACCGCCGCATCCGATGATGACGATAGCCAGAGTCACAGCGAGGGAGACAGTGCCGACGACGACAGCGAGTCGTAAGACTTTGCTTGGAAGGAATGCTGTGTGGCCATGACCCGGTGGTGGTAGTGGTAATACTCCTTGCTGGGTTTCAAAGAGAGGGTTGATTCTTAGTCGAGCTATCGGATTATCTGGGATAAAATATTGGACTAGAGCCTGGCAACTGGAGCCGGGAATGGGACAATTGATTTCTTGGTTGGGGTTTCTTGGATAGTCTCAGGTTGCGTACCTCGTACATTGGGTGGTTGGGGTGACATGTACGGTTGGATGGATGGTTGTATGCACAGACTCGGAGAGTTACCAGCAGTAGTTACCAGCAGTAGTTACCAGCAGTAGTTACCAGCAGTAGTTACCAGCAGTAGTTACCAGCAGTAGTTACCAGCAGTAATTACCAGCAGTAGTTACCAGCAGTAATTACCAGGTCCGCAGGCAAATACGGTAGTGAGGTTAGAGCCTTGGTATATCAAAAGTCTCCTTCCATGCCGTACCTACATACCTACATACCTACCACTACTGTAATTTTCCATCAACCTATACCCTTGCGATGGCGATGGCGATGGCGATGGCGATGGCGACTCTACTGGACTGTATTTGCGCAGGCAACCCACGTCCCAATGAAATCAAAGACGCAGTAACGCACGCACGCACGCACGCACATAATACTCGAATAATACTGTATTTGCCCTTCGCATCTATCTCCGCGTAGAAGGAGCCGAGAGATCGACCAAAGGCTTTGTTTTGCACGGGAGAATCCTACATAGGGATCTTGAAATCGCAATCGCTCCTGGGTCCCAGATCTCCCGGTCATCATCACCAATCGTGTCCGGCCGATTCATATTCCCCAGGCTCGCTTCCTCACCGTCGCTTCTCTCCCGATCACCCCTGATGGCCCTCGAATTCTCTGCCAGTGGCATTCATTGTGTGGGTTGTCCTGACATATCCCTCGTCGTTCGAATCTGCAACTCCATCGTTTGCCACCGACACGGCTGCCAAGGGCCGGTGCCGAGACTGGATACATTCATACTTCGGCGAAAGAAAAGTCGTCATGACTGGATTTGTCTCTTTTGTTCTCTTCAATAATCTCTTCGTTGCAAGGGTCTTGTCTTCGTATCGTGTCCGTCATTGGTTTCTCCCCTTTCGTCAATCACCTGTGGCTTCATCCTACGGAACATTTGGCTCCCAACCGGTGGCAAGAGATGAGTGTGCAACGACGCCAAAGACATGTCTCCCCCTCTCGCTAGGTGTGTCGCTTGAGCTTCATCAATATTCGGTAGCTGTCGTGCTAAGTCAAATTTCATTTCGTCCAGCCGCGGACTCCGCCCTCGGTGGCAGTCTGGTTGTTACCCTCCAATTTAAAGGGTTCCTCATCTGTTCCGAGACTTCCCCCTCTTTCTCCGTCCCAAGCATTCTCTGCTCAGCTCCACCCCTCGCGTAGTGACAGACTCATCTCAAAGTCTCGCCCTAGGAAGACTCTGGTTCGATGGTATTGCCGGCCACAATGTTTGCCCACCCAATCAATCGCCAGTGCTTCTCGATTCTCCTACTCAGTGCAATCTTCTCGCCAATCGCCGTACAGGCTGGGTTAGTCAAGGTCAGTTTGGCTGCATCAGCCTTGACACCCATAACCTTAGCGCCCGTCGCTGTAGACCCAATGTTCACCATCAACACTTCGTTCTTTGCGAGTTTGGCCACTTTGGCTTGTTTGCCGTCTGCAGTCTTGACGCCCAACAGACGCCGGAGCAAGAAGTAGTTAACCTCAAGTTCCATGTAGATTTCCGGGAGCTGGCCCTTCAGACCCAAGACGTGGCCGACGAGACGGTCTGCTCTGCAAAGTGTTGGGTCCACACGTGTGCCCACGCCGATCAGACCTCCAGGCACGGCAAATTTCAGATCGTTGTGTTCGGCGAACAAGCTCACCACACGGGACATGATTGGGCGGCAGACAGTCTGACCGGTTGCGTCTTTCGTGATGATACCTGGGCGGATTTCGATTTCGTCACCGAGTTTGAGGACGCCAGTGAGGATAGAACCACCTGCGACACCACCCTTGAGATCCTCAATTTCTGCGCCAGGCTTGTTCACGTCAAACGATCGAATGACGATCATATGTGGTGCTGCGCTGAAGTTTCGCACCGGAACGGGGATTTTGGTGACCAGGTATTCATTGATCGCATCAATATTGTACTTCAGCTGGGCAGAGATGGGGATGATCGGTGAGCCATCCGCGACGGTGCCCTTTATGAATTTCAGAATCGACTCGTAATGTGCCTGTGCGCCTTCTTCTCGCATGAGGTCGACCTTGTTCTGTAGGATGATAATATGGTTGAGCTTCATGATCTCGATGGCTGCAAGATGTTCCGAAGTCTGTGGCTGGGGGCAGCTTTCATTCCCTGCTATCAGAAGCAATGCGGCGTCCATGACGGCGGCGCCAGACAACATGGTACTCATCAGAATATCGTGACCAGGGCAATCGACAAACGACACATGACGCAGAAGTCGGTACGTGCCGCCACATCCTTCTCTTTCACAAGGAGGGTCGACCTCCTTTTCCGATTTGTAGGATTTGTAGCATGTAGGTCTGGGACACTCGGGGTTGTCGCACTTGTAGATTTTGGCGTTGGCATATCCCAACTTGATGGTAATGTTCCGTTCTAATTCATTTTTAAATCGGACAGTTTGCACGCCTGAGATGGCCTTGACGACGGTCGATTTGCCGTGAGCCACATGACCTATGGTGCCAATATTGATCGTAGCTTGTCTTGCGATGATCTCGGGTGATAGAGGAGTCAGTTTCGAGACATCGAGGTCTTTCGGGTCGGGTTGTTCAGGCAGAACCGGTCTAGGGACCTGCGCTTCGGGGATGGTTGCTGAGGTGCCCTTTTTGAGGGCGGACTTGGGTGGCTGGTTGGTTTCCTCGATATCATCAACATCGTTCTCGTCGCCAGGGGGTGTGCCGGGTTGAGAAAACTCGTCATCGGACGGCAAATCACCGTTGGTAGCCATGATTGTGGATGGGTATGAAACGGGTGCAGACTTCTGAATTTCCGGTCAGTACTTTGAACCTGGTAATTTCTCAACACAAAGCCGTGGTAGATGCCTGCGCTATGGGAGAATCCTGTACGTTTGCAGGATATATCTGGCGGCGAATGAGTATGACTCAGTTGATATTGCGGGGTGAATGCGAGGGACGAAATACTAGGACAAAATTCAGTTCATGATGCCAAGAGTTTGGAAACTAGTCGCGAGTCGCTCTTCCCTCTTCGGGGCGAGGGTGACGCCGCCCTGTATGTGACAGGAAACGCTAACCCGGCGTAGTCATTTCCGCCGCCCTTACTCAGTCCGCAAACCACCTCATGCATCCCGCCTCAATATTGCTGATCAAGACGAAAACCACCGAGTAAAGCAGAAGGACGAGTAACTCGATGGCGCAACAACTTCCTGATTTCGACAATCCCTGGCTAGCAACGTCAGTATGTTGGTGCTGCCTTGCCCTTCTGGCTCTTTGTTAAAGACCCAACCATACTCAAGGGAACTCCAGAAAGCCCAGAGTCAGAAACCGGTTCAGCCGCCCCCAACAACTTGTCGTGCTGCAGGGGAGATTCTCCGCCACTTGCCAGGCTTTTAGGCGCCCATCGGCAAGCATACCTTTGCTGAGGGCATGTTGTGAGGCTGCGAGGTTGGGCGCCATATTACGGCTAGTGACATCTAAATTGCTAAATTGTGCCACCACCGTGCGGCTGAAGACGTTTAAGGACAGCATTTCGAGTTTGTTCTGTGGGGGCACCTGCTCAGCTTCCGATGATAGGGTCTCGCTCGGGGCAGCGCTTTCCTGTTATTCGTTCGCCTCATGGTGCTTAACCATTCAACTAAGCACAAGTTGGCAGCTCTGCGCTGGCTAGTGTTGATATCACGAGAGTCATCCAGAGTCCAGCCTGATGGCTTTCCAGAATTCACTTCATTTGAGCAACTGAATCGAGTTCTGGTCAGCGTTTGGGAGGACAGCGATGATGGCTAGCAACACTCTCTTGGAATTTCTCACAGCACCCAACCCAACACTGGACTGTACGAGGTCCTCGGTGGGTGCGAATACGTTCAATGCCAACTGGGACCCTGTTTCCGCACTGGAAGATTGGCCAGACTTTAACTACGATATACTGATGCAATCCTATGGGCATGTTCTACTGCAACAAGTTCCGCCAATGCCTGGAACCAGTCCTCCGCTCACTCCACTAGCGACAACAATCTTCACTGAGGAAACGTTTAATGACGTCTTATCGCGGGCAATCATGCCACAAGTCTCTGAGGCCCTGAGGGTCGCTTGGCCACTCTGCCACCCCGATCACAACCCGAAAGACGTTGCTGAAATTGCAAAGGGGGCCAAAGCGAAAAGAGGAACGACAGAAGAAGATAATCGATTTTACCCGGACTGGGCCGCTATCAGAGAATCTCAGGAAACAAACTTTGGGTACAAGAATCTCTGCCCGGGAGAGACCAAACTCGCTTCAAAATGGAGTACTTCTAAGGAAGGCCGAGGGCGGACAGACTATCTAGCACCCTTTGACCAGATCCAAACTTATTGTGGCCGCCAATGGGGTGCTCCTCACGGCTATATTATAACGCCGGAAGAACTCGTCGTGGTCAGAGTTTCGAGGGAATCCATCGGACCGGGTCTCGCGGCTTCAAGGCCGATTAGGACCCGGATACAGAGAGAACAACCGGCTCACTCGCGGACGTTCTCTACGGAGACTGTCAGTTCGGGGTTACAAGCAATGTCTCTAGACACGGGATCGAGTTTCAGCTATGATACAAATCCAAATATTGAGTATGGGCCACTACAATTCAAAAGTATACCGTGGAAGGCTGAGGGGAAGAATAAGATGACAGTTAAATTGGCACTATGGTGGTTGAACGTCGAAACTGGGAAAGATCTCTCAGTCCAGGATTACCCGCCGAGTCGAATAAGTGATCATCGACAGGTACAACAACCATCTGAAAGGGCTCGTGCGCCGGCGCCGTTGTCTGGGTCTGGCCCAGGTAAGGGCAAACGCCCTGCGAAGACGTGACAGCGACAGGTGCACTGAAACCATTTACGCACACTATTTATAGCTTCGTTGAAAAAATGATCAAACCCGAAGTCCCTCCATTCCGGACATGGCTTCGTTAAAGTGCTTGAAAGGTCGACAATCTTTGATCCTCTATAGTTCTCGATTCGAATGTCCCGGGGATATATTCGTGCTCGCTTCGGGATTTCGAAATTCTTATAGATTGTCTCGGTGTGTGATCGGTTTGTTGGTTGAAGTAAAGTCTCTTTGACGACCACCCATCGGCTCAAGTTATGGGTGTCCACAACATCGCCGAGCGCTTTGAATTGGGCATCTGTTAGTTTCATCCATCCATAGCACCTGACAGCCCATGTTCCATTTTCGCGACGTGAATCCAGTCTAGCAAAGGCCCTACACTCGCACGCAAGCGGTGTGATGTATATGGCGTCATGGTTCGAGTAGAAGACGGGGCCGGGTTGCTTCCACTCCTTAAACTAGGCCACATTAGATAAAGGAGTAATCAGCGAAATTATATATACTTACGATTTTCAGGGCATAATTAGCTCCTTCGATATCGGCCGAAACCACGACGCCGTGTTCTCCATGACCAAGCCGACGGAGGTTTTGAATGGTTTCTTGGTCGTGGATGAAGCGCCGTAGTTTTGGTTCATCATCTTCCGTCGTCTGATTCGAGTCGCACAGCGGCTCGCTCGAGAGGTATATGCCAATGATGTTATCTCCCATCAGCTCGACATATCTTCCAAGGCGCTTGCCCATCTCTTATCCAGGCTTTCTCATGACGTCCAATACGAGACTGGTTCAACCGGGATTTTCAACCTCGAAGGGGGAATCGCTCTACGGGAATGTAGACGATAGGAGGAAATCGACGAGAGAGGATGCTGAGGGGGTTAATCCAGGAAACTTCGACGAGCGAAGCGTTTGACGAGGAGTTCTGGTGTGATAGATGCGGGCATGTGCAGCGCAGGTAGATCGGGGATATTACTAGAATACCGCGGACTCGTGGCTGGAGGGGAAGTCGACGCTGAAGAGATCGGGCTATTCAGGCGTCTCGTGAAATCCCCCAACGCGAGCTGGAGGGGCCGAGGCGAGCGAAGGCAGCGAGGAGGGTCCCTTCTCAGTATATTTCTTTGGGTGCTGCAAGCAAGAAAGTCAAAGGGTGGTGTCGTCCTCTCAGGACTAGAAATGTGGAACAGAGGATGCCGCTTTTGAATGATTGGGCCAGTCCACGGCTGCACAGACGGCCAGGTCGATCTCCACCACAGGGCGGCATCACCCTAGTCTGGAAACGGGGTGAGTTGGCCGTCGATTTAGGCTGCTATGGGAATTTTGGCGAGAACGGTGTGGATAACGCAGGACTACATTGGAAGTTCAGGAAACATAATATCTGAGAGAGCTAGTTTCCACAGAATGATCATCAAGAGACTGACAAGCGACAAGACGTTGACCATGAAGAAAGAACCCAAGCATTATTATAGTGTCATGAGAGGTGACGGCTAGAGGCCGCATTTTCGAGCGGACAACGATTTTGGTCTATCATTCGCAAATGCTGGTACGAGCAAGGCATAAGCGACCTGACCACCCTGACCTGCATGCTACCCAAACATTTCTTGAGCTCTATAATACATTTTACAAGGCTGGTTTCCGGGCTTGCTTTCATGGCCACCTGAATAAGAAGCGCCTGAACCCATATTTCCCGAATCCATCTTTTGGTCTTGGTTATCCCACTCCATGCCTTTCGTTAAGGCTAGGGGCTCCACGAGACAAGTACGTCTTGTGCATGTGCAACGACTCAGACTTCCATTGCCGAAGAAATAGGGGTCGCAGGGAAGGCAAACGAGTCGCAGCTAGTCAGCCTGAAATCTTCATGCAATGGATGCAAACCGAGAGAAGCTGCCTTTGTCTGGGCACAGCGTTTTCAGCGTTTTGAGAGTTCCGGTCATTGCTTCGCACCAAAGATCCTGCCGAACAATCCTGGTGACTCGGGCTTCCGCTGCAAACCCTCCAGAAAACGAGTCTTTTCTTCGTCCGTCGCACGAGGGAGACCGGCTTGCTTCCTCCGACGGCCTTCTTCGGTCAGAAGTTTCTGAAGCTGCTTCTCGTCCTGGAATATCCCTTCGCCAATGAGCTCTCGTCTCAGCCGGCCTTTGATATCTCTCTTGGTCTCTTTCTTCTCCTGCTGTGTGATTTTCTGACCCTTGCGCTCTCTTCTGAGCTGGCGGAGCTCCGACGTGGTGGCCTTGTTGACCAGGCCCTTCCTTTCTGCTCTTGACATTTGGTTCCACTCCTTCAAAGGTTGTTCTGTTGGCTCTTGAGGGCTAGGAGGCTGAGCGGGCATCCCGAGTCTCCTGGTCGTGTGGATAGATCGTGTTTGCTGTTGTATTTGTTTTTGAGTCGATCGACGACTTTGTTGATGAATCTGTTCTCGGGCCCACTGCTGGGCCTCCTGCTGTGCCTGCTCCTGCTCCTCCTCCGCCTCGCGATTCTGTTCTGACGCCACGGCCGCAAAGCGTCGACGCTCCTCTTCTTGATGAGCCACAATGCCGTCATACTCGAGGGGATTGATCTTTTTCCAGGTCCTCAGGAACTCGAGTGCATCGACCCGTTGCGGCACGTACGTGGTCCCGTCGGGGCGATCCTCGGCCCTGCTTTTCGGTTCCATCTCCATCGTCACGAAGGGCGTGAGCTGATTTTGCAGCGAACATTAATTAGCGACTGCCACTTTTGCGAAACGTTTTTCGTTAGGAGGAACTCACTGGAAAGTCTTTGATCTCGGGCATATTCCAATGCACCGTCTTCCGCCAGTCAATCACATATCGCCCGAATTCGGTGTGAGCACCCATTGCTCCAGCCCGATTTCCGCGGTAGAATCCACGGCCGACCTGTTTGGTGGTGAAGCGCAGGCGGGCGCACAATTGCGGCGAAGGCTTGACCATGGTGACTGACTGTCTTGGGGGGGTCCTGACGCCCCTCGCGTGTTTCCTCTAACTATAAAGTCATGGGCTTCTTGGAACTGGCTGAAGTATAATGGAAAGAGGGCGAGGACTTGGGCTCGCGCAGGATCGGAAAAACTGTTTTGTCGTCCTTTTGAGGACGATGATCATGCCGTCCTAACAGCAGCCCCTTGCAGCCCAAGCTCCAACGCCTTCTCCCCCAAACAAACTCCGAACCTCGCGGCCGCTTATTGGTCACATGTACTACTTGTACTTGGTTGTGCCGCCCATAATTTTGCAATACCTGGCTACGTACATAGTATTGCAGCTCGCCTTCTTTTTTGGAAACCTGTCCTTTATCCCTCTCATCTGCTCATTCACCGCCCAGACCGACCATGTGAATGCCGCCCCCAGAAACGAATCCGCTACACATATACCGCGCTTGCCTGCGAGAATGCACCTACCTCCCACTTCCGCAATGTCGGACGTACATGAGAAAGTTCACCATTGACAGTTTCCGTCGCTGGATACCTAGAAACAAGGGCACCGGAGGCAAAAGTCGCACAGCCCGAGGAGGAGGTGGTGGTCGACAACAAGATCTCCCCCCCGAGAAGGTGACTCGACTGCTTCACCAGGCGAGGAAGCTCGCCTCGATCCTCCGCCATGCGAATCAAGGATACATCAACCCGCTGGAGAACGTGTTGCGCATGACCTATGGAAGAAAAGGGCCTAGGAAATATGACCTTTTGGAAAAGTTCTTACAACATCCGGCCAGCCCAACTTCTAAAGGCGATCAGGAATCTTTGAAAGACAGCGAGGTCCCAAATCCCTCAACTGCGGAAACGTCGCTCACAGATGCCGTCCGCTCTGCTGGTCTAGGGTTGGATGAAGTGCTGAGACGCGACGCCGAGGAGATCTCTGAAAGCACCACAGATGAAGAGACCCTATACCCCTCGTTACTCCCGACAGTCACAACCGCGCCCCGCGATAACTCTGCTCCTCGGTCCTCTGCGAAGCAAAAGCCGCCGAACGACAAATGGAAATACGAGATACCCCCGCGCCTCCTCGCCCTGATCACGTCACAAGCGGGTGAACAAATCTACTTTACGCGTGTCGGCGCCCATCTAAAAGTCAAACCAAGATTCAACCCTCCCCAGACGACCATATGGGGCACACCCCTCCCCCAGTCGCGATACAAAAACCTGCGCATCAAATGGTACAACCACAACATCAAGGCCGTGCTGCCTCCTTTGCCGGAAGACGAATACCAAGAGCTCCATGATCTGGTAAGCGGGAAAAAGGAGGTGGGACCGTTTGCAACGCGTCGGAGGCCGACACGGACGTCGACAGACGACATGGAGCAAAGCTGGCTTGAGAGTCAATCCTCTTTGATATTAGAAGGTCCGCGGCCGGGGTCCCGCCTCAAGGATTGGCACATCGGCCGCCCTCACGAGATCACGCCTCGACTTCTCCGAAGGTTGCTTTCCCGCGTGGTATTAAAGCAGACTCCCTTCGCCAAGAGTGCGGCTCCCAACACCAAGGAAGCGGCGGATATTGGGTTGGTCTTCTACTGGGACGATGGCATGTCAAGGGACGAGATGGAGAAAGCCCAGCGGAAAATATCGGGATCACTGAGAGGGCGGCAATCCAGGCTTTTGTTTGGGTAATGAGGTGCTATCAATGGGAGCGATGCTGAGCCGCTGCCGATCGAAACGAAGTCTATTAGCGATGTTGATATCGACTATGGGCTCACCGAGGTTCTGAGACGTGAGTCAGAGAATGGTCCAAAATAACTCCTCCTTTCACCTGTGGCTTGCCTGAGAGATGACCAGATGTCCAACTGAGACTGTCAACCCGTAGTAGGCAAGTATATTGGCTTGTTTCGGTCACGGTAGCCAAACGCACTTCATACATGTCTCAAGCCACGCTTGACACGCCCTGTGAAGCCATAGACTCCGCAGAAATCTTCTAGCTTACCATGCTTGTCTATAACTATGCGCCTCCCAACAGAGCACTCAATGCAATGTACCACGTCAGAGATGCTCCACCATCTATCCAACCCATGTCAAAACTAGGCTGAGTGAAGAAATTGTACGCTGCTGTCGGATTGATGGTGGCCAAATTCGCATACACAATGCCTGAGAGTCGTCAGTACGGAGCAACATTGAATGGCTCGCATCCGGCTCACCCTTCCAGCCACCAGTAATGTCTGTAGCCTGTCGAACGGCGCCGTCTGCAAAATACGTGATCCATTCTTCTGTTACAAATTGTTCTGTCACAGACCAGTTAGTTTGGTACACACCTCCCATTGGTCGACGCTCTTACCTGTCCGAGTCAATGTCGAGAAAGGCATGAGAGGAATCATGTGGATGCTGCGCAAGTCGTTAGTAATGCAGCCGGCGGACAACGGAGAGGACCACGTATAATACCCTTGGACATAACTCAGATCAGTACCAAAGTAGGTGACATGATCCGCTTTGTTCTCAAATAGAATGCCGGTGACTTTGTTGCCAATGAAAGCCGCAGGCTGGTTGGTGTTGTCCGATGTCATCAGGAAATAGTTCTGTAGGCTTCGTGCCAGAACAGTGAGCATCAGATTCCCCCGAGCTTCCATGGAGGCATCACCGACTGTCTTGCCCCACATCTTCAGCCCGTACGCAAACATGGCATCCTCTGAAGACGATTCTTCATCCTTGCCGTCGCCCGATTCAAAAAGCCCTTTGGCCCAAGAGTGTCCGTGATACCAATCAAAGGATCGGAAGACTGGGAAATACTGATCCAGAACGCTGGGATTGGAGACGTCTCGAACTAGAGCGTTCACATAGTCCTTGTTCTGATTGAGCCACGTCGGATCGAGGTAGCCGATGACAGCGGCGGCGTGGAGGAAGTAGCCATAGTGAAAGTGGTGGTCGTTGTAGTACGAGTTTCCAAAGTCCACGCCAGGATCCCCCGTCACATAACTCGCCGAGGACACAAGGCCCTTCCAGTCTGTGTCGTAGAGCAAGGGAAACTGTTGTTGATTATTTGTGAAGACGTCGAAGCAGCTTTCAAGCTCAAGCAACGCAGCGTTGGCCAGATCTTGCTGGTTCGCGAGATCATGCATGGTGTAAACAAGCTGCGCAAATTTGCTCAGCGCTTTGCCACTGTAATACATGCTGTTGAGGTTTGTTTGGACCGACATGTTCTGAGAGGCTTCGGTAGCAGCGACGGTCTGGATGATGGAAAGCGCTGCAGGAGAGAGTGTACTCGCGTCGTGAAAGTTCGGGGAGTTCCCTGGTCGCCATGGTGCGAATCCCAGAGAGGTTGGGAGATTTTGCTCCTCCAATAGCCAATAGTCACCCACAACAGCCGTCGCGTTGCCCTTGGTCGTGGTAGCTAGCTCAATCGCCGTGACATTACACTGAGTAGGGAAGTCGAAGGAGTCACGGTGGTGAGGGAGCGCAAACATGAGAAGAGTCGTGTTGCTGGAATGTACTCCGCCCTTGGACCAGGACAAGCTGTACTGAGCGGTCGTGTTCTCTGCAAAGCCAGAAATATGTCCGGCAGTTGGATAGGCGCCGACCGCATCATCATAGATGGACTCCAAGCTCTCGTCGGAGAGCTTTGCAACCTGTATATCCCCGTACCAATTCGGCAGGCCTCGGAGAACGGTACTTGAGACGAGCTGGAAATTTGGGGTGAGTCCATTGGCTGGTATAGCATAGATCAGCCACAACTTTCCATCTTCTAAAGTGACCCTGTATTTGAAGATACCCGGTTTTGGTTCACCTGCTGCGGCAACATTCCGGAAGAACACACTGCTTTGTATCGCTGGCTGCAGATTGATGTATTGCCCGGTGACAAACGCCATACCCTGGACCACCGGCATGGTCAGCACTGAAGGTGAGCCAGATGACGGCTGAAGGTGAACGTTAGCGGAGAAAGCCAGCAAGGAATCTGTGGTCAGAACTGTGTTTGAGCCAAATTCAACGGCAGACAGGATCACTGACTGGATCCCGAGCCCATTGATGTAGTAAGATGCCGGTGCATTTGGTATAGCGGTATTGTTCGGCCCAAAATGCTTCTGGCTGTCGTCCAGGTGTGATATTGCCATTCCCCAGCTCAAGGAATTCCCGCTCCCTTTGCTCCATGCCAGAGAGTAGGGCATCGCAAAGCAAGGGGAACCTTGGGAGCCCAGCACGAAGTTTTGGTAGAATTTGTTTGTCTCAATTGGGCCCCCAACATCCGCAATTCCGAGCCGCGAAACAGGATGTCCGCCTCTTTGTTCGATGTTATTGGGAGGTTGTCCTAGCGCAACAGGTTGAAAAATGTCCTGTCCAGAGCAACCCATGCCCAACAAGCAATTCGGACTGACCGTAGGGAGATTTGAGATGGAACCGAGGGCCGTTGTCAGGGTAGTCGCTACCGTCCCAGCCACTGTTGATGACGCCGTCAAAGTGGTCTCGACAAGTTCAGTCCCGGTTGTGGTAAAGACCGTGGTGCCTGCGGACGATGTCGCTATAATGGACCCATCGACAGTAATAGTGGTGTTGAGGACTGTGACAGCAGTGATAACAGCAGTTGTTTCCACAGCCACGGTTGCAACGGTTTGTGTAGTTGAGAGACTTTCGAAAGTTGTCAATGGCAATGTGATAGTCTCGGTCACTGTACTCTGCGCACTGATCGCTGTTGAACTGCCAAAAGGGGCAGTGTTGTTCAAAGGCTCTAATGTGGGCGAGGCAACAGTCTGAACACTTGTGGGAAATGGCTGTACAGGAGGATTCCCTTCAGTTTCGAGAGTCGTGATAAGTGACTGGACCAATTAGCTGTCTGATTGATGGGGAACAGGCACGAGAGGATGAACCCACTCCTGTAGTGTCTGGAAAGCTTTGGCTGGCAGATGTCACAGTAGGAACTTGTGAGGAAGGCAATGCGGTGATGGTGATAGTCTGGATACTCAGATGCGGATCGGCAAACGTGATCGCAGACGAATAGCTTTGTGATTCGACGTGTGCTTCATGCGCAACCGGTGCATTGTCGGAGTCGAGGGTATCGCCTGTAAAGCCGTGTCAGCATCGCCGACTGTCCCTACCGAGCGAGGAGGTAAGTTACCAGTCGTAAAGGTTGCATCAGCGCCTGGATAAATGGATGCAAATGTTAGCAAGCCACCACCATAAACATCTTCATCACCTCGACTGCATGCAGGATCCAAATCGCTTGACCGACCAAACAATTGACGAAAAGGTAGGGCCGAGGCAAATAGCACCTGGAGTATTGTTAGCAAATATGCGCTGCATCGATTGCTCATGACAGCAGAAGAGGCCAAGATGTAGTCTTCACAAGGGGCAAACGTGGAAATCGGAGCGCAGCAAAGGGCCAGACGGGTTGCCGATGTGCGAAGCTGCTGAGAATGACAAAGTAATCTGCTGTGTTTGCAAGTTGTGCAGCGCTCCTGTACGAGGTATTGTTGATATTTACTACCCAAGGAATAGAGCAAAGTCACAACAGTGGGATGAAACAGGATATTCTTGGGAACGAAGCTGAAGCGCAGGAGCAGAAAATAGGCGGACAAAACAGTTTTCCAGATCGAGATAGTACGTGAGAGAGTGGGGAGGGGAGTCCAGGCATACCAGAGCGAGGCTGATAGGCTTTGACGAGAACATGCACGGCGAAGGAGGCGATCTGTGCGGCGGCTTGGTCTAGGAGGCACAAGCGTGGAGGCGAGGTGCGACTGCGGCAGGACTGTGACTAGAAATAGGAATAGGAAAAGCGACAAAAGAATTTCTGAAGTTAGGAATAAGGGCTGGGAAGATGTATAGATGAATCAGGGGGTTTAGAGAGTGCAAAGAAATGAAATGGTTGAGGATGAGATTGGGGACAAGACAGAGTTCTCCCGTTGACTTGAGCTGCTGTCCATCGTTGCTTCCACGATAGCGGGCCGAGATCTTCAAGGACGTCGTACGTAAATGCTGTGGTGGGATAGGAAGAGCGAGGGTGGTGAGGCCAACGGCAAGAGGTGCCAGGTGTTCCAACGTGATGGAGAGAAAGAAAGAGGTAGTAGATGACTTCGCAGATGATGTTTTGCGTCGATATTGCAGTCGCGATCACGCGTAGATGCCAAGACCCGGCGGAAAAGGATTATCCGATCCGTCAGTTCGGCTCCGTTACTACTTTTCTTCTCTCCCAATTCCCTTATGCCACGGGTCGTGCCATGGGCTGGATGATACCCTGCTTGATCAGCACCCGCGGCTTCGTGCTGTCCTGGAACGTGGTCTTTGTCGTCCACTCAGGTCCCAAGGGCAGACGCAGCGATCGTTCATACTGTTGTCGTGACTCGAATGGATGGGGCAGCTCGCTGGCCAAATATTTGCCGTTCTTCTTGACACGCTTTTCATTGATGATGACCTTTTCCAGCTTGGAGTCTTGTCGCTTTTCTTGGGCAACACCCTTGACCGTCGTAACGAACCGTCCCTGGGCTCTTTTCTGTGCTTTCTTGCTGATACCCTCTCCTGTCCAACTTCCCCAGCCAGGAAGGGTGTTGTCAACCACTTGATCTCCTTCTTCCTCCACTACTTCTCTCTTTTCTTTGGCAAACTCCTGCTGAATTTCATCCGAGCCCGTAAAAATCGCTTGTGCAAGAGCGACTCTGTCATCTGGCTCATTTTCCGATTCGGATGGAACAATTGCATCGTCGAGGCGGCTCTGTGGCACCCGCGCCACCTTTTTGATCGAGTGTCCATCGTCTCCGGCTACGCTATGTAAAGGATCCTTGCGTGACAGGTTGCCATTGGGGTTTGATCTTGCCATCTGCTTTGCTGCGCCGGGACGCTTCAACGACGGTTCTGGTTTGATTTCTTCGTTTGCGGGTGCGGTGAGCGGTCGTGCGTCGCCGTGCAATCCTCCTATTTCGTCTTGAGCTCTTGAATCTTCAACCTCAGCCTCTGAGTCACGTTCCTCAAACTCACTTTTAGAAACGTGAACTTGAGGCTTCAGAGGAAGATCTCTGTTGCCCACTCCAAACTTTTGACGTCCCACTGGGGTTTCATGATCGAGATGCCCCTCGCCGACCGATCTCCCTTCGTCGCCATGCAGACTTCGTCTTAGGTTGCGAATCTCTTCCTCATTGGCAGCTTTCCTCGCAGCTTCTGCCTTTTTCATGAACGCCATCGAGCCGAGTCTCGTCTCGAACGCATCGACTTGATCGCGTTCAACATCATCGAGCTTCATCTCTAGCCTCTCTTTTTCGTCATCGGAGCCAGAGAACCCTTCGAAACCAGAAGACTCTGAATCAGACACGTCTGACCCTGCGCTCGCCTTGCCTGCAATTCGCCTGCGAAGTTCTTCATCGCGCCTTGCAAGGTCAGTGACTCCGTGTCTGGCATCCTCATCCCACGCTGCCCTGCCTGTTGTCTTGACACTTTTGGCCCATTTGCTCTCCCTGTGACGCGCTCCCATTCGTTCCTCAGCACGCCGGCGCTCGTTCTTTTCTCTTTCGTCGTCCGAATCGATTAAGCCCTGCGCTGCTAGCAGCTTTCGATTCTCTTGATTCATATTCTCGCGTTCTTTGCGATGGACGCGTCGATATGCCTTGCTTTTGATCTTCTTGATCCGTCGCGCACGGATCTCCTCACGAAACATGAGATCCCGCGTCCGCCGCAGTTCTGCTCTACGAGCTTGGACTTCCGCCAGCGGCATTTGCTTCTCCTGCAGTTCCTCGAAGGCATTTTCTTGAGCTTCCTGGGTTCTGCTGGCGTTTGAATGCATTCCACTTTCCATCATGATTTGGTGGATCGTTAATTCGAGCGAATTCATAGGCTCCGCAGTCGAGGTTGGTCCCAATTGCTTATTGCTCAACATACCAGCTGCTGCAGCATCAACAAGGGGGAATGAAAGGTGCTCTGCGCGTCGGTTTTGCTTGACACTTTCGATCCACTTGCCCAACTCCTTTTTCGTCTCTTCGTATGCTACAGAACGATCAAGACGGTCCTGCTGCCTTTTCGCCAGAGGCGGGGCGAGTTTTCCTGGAATTCCCGCTGTGTAGGCTTCATCGCCCCGGCCCTCGCTGCTCTGCAATATTTTCAGAGATTGTCTTTGGCGAGGGTCTTTGATATATTGTAGAAGCTCACTGGGTGAGATTTTCGCCGTGCTGAGGCCAAATTGAGAGGGTATATTTGGGAGGTTTAGACGATGTCGACGGTTGATCGTAGCCTGGCTCTTGTCTCCACCTGATAGCCCTTCCACAAAATTCTGGAGCTTAAAATGATCGCCTTCGTCTTCTGAAAATGACAATTCAGACTCGTGGTCTGATTCCTCGTTGTCACCGAGTTCTGACAGGGAGTCTGAGACTTCATGGCGATCATTGTCGGTGAGCTGCACCCCGGATTTTGGACGCCTTTTCGAAACTTTGTCTCGGTCCTGGTCGTCCATATCCCAGGCCGTGGCTAAGTCCACAGCCTCGTTCCCAAAGTCATCATCTGGTTCGTCGTCGCTGTTCTCGCTTTCTTCCTGCGCGTTATCCCCTTCATCGAGGTCGACTCGAGGTTTCATGGAAGACCCATCGTCCCGCCGCTTGGGCTCCAAGGATGTTGTAGTGCTTCCGCGAAATGTAAAGTCGGCGAACTTTTCTTCGTCGCTTGCGCCAAACGCGTCTTCGCTGTCAATGTCACTGTCCTCATCGTCCTCATTCACACCAAGATGCCATCTATTGCCCTCGAGGTCCGAACCTTCCTCTTCAAGCTCATCGGCAGCCGTGGTAGCAAGTTTCCTCCTCTTTGACGAGCGCTCGTCTGCGTCTGCCCTCCCGTGTGGATCTTCAGAATCATCATCGACCTGCCCGAGCCTATGTTGTCGAATCTTAATCTCATCGGGATGTTCTCGCTCCGCAATTTCCAGTGCGTTCAGTCCGCGGTTTCCGGTAGGCTTCCTCTTAGCGGCGGTATACGACCTGGGGGTATGAGGTGGCCTCCCGTGCGCCTGGCGAGGCATTGTGATGTCGGAATTGGATAGCTTGGAGTCACTGGGACTGATTGCGGGTCGTGGTGTTGTGCACAGGAAAATATAATCGTGAACGCGGAGATAATAATTTTTTAGTGCGGGGATAACAGCCCTTGGCGACCAATCCAAAAGGGGCCATGGAGCTGCCAAGGCCGCGAGGCTGCGAGGCTGGGGAGGAGGGGGGCAAAGGCACGTGGGCGCTTACATCTTGACCATGTAGCGAGCGATGAGCCCCCAGCTGTCATATCTCTCACTGCTAATCGTCCCGTGCATCGACGAGTCGACATACACCTTCCCTCAATGACTATCTCCTACTGCCGTCGGAATATGTTCGGCTCTGGTGCGATGAATTGTCGCTGTTCGGAATGTGTGGTCGCCCGTGGTCGCCGGATTTTGACACAACAGAAAGCCCTGGATGTCTCGGACAAATGGAATATGTCGCGTTCAGAACTTTGCTACCATATTAGCAGTATGGTAAATTGAATGAAGGGGACTACCCGATACAATGCCACTTGCCAAATCGTCCGTTTCCGGAGAGGAATGTGCCAAGTTCAGAGCACAGATCTCAATGACAGTAAGGTCCACACGTTCTTGGTCCAAGACCTACCTTTGTACCGTGTGTTCGCTCAGGAACTTTGTTGCCCGTGACACTCGCGTTACATTGACGTTTGCAGCCCGATCCTGGGCGAGGGGATAGAGGGAGGTTGGGCCTCGATTCTGCTCGAAGAATGCTACGGGATTGTATCTTCTACAACAAAGACGGTCCAGAAACTTGAATTCCTGTCGTTTGCGGAAAGCGATTCTGCCTTTGAGGCCGACTGCCGAGAGTCTCTCAAAGATTTCGATCACCTAGCTGCAACTATAAATTCCCGGAATCGCTGTCCTCTGCTGCTCGTTGCTCTCACTCTCCATCCTTTCTTCGGATAGCTATCACGATGATCGATTTCCATAATGAAAGCGGGAACGAACCCGTCGAACACGACTATACCCATCCAGAACGCCACTATGACAACATCAGCGCCGATGTCCCCAAAGAATGGAAAGAAGTCGGATGGAAAATGCGCAGCCAAGAAAATCCGCCAGTTGAGTTATGCTGGGCCTGTGGCTGGACTACGTACGAGCAAGACTGCAGTAGCTATTCACCGCGGGTCAGAATTCTGCACGCTCGTTTCAACAAGGGGCTCTGGGCAATTGGATCCAGGTGGCTACTCAAGGATGAGACAAACGACCACACACGCGGGAATGAATATATGACATGGAAGTTTCTCAAAGAACAACCGGGTCTGAATATCCCTTTGGTGGAAGAGATGATATCCTTGAGTAAACCTCAAGATCCCCTACAATTCACACTCGTGTCTCGAGCCCAGGGGAAGATGCTAAGTGCAGTCTGGCCCAAATTATCTCCTGAACAGAAAGCAGGCTACAGGGATCAAATGGTGACCATTCTCAAACAATTGCGACAATTCACCGCGCCTTGTCCCCAAAAGGTCAATGGCGACAAACTCAATGATGCTCTCGTCGCCGCCTGCCCGGGCTGTGATCCTGCCAGCTGTTTCAAAGTGGGACGCACGGCCGACGAGTGGCTAGAGGAGATTTCGGAAACTGTCCGTGGTGGGCTTTCCTACATTTGGAGGACCAAAGACGAGAAAGTGATTGAAGAGAAGCTTCAGAAGCTAAAAGACGACTTTCCAAGAGGAGGGCCGTATGTGCTGACCCATGGAGATCTCGCCCTGCGTAATATCATGGTCAAGGACGACAAGATCATTGCGATTATCGACTGGGAAAAGTCTGGGTACTTTCCTTGGTGGGCAGAGAAGTATTGGTCCCGAAGCTGGACTTCGGATGACCAGCGTGAACTTCTTGAAGGTATTTGGGAGAGGGTTGCTCCAGAGTTGGCGGATGGTCCTGCCTGGGAGACCCTGGCTGGTCCAATACATAAGATCAGAGGAGCCATTCTCAAGTGCAAAACTACCCACAAACCCCCTCTCCCTCCACTCTATCGTGGGCCTTTCTGCAAATGCCGCCCTTGGGGCCAGCTACTCCGATCCCGGGATCGTGGAGCCGAGAATGTGCATGAGGTGGTCGAGTGGAGGAACAGCTGCACTCCAGAGCCGAGCTCCACCGCTGGTCTTGATCGCACTGAGACAGAGTAGGAGGAATATTAACGGCCAGGAAACGCCAGGTGCAAGAGAGGTCTTGGTGCGAGGGGGATGACATCGCAAATCCTCGTCTCAGCAGGGAAGGGAATGTATGCAGACTAGGAGTTTGAATATTTAGCAACATTGTCGGGTAACCTGGAGCGATTCTCGTAGCAGATTGTCCTCTTTGCCTGCTCTCGTTTTCCGATAATCCCTTAGTCACAATCGCCTTCTCCTCCCATCATGCATCTCGTGGTTGGTCAAGCAATATCCGCACAGAATTCGCTATCGCCATCCTCCATCACCATGATCCATCGCCATCCTCAATCTGTCATCGTGTTGCATATTGCTTGGTGATGGCAACATCCAGCTGATCTCCCGATATCAAATCTGATGCCAGACCAAGGTTCCTGTGGACCCCAGAGTAAGTTGAAATCCAACCAAAATAAATCGGAGGGTTAATACTGACCAGAAACCATGGTGTCACGTGCCAAAATTCGGTTCACCGAGCTGAAGAACAGGTCCTTGCATTCTTGATCGCCATCGGTCCAGTCGAAGATTTGCACACTTTTTGGACTGTCCGATGGGGTAGCGTAGATGCAAAACATCTTCTGCATTCGTCCTGGGTCACCTTCCACCGGCATCTGGATCAACAGTAGCTGTTCCTCAGCATCGCCCACGAAGATAGCAGCTCGGGTACCGCCATCGAGTGATTCAAAGGCTGCATGGAAAGAGGACTTTGGAGAGCGGTGGTAACCAAGAGCCTTGCTGCCAAAGGCATAGAAGTCCCATTCGAGCTTCTGCTGGTCGTCGGTCACCTTCGGTAAAGTCAACCCCTCGCAGACGTTGCATGTTGTCGATGATCCAGTGTTCTCATTCGAACAGAAGAGACACTTGCTGCGTACGAATGAAGCCATTAGGTGGGATCGTGTATGACGTATCTCGTGTTGTTGTATTTCCAAGCAATGAACAGGGTGCGATGAAGTCGGTGGATTCAGATCCAATGAACAAATTTGTGGAAATTTCAGAAGTGAGATGGCTCAATTATCGTGATTTGCTGGCTTTATCAAGGCGCTGTCTTCAATATGGTCTTTTGTTTCCCGGATCCTCCACCTGGCCAAAGAAGTCCAGCAAACAATTGCCTTGCGACAATCCTCAGGCGGTTGTAACGCAAACATGTAGAAAGCCATTTTCAACCTCAACAATCCCCGTCTAAAGGGATCAATGCAGAGGATGGGGATATATGGGCCCTCAAAGTGACAGGGTAAGATGCAGACTCCCGTGGGAGTGGCTGTGTTAAATGTGGTTGAGGGGCCATGCGGCTTTGTTTTCTCCTGCAAGAAACCTTGAAGCAAGCGACGGCTCATTGCTCTTCACTAACTCTTTTGCATAGCAGCAAGCAGATGGTTCCCATCCCGTCTGCAATGTTAGCTGCCATGATGTCTTTATTGTCACTGCACAGTGGCATAGATCCGTTCGGCCGCTTGTGGGGGAAACGGATGGCAGATTCCGGTCAGAGGAGCAAAGTGTACAGTGTGACGGCGGATGAAGAAGTGGATGTCACCATGACCGCAGCAAGAGCCGTTATGCCTTTGATGTCGTCTACTGTCCTCTGGAGATGGAGAGTCAGAACTATCAAACACCTGTAGAGGGAGGGCAGCCGGGCGATCCTTGTGCGTCACTCCGCAATCAGGCGGTGCTGACAATCGTCAAGAAGCTCGGTAGGCAGTAGTCTTCACCAGAGCTGGCAGTAAGTCCGGGAACATTCGAGAGCTAGCCTTGCGAGTTGATTGCTCGATCGATGTTCACAAAGGTCCCTGTACCAAGTCGCGAAAGTCTTTGAAATGCCTGGTGGCCGCGCGCTGTGAGCCGTTGAGATAGCATCACCCTCTCTGCCGACAGCCCCTGACGAATGGTTGAGTGTATCCTCCACCTCAAGATTCCGCGCTTGAAACCCCTGATTGGTGGGAGGGTGGCATGTACTCGGTACCAAGTCAGGAGAACCGAAAAGTTGAAGTCAGTGTGAGTTTTTCGGGCGGTGCGTGTAAAACGCGCTAAGGGCGACGCGACAAATGGGACAAATGGGACAAATCGAGCCAGAAGTAGAAGCAGCGGCCAATTCCCCCGCTCCACAGTTCACTCGCTGCTGGAGACGTGATTCAATTTCGACTGCGCCCATTTCTTTCCTGGCGAACAGACGACCAACAACCTGCGCAAACCGCCTGACCAACTCTCTGATCACAGTTTGTAGCTTTTGACTGTGTATCCCACAACTGCAGCAAAAGACTGCCACCACAACTCCATCCGGTCTGTGTCCATGCGAAACATTCCCTTGCTGGTCGGCGCCGAGAAACTCTTCGACCATCCTTCCCGTGATACACACTCGCTTCACCGATATTGAACTCCAAAGGTCGACCCGGCACCATCCTCATTGCTCTACCTACTGCCTCGACACTGGGTCGCGTTTGATCGAGGTTGGATTCTTCGGTGAGCTGAATCTTGTACCCAGTCCCGCCAGAAGAGGAAGAAAAAAGTAGTGCGAGGAAAAGCTACCTGGTAAAGGATCTCCTTTATCATTGAAAAGGAAGAACATTCCCGCAACAGGTTGGATAGCGCTGCGTGCGCACCCGACATGCCCTGATACGCAGTCCACATACCTGTACCCGACCAGTTCACCGGTCCGACTTCTTCTGACTCTTGTCGATAATGATGGCATCGGGAGGCATTCATTCAGGAGTCTATGCGCAACCCCCTCCACCTTTCCCTCAGCACGGCCATTCCACCTCTATGAACCCAAATTTTCCCCAACAGCCTCCGCCCATGGGCCCATTTGAAGGCCAGTCGATAGGCTCAACACCAGCGCCCACTCCTCCACCCCCCAGACCTGCATCTCAGCACCAACATCAGCAAGGCTTATCCGCGCAGCAACAGATGGTGTATAGTATGAACGGAACAGCGTCCATGACCAATGGAGGGATGATGGCGCCGCCCAATAGCTTCGGGACTTACTCGGAAGCGAATACGTTCGCGCAACCCGACTACTATGCGAATGGGCTCAAGCCACAGATATACACTGCCGTCTACTCCAACGTGTCGGTTTTCGAGATGGAAGTCAATGGAGTAGCCGTCATGCGACGCCGAGCAGACTCTTGGCTGAACGCGACCCAGATTCTCAAGGTGGCGGGGGTGGACAAGGGTAAAAGAACGAAGGTGCTCGAAAAGGAAATCTCGGGTGAGCATGAAAAAGTCCAAGGTGGCTACGGAAAGTATCAGGGCACTTGGGTCAACTACCAGCGCGGTCGAGAATTTTGCAGACAATATGGTGTCGAGCAACTGCTCCTACCACTGTTGGAGTACGACATTAATTCGGATGGTATGCCTGGGGTCTCCCAGGGCATCGAGACGCCCACCAAGGAACAAGCCATGGCAGCCCAAAGAAAGCGAATGTATGGTGGCGACAGCCGAGGGGGCGGGCATCCGACTGGGGGCACCTTTTTCAAAAGTATGTCCAGTACCGCGGCAAACGCTATTCATGCCTTGAACAGAACGAGGCTCGACTCTCCCAATATGGACGGACGACGCTCCATCGGCCCCAGAAAACAGTCCCAATCATTTGGCTATAGCCAGGAGACCATGTATGCCAGCCAACAGAGCATACCGAGTATGACGAGCCAAGATAGTTTCGGCACAAACGGAGGGATCATGAGCCAAGGTGCGAGCTTCGTGGATTTCCCTACGACAGATTCGCAGGAGCCGCCGCGCAAACGCGTTCGACCTTCACCACAGTCATCATTCCTGTATGATGGTGCTATAGATCTCAGCATGCAGGACAGCGCCCCTACAGAGCCGAACGTTTCATTTTTTTCTCAATCAGGGCAAGTTTTTATCTCTGCGGATCCGCTGCCATATGGCCTGGAGCCACTTCCTCACCCATCTGGACCTTTGGAGGAGCAAAAGAAGGAACTCTTACTCGACCTTTTCATCGACCCTTCACGAACAGATTTTGACGACCATGCAGCTTTTCTGCGGTTGAGTGGCGATGAGTATGAGGTGCCTATTGATGGCTCATCTAATACTGCGTTACACTGGGCGGCCACGTTAGGTCGAATTGCTCTCGTTCGTAAGTTGCTCGAGAAGGGATTCAATATGAGGCGAGCAAACAGCGGCGGCGAAACAGCATTGATCGCTGCGTGCCAGGCAAGAAACAATCTCGATCAGGGTTCTTTCCCTGCTCTGCTGGAGCTTCTCGGTCCGAGCATCGAAGTTAGAGACGGACGTGGGCGAACAATGCTCCATCACATCGCCGTTGCCTCTGCGATAAAGGGAAGGGCTGCAGTCGGGAAGTACTACCTCGAGTCTCTTCTCGAGTATGTGATTCGACAAGGCACATCGTCAAAATCAAGCACGCAGTTTGATGCGACCGGTGGACTCAGTAAGCTGAGCCAGACAAACCCCATGACACTAGCGAGATTCATGTCGGAGATTGTCAATGCACAAGACAAAACAGGAGATACAGCTTTGAACTTGGCAGCGAGAACAAGCACAACTACTATCATTGATCAGTTGGTTGAGGTCGGTGCAGATCCGCACATCAGCAACCGTGGTGGCTTGTCTCCGGCAGATTTTGGGGTGGGTGGCGGACCGGTCAACTCCCACATGTTTGACCAAACGTTTGCAGCGTTCGATCAGCCTTCGGTGGCGAACGGGTCAACACAGAAATCCTTCGAAGAGGCTCAAGAAGGACTCATGGCCTGTAAGTAATGCGGCACTAAGTATGTTCTGTGATGCTAATGGTAACAGCGATACGAGAAGTTCTCGCTCAATCCGAGGCCGACTTTGCAGCTGAGATGAAGGAAAGGAAGGAAATCCTAGACAAAACCAATGCCGCGTTGAAGGAGTCGGGCAATTCGCTCGCAGAGGAGCGGCGGCGGCTAGAGGAAAATCGAGCCAAAGTGCGGGAAAAAGACGAGCTAGAGCAGAAAATCAGCAATCTGCGTCGAGCGGCAGCCAAACTTCGCACCGAGTTGAGCGATGCCAATCCGCTCAACACGATTCAAGACAAGGTTGTGGTCGGAGAAGCGGACAGAGGCCTCGACCTTGAGGGACAACTGCCGCTCGTGACACAGTTCTTCCCTGATGGCGAAGTCGACGCTGGCCTGGTAGCATTGACACCGGAGCAACTCAACCTCTTGGGCAGCCTTGAAAGAGCGGAGGTGGTGTCGGGGCGTGTCCAGGTGTATCAGCGACACAACCAACAATTGGAGCAGACGGCCAAGGTGCTCAAAGCCCACAGTGTGGAGCTCGAAGCACGGTACAAGAAAATTGTGAGCCTGTGTACGGGCGCCGATGAAGATAAGGTTGACGCCTTACTGGACGGACTCGTGCAAGCGGTCATAAGTGAGCAGAAGGATATGAGCAACAATTCGCAGCTCGGCCGAGTACGGGACTTTTTGAGGATGGTGCAAGGGTCTCAAAATTAGGTCATGTGTTCAACACAGAGGGATTGACGGGAGTGTTCCAGGCGACGAGTGTTGTTGAGTTCAAATGGCACACGGGGCTTCACGGCGCGTTTGATTCTGTGTGGCCAACTATGTGGATGGTTTTGCATAATGTATCATGGCTGGGGTCCAGCTGAGCGACAAATATCGATCCAATGAACCGATACGCGCAATGTCTATGCAGTCAATGTTCGTCTACTATGAGTCTCACTGGTAACGCGCGCAAAACGGGAAGAGCACGGAAATCAACCAAGTCAGCCTCGTTGACAATAAACAACGACAAAGATGGATTCAATGCCAGCCTCTGGACTGCGCGGTTAAGTCAAGAATAAACAAGGCATGATCTACTTTGGGTCGGCGATGGACCTGTCAGTTTCGGTTTTCTAATTGCCATTGTGTGATGGTTGGATGAGAAGTGCTGAAACGATAGGCCTCGAAACAGGTTACCGGATGTCCTTGTAGAGACGGGTCGGACGAGGGAAAAGGTCGGACGCTGGACAGCGAATGGATAAAGGGGGTCATTTTCCACGAGCGACCAATGGATAGAACCGATGGCATTGTTTCAAGATTGCCTTCTCAAACGATAGGCGGGGACGCCTCCTTTTGCTTGAGCCCCGCCCATGCCCCGCCCAAGCCCCACCCAAAGAGCCTCCCGTCCAATCATTCTGGCGAAATTGACTCTATCCCCTGCCCCTGTCTCCGGTTGGCTGCAAGCCATTGTGTCGAATCTGCAGAGAAACCCCGCCCCTACCCCCCCTTCACAGGTCCACTCCATCCCTTCTCCTGGACCTTTCTGTTGAGAGCACACCGACATCAGTGGCACGACGAGTACGAGGCACAGAACTACCTACTCGGTACTTCTCTAACCTAGCCAAGTATAGAAGGCTACCTATCATTCGGCGAAGTTGCGCTACCTTGGCACCATGCAACCTCTGTTGCGACATCCCACTTTCGCGTTTCGTGCTGCGCCGTTCACCTGCTTCTGTTGTTTCACACCAGAATCCACTTGTCTTCTCAACCATCCTAAGCGTGGCCTATTCCAAGTTAACCGTCGACAAGCCTCTCTCCTTACCACCCTTCGGTAGGTACCGAGGACTCCTTACAGACCACAATGGCCCAGGTTGGCCAAATCGACACCCACAGACCAGGTCTCCATCGCAGTCCACCCGACCATGTGTCAACCCTCCTTGGCCAAGGGAGTTCCCCTACAGTAAATGTTTTATATTGATCTGGGGGGTTCCTACTCCTGTACTCGGTAGCTGTCACATTAATCAGACCACTCTCTTTTTTCTTTGCACCGGCCCTCCAGTCTGTTTGCGCTGTTTTTCCTTGTCCTCTCCGTCGACGACCTTCCATGCTCGTGGACAGGTTCCTCTCCCCCGTTTTCTGTGAGCATTCCTCATTCTTTTCTGGCAGTCGCTGGCCGTGCCTCCATTCCTTTTCAGCAAGCAGTGCTTGATCCTCTCATCACCGGTCTCGACGACCACTTTTACCACATATCCAACAATCACTACCGAAGGAAAACCGATATCAAACCTCCCTCGGAAATCAAAAATGCATTTGACAACTATTATTGCTTCGGCGGTGTTGCTCTTGGCCGAGGTCGACATGATCTCGGCGAAGGCCATTCTGCACCTGCCCGATGCTATCAGAAGGAGAAACGCGTGGGAAGATGGGATGGAGAAAGAGGCGGATAAGATTCTGCGACGAGAGCCGCAATCCTCAACCGGCTCTCTTTCTGTGGCGGCTCCAACGGGAGCATTAAATGAAACGATCGCGACAGCTTGCGTCAATAACCTCAAATCACTCACATCGGTCGAGAATGCTGCTGGTCTCGCCGCGTGCTACAACATTATGCAGTACGACAGCAAGCAAGGCGCCTTCGAGGCGGATCTTCGACTCTATTCAATGTTTCCACCGACTGGAAACTTTGAGAATGTCCCTATCAACGATATCATGATCAGCTTGACCTATCCCGCCAGCACCACGTTCCAGTCGTTAACCAAGCGGAGGAAGCGAGATTTGGAAGCACGCCAAAGCAGCATGGCCGAAGTACAACAATACACCCTCTTTGGCACGTTTGAGAAAACCCTGGATCTCGCCATGCTGAATGACACCCAAATCATGTCGCTGATGCTGCCGGACATCAAGCTGAACGCTGCCACCAATTCTCTGACGCCTATCAGCGCCAACATCAGTGCAGCGGATGGCGCCTGGTTTGTGGTGGGCCAATTCAAGGACGAATTCAAGAACGTCCTCGTTAGCCCTTCTGTGGCCGCCGCGGCCATCACTGCCGCAGTTCCTTTCGTCCTCCCCGGCACGAGCCTAGGCATCTTCCCCACGGGCTTGATTGTCACCTGCGCCTGGACATTCTTGTTCTTCTTGGCCTACGGACTGGGCACCATTGGCCGGATCCAATATAGAAGTGTATATAGAAAGAGAAAGGCGGCCCAGGCCGGTCGAACTGGCAAGCGGATATAGACAAAAAGCTCTGGTACTGAGATGATTCTTTTTGTTTTTTTTTTCGGTTGGTGGAGCTTTAGCCAGCGACCGACCGAGATAGGGGACTGGAGGGAGAAAGACGGAGCAGATTTGACATTGATACTTTTTGGGAGATACCCTCGCTTTTGTATTGTGAAACAGTCTTTTTGAACCCACAGTCACATATGGAAATTGTACCAACAGCAGCAGTGACTCGGATGACGATTTTCGACCATGTTTTCTGCTGGTGGACTCAGATGATGAAGTGTGTATGTGTGTTTTTTGGGTTGGATACGAGTTGAAATGAAGTTGCAGTGAAATTTGCACACGTGACCACACCAGAAACTTTCTTCCCCTCGCATTTTCCCCGCTGTTGCTGTTGCTGTTGCTGTTGCTCTTTGCCCGCTGCTTTCATTCTTCTACTCAGAAAACGAGCAACAAGGCTGACGACTATTTCTCTACTCCTCCTATAATGTCTCTTCTGGTCCTTCGCAGTGTCTAGAGGATGAACCCAACAGAGCCTCTTCTGGGAGAGAGTCGCTTTCCTTTCCCCGACAGGTTTGTGAGCCCAAGTCCGGCACGGGCATCTCATTTCCTGCTAGAAATTTCGACCCTCGAAGAAGGAGAAATTTTCGGTGCGACTCCTGATCTCTAAATGCGCTTTTCTTCGGAGTTCCCTCTCTCTTTCCCCTCCGAAGATCCCAAAGCGGTTCAAAACAGCTTGTAGGGTTTGGGCGGCATCATATCACATCACGTCATCCCCGCGAGATTTTCATCGTCGCGCGCATACGGCGACAGGGAACACCAGCGGCCAGAGACGAGGTTGGACGCTGGTGTTCTGGTGAGGAGGCTGTTGATCTAGCGGCGACGCAGACCTCTGACGGGGGACCTTTTACGACTAGGGTCTCGCGCCCTCTCTCTCCGCTGGAAATCCGCCGTGAGTCACAGGTCGAAGACAAGCACGTCGCCGCAATGGAACACCTCTACCCCTATCCCAAGATGGGGACTTCCTTTCTCGAAATTCTGCAGGACCCGTTGACTCGTAAGTTGCTTGGGTTTGAGGCCTTGCACGCAGAACCAATACCCTTCACCAGTGGGGTCACGTCGCGGGTCAAGTTTTTACTGAACGATGCCATGCAGCAGCTCTCGTTCCTCAAAATTGGATATACCGCGCTCGAGGCCTTCTTACAAGCCAACTGTACTGGACCTCCCTTGGATTTCAACACGGACGAGGTCATATTTCCGGACATCTACCGAAATGAGGACATTGGATCACTGAAACAGGCACTGTTCGAGTACCTTTCCGTTGATGGCTCTCGTCCCTACCCGCTGACGCCGCACATTGAGCTCTTCTGGCTCGCCAAAGTCATCTTGTCGAATCCCACGCTGGCTGAAGCTGGTTTCAACGGCCGGCGGGCACGCTTTCGAGTCAACTTCTGGCACCAGAAACTCCTCTCTGAAGAGTCGCCGTCACTCCGGGGCGCCATCTATTTGGACGCCGAGGTCCTCGAGCGCCAACTTACTTCTCGCTTGGCATTTGGGGGAGCGGCTGCTGAAGAACATTTTGTCGAATTCCTCATCGAGCGAGCGGTGGTTCGAATACACTACGGCGACGATGCATTGGCGAGGGCAGATCTGGCCAAGGCCGCAACGACGCGACACTTTCAATTCGTGTTGACTGGCGCATTGGGCAAAAGGACGAAATTCCAGGACCGGGATATCAGCCAACTTGTCGTTCTGGCCAAAAGTCGAGATCACGAGCCTGAACCGTACAGCAGTCGTAAGGGCAGTAGAGCCGAGGCCGCAAAATCTAGCGATACTATCGCAGAGTCTGACCGTGGTGAAGCTGTGAGTACGTCCAGCAACGCGGCGACAAAACCCGAGAATTTGCCTCTCAACGACGACACTCTTCTGGAACGGATCGAGTTCCAATCCGCTGATTCAGCGGTGCCGGTGTCTGAAGCCACAATGACACACATTGCATCCCCTGACTCGAACATCCCCTCCCAACTCGCATCTCTTGATCCGGCAAGCCAGCCGCTGCTCTACCCCATGGACAGTATCATCCTTCTTGCTACCGCGAGCAGCATTACCAATACCTCTCCAGATGACGGTTTGGTGAGGGAAGAAACTCTGCCTTATGCGACTCGAGTCCTGGAAGGCGGGTCCTCGAATTGGCAAGTGTATACCCAAGCTCTGCTGGTCAGAAGTAGGATCGAAGGTTACCGATCCCGTACCGCGGAGAGGGGGCTGTTACAGTTGCAAGCGCTGGTCGATCAGGTCATTGTCGAAACGACATCAGATCCCACAGTTTCGGCATCAGATACGAAGGACCGAACGACGTCCGCCACAGAAACAGCAGACCCGTCAACAAAGGGCGCAACCACGTTCCTCCCCAAGGGAAACCCCTCGGAATCCGCGTCCGTGGCCGAGCGTCTGAAGTACATATACCAACTCGCCCCGCCGCTTCGATGGGAGCTAGAGGCTGAACTCGCCCAGCGCTGGGCTCAACTAGGTGGCCTCAAAACAGCGCTGGATATCTACAACCGATTGCAGATGTACGCGGAAGTGGCACTATGTCTAGCAGCGACGGATCAGGAGAGCAAGGCTGTGGAGTTGCTCAAGGATCTGTTGTTTGAGGATTCGCAGGCTGCAGATGCTGATAGAAAGCTTCGCTCTCCTCCACCGGCAGACGCTCCCCGCCTCCTTTGCATCCTAGGCGACATCACCGATGAACCCTCCCACTATTCCCTGGCATGGACCGTCTCCTCGAGCCGGTATGCCCGTGCACAGCGCTCGCTCGGCCGGTACTACACCAAGAGACGCGACTTCCCGCGCGCCGCAGAAGCGTACACCCTCGCGCTGGGTATCTCTCGCCTCGACCGAGCGAGCTGGTTCGCTTTGGGGTGCCTGCAGTTAGAGCAGGAGGAGTGGATCTCCGCGGTCGAGAGCTTTACCCGATGTGTGCAGTTGGACGACAGAGATGCCGAGAGCTGGTCAAATCTGGCTGTGGCGTTGTTGAGGCTAGACAAGCCCATGGCCGCGTTGGCCGATGTACCCGAAACAGACCGCGAGGACACTGCAACGACCACCGCTCCCGGGCCACTCGACGACGAAGAAATCATGGCCGACACGGAAGCTCACGCCGGTTCGGAACCTCTTGCCAAACAGAAGATCGACCCGTACCGGCATCTGCGGGACGCTCTCCGGGCCTTGCGCCGCGCGGCGACCCTGAAGAGGGACGACGCTCGGATCTGGGACAACTACCTCACAGTGGCGGCGAGCATACCGCCATCGGCGAACACGCCGTGGGGGGAAGTCATCCAGGCCATGGAGCGCGTGGTGGAGCTTCGCGGCAAGAAGGAAGGAGAGAGATGCATCGATCTGAAGATCTTGGGCGTCCTCACAGACTATGTCACAGGGACCTGGACGTACCCATCGACAGGCGGGGACGAGGACGAAGGCGGGGATGGGCAGGACCACGGCGTTGTTGTTGTTGCCGACGAAGTAGGGACTGCCCGAGGGGCGAATCGTCCCGAGGAAAAGCGGATAGAGCAGAACGGGCGAGCCGGGAAGGACGAAACATCGCCACCGGTCCCCAACCCGACAACAACCTCGTCGACCACAGCGACAGCGACGACGGAAAGAGGGAGACTACCCTACATGCCCCGCTCATTCCTGCACCTGATCGACACGCAAATCGCGCCGCTCGCGACCTCTTCGCCCGCGCTGTGGACGCTCCTCTCCCGCGTTGCGCAGTGGCGCCGACGCCCACACGCGGCGCTGCAGTGGAGCGAGAAGTCGTGGCGTGCCCAGCTCGCGGCCGTCTCGCCCTCGGAGGACTTTGACACGGTGGCCCGCGACCAGTGGCGCCGGGTGGTCGACAAGACGGTGTGGATGATGCAGCGGTACCGCGAGCTCGGCCCGCTGCCGCGCGAGCGCACCGGCGGCGCCGTCGAGGCCAAATGGCGCTTCAAGGCCCGCAGCGCGGCGCGCAGGGTGCTCGGCCGCGGCAAGGCGTGGGAGGAGGTCGGCGACGGGGACTGGACCAGGCTGAAGAAGGCGGTGGGCGATCTTGATGCCGATGCCGATGCCGCTGTTGCCGCATGATAATTCAACCCCTCTACCCCGGACAAAAAAAGTCAGATGCTAGTACCAAACATGTAACAGACGATCGCACGCACGCAAGCAAGCGAGCAGACAACAGCAAAGCAAAGCAGAGTAAAGACAGGAAAAGTAAAACGACAGAAAAAATCTAGCCAGCAGCCAGCGAACAACCTTGTAACAAAACTAAAACCAACCCAAGCGGCCGCCCAAATAGTACGAGAAGATCAAGTAAGATCCGAGCACGAGAAGCCTCCCACCTTCCTCGTTCAGTATTAATACCTACCTACCTACTTTTTGTATTGTATTGTCTTGGTATATAGACTAGTGTGACTACCAACCTAGATATATAGAATAGATATCTGGCTATACAGAGAGAGTTTATACCTACGTCTCTACACACACACACACACACACACACACACCACACACACACACACACACACACACACACGAACTCACCGAGCTACGACGAGTAGA